GGTCTAGCTGGAATGTCGAACATATCTACAAGTGTTTAGATTATGGTGGGGTGTTGAGATAAGATGCCGAAGCCAATCATGATCGAGTGATAAGAGATAAGAGTCTTATCATGATAAGGCATCTTAAGTAATCTAAAACTGGAAAGTTAGCCGCCATGATAAATGAATAATGGCAAGTTTAACCGAAGGTGTAAGTGTATAAATACAAGAGGTTTGTCCCTTGTATTTATGTTTGAGAATATTAGTTTGTAGGCTAGTTATATTAGTTATAAATTAATAAGCAACAAACATAAGAAAAAGTGAACATATACAATGGATATTCATAATAGAATAGCTAGATTACAACATATTCCAAAGAGCTTGAGAGGATTGAGGAAATATTTTTGTAAAACTTTTTGCCTGAATTTTAACCATCGGGGAAATTGAAAAATACCCAAAGTATCTACTACATTTGGGCACATGGATCTTTCACAACCTATTCCACCACCTATTCCGATATATGATACAGTCTTCTCTTCAAGTGCAGATATTCGTTATATGCATTTAAAGTAGCCCTGCTACACATTACTCCCTCCCCAGAAGGATCCCTGCACAACAACTTTTTCTGTCGCGGGCTTTGACTTACGCCGATCGCCTCAGTGACTGACGAGCCCAGCGGGGGAGAAAAAACTGGGGAGGAAGCGGCGGCTGCAACAGAGTGCGCTGGCAAGTGAGATGAAGGCACTGACTTCTTATCGCCCACCACCTTCTTTCTGTTTGGCCTCTGCGGGGTCCCTTTGAAAGCGCTACAGCTTGACACCCACCATAGTCTATCAGACACAGCAAAACACACACATCTATTGTTCCTATGATGATGATAGCCGGCAAGCCGCAGTCAATACCCTTGACTCACAGTCAGAAGTCGTCTCATGAAAGGCAACATGATATAAATTTGCTTAATGCTCCCAAGAAAACGGAACCCAATGCGGAGTCATCTCCATCTACACCCCCTGGGCAAAAGCAACTAAAATCCAAGTCGAGGTCTAAGGCCAAAGCTTCTTCTAGAGCCAAGCAACAACCACAACAGCAACAACAGGAGCAGGAAGCGGAAGCGGAAACACAGCCAAGATCTCAAAGTAAGAGCTCCAGCTCAAAGAGAAACGCTAGCAGTGGCAAAATTGTCATTCCTCCCAGAAGTGTGGAAGTCAGCTTCAACACCAACGGTTCCAGGGGCTCACAACGAGCAATGTTGAAAAGCACAGCTGACGATTTAAAGCACTCGACTCAAGATATCAAAAACTTACTGGTGGCCTCACCTTCTACAGACGGCTCCAAACCAAACTCCAGATTGAGCGGTGGCTCATCTCCAAATAGCTCCAATGCTTCTAACCATAAAAAAGGCGGGAAAAAATCCCCTAAGTCTCCAAACTCCCAATACGCTAAGTTAAACAATGCAATAAACAAAGTTGCAAGATTACCCGACGGCTCTGAGCCGGACTTCAACAATAGCAGAAACCATTCTGCTCCATTATCCAGATCCTCCAGCTCAACCTCTGCAAGAACATCCAAGCCAAACAGTGCATCTTCGAACAGCTCAACCTCTACCGATGGTATCAGATATGCTGGTTCATCATTCCACGCCGAGCCAAAGGCTGTCACTTTGCCAAAGCCTTCTTTCTTGAAAAAGTGATTTCATCGTTTACTTCAATTCATATGCATGATTCATTTATGTTTCATTTTCAAAATTTACGTCAATTTTTTCATGCATCGATTTTTTTCTCGTATTTATTTTTCTTTTTCATGATAATGATAGTCTCTATTTTTCTTTCTTTTTTGTGTTTCTGTTTCCACATTTTTTTCTTGCGTTTTTAGGTTTGAAGTTTGGTTTTTGTTTTTGTTTTTTGTGGTTCAAAACCATAGTTTTTTTTTATTTTTATTTTTTTCTTTTCTTCTTTTTTTTTTTGGGCACACAAAGCTAGAAAGTTGTCAAAGGTTTATATTTTGGGTTCCCACCTTTCCAGACGGTCAATACTGCTTAATTGCTTAGCAACTCATTGTGCATGAGCGGAGAGGTAGGAAGGTGATCATAAATTCAGTTCTTGATCGTTTTGATTTTATTTTTGAGTTGTTACAGTTTGGAATTTCAATGTAATTCATTCCAGACAAGTGTTTTGCGGCATATCAGTTCAGGGAGCATTTCCCTTTCCCTTTTCTTCTCTCGGACAAGATTTGAAAGGAACGCTCATGTTTTCGCATTTCACAGTTCTAAAACTTACAGCTTCTACTTCTACTTTTTCTTCTGTAAATTAGGTACTTTTTTTTACTGTTATCGTAATGCAACTAGCACTTTTGTGTTCTATATGCTCTAGGAAGGCAACTTCAATCTACCCCGTCTCAATCCAGGTCGAGTTAAGACTGGCGATTGTAGAGCTGAATTACCGTTTTTGGAAGCACCAAGCCCCAGGAAAGCGACCGCGGTTACTGCAGTATATTATCTGAAAAGATTTATTCTGTGCAATTCTAAAATGCTTGCCGACCTCTTTACCGGCCTTGAGGCGGTTATCTTTATCTCCTCTAAAGCGCTGCAACCAGCTTGGGTATTGGAGTACGTTGTTGGGATCAAAGGCCGGCACTAGCTAGGCTCAAGGAAACAAATCCACAATCAGATCATCCCTATCCTCCCATCATGCCAAAAAAGTCGTCTGCCAAGAGGCCTTCATCCTCAAGCAATCAGCTGAATCAGGCATCTGCCTCATCTAGCACTCCAATTACAAGTTTTACAAGACACAGAGACTCAATGGTGTCCAGTAGGTCTGGCTCTACACAGCAGTCAGAGATGACTTCTCACATGGATGTGAACGACACTGAAATGTTTTCAGGTGCTGCGTCAAATGCTATTCCGACCTCGATCTCATCATTCCATCATCATCATCACTTCAGGTCTCCAACTCTATCTGTGACTAGCTCTCATGATGATCAGAACATTGACAGAATAGTGCTGGATCGGTCGGAGGTTAACGAAAATGCACCTCCTCATTCAAATCTGATGTTCATGCACCAAATAAATGATGAAAACTTATACGGAGAATCTGATAATGAGAGTGAACTGGATGGATATGAGTCTGAGGCAAGTGAATTTCAAGAAAGATCTAAGTTTAGATTTTTTAAATCGGCAGATATAGAGGCCGCCAAAGGTGTCTCTTCCTTAGGAAGGTTTTCATCGGATAATAATCATGAATCGGTCAAAATTGATTACGATACAAACTGGAACTCTTTTGCTGACGACTACTCGACAGACCACCTAAACGACACAGAATTAGAGAGGACAGCATTTTATAATTCCCACAAAAAACTGACTAGTGATGACGGATCTAACAGCAACAACTCTTATGGCAGCATCGGCGAGAATCCTTATAGTGAGTTTTTCAGAGGAGATGCAGAACGTGAACTAGTGGCAGATGAAGAGCAAGATTTACATATTTATGGAGAGCAGGAAGGAGATGAAACTTTTGAAGATATGATAACCAAGAAAGCGTGGTTGAAAACCATGAAGCAACGTGAATCTCTGAAAATGCATGATAAGTTTTTCAAAAAGTTTCCGGCAAAAAACACTAGTCAACGTTTTTATATTGCGGAGGAGGACCTTGTTGCTGGTATAGCTGGATACCAGACCACCTATTGGAAATTGGCCATATACAACATCATATGTATTTTGACGCTAGGCTTGGCAGCCTTGATATGCAGATGGGTTCCACGATGGAGAATAAAAATGATGGGCAAACCGGCACCTTTGGGTAAAGCAGAATGGCTAGTTGTTGAGGATGAATATGGCTCAATGGAGATACCGAAAGTTTCTAGAAAATGGTACAATAGAAATTTAAGTACCTTCCTACCTCCAAAGAAAGTAGAACAATTCAATGATGACAACAGCGGCAGCATACATGTGAATCTCAATCCTACTGATGACTCTAACCCGGTAAAGAGCAACAATGATAACCTTGACTCGAGCTCTCACGCAAGTAAAAATAGAGAGGGAAGCATAATGACTGGAATAAGTCATGCATACACTATTGATGATATCGATCCCATTGTACCAATTCTCATATCTTTTGAATATAGATACATGACGTTGTTTTACGATCCGCTTGATGACCTTTTCAAGCTATCAAACAACTGGATTGATGAAAAGTGGTGTCACTATCCAGATATTAAGGATGGTATTACAGAATCAAACTACAGGTGTCGTAAAATGATATTTGGTGATAATATAATTGAAATAAAAGAAAAATCAGTTTTGAAACTTTTGGTCGATGAGGTTTTACACCCTTTCTATGTCTTCCAGGTGTTTTCAATATTTTTATGGCTAGCCGATAGTTACTATTATTATGCTTTTTGCATTTTCTTAATTTCTGTTATTTCAATCACAGAATCGTTAATTGAAACAGAGTCAACTTTGGAAAGAATGAGAAAAATGTCCAGGTTTGAATGCGATGTTAGAGTATGGAGAAGTGGCTTTTGGAAAGAGATAAATTCCGATGATTTAGTGCCTGGGGACATCTATGAAGTGTCTGATCCTTCGTTATCCACCTACCCATGTGATTCAATTCTTTTGACCGGTGATTGTATTGTTAATGAAGCAATGTTGACTGGAGAATCGGTTCCAGTTTCTAAATTGCCGATTAGTCCAGAATGTGTCAAAGAATTAGAAATGGAATTCAATGGTGCTAAGTTCTCCAACAGGTTTTCCAAATCCTTCTTATACAACGGCACCAAAATTGTCAGAGTTCGATACGGCTTATCCGAAGGCTCTGGAGGAAAGGAACCTGCAACTGCCTTAGTCGTAAGGACTGGATTTAATACGACAAAGGGAGCTTTGGTTCGATCAATGTTGTTGCCTAAACCAACAGGATTCAAATTCTACGAAGATTCGTTCAAATACATTGGAGTTATGTCAATGATTGCGGGAGTTGGCTTTATTTTCTCTACAATAAATTTTTTGAAACTAGGATTGCCATGGAAAGTTATAGTGTTACGTGCATTGGATCTTATTACAATTGTTGTTCCACCTGCTTTGCCCGCTACTCTTACCATTGGAACTAATTTTGCTTTGAGCAGATTGCGCCAGAAAAGCATTTTTTGCATTGCTCCAATGCGTGTTAACATTGGTGGTAAGCTAGACGTTTTATGTTTTGACAAAACTGGTACTTTGACTGAGGAGGGGTTAGATGTTATGGGAATACATATCTCTAACCCTATTAGAGATAGACAAGAACATGAGTTCAGTGAAATGCTTCCCTCAATTTGTGACATCTTGGAAAGTGATATTCCAAACTCGGAAAAGATATTCACAGCTATGCTAACATGCCATTCGTTGAAAGTCATAAATGATGAATATGTTGGTGACCCTTTGGACGAAAACATGTTTCAATTTGTGGGGTGGGATATGATTGAAGACCCTCATGAGAGCAGTATTCTCAGCGATTTCATCGAGTCTAAAGTTCTATTGACCTCTTCATCACCAATCTTATTCAAGAAAGATGGCGTACCAAGCCATTGGATTCAACTCAAAGAATTTGAATTTATTTCCCAACTAAGAAGGATGTCAACTATTTGTATCAATTTTAGCAACAATTACAGCCAAAGTCCACAAGAAATAGAAGTTTATGTTAAAGGTGCCCCCGAGGTAATTGAAACCATTTGCTTGAAGGAGTCCATTCCCGCTAATTACAACGAGCTTTTATATCATTACACACATAATGGATACAGAATTATTGCATGTGCATCCAAAAAGTTGAAAAATCCAAGCAAGAATCTCAATGATCTTTCCTTCATCGGAAAATTGAAAAGAGAATCAATTGAGTGTGACCTAGAATTTATTGGTTTTATAGTTTTTGAAAACAAATTGAAAAGTTCTACGACTGACACTATTGAACAGTTGAGTGATGCAGATTTGAGAACAATTATGTGTACCGGTGATAATGTGTTAACGGCTATCAGTGTTGGCAAAGAGTGCAGAATAGTTGGAGAAGGGGCTAAAGTATTTATTCCTTCCTTTGACTATGACAACTTTCCGAAGCAGTCTGATAATGATGAACATGCTGGTATCGATCGGCGTATATCATCGAATGGCATTCCGCCCATCATCTGGACCGAAGCCGACAACCCCGAATTGATGTTGGATAGAATTACACTTGCTCCTCTCGATATCAACCAAGACAACAACTATTGCTTGGCTGTTACCGGAGACATCTTTAAATTTATTCTGACAGAGTTGGCTCACATGGAATTCTACATTGAGACTATTCTTATGAAAAGTTCGATATTTGCAAGGATGTCTCCAGATGAGAAACATGAACTAGTCAGCCAATTACAGAAACTCGATTACACTGTTGGGTTTTGTGGCGATGGTGCAAACGATTGTGGTGCCCTCAAGGCTGCTGATATCGGTATTTCATTGAGTGAGGCTGAGGCATCTGTTGCAGCCCCATTTACTTCTCGTATCTTTGAAATTTCTTGTGTTCTGGATGTCATCAAAGAGGGCAGGGCATCGTTGGTTACCAGTTTTTCATGCTTCCAATACATGTCACTATACTCTGCAATCCAATTCATTTCGGTCTCTATTTTGTACAAGGAAGGGTCAAATCTAGGAGATTTTCAGTTTTTGTACATTGACTTAGCTCTTATTATCCCAATCGCGGTATTCATGTCATGGTCAAAATCCTATTCAGTGATAGTCAAGAAGAAACCTACCGCCAATCTAATCTCTCCTAAAATTATCATACCGTTACTGGGCAATATTAGCATACTTCTGGCAGGCCAACTTTTGGTATGGTTTATAATCAGACACAAAAATTTCCCATGGTATATTAAACCTATTCCTGGTTCTGATGATCAGGTGCAAAGCACGGATAACACCACACTATTCTTCTACTCAAACTTCCAGTACATATTGATCGCATTAATGCTAACTGTGGGCCCACCATATAGAGAACCAGCCAACAAAAATGTACCATTCATTTTGACAATTGCCGTCACGTTGTCGTTTTCGATGATTCTAATGCTTGTTAACCCGGCTTCGTCATTTGGGCAGTTGATGGATTTAACATGGATGAGCAGTGGCTCCAAACTGGGCCTTACTATAGGTGCATTTGTCAATTACTTCATCTTAGAGGTTGGTGATAAGTATGTTTTCTTGCAATTAGCTCAAGTTTTTAAAAGGTTGGTGAAAAGAAAGGGAAGCAACAAAAAGTTCAAGAAGTTGAAAAGAGAATTCAGAAAGCTAGTATAGCGGTACCCGCAGTCTCTTATTTATAGTGTGTGTAGTATGTTTCAGTATGTCGAAGCTATAAAAGTAGAAATAATGTAGAACTAAACCGTGAAGAAAAATTATAATGAAGCACGTTTTCAAATGTTAATATGGTTGGTTGGGCACCCCGTGCCCAACTCCCGAAGAAAAAATCAATTGGTCATCAGCAAATCTAGCTGTGCAGCTTGGAAATATGCATATTCCAACCACTGAGTGCAAACTGAAGCACTTCTAGCAAATGATGTTTTCCTGCAACAAAAAACACCCATCTGTTACCGACTGCTAGGTACTGCCTTACTAAAAAGTTATAATTTTCTGCTCAATTGCTTTTGAACACAAGCTTTGAAGTTCAAAAACTCTTGTAAGCAGGCATCTTTGCCCATATTTTCATACTTGCTTGCAACGCATCTTCCGTAAGCCACGGAGAGCTCGGAACAGTTTAGTGTTGCAGCCATGAGTCTGGTGGCCTGTTTGGTAGGTTGTTTCTTCAATACAGTCATTCTAGTAATCTTTCAATAAATCCAATAAAGCTATGGTTTTGCTAACACTAAGAAGCAGGAACTGGGAAAGAAGTAGTGGATTACAGAGGCTATAAAGCCGAGCAAGAGCAGCGTTCAATGTCTTGCATCAGAGATAAGGAAAACCGTTGAGGATCAAGCTCCTCAATATTTTTGCTTTCCGCAACAGAGGGGACACGAGCAGGAGGCGCCCGATCCGGAAGGGAAAGCGAGCTGCTGGGCCGGGACGGGAGACAGGCGGAGCCCAGGAAAGGGAGTTAAAGCAGAAGGGCCACAATCAGATCAAATCAGCCTAGGAGAGATCAAATTGGGGGAGTATACCGGTGGGACCAGACAGAATTAGATAACAAATGTCATCACAGAAGTTTACGGCATTGCCGGATCCACAGGAGGTGTTTGTTCCGCTCAGTGAAGAACAAATTGCTATCTTGGAATATCAGGTAGAATCAGAACAACCTGTTGCCACCGTACAAAGCCGGTTCAACCTTGGTTGGGGGTTGATGAAAAGCGACGATGAGGATGTGAAACAAGGGATAAATATGCTCACGGAAATATTTAAGACCGTGCCTAGCAGGAGAATCGAATGTGTCTATTTCTTGTCACTTGCATGCTTCAAGATCAAGGAGTACAGAGAGGCCACGAGATACGTCGACGTGTTGCTACAAGTTGAGCCTAACAATAAACAGGCTCTGACTTTAAAGAAAATGATTGAGAACGAGTTGGCAAAAGATAGCCTAATTGGTTTTGCGATAGTGTCCAGCGCAATCGCTGCTAGTGTGGGTGTTGCAAGCTATTTTTTTAGGCGCCATAAATAGGCAGAGATAGACCAATAGAAAGACAAACACAGGCTCAGAAATACCTACATTTTATAACGGATCGAATTGTATTCCTTCTGTAAACACGAAAAAAAAGTTTTATAGTAATTTTTTTTTGGAGAGATAAGACATAAGTGTGCCAAGGAACGATATGTAAACCTCTCACTTCCCTTTGCAATAACAAAGTGGAACGGAATATATGTATGATTCAATAAATATAATTAACAGAGATCATTGCTATCTTCAGTCTTCTCTGCTCACCAAACCACCCTCCTCACACAACGAAAAAAATATCGAGTCCGTGTTCTTCAATAGATTCGCAGGAGTGTCGAACTCTTTGACTCTGCCCTGTTCCAACACAATGATCCGATCGCTATCAATAATGGTATTGAGTCTGTGTGCAATTGTTAAAATTGTCCTGTCCTCAAAAGCAGACCTGATAGTTTGCTGAACAATTGAATCTGTATCAACATCAACATTGGCTGTCGCTTCATCGAGAATCAACACCTTACAATTCTTTTTGGTTAGAGCTCTTGCCAAACACATTAATTGGCGCTGTCCTGCAGACAAGTTGGAGCCTCCTTCACTGATCGGAACCAGTAATCCATTGAATCCAATCTCCTCTTTATTTTCGTATTCTTCATACATTCTTTGTACATGTTCTTTCAAATGTGACAAGCTTAGCGCTTCCCAAAGATCATCATCATTGTACTGATCGACAGGGTCTAAGTTAGATCTGATTGTGCCTCTGAATATTTGAGAATCCTGTGGAATGATTGATAACTTGGATCTCAAGTCATACAACCCAATCATAGATGTATTGACGTCATCAATTTCAATGTGTCCCCCAACGGCTTCAATTATCCGGAAAATTGCCAATGTCAAAGAAGACTTGCCGGCACCAGTTCTTCCAACAATACCAATCTTCTCTTTCTTCTTGACTGATAAGTTGATATCCCTCAAAACCAGATCAAGGTCTGATCTGTACCTTGTAGAATAGTTCTTAAACTGAATTTCTCCATTGAAAGGCCAGTTCGTTGAAGGTCTTTTATCATCGATTACTTCGGGTGCCTCATGTGGCAACGCTGCATACTCCATAACCCGCTCAACAGAAACAATGTTAGATTCAATGTCCACTGTCATTCTAACAATCCAGTTCAGCGCCTGGGTCACCTGTAAAGCATACGAAACGGACAAACCAACTAAACCAGGGGTTACTTTGCCAGTTCTTAGCGTCAAGATCAACAATCCTGAAGATCCAAGGATAATAAATGATCCTAAAAATTCTAATCTGACTGCCAACCATCTATTTGCAGTGACAGATGGATGGTATGCGCTCATATTGACGTCCATCTTGTATTGATTTAAGAAGGAAAATCTTTGAGCTTGATCGTAAGCTTTAATCACAGAAACACCTGTAAGAGTTTCCTGAAAGTGTGCATAAATTGGAGATTTAGAGACAGATTCCAACCTTTTCAACTCTCTGGATGTGTATAGATAATACTTTTGGTAATATCTGTAAATGAAAAACATTGGAACGACGAAGAAAATGAACTGCCAAGTTGAGTAGATGATAATTAGAATTGTAAACAGAACCCTGATACTGTTGGAAAAGAACATTGAAAAAACTCTGAAAAGAGTTTCATCGATTTTGTATATATCATTTGAAAACCTGTTCAAAATCCTACCAATTGGAGTAGTCTCAAAAAATTGCATTGGGGCTCTTAAAACTGAGTTTAACATGATTTCATGCAAATATTTGGAACCAGAAATTGAACACAATAACCACTGAACCAAAGACTGACACATAGTACAGAAAACAGCAGAAATGCAAAACAAGAAATAAATGCTCAAATATTTCCAAGGTTCTGGATTAGCTCCAACGGCGGTATTTATTTCAGACCAATGCTTTAGCCAGACATTAGAAGTAACTGATAAAGCCATAGCTGTAACAATAAAGACAATCAACAGTAAAACGTGTCCCACACCACAGGCTTTCGCATAAGTAATGTAAACATTCCAGTCAACTTTACCTTGTTCATGTGTTTCCGACCTTCCTGCATTCTCTTGAACCTTTTCTTGGTTTTGAATATCGATCCTAAAGTCCTCCAATTCAGCCTTTCTGAAGTCCCCTTTAACATCTTTCACTTCATCGGTCGAAGGTGTTGTTGACATAGCCATGGCTGAGGATAATTCTGATACAGGTTCTGAAACTTGTTCTTCGGTTTTGTTCTCAGAATGCGTACTGTCTTTTCTTCCGTATTCCTTAATCAACTTGTAGAGAAGAGATGTCTTTTTTTTGGAGAGTAAAAGATCACTGTAGGTACCCTCTTCAACAATTCTTCCATCTGCCATCATGGTAAGATGATTTGAAAACTTGAAAACTGCCATACTGTTGGTCGCTAAAATCCTGCATTTGTTCTTCAATAAACCGTTTGGTCCCAAAACATTATTACTGATATGCTTTCCAACATGCTCATCAACTGCACTCAAAACATCGTCTAGCAAGTAGACATCAGCTCTTGCATAAACTGCTCTGGCAAGAGATAATCTAGCCTTTTGGCCCCCAGACATACTAATACCTTTTTCACCAACTTGAGTTTCGTCACCATCCGGTAATATTTCAAGATCTTGTGATAATGCACACGCATGTATGGTTTTTTGATAAAAATCTGGATCAAATTTGCAACCGAACAAAATGTTCTCCTTGATAGTACCATTCATAATCCAAGCAGTCTGAGGAACATACGCGATGCTACCTGCAATAGAGGCAATACCATTTGTTCTGTGTAGGCTACCTAATAAAGCTTGAATCAGAGCAGACTTCCCGGATCCAACTTTGCCTAACACGCAACTCAGTTGTCCTTTGTAGGCAGTATAGTTGATGTTTACCAACGCAGTTTTGTATGGTTCTCTTGACCAAAGGAAATCAGCACCTTCAACTTTCACTGATACATCGCCAACAGACTTTGCTGCTGGGTACCTATTAATCACGTCATCTTCAATTTCATCGCTGCACAGGAATTCAGTTAATCTTGAAAGTGCAACTTGTGACTCGATAATGTTACCAATGGTCAAGGGAAGGGCCATCAATGGAAATCCTAACAAGTTGAATAGCGCCAATGCAGTGAAAACAAGATCTGTTGTTAGTGGTGTTCCCTTGTACAGAATGATGAACATCGCAAAAGTGGAACAACTCACCATAAATGGTGTGGAATTAAAAATAAATTGATTTCCAGCTTGGAAAATGCCGATCTTTTTTAAATTCTTCAACTCCTTTTCATTTCTGACATAGGTCAGCTTTTCTTTGTAAGGAGTTTCCCATGCATACAATTTTAGGGACTTGATATTGTTCAAGATTTCAGAAATTAAACCAGTTCTTTCGTCTTTGACTTTCATTTGATCTTTCTGTAGTTTCTTCTGGAATCTGAAAAGTCTTGTATTCAGGGGAACAGTAATGACCAATATGCCAACACCCACCCACATTGCATTTCCAAGTAAATTGTACAAAGAAATCAAGCAAAGGGTTATCTGGAAAGGACCTGACCAAATAAGTTGTAAGTTTTGGCACACATCTTGCAATCTCTGGGTATCTACAGACATCAAGTTGACAATATCCCCGGTTGTTTTAGCCTTTTTTGCTTCAATAGAAAGATTCAAAGATTTTTGATAAACCAGTGCGGTCATTGAAGACTTGACCTTTATTGAAGTATCGTAAACTCTCTCAAAGTATTGATGTAAGGAGGCAGTTTGTATAACGGACAATGAAAACATAGACATGACAATCATGAATCCTCTTGTAAGTGGTATGGAAGGGTCATCGTGATAGTCATGAACAAAAATAATCAAACGCTTCAACAATTGGGGCTGAGTGAAAGCTATGCAATCTTGAATGAACTTGAATATTGCACCGACAAAGAAAGGTCCACCAAAAGATTTCACCAACGCACGAAATAAGGACGGATTATCCGAATTGTTACTCTCAAATATCCAGTTTTTGTCCAAAACAGAAGAGAGCAACTTCGACTTTAAGGAATTTGGTAAAGGAGGCAAGTCCGATTGCAACAAGAATTTTTGATAGCCTTTTCTCATTAATGGGGTCATCCAGGTAAAAGTTAACTTGCTAAAAATATTTGAGTAGTCATAGATGCTATAGCCCTCTGTTGTTTCTAAATTCAATTTAGGAGCAAAGCTAACTTCCAAAATAAAAATCAACAACGAATTTACCGCAAAGGCGGAAAACAGAAAGGCATCTGTAGAAGGGTAATGTCTCAACGACGAGTTCACAACTCTCAAGAAGCCGATAGCCGTGCTAAAAAACCAGAATATTATTAATGGCGTTTGTCCGACATAAGTTTTGAAGAACTCAATGTAGCTGAAAACAAGAGATACCAGGAGTGAAATAAATACCAGAATGGTTGACCACCAAACCGAATCAGAGAAAACTGAGTACGGAGGGTAGGCGTTCTGAGACTTTTTTGTCGTCAAGATCACAATTGCTAGCTGCATGAATATCTGGCACACTATCAACAGTAGTTTAGAGGCAAAAATATAATTGGGCTTTGAATTAATGTTCTTCTGCTTTCTTAATTTATGAATAACTTGGAGTGAATGAATGAGAAAATACACCGATAATATGTTTAAAAACAAGCCATTGAGGAGACAAGGGGAAGGATCTGAAAGATGCGAGGTCCATTGATAACCTTCACCGTCGTGACATCCACACTGGATCAGTGGTTCTGTTAAGTTACCACCAGAAGAGGAAGTCAATGCATGCCACCGACTTTCACCTTCCAAAAGATGAGAAGTAATTTCAAAAAACTGGACAGGAAACAACCCGTTCAAATCAAACTGAAACATTGCGGTTTCAAAATCTGATGCCGTTACCTAAAAGAGTGGATGAGGCATCAATACATGGCAAGGATGCAATTGAAGGCAAGAGAGAGAGATAGATAACGGATAAACCTTCAAATAATGATTTTGATTAATAAGCCGTAGTGTCTACACGGTTTTCCTCGGCGACGCGTCGGTATCAACTTTTCTCCAGATTCTCACCTACTTGAAATCAGCACGGCAAAGAGGAAAAGGAAAGGAGAAATACGGGCGGGAGACGGACACTATGTGAAGAAGGCACACTGCGGATTTTTCTCCGGGTGGATTGGGCTAAGCATATCACATTGTTGCCACTGCATCAGTATCACCACAGCACAAAAGCACACAGGCCTAACAAAACTCCGAGAAACACAATTATTGTGTTGCAATTACAATGTCGAAAAGAAATGATGCAAAGCCGCTGATATTACCCTTGACATCCGATGATATTGTCGGAGAGGCGCCAACAAGCTCACAATTTGACAGGCTATCTGTTGCAAGTTCAATGCCTTCACAAAGCTCTCTTCCATCACTATCCACCTATGCACAAAGACAATCTCATCGTAGTAGGTTAAAGAAGATACGAGACAACCTGAACTCTCGGTTTAAAGTCCCCAAGTACTTTAAGCGTATGGTTGTGTTCAATTCATTGGACTTTGAGACCGCGTTTTGGGAAATGATGAACTTGATTTACAATCCGAAACGAGTCTACAAGTCTTTGTATTACCAAAAACAAACGAAGAACAAATGGGCAAGAGATGACCCTAGTTTTGTTTTGATATTGTGCTTTTTTCTCACCATATCGGCTGTATTTTGGGGAATAATGTATGCTCCAGGAGTGGTTGGGATATTAAAATTGATCCTATATATGGTGGTTGTGGACTTTTTACTTTTTGGGTTAGTCATTGCCACAATCGGTTGGGTTTTAGGGAATAGATTTTTCTTATTACCAGAGGCTCAGCCAGTACGGGACTCGAGTCGTCCAGATACGATTTTCAGCAAATACTTCAAGTTTGATCCAGTGTTGGAATGGTCTTACTGTTTTGATGTACACTGCAATGCATACTTGATCATATGGATTTCGCTTTACTTGTTGCAATTTTTTTTAATCCCGCTGCTCAGAATGAACAATATTGTATCTACAGTTTTGGGAAACACATTGTACCTAATTGCGCTATCTTACTACTTCATCATTACCTTTTATGGTTACAATGCTTTACCATTTTTACACAAGACAGAATACTTATTGCTACCTTTGGCAGGATTTGCAGTAGCTTGGACAGTATTGACGTTGTCAGGCGTTAACATTGCGAACGTTATGAGCAACTCGTATTTCGATTGATTTCTTTTATCGTTTACAATCTTTGTATACTAACAATCTGTTTTATAGACTCATATAAATGCATATATATCTACATTAGACAAATACTTTACTCGTAGGAGAACGATATTTCTCCGAAACTATCGCATTTTTCACTACTCGTGCTATATAGTGAGCGATCTGAAGAGATTGAGCAAAAACTGCTTGTATAATCACAAATCTTAGCCACTATTGGTTCCCCGGCTTCCAGGAGTACAAAGTTTTTGGAAGCAATTGTCCCAATATTCTTAACACCTACATTGTTTCTGTGTAACTCTAGAAGGTACTTAGCTTTACCGCAGATTTTAGATTCCATCTCTGACAAACATTCGGTTTCGGAACCTGTTGAATACTTGATGGCCTTCTCAAAATACCATTTGCACTGATCACTGAACTCTTCTATACTAGCCATATTAATTTTAGCAATGATTTGGTTAACATCACCCGCCAGACTTTTGTTCAAAGACCAGTGATACCATCGACATCATTGCAGTAGGTAATCGAGTAGATTTGACAGGGCAATTTTCATTCACTGTTTTTCCTCCACTATAATTCCTTAAAAATGATTGTATTGCATACCATATTTGGATTTATTATAAACAGAAATTACACATAAGCATCAGGAGGTATATTGCTCTTGCTGTTGATGAAATTTTGCCCAGCTGTAGTATAATCCCAGTTGCTTTGTTCGCATAACATTAGCACAAATTCCAGCTTCAACCTTGTCTCAGTCATAATTTTCAGCACAAGCTCTTGCTGAGTAAGATTTAACCGTCCAGCAACGTCAGCAGGCAAACTTTGAGGTATTGGAGTGCTTATAGTGACAGGAACAGAGCTCGAACTTGGAGTAGGCTGGAAAGTACTATTAATATCAACGTTGTTCCATGATTTTTTGGCAGAATATAGCTTGATACAAAGCATGTCACTGGCAACTATAAAAGCACCATTAGCTCCAGGAACTACAACAAATACTCTATCAAAACATCTCTTTTCTAAAATTCCTCTCCTGTTTTGATTGTTTTTATATTTGTTGTACCCGTGACCTTTATTACTATTTGAGGTTATGTCTGCAAATTGCTGATCAGGTTGCCCCACTTCCTCAAATTCACCATGCAAAGTTATCATCATGCCACCTAGTGCAGGATATGAGACAGTTTCAATCGAGTAGTTAGTAGGATCAGTTCCTAAGGAATGTTTCGTTTTTGGTAAACAGTTGAAAGCATTTAAAATTTGCTCTGGTCCTACAAATAGTCTCATCATTCGTGATTTTTCGTTAGAAACTCTTTTCAAGTTTCTTGAATGTGATGTATAGTTGTTCCAAAGACTTGGTGAGGTGTTTCCTGAATATTCCGAAATTGCAGAAGAGTCGTACTGAAAAGAGAACTGTGATTGTGGGGTGTATAACACCATCAAATTCAGTCTGTTTGTATCCCAGAAATTAAGATAGGAGCTTAAAAAATTTGTAGCAGCTTTGGAAAGTTCATCATTCTCAAAGAAGACTGATGTGGATTTGACAGGAAAAGTTAATATACTATTTAATTTTTGTTCGTCTCTGACCTGGGCTCCATCAATAATGATCAATCTAGGAAATATAGAAACCAGTTTCTGCATGGCATTCATATCTTGTGCTATTGGATTTCCCTGAACAATGAGCTCCCTTAGTTGAAGAAACTTATTTTTCAATCTGTCAAACAAGTCGATCTTTCTGATATTGTTATTGCTTAGGGCAATATTTTTGACATCAGGGAAACAAAGGGAAAGCTCATACAACCATCTTGAATGATCATCTAGGTTGTTATTACTTAAGTTTATCGAATCGATTTGAATTTTTTCCTTCTGAGCAACTTTCATAAGAGCAGGGAAAAATTTAGATGTTGTATTTGCATTAGAGAATAATCCGTTATTGACCAATGTTTGATTATTTTGAACGTTTTGCAAATCAAGCATTCTACTTTCAGAGTTGTAACTTGCTAATATGAAATTTCTCAACAAATCAATAGTGTTTTTGGCACCTGCTTGATCGTTCATTCCGTTGTTGTCGATTATTCTGATGAACAACGTCTGACCCGCAAATCTTAAGCCTGAACATTTAACTAAATCTTGAGCATCCCTCATGGTTCGAACCTGTCCTTGTAATAGTTTACCACTTGGGTCAACAGTAGGATTGGTGACTACGATCCGAGCCTTGCGATTAAGAAAGTTTATCAAGTCTTGTTGAGAAGCATTGGTCCAACCTTGAATTTCAACTGTGACCATATTTTGACTCACATACTCGTTAGCCCTTTGTAGATTATGCGCCGGGCTATTGTACCCTCCTCTTCCACCTCTATTATTATTATATCCTCCTCTTCCACGATGCATGATGTTTGATGATGAAAGTGTTGTACTTTTGCATTCTGTCTAATTGAAGAAGGTTAGATTGAATACTGAACTAAACTTCCCTGTAAGGGCTGAAAAAAAAAAATGATGAGGGTGTAGTGAGCAAGTCAGAGAGGCGGGACTTTCAAAAGGTACGAAACGAGGATGGAAAAAAAGTTTCAGCCTACACGGGATTTAAGTTCACACAATTATTTTATAAAATCATATATAAGAGTATTAATTAGCTATTAAAGTTGAGAAAAGATTTAGTTGTAGTAAGCAGTAAATTGCAAAAATACCGAGAAAACGGAATACGAAATGAAAGAACAATTTAAGTGAAGAAACCAATCAAATATATCGAGTCTAATAAATTGACCAAGGAAAAGATGAAAAAGAAAGAAAAGTATTTGAAGATTCAAATCACACGAGTATAAGCAAATGTTAAGAAAAAAAAAGTTTCTTTGTCAACAGTATCTTTCACATTTCATGACTGACTTCATTAATTTTAATTAATAATGGCTTCTTCCTATGACATTTTTTAGATAAAGATACAGATGAAAAAAAGCTTTGAAAATATGGATTTAAGGCGTTGGATGGACTAGTCAAATATCAAACTTCAACCAATCCAAGTCATCCATATTGATGCCTGTATCAATGTTATTTTTAGAGCCGCCATCAAAGGGACTCAAGTTGGTGCTGTTTTTATTGTTTATTTTCAATGACTTTTGCATTGCTTGTGGCTTATCATTCACATTTGCCAAGCACTTGCTTAGGCCAGATTTCCCAGCTGAAGAGATTCTGATTGCATTCATTCCGGCACTCAAATTACTGAAATTAGAAGGTTTCTGCTGTCGTTGTTGAGAACATTTATTTACCGACAAATTTGAGTTGCCCGAGCTGTTTGATGGCGAGCTATTGCTATTGCCACTGATAACATTATTATTCATGGTATTGTTGTAGCTATTACTAATAATACTATTTGTTGGTGTGCCATTGGCTATCTGATTGACATTGTTGTATGTCAATCCTCTTTTATTATTCAAATCCTGATACAAGTTGTGAGAGGAGTTAGATGAGATTGAGTTTTGTCTCGATAGTGAGCGTGAAACTAATAAAACACCACCAGCTGGTGAACTGGCGTGAGCAGGAGATGAAGCTGTCATATTAGTCACTGGTGAGTAGGTAACAGATGATGATGGCGAGTATGAAGTTCCTGTATTGATCGCAGTTAAAGGTGAGGGAGGTTGTGAGTTTTGAGATGATGACAAGTTCAATCTTGATTTTCGCCTCTTGAATTGGGGTATATCTTGTGGTTGTGAAGGTGAGGCCCCAATTGAGAAATTGAAATTTATGGCATTGAAGTTTTGATTTGGGGAGGAGCTATCCCTGGAGGGTTTGGGCAAAATTGGAACGATTTTTGAGCGATTTTGTGACTGATTCCCCGAATTCACTGGAATTTGAGATTGTGAATGTACTGGTACAAATGTTTTAGACTGTGGAATAGATAGTCCTGGTTGAGGTTGAATATATTGAAGTTGGTGTGGTGACTGAACAGGTGGTTGATTTGGTCCTGTTACTCCAAAATTATTTATATTTGAATTTGGGAAACTCTGGGGGAAGTACATACTTGGATTTGGCGATTGGGAGGATGATTTGGGGTTCGGAGTCATATGGGATAAATTTTTGTAACCTTCACCTTGAGCACCTAATGATTGTCTCTTAGAGTTCCTTTTCTTTATAACATCTGTTTTCAAAGAAAGAGGTCTCATAGTACCGTGCAATTTTAAAAACAAACCACACGCATTACATAAAGTGTTGCCGTTTGGGTCCTTTCTCCACAATGGCGTCTTAGTTGTTCCACAATTGCTGCATTTGGATATAGATTTGATATTCTCTTTTGTTGGGGCAGATGATGAAATGGTGGATTTCGATTGACGTGCTTGAGTTTGGAGTTCATTAGGCTGGGATGTAGACCCCATTCTTGGATGGCTAGAAGGTGATGGCGAGTCGGACTCCATCTTAATGAATTTTTGCTTATTATTGATGATTGGAGTATCTTTAATTTTGTTTTGAAATGTGTTGTTCATGGTACTTGGAGTGGTGCCTGTATTAGTAGTGGCATTAATCATTCTGTCATTTTCGTATATGCTTTTATTAGGGGTCATGCCAGTTGGAGTAGATTCAGAGCTCATTGCCTCATTCTTAATAACATTATTTTCATTATTGACGTTTTTCTTTTCGTTCTCAAAACTCGAGATTGTATTATTATTATCATTAGTGGACAGGATGTTTTGATTGTTGATGGATATGGACGATTCTGACTTGATCTTGATATCTAGTGGCCTTATGGTTTGGGTAGGTTGAAAATTCAAGTTGTTTGATTCGTTTATTCTCTTCAATTCACGAAGAATGTCAAAGTCGACTTCGGAAGATGAAATGTCTTCATCGTTCTTAAAGTCCACAATATCTGCAAACGCATAGCTCTTGAAAGGATCAAACATTTTGTCATTGCTATTAGAATTAGCCGCCAATTTGATCCCCATGTTGTTTGTCGAGTTGGGGCTTTCAGTAATAGAGGTAGGAGTGATCATGTTATTATTGCCATTAGCGGTGTTACTCATATTGTTGTTGACGTTGTTGTTACTGCTGTTATTGGTAGCATTAGAACCGCTGTTGTTTCTATTAGAGTTAGTGTTCGTATTATTGTTTGTATTGTCATTTTGGTTAAAGTTCTTCAGTTGCTTGCCTGATGCAGACACTATTGCGGCGGGCGAAGCCGACAAGGGAGTCAACAAATCAACAGATAATATATCTTCGTTGTTCATGTAATTCATGTTGAAGTCCGCCGTAGGGTTGCTGCTGTTCATGCTACTATTCGTGGAGGACAACATGCTGTCTAGCGCTGAATTCTGCACCTCCTTCTTCGAGGTCTGTATAGATCGACTTTCTTGGCGAATCGAACGATTTTGCATTCTTTCGTACAAAGGCAGCAGCTTCTTAGCACTTGAGTATATATCCCATATGGAGGTAGAGTCCATGGTTGGTGTATCAAAATATAGAATTGGGAGTGTAGTAGGGCGCTACTGATTCCGAGACTTTCGGTGATTAATCTCCTTCTCGACTTTCCTGTTTGGTGTTGCGTTGTCGTCAAGTGAGGATCTCTTAGCAAAGATAACGATGTATTAGCTCAGAGGGGGCAAGAGTCAGGATGGGCTTGATTACCGATAGCTGAATGTTTGTGCCTCGGTTTGTGTTTGTTTCGGTGGGAAAATACTAGTCTTAGCACTAGTGGCAGAGGGGTGATGTGTGACTGCGCCAAGCCTGTGTGCGTTTGTGCCTTCTCTAGTCTGTAAACTGGAAAGAACTAGAAGAAGAAGCGTGGGGGTTTGTCGAAGCGATGATGCTGTCAAAGAATCTTCGGGACGAGAACACTTGCAGCAAGAAATCAGGTTTCCAGGTGACTCTGGTCCACAGTTTCCTTCCGTCAGTGAAAGCGAGCTAAAAGCGAGAAAGCTGTTGAGGTTGTCAATGGGGAGAGAAAAAAGAAAAAAAAGAGAGAAAAAAAATACGAAAAAAGAGTAAAAAAGAAAATACAGCCGCGACATCCTTCTCTGTCGCAAGCCTTTCCGCTCCCGGGAGGAGCTTACGTGATGCGAGGCGAGACTACGTAGTCTGGACTAAGAATCTCATACTTCGTCGATTTAATTAAAATTTAAAGAAAAAACAAAGACAATAAACAATAAACAAGAAACAATAAACAAACCCGATCTCCCTTTTTCGTTTTCTTTTGATTTATATTACTCATCCGTTCATTTATTCATTTATTCATTCTTTCCGTTCGGTAGTTCGTCCAGTCGTTCGTCCAGTCGTTCGTCCAGTCGTTCGTTCATTTCTTCGTCTTCTGAATGTTATAAATTAAGCGTTGTGTTTCATAAACTCACGCATCTTCCTCTCCTCCTCGTCGAGAAGCGATAGACGCATGGCCTCCTCGATCAACATCTCTTCGAGGTGTTCCTGTCTGTTGAAGCTACCGGCACCCGTATTTCTGCTGCCGGTGCCGGCATGGCGGCGGCTGCCCGGCTCGTCGTTCCGTAATAGCGATGTGGCGTGCAGCGCAGTGGCCGCTGCGGATCGTCTGGCCAGCTTTGTTCGTGCCACCAACAACTTCTGCTCCCAGTCGGGCCTGATCGAGTCCACGGTGACGACCGAGGGAGCGTCTGGCGGCAAAGACTCCCTTCTCTTTCTTGGCTGAGGCTGAGGAGACGTTGCGCGGTTGTTGTTCGAGACAGAGCTTGTGTTTCTTCTGTGCTTCTTCTTCCTGCTTTCGAGCTTCTGCTTCTTGATGCTGAAAGGATCGGCCAGATCGATTTCTGTCAACACCTCAGCGGAGCTGGCGTCCTTGTGTGCCGAGTTGTTGTCGCCAATACTTTCCTCCTCCTCTATCGTGTTCTCCGCAAGGCTGAAAAGTCCCGGCTTGTGGTTCCCTTCGATGCCCGTTTTGAAGTCCCTCGGAGGCACGTAAGTGACTCCGAAATTGTCTACGGCGCAGAAGGGACACTTGACAGGCTCACTGATCAAATCCTCCGAGTTTTTGTCTTCGGCATCTTCCGGTGCTGGAGTCGGCGACGGCGACTGAACGCCGCCGTGGTTCTCATCGTGAGGGAAATGCGGGTCCAACCGTTTCATCTGCACAAAACACTCTGTGCAAATCGACTGCACACAACACCGGGTTGTGTTCAATAGCCGCGGATAGTATAGGAAGCAGATAGGACACTCCTCGCAGTCCCTGTAGATCTTTAGCAACAAGTCGTCGGACGGTATGTTTGGGTATTTCTTCGGGTTGCTCTCTGCCGCTGCCAGGTCCCTGCGGAAGCGGGAGTTCTCGTGGCGCTGGTATTCGGCGGCCTTCTCCTTCAACTTCTGCCTGAGCAGCTTTCCCTCTCTGCGCTTGATGGAGTTTGCGGACGGGTGGAGCTTGTGCTCGTTTGGGTCCTCAAAGTCGTCAGCAAGGTCTTTCGGTAGGACTTCTTCGTGGAGCTTCAAGTTCTTCTTGAGGAACGCGAGAAGCTCATCGTCGGACCACTTCTCGTCAAAGTCCTGCAACGGCGTGAAGAAGGGCGCCATGCGCCGCCTGATGACCAGATCCCGCACAATGTCCGTCATGTAGTCGAGCTCGTACTTGTAGTTCCCGTAGGGCGCAAGGTACCCGCCGTCGACGTTCTCGTCGTAGTTCACCACAAGGTTCATAATCTGCTTCGTTCGGAACTTGAGCTTCTCCGCCTCCTTCTCCCGTTTGCGCTTGCTTATCGCGTGGTCGTTCCCGTGCGAGTGGTTGTGATGGTGGGCTTGTGCGTTCTCAAAGTTCGTCAAGTACTCCCTGGCGAATGCCGACGTCGACATTGTGCCTCCCGAGGAAGCACTTGGAGACGAGTTCAACCCGCCAGCCGGGAACCCCCGTGCTTCTTTCCCTGGCGTGTTCCCCATGCTCAAACTTGCGCTGTGTGTGTCCGTGTGCTCGTGTGCCTGTGTCTGGCCAAGTATGCAGGTGCTGAAGCGTGATGCTTGATACGTAGATGCTTAATACGTAGATGCTTGATGCGTGCCTGTGTATGCCTCTTCAACCACCGACAGCCAGAATCCGTGCAGTAGCGTACCGTGCCTTCTAGAGACTGGAGAGGGAATAAAAACCGGTGCCGGAATGCCCTGGATCGCAAAGTCAGAGCCTCTGCTGTCTCTCTCGAGTGGCTTTGACACCGCTACTGCACCGCTTGTGCACTTTACTGCTCCTATCTCCCGTGATGACTCTGCTGCTGCTCCACCGCAGCCTGCACCTTCCTCTGTTCCCTGCTCCTGCTCCTACTACCCGGTGTCCACGACGGCCAGACGCCCGGCGGCAGAGAGCCCGCGAGGCAGGCGGGCGAGGCCGGCGAGGGAGGGGCCGCTTATCTCGGGCCATCTGCGGGTGACAGCTTTTCGGGCCAACTCTCAGGAGAGTCCCGGGAAGGTGGTGAAGATGGAGGCGGTTGACGGGGTCTATAAAGAAGAAAAGTTACATTTTATGGCGGAGGCCGTAGCCAAAGCCCACGGCGATGCCGATGGCAGAGCCGAGACAGAAGAGGCCAAAGAGAACGGCGGCGGTAAGCTTGTACCGTCTGGCGATGGCGCCAAAGATGGAGTCGAGGTGGCCCAGAGCTATCACGAGGAAGAAGGGGGGCGCCAAGACGCTGCAGAGAAGCAACAGGACGGCGACACGCCCGCTGCAGCTACCGTGCAGCTCGTAGTCGTGGTACTCTCGGCGGTAGTCGTTGCTGACAAGGCCAGCTGCCTTCTCGGGGTCGTGCTTGCCGGCGGGTGGGGGTGCCGGGGTGTTCTTGCGGGGATTTGCCCAGGCGAGAAGCTGCTCCCGGGAGTCACCCGAGCCTTGTGTTGTGTCGGTGTCATCACTGTTGAGCTCGATGGTGTGGTTGCTGTAGAGAGCGGCGGGGAAGTGCGGCACGATTGGCACCCGCTCGAGGTTGAGCTGCTTGTTGGACTGCTTTACACTTCGGATGAGGTTCGACGTGGCTTCCGTGTCGTTGCCGACGCCGGCGCCGGCGAAGTTGGCAGTTGGGAGTGTAAGAGGCGCCGTTGGCGATGGTGACGCCGACGAAGGCGGCGGCTTGCGAAACATGCGCTTCTTGCGCTCCTCCGGCTCGGCAGTAAGGTCCAGCACCGTCTCGGAGCGTGAGGGCTGCACCTGGGCGACGACGGATACCGAGGAGTTGTTACTCAGGGTAAAGTTCTTGGACCTGCTCTCGCGAGAGCCGTCTGAGTGGTTCATGACGTTGACGGTCATGACTGGACCCGGTCTGGAGTTGGTGGCATCGTTGCTGCCGCCGCCGCTATTGCCATTGCCATTGTCGTCGTCATCGGCCAGCAGTTTCGGTTGGTACGCCGGCTGTGCTAGCACAGCAAAGTGGTGGCCCCCGGTAAGATCTGGATTGGCTCCAACGGGCCGCAGCTGGATCCGGTCTGTCGAAACTGTGCCAACCGAGTCCGATTCATCGTTGAGGCTTTCGTCCTCAATCCCGCTTAGAACAACCCCGTGGACGCCTGCTGTCACAGGAGTAAATTGTAACTCACTGAATAGCCCGCCCCGGATCTCCTGAGAAAGCCGTATTCGCCTGGAGATCTCACGCTCGTCTGACGACGTTGTGTCGTCGCCCGAGGTAGTGTTTTTCGTACTGTCGGTCTTTGTTCCTGAGTTTTTGCTGTTGTTATGGCTCGTGTTCGAACTCGTGTTGTTTCCGTTGCTCCTGTTGGCGTAGCCGTCATTGTCTTCGCCTGCACCCCGGCTTTGCTCGTGCTCGCTCGGGGCGCCATTTCCGTTGCTGTCATGACCCACATCATGATCCTGTTGGCCGGAGCTGGACACCCGGTTCCCCTCTGCGTGTGTCGTGTCTCTGTCTTCCGAAATCGTGAAGATTGTGCGTGTTTTGACAGGAGGAATATCGTTGAAGTTGAGGGACTCCTCGGTAGACTTCACTGGACTGTTGCTGATGACGTCGGAGAAGGACCCAAACGTGCTGCTCATCATTCTTGAGTGTCCGTAGTCAAACGAGCCATCTGGATCTTCCGGAGCCTCTGGAGCTTCTGGGGGTGCCTGGGACGGCTGTCTGTTTTCCTTGTACTGGTAAAAGTACGGGTTTGACAAGTTTTTTGAATTTCGTTTGTTCAATCTCTGGATGATCTGGTTACGCTTTTGCTCAATGGATATTGTGCTGGCATTGTCAGTAAGCGACCGGTTTCGCCTGGTCTGGTACCTCTGATTGGAGAGGTGCGAAGTCCTTCGTGAGGCCAGGGAGACGTTGGAAAGGTTGGAAATGTTTGTAATGTCGGCGAGCGAAGACGCCAAGGATAGCTTAGAGGCGATGTTCGGGTTGTTCTGCGAGTAGCGTGACTTGAACATCGATATTCGGGCCCCGTCATCGCCTGCAATTCGCATCGACGGTCTAGTGTGTATCTTCTGTGGGCTCTTCAGATGGAACGGCGCCGGCGAGGGCTGCAAAGGCTGTGAAGCCCGCTTCTGCTGCAATCTACCCTCTGTTGGGAACATGTTTTCGTCGTTGAACAGTTCCGACTCGATCTCGTCATCGTTGCTGCTGGCGTCGGAGGAGATGTAGGAAAACTGGCCCGTGTTCCTCGACGCTCGGATCGACTCGGGCGTGTCTTGGTGCACAAACCCGTGAGGTGTGTCGTCAATGTAGTGGACGCTGCTGGGGGACCTCATCATCATGGCGGCGTTTTTATTGCAGCTACCGGTAGTGTAGTACCGGTTCCTTTGGGTTCTGCCAATTAGCTTAGGTCTGTCTGGGTCTGTGAGATGTGCTTGATGGGTGCAAAACCGTGCTCTCGTGACTGTTAAGGTGCTTCGAAAGATTCGTCACGACAACAGTTAGTCTCGTAGAGGAAAAAAAGAATTAGGGCCGCTCCACCCGTTGGAAAACGAAAACAAAACAATAGAAACGCGGTCTTGGTCGTAAGCAGCTTTAGTCTGGGGCAGGCTGGAGCAGGCGGTGGGACGTGGACTTCAAAGGTGACGGGTCATCTGCACTAAGTGGGGAGAAAAGTAACTAGCAGAAGACACCGTTGACGGCAGTGCTAGCTCCTGCCTGCAATGAGCTTGGCTGTTGGGTACTCTGACTCTGACAGCGACAGCGGCGACGCCGAACCGGTGCCTTCACCGGCGGTGCTACCGCCACTACCACCGCCGCCGCCACCGCCGGCGGACATCATGCACAAGTTCTCCAAGGTGCCTCTGCAGGTGACTAGGAAGCGGATGGCCAGCGGCAGTGTCATCCGTAGCGACAGCAGCAGCAAGGAGACAACGTTCGTGTACTTGCCTGTTACGCCCGACGCCGGGCTTTTGGCCCGGATCACTGCCATCCTCGACGGCGTTAGTTCGTCGCTGGACGGCCACACTGAGCAGCACTTGCCGCTGCTTAACCTCAGCGTGAACGAGCTCACCGGCGGCGCCAGCGTCCTCCATGTCTCGCTGTGCCACAACATGACCCTCTCTCGGCCAGACCTGGACGCCTTCATCGAGCACGTCCGCCACGACAGCACGCTGGCCGGCATCCGCTTCCCGCTGGAGCTCCGTTTCCAGTCTGACGTGCATCTTCTCTACAACAACGACCGCAGCCGCTGCTTCGTTGCACTCCGGCTAACGCCAGCGTGCGTCGCCGCCGTCCGCCCGCTTGTGGAGCTCCTCAACGCCTACAGCGGCACCCCGTACGATCCGGCCTTGCTCCACGTGAGTGTCGGTGTGCTGTCTCCTCCGAATGGTTCTTCTCTACCGGGTACTCTCAAGCTCCCGGCCTCTTCTCGTCTTGATTCCATCCGGGTAGATAGTGCCGAGCTAACGCGGGGCCGGTCCGTGGTGACTCTGCTCCCGCGCCCGCCGTCGGCGTGGCAGGACGGGCAGGCAGCCGGTGGCAAAGGGGAGAGGGCAGACAGAAAGGCCAGCAAGAAGAGAGGAAGAGAAGGAGCAGGGGGAGGAGGAGGAGGAGGATTGAAAAGAGGAAAAGCCAGACGCAAGGGCACATAACACCACCGACAGCACGTGGCAGACATGAGCACGAACTACTCTCCGAACGACCCATTGTACACGCCCCCAGAGACCGGCGTGGACCTAAGCCAACTCAGTCCGCAGGAACTCAAACTCTACAAGATGTACGGGCGGTTGCCGAAGACGAACGACATTCTCCGCGGGAAGTTGAAGGACCGCAAGTTCTTTGACTCGGGTGACTACGCGATGTCGAAGGCCAAGGGAAGGGCTCCGGACACAGAGCAGGTGGGTGTGTTGAACCCGTTGAAGACGCCCGAGATCGAGAACGTGGCCAGAATCAACAGGAACTCCGTTGCTGGCAGCGTGTCGGGGTCGGCAAGCTTGTCGAAGAAGTCGAAGCTCGAGGACGATATGACGGACGAGAATTAGGCATGCGAGCAGCAGAAGGCGTGCACGGTCCCATGCGCCACCGATGCTAATTGCACGCGGTGCGGTACCAGGGGGTGCCGGACAGGACAGAAGTGGCTCCGAGAAGCACGGTGCCCGGACATCCGCCGAGGACGGAACGGCAGAGCCCACGGAGGTCGTGGCTCCGGTTGCGACTGTCTGACCAACAGGGACTCTTTTTTTTTACTTTTTTATTTTTTAGTATTGACACAAGTGTATGTTCGACTACATAGTGTATATCCTGGAACAAGACGTTGCTGCGACCGGTATTGTAAACGTAAAGGGGATCATGGGAGACGGGAGGGGGACGGGCTAGAAAAGCGCGTCCGATCTGCGGAGCTTGATGAAGACGACGGTGGTGAAGAAGAGGAAGGCGGCCCGCCAGAGGGACAGTTCGAAGGAGGTGCTACCGCTACCAACGACGTCGTAAGCGTAGGCCGCGGTGGACACGACGCCGGCCGTGAGGACCTCCTCGGTCGTGCAGCCCACGTAGCGGGAGAAGAACACGTCCAGCAGCAGCAGCGTGAGGTCTGCCTGCAGTGTCGACGACCAGGGGAGTTTCTTGAAGCAGTAGGCGATTCCCAAGAGCGCCACCGACAGCTGCAGCACGGACGTGCTGCCGCCGGCGGGGGCGCCGCCTGCGGCGGCGCTGTCGAAGCCCAGGCGTCTCAGCACGTGGAGCACCGCACAGATCGCCACGTCCAGAACGCAGGAGCCGAACACCATTGCCGGCACACTGCCGCTGCGAGATTCCGGGATGATGTCCGGGTTGCTCTCGTGCACGCTGCCGAAGAGCACCAACAGGGCGACGCCAAACACCGACGTCTTGACCACGTTGGCAGCCACGCCCACGGCCGCAGGCCTCTGCTGTCGCTGCCTCTGCTTCTGCTGCTGTTTCTGGCTGCCGCCGGCCTCACAAAGCACCCGGGCCTTTGCCGGCGGGCCCGCCGACAGCTCAATGTCCTCGTTCTCCGTGTACACGCTGTTGCGCCCGCCGAAGATCGAGTACAACGTCGGGTCCGTGAGCTGTGTCGTCGACGACTGCGGCGTCCCGTCCAGCTGGTACAGGCGCTGTGTCTCTTTCTGACCCATGTTGCCCATTCTCTGCTTTCTTGCCCCTTTCTTGCCCTTCCGTTGCCCTTTCCGTTGCCCCGATGCTGGTCCCACAGGTCTCCTGGCCTCCTTTTCTTGCCTCCACATTTCTCCTGCTCCGTCTTCCGCTTTCGGTCACTTTCCCTTTTCATGCCGCTAGCCTCGGAGTCACGTGACACGCCGCTTCGGGGCTATTAGATGAGGAGGCACCAGGCGTTGGCTGTGATGCGGGAGAACGGGGCACCCCGCTGGGACCGAGAGACAGCCAGCAGCAGCAGCAATGTGTTGCCTTTGTGCTGCTGTGATTGTCTTTTTTTGCCTGGGTCTTTGCCCAGACACGCTCTTTTGCCTGCTTTGCTCTGCTCAGCGGCCGCCTCTTTATTCCTTCGCTCGGTTTCGTGTCAGTCCGCAGACGTGTCTCTTCCGGCATATGAGCCGTTTTCTGCGCACATAAAGCTCAATTGCAGCTGCGGTGTGCTCGGTAGACAGCTTCAGGCTCTAGCAGTAACCCTGGGCCCTCTGAAACCCACCAGCTCGGCCTCTACTGCCGGAAACCCCCCATTTGGGCCGGTCACGTGACCTCCGGGCTCCCTTTTTCCTTCTTTTTCCCGTTACACGTTGTTGCCGCGAGACGCCAATTTACCCAAACGAGTAACCAGGCTGCGGTGGAGGAGCTTCCTCCCTGGCGTGGAGACTTTTCTCCTGGTGATCAAAATCAGAGCATCCACGAGCACAGCAGGAGCAGGGGCAGCATCGTGTGGCTCTGCTCCGGGGTGTCTTGAGTCTGCATCGTCGCAAGGGCACATGGACAGGTCGCCAGATTAGCCCCCAATTGTTGTTAGCTTGCGTTCCCTTGCATTGCCTGCTCTCTCTGCTGGCCCCGTCCCCCCGCCCTGCAAGTCACTATATTTCAACTAGCCTTCCACGGTACGACAAAGCACAGAAATACACCGAGAAAACGAGAAACAGCAGACACACCAGCACAAGCCTCGCCATGGTTGAGGTCTACACGTCGACGTACTCACATATCGACGTCTACGAGAGCACCATCAACGACATCCCGTTGATGAGGAGGTGCGACGACGATTGGGTCAACGCTACACAGATCCTGAAGATCGCCGGCTTCGGCAAAGCCCAGAGAACCCGGATACTCGAGAGGGAGGTCCACAAGTTTGTCCACAGAAAGGTTCAGGGCGGCCACGGGAAGTTCCAGGGTACTTGGGTGCCCTTGGATTTTGCCAAAGAGCTTGCCGTGCGCCACAAGATCCCTGTCGAAGAGTTGGCCGTCCTCTTCTACGACCCCACCAAGCATTCCCCGCTCAAAAGCAAGAAGTCGCTCGCCAACGGGGGCTCCAGCTCGGGTAGCTCCAACCCCCAGGCGGCAAAGCAGCTGGACAAAAAGAGGCAATTGAAGGTGGACACCAGTAACGACGGCAGCGGCAGTGCCGCCAAGAACGCCCGTCAGGGCAGGAAGCTAAACTCACCCCAGAAGATTAGAAAAGACTCCATCCCCAACCGCCACAGCTTCCACAACAGCACCAGTGCCGGCAGCACAGGCAATGCTCCCCTGCCGCCAACATTTGGCATGTTCAACGACCCAGCCAAAAGGCTGCACGCAAAATCCAAGTCCGCTTCGAACATCTTCGGCTCCGTGGCGGCCAACACCCCTCCGTCTTCAGCACCGTCAATGCCCCATCCGGGCTCAAAAATGGATCAATACTACCAGTACCAACAGATCCAGTCGCACCAGCTGGAAGCACAGCGTGAGCTACAGCTTCTTCAGAAGCAGCAGGACGTGGTGAGTCAGCCACAGGTACCCCACAATTCACAGCACCAGAACCAGAACCAGAACCAAAGCCAAAACCACTATCAATCTCAGCAGCAACAACAGCAGCAATATCATCACCAGCGCCAACAACACCACCACCAACAACAACAACACCCCCACCAGCAACAGCATCAGCAACAGCAGGGCTTCAACAGACCAGTCAATGGTACAAACGTGCCTTATTTCGTGAATCATCGCAACAATCATAGTATTCAATCTGTTTCTGATGATTCACATCAACAAATAAGAGAAAGCAGTGACACCTCAACTTCGTCGGCAGGCTACATGATCTATGATAAAAACTCAAACAACCTGCCTCAAAGATTACAGTTATACAACAGCACAAAATATAACGATCAGCAACTAATGGCTAGCCCACAATCTCAAATTTTAAGACACAACCGTCATCACTCAAGTCCACACATCATGACTTCCCAAAATGAAAGCAATGTATCTTTTGATAACTCAATCGATATTCAGGATTTCTATACCACCCAACTACTTTCATTTTTTATAAATGATTCCCCCGTCCCCGAGTTCTTGTATGACCCTCCTTCCGACTTTGACATCAATAAGCAAATAGATGATGAAGGACATACTCCCTTGCATTGGGCTTCAGCTTTAGCTGCAGTCGACATCATCAAGTTACTGGTTGATCACAACGCAGACACTCTAATACTAAATGACGCTGGAATGAACGCCTTGTCCAAGTTGATCAATTTCAGTAATTCTTACGATTGGAAAAACTTCAATATCATTCTTCCTTTGTTGAAACATTGCTTGGTTGTACCTGATGCTAATCAGCGGACTCCCATACATTACTTGATGGAGTTGAGCTCAACTCCTAACAAGCAAAACTCATCAAGATATTACTTTCATGAAATTTTAAGCTTCATCAAAGTTCAGCAAAAGGAGGCTGAGAGATTCAACAACAATGTGAATAATGAACGTCAATTATTGCAAGTTCTTATAAATCATTCTGATATTAATGGGGATAGTGCTTTACATTTGGCCATGAAGGCAAATTCAAGGGACTTGGTTAAGGATCTCCTACTTCACGGAGCCGATGCCAGTAGCGTCGGTGTACAAAATATTCCGCCGGATCTCTTAAAGGAGGTTGAAATGGAGAAGAAATACATGCACATGAATTTAGGAATGTCACATAACGCGGATTTGCATATGAGTATGAATATGATGAATGTGCAGAATAATAGCCAAAATCACAACAATGATATTAACAGTGAAAATAACACTCAGTCAAGTGGTAACGGTGTATATCAAAATATGCAAATGTATCCTCAAATGGCAGACCGACACTCTGCGGTGAATTCGGTTGAGAATGGATCGTTTAAAGGAAATCCAAATCAGCTCAGCCATATTGATGAGCTAGGAAATTCTGATATTGTTCACTCAATGACAGAAGTGGGTGATCATTCCAACGCCAATAGAAACAACAATCCGTTCTTAATATCAAAAAATGAGTCGGTATCAAGCTACAAATCCAAAGGTACTCCTCAAACGATAATTTTACAACGAACCCCCGGGAGTCAAATAGATGTTTCCGAAGACAAGGAAAACATCTTTGATACTGTGATAAAAACTGAACTGGATTCAGCAAAGGAATTACCGGGAACACTGGCTTCTACTCCTTCGAAGATGGAAGTTGATAACACTTTCTCTATAGTGGATGGTGATCTGACGAATGACAAGACCATAGACGAAGATGATGATTCTTTAATGGTTGTCCATCCGTCAAAGATATCTAAAGTTGAACTTGATAACTTTATGAGTTCCTTCCCTTCAAAGATATCACAGTTGAAGACTTCACTGGAAAGTAAAAATGATCATTTACATTACAATATCGAGACTATCAATAAACTGAACAGTGAGATATCATCAATAACTGTGAAGAACTCTAAATGTTTGAAAAAATTGGCAAAAGTTACACGGTTAGATCCTAAAAACATAGATTTCATGGCGATCGCCAATGCTTCAGATGATGTAATGAAAGACTTCATTTCAACTAATGTATCGAAAATTGAATCCAATTTGGATAGCAAAAGCGATAAGCTATTGGATTTATGTGAGCGCTCTCAAGCACTAGATGTCGCTAAGCTGGTGAATATTGAAGAAAATTCAATAGTTGAAGATGAAGGTAAGGCTGTGAGTAACAAACTGGAGTTGGCTATTCAATTGACTTTATTACAAATCACCCGTCGAAAGATCATGGAACAAACTTTGGAACTGTATCTTAATGAAGGCGTCAACGACGAAGATTTCTGTTTTGATGAAGATGCCGTCGATATAAACATCACCGCAGATGATGCAGATGATTTCCGCATGATGAGATCCAAAATTTCCGTTTACAAAAAATTAATATCAAGCATATGCGGCTTACCGGCTTCTGAAATCAACGGAGACTTACTTAACGGGATAGAGAAGGTGTTATCTTGATATATTCAACGTTGAATTCACAATTCTTTGAGAACCAACTTTTTCTAGACCTTACAAGATGTTTCTTACAACTATTAAGTATATGATATAATCTCTATAAACATTTAATAGATTTATAGTATTAAAATTATTCTTCGCTTAAATCTACTCCACCAATAGCCCATATTTCAGTTTCATCTTCGTACTGGTCAGAGAACATGGTCTCTTTATCACCACCAGCACTGATTCTCTCCCTTTCAACATTGGCCAATCTAGTACCAACTCTTTTAACATATTCAGTGATAGATCTCAATTGCAATACGGTACCTGAGACAGTTTTAACAGTTTGACTTCCTCCTAATGATTCCACCCAACCATTCAAAGCCGCGCTGGGATCATCCTCAACTAGATGTAGAATCGCCAAAATTGCCTTCTCAGCTGCTAACTTAACAGGAATGATTGGATCACGAACACAAGCAAAGACAGATGGGATCAAGTAGCTCAAATATGGCTTCACAGTAGTATCATATTGATATCTGGAGATAGTTCTAGCAACGACAAGTGATAACCTTCTGGTATCCGAAGAGCTGGAGTTTGGCTTGTCCATCAATATACATAGTTGTTTGACCAAATCAGAAACCAGAGAATTCTCTACCTCTTCCAGTTTTTCCAAAGACAACAAGACTTTACCAATTGCAATTGTAGAGTTGTCAGAAACATAAGCTTTTGTTGAGTTGGAAGATGAGATAATGAATTCACATATTTCTGGAAACAAACCAGAGTTTAAGACAGATTCAGCAGAGTCTTTCAAAAATGCGTTTAATGTCAAAATTGCAAATCTTGAAGAGTTATCATCTTCAAGGTCACAACTAAAAATCTTGTTTCTCAACATATTGTTCAACTCTGATTTGTTCAAAATCTTGGATAATGCTCCAACCAACTTCGCATATGCAACTGCTGCATTGACACCTGCGCCGTCACTGAACATGTCTTGCTCAACCAATGTCATAACACCATTCTTACTTGCCTCACTCATCTTTGAGCCTGCCTTATCAACAACTTCTAGTAAAGCCTTCAAAATGGCAGTCTTGAGAGAGATGTTACCAGAATCGATTGCCTTGGCATTATTTAACAATTCAGCCACTAATGGATCAACTTTTGGTTGATATTTGATTAAAGTACCCAAAGCTTTTGCTGCTCTCGTTCTTAATACTTCGCTGGAAGGGTCACTTAAAGACTTGATGAAAGTACGCTGTAATTGCGGAATGAAAGGATACAAGAACTGCGGAATCTTGGAGAATAACTTGTTCAAAGCCAACAAAATTGCGCTCTTCACATCGCTGCTGAATCTCTCACCAATAACTCTGATCAATGGACCCACAATAAGGGTAACAAAAGGTTTCAACCCCGCAGCTGGTGTATGGTCTATGATAATTGAAATACCATTTGCCGAAATCTCTCTCTGCTGAGGGTTACCATACATTAAACCATGTAAAAATATCGGCAAAACACAACTTGGACCTCTTGGTAAAGTAAATGCGTAAATATCTTTGGTGCCGCTTGGAATATAGGACAACGTCTGTTGAGCTGGGTAGACCAACTTTTCCAAAGACTCCTTTGTTTGTCTCTTGACAAGGATCGTCAAAGTTTCAAAGGCTTTTTTAGCAAGTTCTTCGTTTTCATCATTTAACAGATATATGCACTGAACAACAATATCCTCAGTATAGATTGAGTAGTCCAAAGTGGTTTCCTTGAAAAATGCAGGCAATACATCAAAAATTATGTTTTTCTTTTTGATATCTTCATGCTTCATTAGTGAAAGAATATGCTGTAGTAGAGGATGGCACCCTTCATCAGAATTGATAGAAAGTAATGTCGTGATCAAAGCAGAATAAAGTTCTTCTTTATCGCCTAAACCATTTGAAATACCATCGACAAGAGCGTTCAAGATTGTAGACAATCTTCTGTACAAAGCATTTCCAGCAGCTTGTGCCAAAGCACCAATCGCACGGCCATTTATTGGTGGAGTAAGCAATGAAGGTATCAAAATAGGGAAAATGACGTCCGATTTGGTGGACATAATTTCTTGTAATGCACTTAGTGCATCTTCTGAACCATCAGAACTGTTTAACATCTCTAACAATTGTGGAATGACTTCATCGACTGCAGAATTACCAATTGATTCTTGGAGAGAATCGAATGTCTGAGCAGCAGCTTCTCTGACACTCGGGTTAGGATCCACTAAAGCTTCTTTAACAATACTAACAAAAATATCTTGATGCTGAATAATATTATCACTATTTGTTGAGTTGATAATTTCGTAAAGTGCAATACAAATACCTTGTTTTGCATCTGAATCGCTGCTAACCATTGTTTCTTGTAAAGTTGGCAAGATTTGAGATAAAGCATTTCCACCCACTCTTCTAATCATATCACCCAAAGTTGCAGCAACGATAATTCTTTGAGTATCATCTGGTGAAGCTAGACGACGAACAATGATAACAACAAGAGTCGGCATGATTTCTTTGATAGTTTTTGGTGTATTTGCCACCAAAGCCTTCCAAATATTAGCAGCTGTTGCCCTAACAGCACCTGATGTGTCAGATCTACACACAAATAATGATGATAATATATTGTTTCTCCTTTCATTACCGAGAACATCATTGAATGCCTTAGCCACATTTTTAGATAGTGTGACGTCATCTGCTAATTCTTGTTTACCACTGATACCAGAGATCTTGAACAATAACTCACCCGTTAGTTCAACAGAAGATAATCTAATACGAGCATTGGAGTCAGATAAACCTTTCTCCAATTCCGGAAGTAATAAATCAACAGCTTTCTTTGCATAGTTATTAACGATCAACCTACCAGCACGAAGTGAAACATCTCTGATTTCCTCAAGGGTATCAGCCAATCCCGCCAAAATTGGAGGAATAGTTTTAGACAAATATGGAGCAAACTGACTACCGTAACTGACTGGTAAGAACAATAGGAGCGGCATAAACCCTTCACGAACGAATGATTTGGATGAAGTTGTACCTGCAATAATAACCGGTAACATTTCCTCCAACTTTGAAATACCTAGACCGCTGATAATTTCAGCCAATGCTTGTGCAGAACCTAATCTATTGCCTGGTTTCTCTTCATCCTGCAATGCTGCTAATAAGCTGGACATCAAACCTGGGAATTTGTCTTCTCCTAACTTTTCAACCAATGAGCCTAAAGCACGAGCCGCAGTAGCACGAGTCTGAGGAACTGGGTCAACAACTGCATCATTCAATTCAGAGACTAGTCGTGATAAATATGGCATCAAATCATTTGTGTCAACCAAAATAGCCATATTTCCGACAATTTGGCATGCCTTTTTCTTAGTATTAGCAGACCTATCTTGCATACCACGATCAATCACATGGATGATAAGAGCTAATGATGGACCGTCTATATAATGAACAAATTGGGTTGATATTAATGAATCTAATGCTTCATCTGTGTACTTTGTTGGATCACCTATCGCTTTCAACAAGATGGGAACTAGCTCTTGAATTTCCGGATTTCTAATAACTTCACCAAACTTCTTCAATGCAGCGTCAGCAGCTTTTCTTACTTCTTTGTGTGTGTCGTTCAGGACACTAACAATATTTGGGACAATATTAGGCAATGATGATGACAACTGAGCAGGATCTAAATATGCCATAGAACCAAGTAACTCAACAGAACCCTTTTTTGTTCTCCATGCCATATCATCAAGGTTACTAATTGCCAAAGGAATCATCTTTTTGATACCGTAACTGGTAGTGTTTTTCATGATCACTCGTGATGCATAATCAGTAGCTTCTCTAACTTCAGCAGATGAATCGCCAAAACTCTTTAGCACTATAGGCAAGATTTCCACAACATAAGGTTCGAACAATGGACCAAACGCCTGGGAAATGCACTCAAAAGCAAATAGTACGCTTTCTCTTTTTTGGTTATCTTTTTTATCGTCGGAAGCTTCAGTAAGATTTCTAATCACATCGTACTCACATAAAGCTTTGATACCAATACCTTTTGCTAAGCCAGCAATACCATAAGCAGCACCTCTTCTGACTGCTAATGATTTTGCGCCAAAAAGCTTATCAAAGAAGTTGTCAATGTATGAAGACATTTTAGTTTGTATAAATGGAACAAGAGGTGAAATGCATTCAGAAACTGCATATTGGACATCTTCAGATGGTGTATCTAGGGATTCCAATAATCTATTAACAATGGCATCTATTCTACTGTCATCTTTATCAAGGTGACGTGCAAGACTACCATACATTATAATCACTGACTCCTTTACCATATCTTGGACTTTGGATTTCTCGTCTTTCTCAGCTAAACACTCTTCAAAAATTGTAATCAAAATTTCAACATTACCCTTACCATTACGTTCAATAATTTTCAAGCCAGCCTCTTGTAATTCCGATCTCACCAAACCTTCTTTATCTCCGAGTGAACGTTCTTTGATTAAAAATGTGAAGAACTTTGAAACTTCTTCGGATTTGGTAAACATAGGAGCCAGGTATGTGACAGTAAGAGCAACACCACTACGCTGCTCCCATCTATCTTTCTGATTTGCATTGCTTTTAACCACCAACCCAAATTCATCAGTTTCCAATTCTGGCGGTTTCGACATCACCCTGTAAAGATCTATCAATCCAGTGAGAGAAGAAGAGAACAAACGATCAGATTTGAGTTGAGTAATGGCGGAAGCAATAGATTTTGCGATGGACAACCTAATACCGTTATCTTTAGCACCCAAATATGGGACTAATTTTTCCACACACGATTCTTTCAATGAAAATTCAGATTCAGACCAAATTGCTTCGGCCACTTCCTTATTAGTTTCAATATTATCAAAACATGAAATCCATAGTTCTTCATTGAAATCTAATTTACTTAGATCAAATTCCTGATCCAAAACCTCTAAGATGGCGGCTCTGACAAAAACAATAGGACTTATCAAGGATTTCAAAATTATGTTTAGATCACTATCGGAGATGTTCAATGATATGTTTTGACACAAAGAAACAAAACACTCCTTCGCAGCCTTGGCTTTAGAAGGTAAGGCTAGTAACTCAATTAAGTGCTCAATAATTACAGTCCTAGGAATAGTTGCATCCTCAAATAAATCTGAGTTGGAGGAAATAATTTCAAGAGCCATAACTAATAACTCTTCTTCAGGTGCTTCTTCTGAAAATTCGGTATTCACCTTTACGGACTTATCGCCAATCCTTTTAACGTAATTCTTACCATTTTCAATTATCCTGACTAACAAAGGTAGAACATACATCAACGTCAAATTATTGAATAGCGATTTATCAGAGCACAACTTCAAACTGAATAATTGAGATGCAAGCATTTCATCAAGTGGTTTCCCCTTGTACTCCGCGGCAAGGTCTTCAATGGCATGTAGTCTTAGAGTGGAAGCACCAACGAACTTCATACTAGAGGTTCCAGTTAAACTTTCGTTAGACACAACTTCAGATAAGATCAAGAAACAATCAGAAGCCAATTTTCCTACTAAGCTGATGGCAGCTTTAGAGTTTAACAACGTCAAAATATTTGATATTGCAATGGGGAACCAAACACCAGAAGCATTATCTACTGATTTCGCTTGCTTTGAAAGAGACACAATGAGTTCGAGACCACGACGAAGTTTTAAGTATTGGGAGTTAACAGATTGTCTGATTATTTTTTCTAGTTCTAATTGTTCCTTAACTTTAACTTGTTCTTCTTTTGTAAACTTTTTTACAGACTTTTTCTTATCTTCCAGTTCTTTACGAACAGATTGTTCCCATTTTAGTGTTTCTGAATCTTTTGACTTGGCAATATTAACAGGTGCCTTAGAGGCTAAAATATCGATCACCAACTCACCATCTCTACCTTTCCAGATTTCCAATTTAGTACTGTCAATTTCTAATTTTGGTACGATGGATAGATCTCTTTGAATTTGTTCTGAAAGTAGTGGAACTGTTGATTCAGGTGAGAAAAAAGAAATAATCGATGCAGTTTTACGAGCAGCTTCAAATGTACCATTATTAAAAACTTCATCAGATTGATCAGCAAGAATGGCCGAGATTCTATCAACAATCTCTTCGGCATGCTCTTTCACAATTCTACCTGGGTCCACGTTACATTTTTGACACAAACTCACCCAACCATTGGAAGATGAGTTGAGCATGGCATGTTCAAAAGGTATCAACAAATCTACCAACTGAGATTCAAGCAACTGTGGATCATTTGTTTCTAATGGATAAAGAGTACTTGAAACTGCAGGCAGCAAATAATGAAAATCATAATTGAGCTCTGTATTCAGTGTTGATTCCTTCATCAACTCGTTGACGGCAGAAGTTAATGAAGAACCAACGACATTTTGCTTAAGAGCGTAAAATTTATGAAGTAATGTTCTGGACAAAAGTCTAACCCTATGAAGAACATTTCTTGACAAAGTTGTGTAAATGTATGCAGAACCCAGTAAAGCAGATGGTTCAACTAGATGTCGAGACAAAGAAAACAAAGATCTAACAAACCATTCTTGTGATTCTTCTGTGTTGAGTTTAGTGAGTATCTTGGGATTGGTGAAACAAGATAATTTAGTTTCTGTTTCCTCTAATGATCTTTCGACAATTTTTGATTCTTTTAGCTTATTGTCAAGCTCTTCGTTCCCAAACACTTCTGACAGGTTAAAAAGGACTGCAATAGAAGCATAACCACCAGCAATAAGTTTGTTGTGAATACTTGGTAACGGCGAATCAACACATTCGTTAAATACCTTCAATAAAGAATCTGTAATTCCAGAGTTGAATAACTCAAAAATCCCATTCTCATTTTCACTTGTGATATTTTGTTTCAAAATAGAAGCACCGAATGAGGTACACCAAGCAGTCTTTAGTGGAATCTTCTTCTCTTTGAGACCAGAATTCAATAGCTCTACGATTTTGGACTTTGAGTCAAAAGTTATCTTTTCACAAACTAAATGAACAAAACGAGATAACATAGTGTCCAACAAGTGAGGCAAATATGATTCGTTGTTTTCCTTTGCAACATATGGTAATGTCAAATCTAATATTTTCTCCGTTGATGAATGGAAAGAATACTGAACCGAATTTATGACGTTTACAACCAGTACTTTCTGTTCAACAGCAGATGATGGAAGGGCTTTCAATATTTTAAATGATTCATCAAGGAAAGGTGTAATTACATCATCATTTGCATTCAACTTGTTATTGTTTAGAACAGTACGCAAAATTTCGGAAGAACCCAGTCGGACGGTTTCTTTGGAGGACTTTAATGATGAGAATAGCTGACCAAAAAATTTGGATTTTAGCACTATCGAAATGGCATCTATCGAATCATAGTTCAAGAATCTGAAGATGTGGGGTGAAAATATAGCAAAAGTAAGTTCTGAATTTCTTAAAGCCGCTTTTTCCAATCCAGGGAGTATTACCTTCTCTAACGAATCAGATGTTATTATATTATTGACAAAGGTACCGAATATTTCCAAAGATTTTGTTGCTGGATAGGTTTTCGTCGATAGACAAGTTTTGGCGAAAAAGTTACAGATGGAATCCTCTTTAGATTGCAACTCTTTCAATTCAGGCCCCATATTTGGCTTGGATGTTGCAGACGCCAACAATCCAAGCATACTGATGACACCTGACATTGGTAACTTTTCGTCACAGATAGAATCAAGAATAGTTGAAATTATGCCACTATCAACCTTGGCAACTGTTCTAATTGAAGAGACTACATCATCTTTGAAGGATGAAACTTTTCTAAGTTGGTGTACTTTGACAACATCAATTTGGTTATAGTCCAATAAAAGAGATATTAGTTTTACTGATACTGGAACGGAAACCTTCAACAGAGATGATATCAGTTTCTTGTCGGAGACCATAGTGGTGACAGCAGAGTTCCAACTAATCAAAGTCAATAAGTCTCTAGCTGCCACGGGTTTCGCAGATTGTTTCGCAATGAAACCTAATATATTCTTTGAGTATTTTTCAGTATCATTTGCGACAAAGTGTTTGAAAGACTGCAACACCAATCTGTTGAACTTTGTATCATATGGGTATCTTGTATAAGTGGATAAGATGACAAACAAAATAAGGTCCTTCTGGGAATTGTCCAGTTTTTCAGCTTCATTCTCTATGACAGAGTTCAATTTGAACAGTGAAACATTCAAGGTATTTGTCGATGATGACCTCAATTGTTCAAGTAATGGTGAGATTTCATTGGCCCATTTATCACTAGCGCTTGTTTCTTCAGGCATACTATCACTTTGATTATTTGTACAATTGATGTGGTAGGTAAGGAATGTACCAAAATCGTCGAAAATACAGTTCTGGCGACGGCGTTAAAGTACCTCCTCTTCAATTCTCTCCCAACGATGGTGTTTAGTCACTGAAAAAAAAAGTTGAACGAAATTGGACGGATTCTTCTCATAGCGTCGAAAGGCGTGGGAAAAAGTGAAAAATTCTGGCGAGATTTGGAGAATAAGCGTGTTAGCTTGCCCGAGGATTGGGGGTAATAGACATTAAAGTGTTATATAAAGCTGTTTTGGTACATCAGTTACATGCGTATTTCGTATTTCGAACGGTAAATAAAAAGGTGGATTGGAAAGATTGTTCTGATCACGCGACCCAGAACCATATTCTTTGGAGGATGTTCTTTGGAACAGCAGGGACGTAATTTCTAGTTTCTTCTTCGACTTCTGCTAATCCCGTAGTGACATCGATTTCCTCTGGTGGTGCCATCCATTTCCAGTTTCTCGTCCATACGGCGTGGAGAGCGTAGATGAACAGGACAATTGGAATGGTGATGTAAGCAGCAACGAAGTCGCTACCATTGAAGTCGAAGAATACAGCGTAACCATTAGTGAGGGTGACAAGTGAGAAGAAGAAGATACAAGCATATGCTCCAAAGATCTGTAGTGGTGGTCTATAGGTCACTCTATCGTCCATGTTGTGGTATTGTAAGGCCTTTCTGAATCTCAAGTAAGTGATAGAAACAATGATCCATTCAATGAAACCGGAAACGGTGGAGATGTTAGAAAACCAAGTAAAGGCCTGACTGGAGGAGTCTGAGACGTTCAAATAAGCAAGTAAACAGACGGCGGCAGAACAGGCAACACAGTTGTAAGGAACACCCCATCTGTTGACTCTTCCAAAAACCCGTGGAATATCTCCTCTCGACGCCATTGAAAACAATGTTCTAGAAGAAGCGTAGACGAAAGAGTTACCTGCGGAGTAAGCCGAGGAAAGTATAGCAGCGTTGATGATGTGGTTCAAGACTTTGATACCTGCGAGCTGAATACCAATGACGAAAGGAGAGGCAGCTGCACCTGAGCTGCCCTCATTGATGGCGTTCATCAAACGGCTGTCGTTGGAGCCTACGATACAGCCAATGACCAAGACGCCACAGATGTAGAAGAAAAACAAACGGTAGATAAATCTGTCTGCCGCTTTTGGTAGGTTGATTCTTGGTGCTTCCGCTTCTGCTGCACATATGGTAATCAATTCTGGAGACAAGATGAAAGCGAAAGCGGATTTGATTATCGAACTCCAACAAGCTAAAAACTTACCCGTATTGCCTGTAGTCAAGTGTTCGACGAAAGCTCCTGGTTTCTTCCAGTAATGGAAACCCAAGACGCCGTGAGAATCAGGAGCACCCCCAAAAAAGATGACGATACCAACAATAATCAAGCCTGTCAATGTGATGATCTTAATGGAGGCAATCCAGAATTCGATTTCACCAAACACCTTCACCGCACAAAAGTTTAATGCGACAATGGTTCCCCAAAAAATACTGATCCAGATAGCAACATTCAAGTCAGTCCAGTATTTGATCACAAAAGCGGCAGCGGAGATTTCTGCAGGGGCCAATAGGGCTTGAGCATAGAAAAGATTCAACCCTGCGGCAACGGCCAAGGATTTGTTGCCGGTGTAACGGTCGCATAAGGCGTAAGGGGTAGATTTACCAGGGATTGGGAGGTAGGTTACCATTTCGGAGAGCTGGTTCATGATGGACCACACAAAGAAACATAGCACCAAGTAGCCGATTAGCAATCCTGCGGGTCCAGCGATGGAGAGGGCGGCACCGGAACCAACAAATAGCCCAGTGCCAATAGCACCGGCCAAGGAAATGAACTGGACGTGTCTGGAGTTGAGACCACGCTTGAGTTCCCCGACACCGTTGTCCTCTGGATCTATCTTTGAGGACGAGGAGTTTGTGTATTCGAGTTGGCCCAGCTTTTCATCAGGAGACTCGTACTGTTTGAAAGCTGACGAGTGACCGGTCTCGCCAGTCTCCACCGCTGAGTCATCGGGGTAAGTCTGTATACTCACGTCCGACTTAATGTCTTTCTTGAAGTATTTGTACATTGTGGTTGTCTAACTGGGGTATGAGAAAAATCCTGTTATGTTCTGCTTTTGTATTGTGCGTTTCTTTTAGTTTCGTGAATTTCTTTTTTTCCCCTGTTTGCTATGCGATGAGTAGAGGTGAGGTTGGAGAGCACACCGAAGAGACAGAGCAGAGAGAAGAAAGGAACAGGAAAATCAAGGCAACAGCCGAAATAGGGCAAATATTAGCCAGATCAGGGGGGGGAGGTTCAAGGCTATATATATACAGAAAGCTGCCGAGGAAGATCACTATCTGATAGATAGATAAACGTACGGGGCAGAACCGCATTGCGGGACAGAATGTGGACGGGCCGATCTGGTAGGAGGGGAAGACGAACGAAAAATTTTATTACGGGCCGGCTGGAAATGCACACGTAACGGATAGTGTGCTTTTTCCCCCTCTTATCGAGCGGACAGTCATCTCAGAGGCAGATATGCATGCCGGGGCAGAAAGCCGGCGCCCACAGAGGAAGAGACTACCAGAAGGAGAGCGCATGCGGTCGGTGCTGCCATGACTATTGTCCAACCACCCGCTGCAGTCCAGGCAAAAGCTCGATAGCGTCGTGATAAGCAGGACAAGGCTGTTCGAGTACAATCCTGGGATGAGCTGCGGGGTGGGCGGAGAGGAGGCACACACAGGCCATTCTCTTTTACCTGCCCAATCTGGCTCGCGTCCCAAATCTCGCCGGCCCGCAACGCCGGCAAGGGCCCTTAACGCCTGTCACTGCTCGCCCGCCTATCGTTTGACGTATTTTTCACCGTCTTTGCCGGGGCCCATCGCCATCGCCTTCGCCTGCGCCTGCACTTTTTTTTCGCCACCCCGTCTGCGGCGGACGGGGAAAACGGAGGTCCCGGCGGACAACGGGCGGCAGCACGTTTCGTAGGGTAGATTTCTCTGTGTGCCCGCACCATGCTTATCTTCCTTCCATATCGAACTGTATCGCATCGTATCACAACGTATCAAAGTGGACCGTGCTGCATTGCACCGCCGCCTCTTTCGCCTTGCCGCTGGCCTATGGGCAGCATACATCGACGAAGAGGCACACACGAGGCTCTAGCCCGGCCACGCGGACCCGCCGCCTGTCTCGCGAAGAATTGCCGCTCTTTTGAGGCGCTCACTGCAGCAGGCGACGGCATTAGCTGTCAGCCAGGAAACGGGCGGGAGGTCTATGCGAGGCAAGCGCCTTTTACACGCCCTGCACGTTTAGGCCTGCGGCGTGCTCGCTTGCGCCTGTCAGTGGCAGAGTAGCCCGGCCTATGAGCCAGCAACGGGCCGGTAGCGGTTCCGGCAGAAGTTCCGGCAGGAAGGAAAGAGGGCGGCACCGCGGAGTTCCAGATACACCACGACGTCATGCCGTTGCTCCTCTTTTCCTCTTCTCTTCTTCTCCTCTTTCGAAGAGACGACATCGCAAGAGACAGGGAAGATACGGTCGGGCAAATTCGGCGAGGGTGAAGAAGGAGGGCAGTAAAAAAAGGCAGCAGCAGAGGTGCGATAAATGGGAGGTTGGGTGTTTTCCCGTAGCGTTATACGTGATTAAAGTAGCAGTAGTAGATTCATTTGGGGTTGGTGGACCCGTGCACAACACACCTTTAGGGTTGTCGGCAATGCTCGGCGATCCCTGTCAGGTTGGAGGTTGGGAGACGCAGGCGGGCGTGGTGAAGAATGCTGCATTGTCCCACAAAATCCGCCTGGGTGTCGCGGAAAAAAGATCAACAGCAGCGCAACCAGAAGCATAAAAAAAAAGCTTAGCAAAGGTATGCTTAAGAAAGAGCTCAGCATGAAACAACAGACTCATATCGTTAGTCAAGCAGTTAGACATAGAGGGTTCTCGCAGGCAGGAGAAAAACATGGTTGGAAGGTACCTCAAGAATACAACGCACAGCGGCCTACTATGGCTATACACGTCGTCGTTCGTGGTCATCATGATAATCATTCTCTCAATGAGCTCGGTGTTGCCCATCGACGTGATCGTACAGAGCAAGACGAACAACTCACACCTTGCGACCAACACTGTTATCATTCTTGTCATTTGTGTTGTGTTTCTCTTCATCTCAGCAATTCTCCACATGTTCCGGTTGTTCTACGACAATATGCTACTGCAGGAGATACCGAAACCGTATGTGCCGATCACGCCCAACGACGTTGGGAAGAGTACCAGCCGGACCATTGAAAGGGAAATCGTACGATGCAAGGAGATACTTGAACGGGCAAAGCCTAGGGGAGACATAAGTCACCCCGGACTGTTCCACCAGTCTGAGTACAACCACGATGTCGAGTTGCCGGACAATTTGATCTACGAGAACGTGGTCAATGTGATTGGACAGGAGCTCAAGTACAATGGCACGCTGACAGTGGGCGATGACAAAGTTCTTCGTCTGGACAACCACTACACCTTGCGTGAGCTGCTGCACGTGTACGAGGACGACGAAATGGTGGGCAAGTTTCTCAACCTCTACGAGAAGTTAAGGTTCAGCGGCGAGCCCATTACATGCGATGAGTTCAAGGACTTCCTACAAAAGTGGAGTTATGTGAAATCAAAATTATGAGCAACAACAGATATGGCGACATGGCAAGAAAATGTGTCCCCTTTTCGACATTTAGAGGATATCTAACGATCATCCAATAAACTTCCTATGGGGAATACTAGACACTGGTACGATAATCTTGGAGGTTGAAAATATTACTTTTTAGTAAATGGCAATGAGAAAACATGGAAGAGAAAGCTAGCTCATCGTGGCAAATACCTCCATCTGTGTCTCTTTTTTGATTCATTTAAAAGGAAAGAAGATCAAAAGAGTATCTGTCGCACCCGCACGTAGGGAAGTACAAAAAGGGCGCCTTGATGGGATTTCAACTCCCTTTTATACCCGCAGCCACACGCGCGTGCGCACTTTACGAATTTAGGAAACGAGGGTTTCTGATAGGAAATTATAAGGAACCGCATTTATCTCTTCTATAAGTGGATCTATATAATTTCTAAGCATAAAAGCTTGCGAGCTAGCAAGCACAAACACACGCAAGCAAGCCTAAACTCATGCCAGAGCCTTCGGCATCACCTGGTCCTTGGAGTGGTCCATAGGCTCTCCGTAGCCCTTGTAGTCCAAATATCCGCTGTTTCCGACCTTGTAGAAGGTGGTTCTGTCATACGGAGTGAGCTCGAGGTTGTTTTTCAACCGCTTGACCAGGTCTGGGTTGGAGGTGAAGTACCGACCCACAGCAATGAGGGTGTGGTCGTTTGCATTGACAACCTCTGGTAACTTGGAGATGACAGCTTTGTCCAGAAATCCCCCGGCTCTGATAATGATGCCCTTCCAGATGAGGTCTGGCCACTTAAAGTTGATACTTTTGGCGTCTGGGTTGTCGAGAATCCCGGAAACCCTTGGCTCAACCACTGAAATGTAGGCGAGTCTGTTGCCCTGCTTGGCTCTTCTCTCGAGCTCACTCAATACGTAACCCCATGTGACAATCGGGTTGATCTCGGAATCGTTACCTAAAGCACCCTGGAACTGTGCGTATGGAGACAGTCTGATGGCAACCCGCTCGGCGCCCACGGCCCCGATGCACGCGTCGACGACTTCCAACATGAACCTGGCTCTGTTTTCAATAGAGCCGCCATACTCGTCGGTCCGCTTGTTTGAAGAGGCCTGCAAGAACTGGTCGAGCAAGTACATGTGGGCACCGTGGATCTCGATGATGTCAAAGCCGGCTTCGTCGATGCTTCTCTTGGCACATGCAGCGTACTCAGCAACCATGTCCTTGATTTCAGGAATGGTCATAGCACGGAGCTCGTTGTCGGCCTCCTTAGCAGCCTTCTCGGAGGCCTCGTCGAAATAGACCGCGGACGGAGCAATGAAAGGAAGGTTGTGCTTCTTCAACACCTTAGGGTCGGCCGTTCTGCCCAAGTTCCAGAGCTGGACGGCCATTGCAGAGCCTTTCGAGTGTACAGAGTCGACGATCTTCTTGAACGCCTTCACCTGCTGCGCGGTCTTGATCATCGGAGCACGCTCGTAGAGACCGAATTCCGGAGCAGGGAAGGTTGCCTCGACGATGAGCAAGCCGCCGTTGTCCGTGGCCCGCTCGGTGTAGTACTCGAGCATCGAGTCCGTGGCAACAAAGTCCTCTGTGTTTCTGAATCTCGTTGTTGGTGCATATACAAGGCGGTTTTTCAACTCGACAGGACCAACTTTGACAGGCTTGAAAAGGTTGCTGGAGGCTAGGTTGTTGGACATATTTCGCTGTTGCAGTTCGGGCTTTGGCTGTTTCTATTCTTTTCTTTTCCTTTTCACCCAACTACCAGAACAAGCGTTTGCCAAACAAGGGTAGCAAGAGAAACGAAGCCCTATTTATGCATCTACACAGTGCCAGAAACTAAAGTATGCAGCATGGCTGAAACTAACCCTTGATTACTAATGAGAATCATTTCTCTTCCTCGATTGAACATGCTGCAGCATCCCCCGAGCAACGGCTACGTCAACTGCATCGCAACAGCAACCAGAATCCCACTCTCACGTGATCTTCCGTTCCGAATTCTCCGGCCCTGGGCCTCGGGCGCAGATCGGCAACCAACGTCTTTTTTTCCGCAACCTGATGACGTAAGCGCCGCTACGGAGCCACGGCTTACGTCAGCAGGCGGCAGGGCACTTGCTCTATTCAGCTCTGCCCCAATGCGGAAAGATCCCCGAGCCCCTTCCATCAAGCACCAGCAGGGAAATGTGATGGCACGCAGGACACGCAATTTGCCCTTAACAGGCAGATCTAGTCCCTCCCCGCGCCCCTTCTGTTGCGGCCGGGCAGCTTTCGCGTCCGGCACCAAATGTCCCTATTACCCTTTTCAGTGAAATTGGCTTCCTGGCGTCGAGCTCCACTCTTTTCACACTCTGGCGGGCCTCTTCACACGTTGTTGGCGTCTCTGCTGCTAATCCCCACCATCTCTCGCAAGAAAGCCTCTTTTGCACTGGTATCATTAGGACGAACTCCGCCACCAATACCACTGCTGCCCTGTCTTTGCAAATAGCTTAGCACCTTGCTCTTTTTTTGCTTCTCTTTTCCCGAGTTTTTTCACTCTGCTCTCAGTGGACTAGCCTGCAATCATTTCCTTGACCGGTACTGCCTGAATCTATTTCTCTCGCTAGGCTCCGCTCAGGCAACAACACACCCGCTTGCTCAACTCTGCTCCTGGACTTTGCGCTGCTTAACTCCCTCGTCCACGGATCGATAGAACACGTATCCGCTTGCTCCCTGTGCTAACCCCGGCTGCACCATGTCTCAACAATCCCCAGAGAACGCTGGAAGCTACTTCTGCTCCTCGTCAAATGAAACATCTCCCATGTCGAACGAGGAGATCATTGCGCAGAAGATCTTGAAGAGAGTGGAGATTGCAAAAATGACCAGACAGTTGAAGGAGAAGTTGTTTAAGGCTGGCTTGAAGGTCCGTGATCAACAGAACGCCAACCTCAACACCAACCACGGCACCTTCCTCACCTCTTCCAGCTCAAGCTCTCCCTCCAGCTCCCCCTCCAAGAGCCTGAGCGAAGACGTCACCAACAACATCACCGCCACCGCCATCTCCAACATCCAGAACTCGAAACTGGTCACTCCAACCAGACAAAACTTTTCCTTCGACAACACAACCCTGTCAATCTCCGCCCTCACCCCAGCGATCTCTCCACTGAAAAGAAAGTCATCTTCGATCTACAGATCTACAGACTCTTCTCGCCATTTTCTCTACGAGCAGCATCTGGATGACGACCTCGTTTCTCCAGTCAAGAGAATGAACAACGGTTTGAACTCCTCCCCCTATGGCAATTCGACAAGTCCTTACCAGTACACAAGAGGTGCCCTATTGCAGTCCCCTCAATCCCTGCCTAACTCGCAGCTGCAACCGCCAAAGACTCCGCCGCAAAAGCAGGTCGATATTTTTCAATCGGGCCAAAGAAACAATGCTAACAAGTCCTTGCATCAAGAGCAGCAAGAGCAACAACAGCAGCTCATCACTCATAGGGATAACAACACCACCAGCACGAGCAGGGAAATTATACACACCGGCGCCGACTCTAATGACAATTACGTCAATTCTAATATCAATCAAGGCAAAGTAGAGTTTGACAAGCCAAAGAAAAGAGAGGGAACGCTGAAAAACACCGCTAGACGCAAACAACATTTATCTTCGCAACAGCTGCAGCATTCCGGGAACAACATTCTGTCTTTCAAAGATCCGATTCAACACCCGCATTGGAATGAGAATTCGATCTCTTCTTTCCCGCTGGAAAACGACAATAAAGGCCCTTCGCAATCAACTTTACTCATGACTCCAAAATCTTCTAACAGAGTCAAAGATTTCACTACCCCCAACAAAAATCCAGACGACCTGGGTGCCGACCTATTGTTGTTCCTCTCAAATTCGCCCGCCAGAACGTTCAATAGCAAAGATGCAAAGGATATCAACAAGGTACTGACTATCCCGACAACCCCCCGTTCTTCAGGCTCTAATATGAATAACATCAGTTTACTCGAATCGACCCCTCTCAAAAACCAGCTACCACCGTACTTCACCAGCCCTTCGTTGGGCAACAATAATACCCCTTCCGCTGCATTTTTGCAGCCGTTGTTGGGCACCCCTATCGGCATCAGCATGAACTCGAGGTTTCAAAATCCAGATACGCCAAACAACAGACCCTCAAACAAAAGTCTCAACAGGACGCCAGGTTTCAGCATGAGCGATTACATAAACTTTACTCCTTCTCCAAGAGTAACCAGGACTCCAGACTTCAACCACTCCATCTACTCGAAGCCAATGCTCAACAACTATTCCAAAGAATTGAATATCATCACTAGTATCAAGGAGGATGAAGACTAGTGCTTTGTTTTGCAGACGAACATCGTCATTCCATTCATCAGCTCGCCTATGTCTCATCCCCATTGCATCTTTTTCGTGGCACATACTTCTATTTCTTACGTCCAAAGACCATATACTTTCCTACAAGCCGCTCTTTCCTTCTCTTTCCTTCTCTTCTTCACATTTGATCTTTTTTCACTTCCGTTCTCACTCGTGCTTTTTTCCATCATCGCTACGATTACTTTCACTATTACAATCGCTGTCTCCTTAGCCCAGCTGCCAGACTACACTACCCACCTTAGACGCACCTCATTTTCAGTAGACAAGGCACGCTCGTATTTTTCTGCGAGCACCACGCCACCTTCCCTTCTATAGGATTTGTTTAATGTACAATTAATTACTTTCTCTGTTCGGGAGCAAGATATTTGAGTGCATCAGGGACCCCATGTCTCTCCAAGCATTCACAAACAGGCACCACGACAACGCGGCTTATGTCAGCCGTCAGGCGCTTAAACTGTAATTATTGACGGGTGCGGTAGAAAAAAAAAAGCAAGGAGAATCCAGACCTCGCTAACTCTGGCTACGGTGCTACTAACCTCCGTGTTGTTTAGGAGAAGGCATGATAAAGAGCCAGGCGGTGTTTCATGCTGCGCAATAAAGAAAGGGCGAAAGACACAGCAACCCAAGATACACTCCGGAAACCTCTACTCATCTTGTGACTGGCCTTTGTCCTAATACACCCAGCAAAACAATGAGTGTCAATAACTCATCCGTTAATTCGCATACGCAGCTTTATGTTGTAATCAAAACGTTCAATGCCAGACTCCCAGATGAGCTCACGATCCATGAAGGAGACATCGTTGACTTAGTGAGCGATGACAGTGAGTTCGATGATGGGTGGTACATGGGTAAGAATCTGTCCACGGGGGAGGTTGGCTTGTACCCCAAAGTCTTTACGAGAATCAAAAGGGATTCAAACGAGCAGTCTTCTGGACCAAGGCCCTCTTTGTTACGCTCAAGGTCCAGGAAAACGCCACAGGGTAGTCCAATATCACCAACTGCGCCAGCACAGTTTGGCAATATAAGTGACAGCTCAGCTAGGTATCACAACAACAACAGCAACAGCAATATCAATAGTGGTAACTACAGCCGTAATGGAAGCACTAGCAATGTTAATAACTCCATGAATAGTAATAATAGCTATGGAAACCGCAAAGGAAGTGGGAATAGCCACTCCATTCCAGGTAATGCCTTCAATAGCGGACCTCCAAATGGGGTAAACAGGTACGTCAACGATATAGACCAAGCCTTAAAAGAGCTCAAAATGGATAAAAAAGAGTCTTTTCTCTCCAACACAACTCTCTTTCCAACTTCACGTACTGTAAACAACAACAACAACATCAACAACATCAACAGTAATGGAAACAACAGCAATGATAGCAGCCATAGTAACATCAACCACCGTAATAGCAATAGCAATAACAATATCAATAACAATAGCAACAGATACACCAATACTTCTTCGAACCCTCTTAACCCCTCCAATGTCACGACCTGGACTCCAGAGCAAGTATATCAATATTTCAGCAGAATCGTTGACAATGAAAGTGCACAAAAGTTCATAACTCATAAGATATCAGGTAACATATTGCTTGAACTAGAGCTATCATATTTGAAGGAGCTAGATATATCGTCATTCGGAACGAGGTTTGAAATATATAAGGAGATCGAGCATTTAAGACGGGCAGCAGCAAACCCCAAGCATTATGCTGATGAAGCACCGCAAGTAAACGACGAATTTTCTAATGTTTCACAGGACTCTAATTATTTGCCTGAAAACTATAGAGATCTTTCACACTCCACAAGTCACACAGATCTGAACTTAGTTAAGGATAATGATTCCAGCGATTCCTTTATACCAGTGAAAACCAAATCTCATACTGCTAGTGTCAACACAAAAAGGTTTAGTTACAATCAAACACAGCGTCCGCAGTCTGCCGTTTTCGAACGCTCAAGTCGCTTTTCAAGGTCCACTCCATCGCCTTTGCGTGCACCAAGCTCAACAGGGTCGCCGTATGAGTCACAGTCTGACCTTCAAAACGTGTACGAGGAGCAAAGCGTTACCGATGATTCTTTAAGGCCTACGGAATCGATACCCAATGCTGAGTCAGAAGAGCAGTTTGCTTCACCAAGAAGAGCCCCTAAGCCTCCAAACTATCCAAGCCCTGTTTCGAATAATCCAACAAAGTTTGGTATCAGGTCACCTGTTGAAGAAAGATTTTCTACTATTCCAAGACTATCGCACTCTGGTCACAAAAGGAATTCGTCAATGGGAAATGCATCTTCCATTTATGTTGACACTTCTCCTCTAGGGCATTCCAGAACAACATCTGATGCATCCAACATTGATGCAGTTCGGTCCAACCACAGAAGATATTCTTCAATAGTGTCTAATGGCAACGAAAAGGATATTAGCTCGAGCCCAGCATACTCATCAACTGCAGCACATCAAAATGAAATGACAACTCCGGTAATACAACAACAATCAACAATTTCACCTATTCCACCGCCTAATTTTAACCGTTCATCAAATGATAATAGAAGATCTGTATCCGCTAAGGAATTTGCACAGATCATCAAGTCTAAGGACGTCACCAAAAGAGTCCATTCGGATGCTGCAACAGCTGCTGCCTCTGCAGCAATTGCTGCATCCCCATCGCAGAAGAAATCGAATGATGTTTCATCAACCGCTACCCCAGTTCCCTCAAATGCTAATAACAAATCCACCTTCAGACAAAAAGTTGTCCGTCGGCCAAGTAAGATGCAAACATCTGCCTTTCAAGAAGGTATTAGGCAAATCACACCAGATGAGGCAAAAAAAGATGCTGACTATTCCGGTTGGATGTTTAAAAGAGGGAACTTGTCTATTGGATCTTGGAAACATAGATTTTTTACGCTTCATAGAACCAGACTTTCTTATTACACAAGTGCTAAAGACCTGAAGGAGAAAGGATTGATCGATATTACGTCCCACAAGGTTTTGCCTGCAATTGAAGCTGAAGACAAGCTCAGTGCAGTCTATGCGGCAACTGCAGGTTATGGCAGATATTGTTTCAAGCTTGTTCCTCCAGCTCCTGGGTCACGAAAAGGCTTGACTTTTACCCAACAAAAGGTTCATTATTTTGCTGTTGAGACGAAAGAAGAAATGAGAGCATGGATGTCAGCACTGATGAAGGCAACCATCGAACTGGATGAGACGGTTCCCGCCATTTCCTCATGTGTTACCCCAACCATCCCGTTGCAAAGAGCGCAAGAAATGATGGTTATAGCGAGAGAAAATGCTAGGGAGAATTTTGACAATCTTCAGAAAATGAGAGAAGAACAGACCTATAAAGAAGATGAATTCGGAAATAGAGAAAGATTTGAAGACCCACGTAATACCTACATAGGGTCCAGTCAAGATGGGTCATCATACGAAGAAGATGACGCATCTCAAATTGTGACATCAAGAATTCCAGGAAGTGCAACTCCTTCGAGTACGGACTCGTCTGTGAAAAAACCGAAAAGAATTCCGTCCACAGCAAGTAAGCCTCAATCTCCACTGAACGGTATGTCCACTCCGTATTTGATGACATCTGGCCTGATCTCGCCAAATATATCCGGCTCAACTCCCAGCTCAAATGACACGCCAGCAAGAATGGGTTCAACCAAAGTCCATGTGCCAACTGTGACCAGATTAGATGATGAAGTAATACAGGCACCTTCTCCTCATCCACTAACCAGTTCTAACTCGTTTTCAAGGCGCATGCTTTCGTTGAGAAAGACTAGTAAAGAAAAGGAAAAAGAGTGACCGCAGCACAACTAATGCATTTTTTATTTTGAAACATCTTTCAATTTCCAACAGTGTCATCATCGGGTAGATGACTTACATAGTAAAATGTATCCTTGTAATATTATTTGTTTTGTTTCCGTTTTTTTTTTGTCCTAACTCTTCCCTAATTCTGCTTTTCTTAAATATAGCTTTCTATTATATAACCTACTGTAAGTGTTATAACTGATCCTAGTGCAACGAAAAAACCGCAGAAAGTCCCAAAATTATGTCTCATTATGGTAGGCTATGAGACATTGCTTTATAAGTCCGCGCTCGCACAGACTGTTCTCTTTCCATGAAACCGATAAATTACCGACTAGATATTATCGCAGACCTCAAATAAGGGCAGTTCCTTGTGTCAACTATAGATCATTGACAATCCAGCCCCATATAACAAAAATACAAGTATGCCACACTACATCACTCTTGCAACATGCTCTCTCAACCAATGGGCAATGGATTTTGAGGGGAACAGAGATAGAATTGTCGAATCTATTGTAATTGCAAAAGAGAGAGGAGCATCAATGCGGGTTGGTCCTGAATTAGAGGTGCCAGGATATGGTTGTTTAGATCATTTCCTTGAAAATGATACATATCTGCAATCATGGGAAATGTACTCAACAATTTTGAGTAATCCAGATACGTACGGTATTTTGCTAGATATCGGTATGCCTGTTATTCACAAGAATCGCCGTTATAATTGCAGAATATTATCTTACGATGGTAAGATTTTACTCATTAGACCTAAGATATTTTTAGCAAACGATGGAAACTATAGAGAAATGAGGTATTTTACACCTTGGTTGAAAACACAATATGTGGAGGACTTTAACTTGCCCGTTTTGATTAAGAAGGTGACTAATCAGGAGGTTGTAAGATTTGGAGATTTGGTGATCAGCACTCTAGATACTGTTATTGGTTGTGAAACGTGTGAGGAAATGTTTACTCCACAAGCTCCGCATGTCTCTTTATCCTTAGACGGTGTTGAGATCATTACCAATTCTTCAGGATCCCACCATGAGCTGAGAAAATTGAACACCAGAGTCTCATTAATTATGGAAGCTACGAGAAAGTGTGGTGGTGTCTACTTATACTCAAATCAAAAGGGATGTGATGGTGATCGGTTATATTACGACGGTTGTGCTATGATCGTATGTAATGGTGAAATTTTGGCCCAAGGAAAGCAATTTTCTTTGGATGATGTTGAAGTTTTAACTGCAGTAATTGACTTGGAAGATGTTAGAGCATATCGGGCTTTAGCTTCTCATGGAATTCAGAGCAGACTATCTCCTGTTTATGAAAGAAAACATCTTGATGTTGAGCTTTCTCCAGATTCAATGAATTTTGATATTACGGTTGAACCTACCGCTCCAAGACCATGTTTTTATCACCTGCCAGAGGAAGAAATTGCCTTAGGACCAGCGTGCTGGTTATGGGATTATTTGCGTCGCTGTAAAGGTGCTGGATTTTTTCTGCCATTAAGTGGAGGAATTGATAGTTGTGCCACTGCTGTGATTGTCTATTCGATGTGCAGATTGGTCATTGAAGCATGTGATGCAGGAAATGAACAAGTAAAAAAAGATGTCAAGCTAGTTACTAGAGATGAAAATGATGATAACTTTCCAAAGACTCCACAAGAATTAGCAAATAAAATATTTCATACCTGCTTCATGGGTACCTCCAATTCTTCAGAAGAAACAAAAGGTAGAGCCTTAGAATTAAGTAAAAAGATTGGTTCTTATCATGTTAATCTAAACATGGACACAGTAGTTAGTTCTATCATCTCATTGTTTGAGGTTACTACAGGTAAGAAGCCTATATACAAGATTTTTGGAGGGTCAAATATTGAAAACTTAGCATTGCAAAACATTCAGGCTAGGTTACGTATGGTTTTAGCATACCTGTTTGCACAACTCTTACCATGGACTAGGGGCAAAAAAGATGTTGGTGGATTACTAGTCTTAGGTTCGGCTAATGTCGATGAGCAGCTTCGGGGGTATTTAACCAAATATGATTGCTCATCTGCAGACATCAATCCAATAGGTGGTATTTCCAAGAATGACTTGAAGAGATTCATTACATGGTCTACTAAAAGTTTACAGTTACCTATACTTAAGTCATTCGTTGATGCAACGCCAACCGCAGAATTGGAGCCAGTCACAAAAGAGTATGTGCAGTCGGATGAAGCAGACATGGGATTTACATATGATGAGCTAAGTGTGATGGGCAGACTCCGTAAAGTGGAAAAATGTGGACCGTACTCGATGTTCATCAAGTTGCTACATATATGGAAAGATAAGAAAACGCCAGAGGAGATTGCAACAAAGGTGAACAGCTTTTTCTGGTACTATAGTGTTAATAGACACAAGCAAACGGTTAGCACTCCTTCTTATCATGCAGAGCAATATTCCCCAGATGACAATAGGTTTGATTTGAGACCGTTTTTGATTGATCCACGCTTTTCTTGGGGCAGACATAAGATATCAAGTGTTTTAGACAAAATGAAAGCCAATGAAAAGATCGATACGATGACTGTAGATTAAGTACTTTAATACTCTCTCTTTTATATTTAATTACATTTCAGAAAAAAATATACACCAATACAAACACGCCTTGACCGGATTGTATCTCTGTTATTTTATTTCTTAACGTTCCATTTTTGGTTGAGCCTATTAATCAGGTCCAGTTGGGGATTCGATTCTGTTTTGTGAAAAGATCCGTTGTCATTCCTTTCCACAAACTCTAGCAAAGATATTGCAAACTTGTTGGGTATGTCTTCTTGGATAAAGTGGCTAATTTCTTTACAATCTTTCACGCTTATTGTAGTCGTAGTTGTCGACATGATATTCTCAAGGTTTAGATCATTCGTCCGGAATACAATCAATTGATATTTTCCCTGCATTTGGCCTATAATGAGGTTCTTGTCCAAAAGATCATTGTTTGCAAGGACAAGTAGTTTGGAAACCGAGCTTGGAATTGATATGAATTCACTCGAGAGACCAAGAAACCACTCGTGCCAATATTGTTCGGTTTTCCTCAAATCAATTACAAATGTGTATCCAGATTGTTCTGTTTTAGCTTGAGTTAGTAATGGAGGTATTGAATATCTGCAACTGTTTCTATTGTAAATCAATTGATGAGATATATGCCAATCTATGGCAGTTTGCAAAGATTGGAATGACTGAGGAATGCTATTAAGGTAACCATCCATGAAATCCAAAGCACGTATAGCTGTCTCTTCTACTATATCTACCATGATTAATCCCTTTATAAATTTGGCATACTGCAAATCTAATTGGAATTCAGAGGATACTTCTTCTGTTTTTTTCGAAAACTTGTAAAGAACTTTTGTTAAAACTGAACCACCAAGGGAATGGCCCAAGAAAAAGAGAGAGCACTTGGCTAAACCTGAATTTAAAATTGAAGCATTTGACTTCAAGTACCTTTTTACAAAATGGTTAAAGATAAATATGAAGTCTTTCTGCAATTGATCAATGGACAAGTCGTAGTTCATTGCATTCAATTTTTTATTGTTTCTGTTGATCAAGTTTGTATTTCCGTGCCCCCTCATATCAAACGTAAAGAACCCGGGATTTGTGAAATAATGTAAGCTATCACTTTTTTGTACAATACAACTTGCAAGATTTGCAAATGTAAGCCCACTTGATCCGGCTCCGTGATGACCAATGAATATGACCGGACACTCATCTTCATCGTTCTTGTGTAAAACTGGCTTTTTGAAATAGGTCTGAAAACAATATCCCTCAGAATTACAGTAGATGTCGTTGTTATCAAATACATCAGACCAACTTAGTCGTATCTTGTCGTCTTCTTGTGAGATTTCGGCAGGTTTTGAGTTCAACGCTTCCGATTTCTCTACATGGTTGTCAACGGCATCGTTTTCTTCTAAAGATTCATCGAAGTTGAACCCCAATTTTTGTTCTGCTTGTTTGAGTTTGCTTTGGAAGATATTCTTTTGAAACTCCGACATTTTTTCTTTGGTGAATGGAATCAATTGGTTAAGCTTACCGAAAGTGCCGAAAGCGGGATCCCTAGGTTATTTAGACGCCAAAAGGAGGTTACAATCATGCAAGGTGATTACGCACAATTCAAATTATACCGTGAAATTACGTAATCGAAATTGAACCAACGATTTGCTCCTGTTTGCGGCTTACGTTTATGAATAAGTTGGAGTAACAAGTATATTAGAAAATCTATAAAAACGCTTGAAAAGATGAAATAAAGTATAGCGGTTACGACAATAACAATGATAGTAATAGTGATAGTAATAATAATAAAGTAGGATAGTAAAAAGTAAAAAAAGTTAGGAGAAAAGTATGAATTAAGTTTGAACCAAGTTGTTGTAGAAAAGAAAATTAGTCAAGTGGGACGATAAATGTATAGTAAATAAGTGGCAATAACAGTGATAATAAATAAGGACACTAACAATAAATAAAAATTGCTGGAGGTAAAATAGAAAAGAAAAATGAATACCATGTAGTAATACAATTTGAATGCTTCACCAATTGTACAATTGAAACGAGAAAAAATTAAAATAATTATGAATAACCCAATAAAACGCCGGAAACAAAAAAAATGAAAATAACCTGAAATAAATAAAAGGAATGAACGAAAAGAAAGTAAGAAAAATTAAAAATCAAAAACAATCGATAATCAATAATCAATGATCCCTGAAATAAGTAGTAAAGTTAAAATAAGCATGTGAAATATTTGAAAAGTTGTCTCATCAATGATTGATGATCATGAAAATCAATGCTTTAAAACGACATGTGGTGGAAATAATGAATTAACGGAAGATCCGTCATCATTTTCTCCATGTTTATAACAACACCTCTTGCCATATCTGCAATGTCCCTTTTCGGTCCAGTTTTTGCACATCTTAGTCTTCCATTTCCTCGATTTTGGTGCTGACTTCAACTCGTCCAATCCATGAGCAAATTGGCATTTGTCGTTGTAAGGACAAAATCCTGTCTTCTGGAAAGTTGCACAAAGCTCTGTCTTGAACAAAGACCTGTCGGTTTTGTTCTTGTTGAGATGGTTGGAGTTGGTATGATGAATATTAGTGTTATTGGGTGAAGCGTTGTTGGCATGGTTGATGTTGTTCAAGTGGTTTTGATAATAACTGTGATTGATCAAATCGTCACAAACACTGGAAGCGGTTGAAGAGTTGGAGTAAGATGATGAGCTCTGATGGTTGTTCAGATCGTCAGAGATGTTGAGAAGCCCCACATTCGCATTCCAAGAATAACCTGCCATCGTATTGTTGTTGAGTGGGAAAGCTGGTTTGTTCAGGAACTGGTTGTTCAATAGACTTTCGTTGTTTAAGTTTGTGTTCGTGGTAGCCTTGCTGATGTTGCTCAGTAGATGATTAGATAGACATTTGTAGAGGCTTTCCGAGGAGTTTATCTTGTAAATAGCGTCGTCCAAACTGGTGTTGTTGATGGTTGCCATGTCACTGGTCTTCAAATCCGCTGGCAGAAAAGGATCGTTGGAGGAGAATTGTAAATTTTTGGAGTTTCTCAGGGTTGCAAAGGACTGTGGGACTGGAGAAGTTGGCTTGGACAGTATAGGGTTATCATTGTGGTTGTTGTTAGGGTTGCTGCTCAGGTAGTTTGGGTTCCAGTTTATGAAAGTTGAGTTTGAAGGCAAGTTAGAATTATCTGAAGTCGAGTTCCACAAGTTGTTCATGACGCTACTTGGGTTGTTCTCAGCATTATTGATGTTGTTGACGTCGATAGTGCTTGCGTCATTGTCGAAAGAATCGTTCAGGCTGTTGATGGAGTTGATGGTGTTCAAGCTGTTGAGGTTGTTGATGTCATTGCTGATGCTTTCAAGAGCGTTGAACGAGACGTCTGCCAATGAGCTTCTGTTCGATAAGGAGTACTCGGACGACATCGGGGTGGGGTTGATCGAGTGGGAGGACGTGACGGAGGTGTCTGAGGCGGAAGAGTTGAGGAGGACGTCCAAGGCGGTGTACGAGGAGCTGTTGTGACTGGTGTTGGTACCAGTGGTGCTGCTGGCCATGATGTTGTCGCCGGTGTTCAAGTTCTGGTTGTATCTGTTCAGAATCATCGTTCTGAGCAGGCTGGTCGCTGTTCTTTATCTGCTTTGTGTGTGTGTGTGTGTGTGTGTGCGTGTGCGTGTGCTGGGCGCTGCGGTGCTCTTGTTATCGCACAGAAAGCCAAACGTCCGACTGCTGGTCTCGGAGTCTGCTTGTTATCAGGCAGGATGTGTCTGCTGCTTATCTGTGTGCGGTCTTGTCCTTTCTGTTTATCTCAAGAGAGGGAGTCAGTAGGGGGCGTCTCTTTTTTCTTTTTGGAGGCTTTCTGCGTCAAACGGCTGCGTGTGTTGCTGGATGGCTGAGACAGAAAGACAGAAAGACGTGCAGAGCAAAGAAGAACAAACGGGAGAAAAGAAAGGAAGCGCTGAGAGAGTCCGCAAGCAACGAGGGCAACAAGGGCCCGGAAATAGCACACTGTGACACCCGACCCTGCACAGGCAAAATGGGTTTCAGCTGGGCCCCACTACAACAGCTGCTGGGGGGAGGGACGTGGACTGTTTTTTCCTGCAAATTTTTTTCTCGCGATAAGCTGAAAAGGGGCAGCTGCCCCCCCGATAGAAGCTTGCCCTCCTGCTGACATCACCCGCCGGCGTCTGCCTCTCGCTCGCCCTGCCCGGCGGCTGGGTCTCCGACTGCTCGCCCGCCGCGAAGAGCGAGGGCCGAGAGCGGAGAGTCATCACATTAGTCATCCGCGAACCGCGGGGCAGAGCGGGGGACGGAGGACTGGTTTCTCCGCGCATGGCGTCGCGTCGGCCGATGTGCGGAGCAGGAAAAAGGAGTCGATCGTCCCGCGGGTTGATGGATGCGGTCGATCGGCTCAGAAATTAGAAGTGAGAAGACAGGCGGGCAGGCTGACAGGAAGGGGGAGCCTGGGGAGTAAGGGCAGGATCGAATACACGCTACACGGGAAGGCGGAGAAGCTGATCGCTCCGCTGGTCGGAAAGGTCCAGTCTCAGAACATACACAAGGTAAACACTGCTCAGAGTGGTTGGTTGGAACCGCAGTGCTGTCAACACTACCCCCACGGCGCCGTCCAGAGAACGGTGCCAGGAGGATGCGTACTTCTCAGCACGCACTCTGCTCTGTCTTGTAGTTCCTTCATCATCGACTGTTGTAGTCCAATGACGAGAGAGCAGTCTCAAGAGAGCGGGTGGTGGCGAAAGAGAGACACGCAGTAACGAGGGACGAAGCTGCCGGGAGAGAAAAAATAGCATGGTAGCGGGGCCCCAGCAGGAAGGCAGGCCGGCGGAAGGCACGTTTCGCGTCGCGGCGGGGACTCGCAGACGGCTCTCATGAGGGTTTCTTGAGAACGGGCCACTGGTGGTGCCTGACGCAGAAAAGGCCGTTCTGGACAGCTTCCTCGGGCAGCACAGCAGCACAGCAGCACAGCAATGTTTATCCAGGTCCTTGCCGTACTGGGCTCTCTCACCGGGTTCATAACCATCACGCTCTCCGTGGCCGCAGGGCTCTACTACTTCTCCGAAATCATCGAGGAGAACCTCCAGCTCACAAAACGGTTCCTCTCGAGGTCAATTCTCGTTGTCTCCGCCATCCTCATCCTCTTGTACCTCTTCGACGGATTTCCGTTCAAGTTGACGCTCTTCACCCTTTTCTCCAACTACGTCTACAACCTGAACCTGAGGAAGTTCCCTAACATCCAGCTCACAAACCCCGTTTTCGTCGTGTCCTGTCTGCTCGCCTTCGTCAACCACTACCTCTGGTTTAACTACTTCAACAACCCCTACATACCCTCCATCGACGAGAGACTCAGTGCCGGCTTCGTCCCTCCTTATTACCCCTCATTCACCGAGATTGCATCCTTTTTCGGCATCTGTATATGGATGTTCCCCTTTGCCTTGTTCATCTCGATATCCTCAAACGAAAACGGTTTGCCATTGTCGAACTCGGACCTTGCCACTGACTCCTCTTCCTTGGAGAACAACAAAAACGTCCAAAAATCAGTCAACTTGGTGAGGTCTCTCATCAAAAAGTCCTTGGCCTTTTTGTCCAACCTCTTCAACGCTCTGGGTATCAATTTGAAGTTCGCAAAGTCTGACTCAAGCAACCCCAACGAACTCTACATCTGATTGTTTTGTGCAACTCATTTTGTGTATATATCTAAGCCTATGTATATTTTGAAACCTTACTCCGATTCCTCGGCCATTAAGAAAAACCAAATTCATGTATGCACGTGACCTCCATGTATTTCATTCATCAGATACTCACCACTTTTTAGCACTTGTTCCGTTCACTTTCTCGCAAGTTTGGTACGGATAGTCTGCACTCAATAATTCGTGTCACTTCCACATACGCATGTCCAGACTTGTCAAAAGAACTTTGCAAAGTCAATTATGGTGTGGCGAGAAACAAATCATTGAGGCCTTCGAAGGTTTCATAATATACAATGAAAAGAGCATAGTTTACTTTGACTCCATGCCAGGCGGCAAGGAGCTGAACTGCAAGTTCAAAAAAACCATGGATGAACAGATCGTCACTGTCACATTCTTACCGTATTTGCAAGTCATCGCAATTTTATTCTTCAATCGTGAAGGTAACTTCTATTGCCAAACGTACGATGTCGATTTCAATAAATCACCGATTACAACTAAATCCTCAAACGCTCCACCAAGGGAAGATTATCTTAGTCATGGCTTATGTGGTAAGTCTCATATCTACGTATACAGCTATTTCAAGCATGAGCTACTGTTTACAATTTTGCCAATTGACGAATTCATCGGAAATTCAAAGATAACTCTCTCGGGTTTTAACGTGTACTTGTTAGGGAAAAATGAACAAATGAAAGCTTGTGCTAAAAGGTATATTCTCACATATACTTCAACCTGGTGCTTGACGGAAACAAAATTATGGTCTGATGTTGCAGAATCGTTCAATGTTTTTGATTGTGATGTTTTAGCCTGTTCTCAAAAATACCTAGTTGCCACTCTATTCAACAGCATATATGTCCTGGACTTGAATAAGAAAGGTAAGAAAACTACAATAGAAACTGACTCTATCATAACCTCTTTTTCTTGGATAACAAACAGCAAAGCTTTTCTAACTACAGATTCATATCAGCTGTTTTTTATTAACATGAATACAATGAAGTTGCAGCCCATACCGAGCACATCGTTATCAATAGGGGTGGAAGATGTCATAGTAACAAAATCTCATATTTTTTTGCACAACAAACTTACTGGATTCTACGTTTTCGATATTGAGAACAGTTCTAAATTTGGATTCATACGAACAACAAAGTATATTCCTGCTCAAGAGATAAATCTTTTTGTCGGGGTATCACATGCGTATAGAACCAACTCTTCAGAAAATATTATCTCATTCACTGACGGATATAATTCAATATTAACAAAAAAGATGCTAGACATCAATATTTTGCAAGATAGATTTAGATTCATAAAAAATCAGCTTTTCATTGGTTTTTACCAAGGAGATGACTTTCTGACAAAAGACCTGAATTCACAATTATACCTGAACGGAAAGGTTGCTTTCAGTTTTACGGATGAAGCAAATTTGGAAAGCATCACACCATCAAATGCTCTTTCCATGACGGGGATAAGCGAAATTGCAGAATCAGTAAAAGAGTCTCCAACTCTTTTCAATCACAAACCTGTCCATGCCTCTTGTTTTCAAGTCTATAATAACTTTACAATTTTGTACGACGACAAAAGAAAATCCATGCATATATTTCCGAACAACAAAACATTTTATCTAAAAACTGAATTCACTCCCAAATCAATTAGGATTTACAATTGTGATACTGTATCAGTCACTTTTTTATTATTTGACCACCAACACATCAATGTGTACACTCAAACTCAATCTTGTGAACCTGTTTTGATCTCACATGTTGATTGGGGTATTGCTGAACCTATTTTAGATATTGACTTTTCAGGTTCTTTCGATTCTTTATATGTTCGTACTCTTTTGGAAAATGTCTGGCAGGTCAAGATTCCAGAAGTAAGTTCTATTTTAATTTCTGAAAGACTTTATTTCTCTCATATATTTTCATTGAGACATCGGTTAATTGGTATATCCTCCCTGGAAAATAAAATATATTGCATTAACTACGAGTCTTGCAAAATAAATAAACTGATACGAACATTTGAGGGTAAATTATTACAATGCTCAAAAATTTCAAACTCTTCTATAATTGTTTCTACCACCACTGAAATGTTTGAAATTGAACTAGAGGTAGGTGACGAGCGGTACTATGAATCTGCGTTATTAGGTGTAACAAAAGCTTCTTTGAACTATGATGAAACACAAAAATTGGTTCACACTTCCAACGGGCTTTATATGGTCGACACTATTCATCTCAGGGTACATGCCTCTATTTTGCTACCACATATCAACGATGTAAAAGTTGATAAGAATATCGACAGAATAATAATTTCCGTTTGGAATCCTAATGAGACTAAAACGGCTATTATTCTCAAGGTCAGTTACAATAAAGAACTCGGTAAATTTGAAATTGAAAGCCAAGCTCTCAAAATGAATGTTGTCGGTAAAGTGCTAATAGAACCGACATGCAGCCAAGTTTCATTTTCAGGTGAGCTTTACAGCTACAAAGATTCAGATAATTTTAGTAGCGCTATTGGCACATGTTATCAACCACCTGCAAAAGACTGGTTATACGTGGAAAAGCAAAACTATTATTCTTATCTCACAGAAACTAAGTATTTTGTGGTCTCAGATCAAAGTGATGGTAATCTCATTTGGTTTGATAATGTTAATCAGTATTTTGCCCTCAATAATTCCAACTTCTTGATATACAAGGACGACTCGCTGTATTTTTTCGACTTTCAAGAATTTCAATTGAATAGGCTTTGCAAGCTTGAAAGGGGATTTCATGTAGGAAAAGATCTCAAAATTCAGTGGATAGATACTTCACTCTTGACCTGGGATAGGTCAAGGTGCTTGTGGAGAAGTAAACCAGGTTACTTTATCACTGCTATCAACCCTTCAGGTTTATATGAAGAATACATAATTGAATAGTCTAACCAAGAAATGTGTCGCTCTCAAACACACAGGACTGACAATTATCAAGTCTTGCTCTTTTTATATAATGTACACATGAACTTTCTTTTCCTTTTTGACAAAAAAGGATGTTATGTCTTTCCCCGTTACGTCAAGAGGAAGCGGAAAATTTAAAACAGATACATTGCTTGAATCAGAAATTATCAAGTTCTTTGCAGCTTGATCAAATTTCAACTGGTAGTCCTTGTAATGCTGGAGCTGGGAGGAAATTTGTAACTCGTATTTATGATTTAGTTTTGTCTTTAGTTTGGGAAGTTTAGATATGCTGACCTCAAATCGTATCTTTTGTGGTTTCAAATCGAGCCTGTTCTTTTTCTGTTGTAAGTTTTTCACACTTTCGTTTTCGTTAGTCTCAACTTCGACAATCAAATTGCTTTTTTTCGATGTGTTTCCCACAGGCAATAGCGGCGGTAACTCACCTTTTTTGTTCGTCTCCGCATCTAGTTCATCTAAATCATCCAACCGTCTCGCATTAACAAGCATCAGCGGATCTTCCTTTCCTTCATACATGTCTTTGCTCATCTCTTCTAGCTCTTTTGATGTATTCATCAAGTGGTGGAGATCTACTTCAATATTTTGAGGGTTTCCACCAATACATGTTCTCTTGGGCAAACTCACAGAGTCACGATCTATTACAAAGTTTCCTCCTGCCTGAAATTCAACAGCATCAATACACCACTGTATCAATATTTCTTTAAGTTCTTCGTTCACTATACACCATTTGATGTATTTGTCGTTGATTGCACAATCGATCAATAACGATTTATTACCCTTTTTGTCTAATGTTTCTCGTATTTCTGGGGAGGTCAAAATAGGAATTTCCCACTCCCCCTTGGATATCAAGACAAAAACAAGTTTGGCATCAAAATCCTCCATTAACTCTCCATATTTGTTCTTCAGTTCTTTAGTAGGTACCTTCTCATTGGAACATACATTTATGAAAAATTTAGTTCCTGAATTATATATTTTGTAAGGAGTGAATATTTTTGTCTTAACCACAAAGTAAGGGGTAAGGGCTAGCTCTTCAAGGTTGACTTCTTTTTCCTCTTTAATATATGACATTTCTTGTCGACTATCGAGCCTTTTTGAGTTGGCCCTTAGTACGATAGAGTTATCAAGCCCTGTGGTGTGTGCTTCAGTGGCTACCTCTACATCAGGGAATGTGGAAAAATACGCGTACAGAACAGGAACTGAGGTATTCGCATCCCTCCAGACAAAGTTCTTAATCTGTCCATTATTGATTGTTTGTTGTTTATTCTCAGCCTTCAACTCGTTATAGAGCCCCTAACCTAGCATTCTGAGAACACGCAATTGAACTTCTTGTTCGATTATCTGTTTAACGTCTTATAAGGCGTCATTGAGTGAAATAACGGAGGTTCACAAATAGTGTTTGGTTTTAGGGGAATTTATTATACATACCTGGTACAGATAAGAGAATAATGTCACAAGATCGATCGCCATCGCCAAATTATTTAACTGTTTCGAAAACTGAAACTTCAACGAATCATAGGTCGCCAGAAAAACCCCATTCAAATACCACTGCTGCTAATAATAACTCCACAATTTTCAAAACACCGGATGCAAGGAAGATAAGAGGTAATAATGGAGGGCTAACAAGGTCTTTGACGGTAGGTTCTGGATCGAAATCTCCTGTCCGAAGGCACCTACGTACAATGAGTATTACAAGCAATACTTCTCCTGCATGCAATTCAACAACAAATAGTGCAAGGAAAGGGATAAACATTGGTATAAGTCTAGTCGGACCGGTTCCGAGTGGTTCAAATGGAACTGTAAATAAAGAAAAGGATTTAACCTCCAAAACGCCGAGAAGGAAGCTGTTTCCTTCTAAACAAATTTTTGTTCAATCTGCTTCTCCCAATTTGAATGAACTTGACGAGGAGCAACATGTTGAGATGCAGACTCGGGAAAATCTGGAGGTAAACAATAATGATATTACATCAATAATGAATAGCTCCCCAACCCCGCTATCACCGTCAAAACTCGATAGTATTCCTCAGGATGAACTATCAGAAAATTTTAGATTATTAGCATCTAAAGAAATGGAGGTTTTAGAAATCAAAAACCAGCTAAAGGATCTGCTTCAAAGAAAAAAAGATAAAGAGTTTGAACTACAACAATTGAAACTAAAAATCGAAAAACAACTGATGGCAAACTTGAAACAGCAAAATAACGACCAGTACCGCCACAGATTTGAGCAGCATACACCAAAATCTCCTACAAGTTTACAGAAGTCAGTTGTACAGCCTTCAAGTTCTTATGTTGACCCTCTTATGGACGATTCATTCTTCCCTGTGTCGTCAAATAGTGCAGATGATGAAAGAAGTAAACGACAATCGTGGTTTGCAAAGCCATTAAACTTTATTCAACAGTTTGATAGCCTAATTTACAAAGAATTTGAGAAGCTACAAATCCCAGATGATGATGAGTTGAATGTTTGTAAGGATACCAGCGTTCTGGATATGAGTTATACTCTTGATCAGTCTAAATCACTTAAACCAAAAGAGATCAATGCGCCGATTAAATCTCTAGCGGGTGATGGAGATGCATCAGGCACTGATGTAGTGCAATCCATGTCTCAGCACTTGTGGTCATTCGTCAACGATGTTAAGTCAAACTTGCTGGTTGAAGAAAATGAACCCGTCAGTCAACCCCCATCAGAATCATCTGTAAAGTCGAGCTCACAATTAGTGAATCCAAAGAATCGTCTGAGAACTGCGTCGATTTCCAAGCGTCAATCATACAGCCAACATAATCACAAAAAAAGGTCCAGCTCGAATTCATTAAAAAATGAAGCTGTGCATAGTGGGAATAATGATAAGCAGGATATTAGAGATGAGTTTACTACTGAGAGGATTTCAAGTGTGGTCCAGAGTATATCCAAACACGATGACTCCGGCTCAGAAATAGCAACGGAGATGAAATCAGGGGTTCCGGATAAAACTTTGGATAAGTATATAAAAGACTCCGATTTATGGGATAGCGAGCCACTGGATTTATAACTTTGTAAAAAGTTTCTTTGGAAACCAAAGATGATGCATTGATTATAGTGCTACATAAGAACATAAATATAAATCTCCTACTCGAAAATATTTTATATGTTAGGCGAGGAGACAACTGGTGAAGAAGAGAAAGAAGCATTATTCCTTGTATTATATATTTGCTTCTTCAAACTAATGAGCTCTTCTCTCATTTGGTCTCGCTCTTGGGAGACAATAAATAAGTTGGCTTCCAAATCTTTGATCCTGATCTCGTACCTATCATCAACAAAGCTAATATCGTGTTGACTTGTACTTTCATCAATTTCACCATTTTCACCATCAAAATTGTCAATCTCTGTCACGGAGCCTGCGTTGCGAGTATTTGATTGGTTTGTTGCTCCTTCATTGACGGCATGATTACTACCATTTAAATCGTTTGGCTCAACGCCTTCAACATGTGATGATACAGCTTTATTAGTACTATTCGCGTTGGTGCTACTATTCAAACTTCTGTTGTAGCTAGGTTTTCTTGGATTTGAGTTGGAGAAAACTCTCTTTTTCAACTTCAATTCTTCTAGCTCATTAGACAAAACTTTAATTTGGTCTTTTAACTTGTTAGTTTCTGATTGTGAAAGCAAGAGGGCTCTATGAGATTTGTTCAATGAATTTCTAGATTCTGTGTATAGTTCTTCAAACTCTTTGAATTTTGAGGATGAATCCTCTATCTGCTTGGAAAGATTGAAGTTGGTCTGTTTCAAATGATCTATCTCTTTAAGCACCCCAGAGTGTGGAGCAGCATTGTTCCATTTCTCAAGAAGGGCATCGACTTTGGTGGTAACAGACTCAAAATTGGTTGGTTTTATAGCCTTTGAAACATCTTTGCTCTGATCTTCTTCTCCAACAGCAGTGACTCCGTGAATGACAAAGAAATTCTCTAATTTGCTATTAAGCGAAGAATTTTGGGCTTCCAAGTTGTATATTTTTTCTTGCAGTAGTTCTTCTCCTTGAACTTTAGCTGACAGCCTATTTATCGTTTCCTGTTGTTCTTTGATTAGACTGTTCAACGCAGGGATGGTTGAGAGTTCATCCTTAATGAAGCTTTCGAGCTGCAAATTTTTCTCAATCATGGAAGAATCATTACCTCGGGATTCAGCATTCAATTTTTCAAGCAACTCTTTCTTTTCAGCTTCAAGAGTAACAATCTGAGAGTTCGCCTGCGACACACTTTGTTTCATCTCTGCCTTGACGTCATTCACCATTTGGATCAATCTCATCAATTTCACGTTATCCCTTTCTACCAGGGCTGGGGAAAAGGGTGTGGCAGAATTGCTGAATGGCATAGTGGAAAACTGTTGAAGGGAAGGAGTGGCAAAGTTGGAAGGTATGTCATCATAAACCTCGTCTTCGTCTACCGATTTAGCGGTCATATTAGAGACTGAAGTTGAAGTTGTGTTTGAGTTTGATGATATAGCTGTGAGCTTTTTCAGCTTCGAAGTTTCATCGTTTTCTGGTGTTTTATAAATCAGGTCACTGACGGGATCTGTTTGTACATTTGTATTAGCAAACGTGCTTTCATTTTTGATATTGTCTATATTTTCGGACTCGAAGATTTCATTATCCACAACTTCGTGGTTTCGAGATTTTTCATCTAAGTCATGCTTTATCTGTGTAGAATCGGATAGATTTCTAGTGTCAGAGTTAGAGAATGGAGATTCAGAAGTCATATACAGCTTTTCAGATGGACGCTTGGCAGTTCCATGAACGACACTTTCATCTACACTCACGTAATCTTCTTCGTCTGCACTATGTAGTGGTGTTGAGGAGACCAGTGGGCCTGTTGATGCCGAGGTTGGAGAATGTGGTGGCTGTGATGGTGAGGTATCATTCAAGTCTATATTCAACTGTGACTTGCGAACCTTATCCCTACCAAACGAAGTTGGGAATGTAGTTCTAGAATCGGAAGCTAGAGTTGCACTTCCAGTTTCAGCTTTGTTGCTGGTAGCTGCAGTTACAGCTGAGAATGGAACTGAACTTACTTCAGCTTCTGAGCTGTTGCTAATAGCCATTGAAGACTTATCGGTAAACTTTTCCAGTAACTTGATATCACATTCATAAATGACTGAGCTCAGCAGTGAAAATTTTGCCTCGTCTATCATACCAATCGATGAATCGTCAATACCATTGAAGTCGTTATCGTAGATATCCCCACCCATTATGATGATCTTTTCGTCGACAGGGTTGACGGTGATCGAATGGCCATATCTAGGGCCTGGAGAGTAGGGGAGATTAGGTTGTAGTCTCCAACAACGGAAAGTGGAAAGGTCTATCACAAACAAATCTCCAGAGTTTGTGTCGTTTGGCAGTCTTCCACCGTAGATGAGTAATAGTGTTCCGAAAATGGTTGTAGAATGGCCATACAACGCAGGCGGGGATATACCATGGAGTTTGCAGATGGCCCACTCATTCTTGAGAGCATCATAGCAATACAATTGGTCGTTGATGTGCCCACTGTTGTGGCCACCATACAGATATAACCTGTCATTGCATGCGGTCATTGTGTAGTTTGCCAACGGTGGTGGTAAGTCACCCTTGGCGTGTATTCTAACCCACTGGTTATTAGGATCTTTGAACTTGGAAAGGTCGAATCTCCACAGGTCATTGAAATACTGGTCGTTGAGTTGGCCACCGAACACAAACAACTGGCTGGACCATTTGCTGGGGCTTATTTCAAAGTTCAACACGGCGATCTGATGGCCGTATCTACCGCAAGGTTTGGGACCTTCAGGAGATGTAATTGTCCATTTGAGGGACGAGATGTTGAAGAAATAGAGCTTGTTGTCTAGGGACTGATCGTAATTTATGGCTGTGTCGCCTGCAAATATGATGAAGGCATTGCCGATCAATATGGATGCGTGGCCGGTTCTCGGAGAGGGGATTTTCTGTGGGTTTTCGATGGGCGACGCGATGTAGGGGGAATCCGTGCCTGAGGAGTCCTGTTTTCGTATTGGCTCGATAACCCACATGTCTCCGTAAACGTCGTTGCCAGACAAGCCGCCCATCAGGTAGCATGTTCCTGAGGTGGAGGTCAAGGAGGAGACTGCGTGGCCAAAACGGGGAAAGGGCGAATTGTAGAGCTTCTTCTTTCGCCACGGGGTCACTGCAGGGCCGGAGTTGTTCGAGTTGTTCGACCCGTACGAGTGGTTCGAGTTGTTGCTGGTCCCGGCAGTGCCACCGCCTGCTGTGGGGTGCAGCAGTGTTCCTGTACCATTTGGCGTGTGCATCTGGGTCTGCGCTGGCACCTGTTCATGGCGTGTTTCGTGCGTGTGGGACGTGTTTCTCGATGGGGGGTTGCTCGTTCTGTGGCTGTGGCTGGTTGTGTTAGACGAGGCCGAGCCGACGGTGTCGTTCGGGTTGCTCGAGTCGTAGTTCTCCGTGTTGCGGGCGCCTGGAGCGGGCACGTCGTAGCTCACCGATCTGTACTTGGGGTCCTTCTCCTTGTGCGGGAACAGCTTCCGCTTGTTGAACTCCCCTTTCAATTGGTTCACGGGCGGCGACGGGAGAGAAGCCGTTGGCGGCGAGTCGTAGACTGCACCAGGCTTAGGCGACTTGCTGTTGGGGTTGATTTTTTTGAAAAAGCTAGCCATTGCGGGGGGCGACGTGTTCCTGGCGGACGCCTGTGTGGTGGCAGGGGGCAGTGGCAAAGACGGTTGGCAACGGCTTCAGCTGAGCACACAGCAAAGACGGCGATCCAAAGTGGGTAACGTGGACGTGGACGTGGACGTGGACGTGGACGTGGATGGGTCCTTGACAACGGACGTGAACAGATCCTGTACTCGTGTGTACGACGACGTGTCGGCAGACCGGTGCTGTGGTCTGGGAATGCTGTGCGGTGCAGTGCGGTGCAGTGCCCTTTCCCCCAAGCGGCCAGGGGTCCGTCCCATCGTGCCTTCTTGCAGAAGCCTCCGCACAACAGCACACCCCAACCCCCTTCACGGACCCCACTGCGGCCGCCGGGGCATCAGCAACAGTGGCTGCTGCTGCTGGGCAGACGGGGCAGACACGACGAGCAGCGGCGCGTCCGTGCACTAGCCCGCCCGGCCCCTGCTCGGCCGCCCTCCGCCGGACTAGTTGACGCACGGGCCGGCCGTTGCGCGCGGGCGGGCATTGTCTGCGGCCGGGCGCGCCCCTCGGCGGGCGCGCCGCCTGCGGGCACGCGCTACGTTCTACGTCGCGGATCTGCTGCTGTATTCGCTATGTACAGGTACAGAGCTGGGGGAGGGTTCAGAGGCCCAGAAGCCCGGAGGCCCAGAAGCCCAGGCCCGAGGCGGCGCAAATCCCTATGCGGCGGCGGCCGCCGCCGCCCTCTTCGCTACCGGCGGGAAAATCCCCCAAACCACCCGGTCTCCTCCTCTTCCTCTTCCTCCTCCGCGTCGTTCTCGTCGGCGTCGTCCCCGGCTGGCGGATCGGCGCCCAGGGAACGCACCGGCCACCCCGGGCGCAAATCTTCCTGGAGAAGGATCTTTTTGAGGGTATCCTCTGAGCTGACGCTGCCGCGGGACGGCCTATGTCGCCGCTGCTGCTGCTGGCGGCGGCGCTGTCGCTCCTCGCGGGCGCTGTACTCTGTTTCGTGGGCACTCGAGCCGCCGACGCCTGCGTCGCCGTCGCCGTCGCCGTCGCCGTCGGCCCCCCGTACGTGCAGATTCATGTTGCGGGTGGAAATCAACCTCGGCATCACCAGCTTGATCTTGGAGCCCTGGCCGCCGTCCGCACCGCTGCCGCTGCCGCTTCCCTTAATGTCGCCCGTGCTGCTGCTAGCGCTGGCGGCGCCCTGCGCCGCCAAACTTAGCTTGCTGTTGGAGCCGAGCGGGACCTTTGCGAAGGTGCCGTCCAAAACCGTCGTCGGCTCGTCGGCCTGCATGCGCGCCCTGGCGTCCTTCTCCTTCTCCTTGGCCCGCTCGGTGAGGATCATGTTCTGCAGCTTGTTGCGGGTGCCAAAGGACAAGATGCGTGTGTCCGAGCCGTCGCTGTCGTCGCCTGAGGACTCGGCGTCGTCGTCGCCAGCAAAGACGCCGAGTCCGTGGCTGATGCTGCTAGCGGCGGCGACGTTGTCGGCAAAGGCGCTCAGGCGGATTGAGTCGTCGCCGTTCGTCACCGAGCTCTTGCGAGACATGTTGAACTCGTCGTAGTCGGAGCCGTCGTCGTCCATCGTGGAGCTGCGGCTCAAGAAGAAGTGCGAGAAGGGGTCGCCCTTGATGGGCGACGGCCTCGAGAAGAAGTTCTTCATGTTCAGCTGGAACTTGCTTTTGTTCTCCTCGTTGAAAGAGCTCAACGAGGTGATCGACCCCTTGTACACGCTCTTGTTCAGCCCGTTCTCCTGCAGGTCCTTGAACTCGTCAAACGACGCAGACCTGCCTCCATCGGCACCGGTCTCATCCTCGGAGTTCGTGTCCGAACCGCTGTCGCCCCCAAAGTAGCTGTGCAACTTGTCCAAATCAATCACCTTTTCCTCGCTCGTGTTCTTATTCAAGAGGTACAACTGTCGTGACGACCGCGTCTGCTTCAATGATTCGATCTTGTTGTCCTCGCTGGCGTCCTTCTCTTTGTCTCCGATGTTGATGGTGTTTCGTCTCCGCCTTGTTGGCTCGCCCTTGCCTCCGCTCTGCTTCGGCGATCCAATCTGCTTCGGTATGCTCTGTATGATCGTCGTGAACCCTGTAGTTCCGATTGTCAACTCGCTTCTCAAGTTGTCCGGGTCCAATTTCGTCAAGTCGATGGGCGAATCGAGAATCTTGTAGAATTCTTGGTCGGTCGATGGCCCAAGTAGCTTGTTCAAATTGAAATCGTAATCCATCAACTTGAACACCGACCTTCGTTTTTGTGATTGCTTGAAGTATATTGGAGTGCAGAGCGGGATCTCGCTGAAAATAGATCTACCCAATAAGATCTGTAAAAGCGTCGAAATGACGGCTCCGTGCGAAATGATAACAACAGCCATCTGTCGGTCTACCTCCGACCCCTGCTTTGTGTAGTAGTACTGTAACAAGTTGATAAGGTAGTTAAAGCATCGTCTAGTGAATGCTGACGCAGATTCCCCATATTCTCCACAATGACCCAACTGGTTATATGACCACGTGGAGTCCTTAACGTTTCGCAGTTGGTTCTTCGTCGTTTCAGTAAAAGCACCGTTGCTTGCTGAAAGGCTCGGTTGATTCAAATAGGCATTCACATTGTTAATCATGGAGTAGCCATCATCGTTGGGTGGCAAATATTTCAAATTGTAGTTCTCGTTCAACCATTCTGATAGTGCCTGGTCAACCCTGAGTTTTGTGTTGATCTTCTCTACATCATTCTGTTTCCCATGTATTATTTTGTCTAACAACAACTCACTTGTTTGTATACACCTGTTATAGGGCGAAGAATGAATCATTATCTGTTTAGTTCTACTCTTGCTCAAAATGTCGTTGGAAATCTTTTTAAATGCACTCTCCATTTCAAGTGATGCTATACCTTCATTAAGCGGTGGATCAAAGTTAGATAACCAGTTCGACGATTCATCATAATCTTCAACTCCTACTTTATTGTCATTTTGGTCTCCTGCATGAAGCGAAACTTCGGATTGTCCGGGAGATATCCCGTGTTTGCTTTTATCTATTCGTGTACAATGTCGAATAAGAACAATATGCATTCTTTAGTGAATCCTCAGAACGTAAAGTGTTGCAAAGATGATTTCAAAATATCACAGTGTCGATTCTGGTTCTATTATGTCCTCCACTATATGTTTGAACTCCCCAACTGCTGAGGGTTCTGAGCCTCTGATGGGCCGTTAAGACGCCGGCTTTCGTAGCTCCAATCAGTATGCATCACCAAATTTTTTTAGGCGACGAGCACATGACAGGATGACCGGTTGCTCGTTCCGCTCTCTACAAAATTGTGCTACTTCATGAAGGCTTGATATCGGGTAATTAGGTAGAGGAAACTTACTCGGCTACTACACAGCAGTTACATAGAATGGCAAGCTAGCTTTCGTGAAAATATTAGGGATAATCACACCATTTTCCACTGTTGGCAGTCGAAATTGGCATAGCATCTAAACTCGTTACTTAATCCATTCTTATGTTCAGGAAAGAAATCTGTGACTCGAACACCGGGATAGTTCTTCAACACATTCTCTGTCATTCTTTCCCCTGTACAGGTTATCAACTTTGAAGTCTTTACATCCTTGACTAATAATTTGGCTGTTTCTGATGAGTTTTTCTGACATTCAGCTTCAAGAAATGGTGGGTCAATTAATAATCTATCGACCTTTCCCCTCAAATCCTCACGAAATTTGTTTGGGTCATTGTAATCATAAAATCCAAAGTGCTCTTTGCCTGACAGTAGTTCAAATCTCTTATCAAATTCAAATAAGTAAATATTTTTTGTCGGTAGCGTGGAAGGATCCCTTTTGTTTATTATTGCATAAACAGAAGGTGCGCTGGCGATACAAATAACTGTTTCTTCTGTGGCACCTTCTAAGAGTGCGTCTAGCAAGGTGTTTGCTGTAGAGTCGCTGTACCAAAACTGTGATAGTTGCCAATCTTCCTTGAAGTCGTCAATTGTTAACTTTTCACGGTTATCGAAATCATCTTCTGCTTGTTGGTACATTTTCATAAATTTTTCATTTCTTTCTTGCTCTTCACTTTTGAAGGCTTGTAATGCAGCTAGAGTATCTGCTGATAATGTTCTAGATAAAAATAAAAAAGTAATATAAAGAGAGAAAAACAGGATCTAGTGTTAGCAAGATGAGTTTTCATCATTTTCAAAAAAAAAAATATACTTACGGGATGTCGTCATCAAAATCCATTATTGATAAAATAATTTATTAACCTCTGTTACGATTGCAAGATCCATTTCATCAGAAGTTTCTTTAAAGATGGAAGAAATTGTTGTCTGTTATGGCAGATCACGAATAAAATTTTCGGCTATTGCTTGATCGCTACTGAAAAAAAAAAACTGCTTCGAGCCTCGAACAGCGCTCATCAAACAGAAGTCCTTTTCAAATATATCTTAGAATTTTCTACATCAAAGCCGCTACAATTAGAGACAAAGACCTTGATAATCCTGCTAAAAATGTAATAATATTCATCATCAAAAACGCCAGAAAAAAAATTTGAAAGTAGTTAAGTACTTTCTTTTTTGTGAGCTAAGAGGTTCGAACTCTTGCATCCGAAGATATTGCGACCTGAACGCAACGCCTTAGACCACTCGGCCAAACTCACAAAAGTTTCTTTTCTTTCAGGGACGTGCAATATATCCGGCTTCTCTTACGTAATTAGCAATAAATAGTTGTTTCTTGCTGGCTTAAGAGAGAGAGGTTATAGGATTAACATATATTCATTTGAGTAGTTTTATAAGCTTAATACACAACAAAAGTCAGTATATTCGAAGTTTAAAATTGTTTCAGATAGAGTTTCTAGTTTTAATAACTCTAATTAACAAAGATCTTTTATTAAAAAAAGCAATAAACAATCTCTTACATAAGCTAAAAACGTGATTAAGCTACTCTATAGTATGAAGAACTTAAATTTTTACGTAATTGGCAATTTGTCCGAGTGGTTAAGGAGAAAGATTAGAAATCTTTTGGGCTTTGCCCGCGCAGGTTCGAATCCTGCAGTTGTCGCTTAAACCTTAATTTTTTTCAACCACTTTTACTTTCAGGATAGATAGTAAGCTTTATTGTTTTGAAATCACCTAAAAAGATTGTGTTAAATCTACCACTCAAAAGTAGTTGATTCACGTTGAAAGCTGTAATAGTTTAAACAAAAAACTATCTAAATTTTGCATGCTCCCACATTTTCTCTAAACTTTTTTTGAAGATAGCAACATTGTGGTCAATAACCGACAGTGCGGTTGTCTCATCGCTGTCTTCCAAGCGACTAACGGCAACTAGAGCCAATCCTCGTATCATCTGGTGCAAGTAGAGCATGGTACCGTTCTCGAGCCTGGAAATGCATTTTGTAGGTTTAGTATTTGCCAAAGCGTCGAGATCTTCAGAGACGCTTGTTTGATACTGGCTTTGATTCATACTGTCCTCGAAAGTATCCGTTATGGAATTACGTTTCAGCTGCTGTGCGTGCTGCTGCTGCTGCTGCTGCTGCTGCTGGCTATTTGATTCGTACAAGCCGTCCAAATCTATTGACACGTCGATGAACTCAGCGCAAACCTCATAGTTCTGTATATCGACAGGAGAAGAGTCGGTGGCCACGTAGATTTTGGAGTTGATGTCGAACAAGAATACCTTGTCAAAGTTGCTGTACTGCATCAATAAGTCAAGCAAGTTTTCAAGTGCCGGCAACTCATATATCAATTTCTGGACAATTCTCGAAAACGCCTCGTAAATTGAATGGTCAAAAATCGACGTCAAGTAGAACGAGATCTGGACGCCCTCCAACCCATAATCTAGCAAATCGTCGCCAACCCTTTGCATTATATCTCGCTGAGTGTCGAGCCTGAAGTCTTCGGATAACCCGTCGATCTTGTGAATCAACACCTCAATGTGAATCTTAGGGTTCACACTCACGGCATATTTGATGATCACAGCCAAATTCTGCAACGCACTGAGATACTCGTCCTGTGAGTCGATAACATACACCAACGCTCCGATCGACGTGAACAACTTCTCGTAATCGTACAACGCCGGTTCAAACAGGTTCAACTGCCCGGGAAGCTCAATCACCGCCAAGTCGATCAACGACTTAAAGTTTTCTGTTGTCGGCTTGGTCGTACTCTCGAGGTACAACGTATCCAACGGCTGGGTGTTGTGGAATACCACCTTGCATATTGACGATTTCCCAGACCGTCTGAGACCCATGAGTAACACCGTAGCATTGCTGTCTACCTCGAAACTTCCACTCAAAGCCGACTGGTCCATTCTGATGTTCCGTTCTGTGTATTCAGCGTTTTGCAGAACACCGGTCCTTCTACTTCCCCTAGTCTGGCCTGTTTTACCCTGTCATCCTACCCGCAACGTCTTCAACCCTGTCTTTCCTTATTCTAGCGTATCCGCCCCTAACGGGTGAGCAGACGGAAAAGCGAGATAAAACGACCGGGGTCGATCGGCGGCTTCCACTTCCGCCACATAAAAATTAACCGCTACGTGGGTTATTATCGATCTGATTGCCCCATCTGGACAGTATCGGCCGCTTGGGGACGGGGATGGACTTCCGTGGCAGGTGGTCGGCAGATAAGCCGAAGATGCATCTCGAAGACCTCTATTTAAGCAGTCGGTCCCCCTCTCTCGAGAGGAGCGTTCAGCTAGACTATAGTTCTTGGCGAAGCAGCTTTAGGGAGGTAAATTTGAAGTTCTTTCGTATAACTTTTTCCCAAGCAGGCACCATCAGCTCTACTCCAGATGTCGATCTCTGAAAGCTATTTTCCAACCGAGCCAAAAGGACCAGAAGTCAAAACGGCCATTCCAGGTCCTAAGTCAAACGCAAAGCTTGCAGAGCTAGCCAGTGTCTACGACACCAAGGCGGCATACTTTGTCACCGATTACTACAACTCCTTGGGTAACTACATCTGCGATGCCGACGGAAACAAGCTTTTGGATTCGTACTGTCAAATCTCCTCGATCGCATTGGGCTACAACAATCCAGCACTTTTGAAAATGGCCCACTCGGCTGAGATGGCTGTTGCTCTATGCAATAGACCAGCATTGGCATGCTTCCCTTCCACTGATTACTACGATATCTTGAAGGAAGGTCTACTTTCCGTTGCTCCAAAGGGATTGGACAAGGTCTGTACCGCACACACCGGTTCTGACGCCAACGAAATGGCATTCAAGGCAGCACTGATGTACCAGGCAAACAAGAAGAGAGGTGGAAAGCCGTTCACACAAGAGGAACTGATCTCTGTCATGGAGAACCAATTGCCAGGTACTTCCGACATGGTGATTCTTTCGTTTGAAAAAGCTTTCCACGGCAGATTGTTTGGTTCGTTGTCTACTACCAGATCGAAGGCCATCCATAAATTGGACATCCCCGCCTTTGACTGGCCAAAGGCCCCTTTCCCAACTTTGAAGTATCCTTTGGAGAAATACGAGGCCGAAAACAAGGCAGAAGAGGAGAGATGTTTGCAAGAACTTGACGCAATCATTACCAACTACCCAAGCAAGATTGCTGCTGCCATCGTAGAACCAGTCCAGTCCGAAGGTGGCGACAACCACGCTTCTCCAGCCTTCTTCCAAGGTATCAGAGCTATCACTAAAAAACACGACGTTCTTATGATCATTGATGAGGTCCAAACCGGTGGTGGTGGTTCTGGTAAGATGTGGTTACATGAACATTATGATGTTACCCCTGACATCATGACCTTCTCAAAGAAAATGCAAAACGCTGGTTTCTTTTTCAGTGAAGAAGGTTTAGCCGGTGATCAGCCTTTCAGACAATTCAACACGTGGTGTGGTGATCCTTCAAAGGCTTTGATTGCTAAAGCGATTATCGGGCAGATTAAGGAGAAAGATTTATTAAAGAACGCTGCCGAAACAGGTGACTACCTCTATTCTAAACTTGCTTTGATTGGCGAAAAGAACTCTAAGTTGCTCAATTTGAGAGGCAAGGGAAGAGGCTTTTTTATTGCTTTTGACCTTCCAACTGCAGCAGAACGAAACCAACTTTTGGGTGAATGCAAAAAACTTGGTTTGAACATTGGTGGTTGTGGTGACCAAGGTGTCAGATTGAGACCCGCCCTAGTTTTTGGTAAAAAACATGCTGATATACTAGCTGACATTGTCGGCAAGGCTTTTGAAAAGCTTTAGTTAAACTTTAAGAACTTTTTCTTCTATAATTTATAAATTATTAATACACGGTATAATATACTCTAATAGGACGCACTTTTGTGGCTGAATTTTACATTCATAACCCTGGAATTGAGCAAAACTTAAAGTTTTGCTCTTTTAGAAGGTGGGTTAGAAAGCTCAAGCTTTTTTTTCTTCTTTTCCTCAAACTTTTGCATAAACTTGGCCATATACTCTTTGGAAAATGCTTTAATTTTAATCTTCCGTTCATCAGACAATGTGGATGGAGCAGCCTCTCCTTCGTGCCTTTTCTCTTCCTTTTTTGTAAGATGGTGTACAATGTCTCTTGCGCAGTTTTTCAGGTTATCCCTGCCAATTTCCGATTCATACCTTTTCAGTATGTTAGGGACATAAGATGCAAACAAACTCATCCATTTCTTATCCAAAGAGTGGTTTCCACTAGAGCGTTTGTGCTCTTTCTCACCAGTCGAATTGGATGATGCACGCTTCTTCTCATTTTCTTGATCACTCATCCGAACTGCCTTCTCACCACGACTGGCATTACTCTTCGATCTAGACTTAGATTTTAATATTGCTCTAGATTTTTTTGTCTTGGACTGCTCGTTCTCATCACTCCCGCTTCTAGAAGCTTCAGCAATGATACTGGATAACATGTTCAGTTTTTCTTCCTCCTGTTTCAACTCCGATTGTCTTTTCAGTGCACGTTCTTTTTCTAAAACTTTCAGGTCCCTCAGCTCCCTAGCCTTTTCTCTTTCCCTATCACGCTCTTTGCGCTTCCGCCTTTCTTCGTCCTCTTTAGTCACTTTATCCATCGGCCACTCTGGTTTCTCCCATTGGGTGGAATTCATAAGCCTGTTAAAATAGTATCTTGTTTGTGTAGTAGGATCTAGCGCCCATTCCCACCCAGGGGGTAAGGGACAACCATCCAACTTTCTATTTTCTGGCAGCTTAGATACATCGAGGTCACCCCAAGGTTGCTTAATCAAAGATGCAGGTCCAGTTGGAAGTTTATTGCCGGTGCTTGGGGCATTTCCTGAGCGGCTCCTTCTATCATCAAGCACTTTCTGTGACTCACTTTTCTCGAGCTTCTTAGGGATTCTGTACACCACCTCAAGGGTTGACCACTCTTCTAGTAAATGGTCGATTCTAGAATTCATATTTCCGGAGAGATTTTTGGTTTCAAACTTCCTCAATAATTCTTCAACTTCACCGGCTTGAATCGAGTTTTTCGATTTAAGCTTTGGCCAATGCTCAAATAAATATATGGTCATGTCCAAAACGTTCATCTGATCAGCGCCAAGTGCATCTTTTTCACCAACTCCTAGAAGTACAGTTTTCAAAGCATGCCCTAACGCTTGCATCCCATGAAATCTGTTGAGCCTAAAAAGTAAGCCTTCAAGATCATCATCAAAAGCCATACCAAATCTTTCCAAGATACGTTTTATAACTATCAAATCCAAGTCTGGCTGCATCAAGCAACTTGAAATTTTTCCAACATCAGATGTATCAAGGGGCTTTAATTCTAAAGCTTTCACAAACTCTACATTGACATTAGAGTCAACGTTGTCATTGGTAACTTTAACACCATTCTTCTTTTGTTCTTTGAGCCATTTTTTTTCATCACTTGCACGGACACCTAAGGCTTCAGTAATAATATGAGGTAGGAGTCTTACAGTTTCACTTTGCGTTTTACCACCCATGACACCAAGACAATTTGCGGCTCCACAAAAGCATTTCTGAGGTTGTGCACCGTATCGGTCTACATTATAGTCAAAACAAATTTCCTCTCCTTTATTGATCGTTCTCTTGGCAAATATTCCCATTCTGAACCTTTTATTAACAACCCACTTTTCAATGTAGGCATTCGGATCACAGGAATGATTGCAATATCTTCCCAAACTGGCCTTCTTAGTTGCGTCAATGATTTCATTATCCTGGATCATCATGAAGTAAAAATGCTTTATTCCTTCTGCATCGTAGTTTTGCTTTCTCACCTTGTATTCTTCACTATCTACAATTTCTCCCATGTATTCAATTATGAAACTATGGGCAGGAATTTCCACATTAGCTCTCATACCGTATCCTTTTTCGGCAGTTAGGAATATTGAAATATTTGCATATTCTCTTCGCTGAAACCGCTGATTCAAGCAATAATCACCACATCCACACTGGTCATCTACACATTCAATATTTGTTAATCTATTAATGCAATCTGACTCGGGACCACAAGCGATGTTGAGACCATTAACAACTTCCTCTTCGCAGTCACAGGTCATGAATTCGTTTGATGCTGAGTAGACATTTTTCAGTCTACTGATATACCGGTTTTCTGGAAGAACCACAAATTGGGCCTTCACTTCATCAGTTTTATCTTGATACCCATCAAATAATTGCATTTTCTTTTCTAAAATCGGCGTTATAGATTTAGAACGTTCATTATCACTTGTTGAGTCAACCGTCTCAGTTTTCGACATGTTGATCTCTCACCTCGGAATCTAGTATCGTCGAACAAATACCAATAGGTAATGACTACCTAGATTGTTGAATAGTCTAAGCCAGTTGGATGGGATCCTGAAGTGATTGAGGTCATAGCAAATTCTCATTGAAAATTGAACAGTGGAGTTTGATTTTAACGACGAACACATCCACTCTGATTAGTGGCACACGCGCTGATCTGACAGGCCCTTCTGTTTCGGGGAAGTTTGCAGATTCATGCCGGGACAGTATTACTGGTTAGTATCTAGAAAACGGATCATCAGAAGAGAGGTACCACGGTTACGCATACACAATTAAATGAGAGAGTGAGCTGTAAAATATCACGAGTAAGGAATGTCTGATGGGGAATCCGATCCTTTATCTCCAATGGAGAGCCTCGATGAAAGAATAGGGCCTCTTGATTTGTCTAACTCTGCTAGTGATTACGATGAGGATGACAACAACGATGACGTTTCTAATTTGACCCAAGCAGAACTAACTTCACAAATATCGAATATTTCCACACTTTCTCATGATCGCCGAAACAGAATCGAAAGATCGGTGACTCACTATGAGAATATGGATAAAGGGATTACTAGGATGCCCCAATTCTACAAGGCTGACGAGTTTTTGAAATGTTTATCTCAATTCACCATGGAGAATGAAACGCTTAAAGATTTGGGAAAGATAAAGGAGAGTTCTGATCCCAATGGAAAGTCTGTAAAGTACGAAATAATTATAGAAAATCAACGAGGAGCTACCCTATTTGGCTCGAAAATGTTTTGTAAACAATCAGTTTTGTATCCCTTGGATCCTCCAAAGTACCAAGCGTTGACTGGCCAAAATTTGACAAGTTTATCTATGTACCCGGAACCCGGAAACAATTGGAGATGGTGTTGGAAAAAATGGCATGTCATAATGATTAAAGATGTCGATGAAGAAGGTTGGATATATTCCACAATTAGATTTGGAAGCTATAACTGGACAGGAGTTGGAAAGTTCGGTAATTTTGTCAGAAGAAGAATATGGGTGAGAATGGTTGAAAGGGTTCATACTGAAAATAGTAGTAGCTCAGACTCCGAGGAGGAGAAGGAAACAATTGAAGTTTCCCCTAACTTCAAAGATTATCTTAAAACAGGAGATGGCTTGAAAAGTTTCTCACAAAAGGTAAAAAGCAACATGATACCAGGGTATACAAGCCGAAAACAAAAGAAGGAGCCTGAAACAGAAAAGGCTTATGAAAAGAAGGAACCTATTTCAAGTAACTCGAAGGATAAGCTCAACGAATCAACTGATATAGACAACGACATGAGTTCTGAATCAGACTCTGTCGATTCACAGTCTATAGTTTCTTTCTCCAGAGACACTATTGTTGGAAGTAACATAAAACCTCAACTGTCCTCAATATATTCGAAAAGTCTTTCTATTCAGTCGCTTGATGAGGCTTCAGAAGATTTGAAAACAGTGAGAGATACGTTCACCCAAGTCAGTAACTGCACCATTGACAGGCAAAAAATAAGTACGCTACTAGAGTCATTTTTCTCTTACGAGATAGATACAATCAATTACTTACTGCAAAACTATAATGACACATCTGATAAGTGTGAGTCGTGGATTCAAATGTTCATTTTGCAGTTACATTTCCATGATTCCGGACGCTTGTTTGTCAAAAAGTTTAAAGTACTGTTAGACGCATCCGATATCTCAACCCAACAGCGTGATACCCTTAACAAACTTTATCATGTTTGTTCGCATATTGTTAGCACTCAATCCTACAACTCGGAAGGCAATCTTTGACGCCAGTAGATTTATAGAAGTAGGAACATGAGACTTTAGTCTTTCCAATTGCTGAAAAAATTTATAGATTCGCAAAATTAATACACGGGTTTGTAACATAATGTATGATAATAATTTTTTTATTTACAAGCTAGTACACAATGATCTTCGAAATATTTACAAGTGTCTTTCGATTGGTAGCTTTTCGATAGATTCAATTAAGTCTCCTGCTTCCAATAAAGGGTCATTCTCTAATGCAATACCACAATCTGCGCCATTCAAAACTTCGTTAACATCATTTTTCATTATCTTGAGCTGTTTTATTTTCCCGGTATAAATTACTTTTCCATTTCTGACCAACCTTACCGCATTGTTTCTTTTGAGAATACCATCAACAACTCTGGAACCTGCAATCATCATTGTTTCTCTACCTTTCAAAGTGATTTCAAAAAGTTGTTTGATCGAAACTTTTGCAACAACTTTTGTTTCATATATAGGAGGTAATCTTGATGTTAGGGTAGCCAAAACATCTTCAATCAAATGGTAGATGACATTGAACTCCTTGATTTCGATTTGTGCCTTAGAAGCACTGTTCAAAATATCTTTTGGTACTTTGACATTGAAAGCCAGGATGTGAGCGTTAGATCCTTTTGCCCTGGCTATGTCTGAATCAGTAGGTGGACCAACTTCTTCATATAACACTTTCGACCTGACTTCATCATTACCCAAACCTTCAATACTCTGCCTTACTGCTTCAGCAGAACCACTAACATCTGCTTTGATGATAAAATTGACGTCTTGGATCTTCGATGTTTCGTCGTCAAATAATTCAGGTTCGATGGTTTTTATTTCTTCTAAACTAAAGCCCTGTAATTGATATTCTTGGATTTTCTCGTCTCTCTTAGAATCCTCGATTGCTTTGATTCTGCGCTGATTCATTTCTTCAATTTGAGATGCTTCTTCCATCATCCGTTTTCTCTTCTCTCTGTTAATTATGACTTTCTTGGCAAAACTTTCATCTTTTGCTTGGATTCCATAATCACCTGCTTCAGGTAACTCTTTCCATCCTGAGACTTCAATCGGCTGAGAAGGCATTGCAACCTTAATGATTTTATTCTTTTCATCTTTCATAACTTTAACCTTACAGAAAGTGGTACCAGCAACTAGGATACAACCTGGTTTGAGTTCCCCTTTCTTCACGAGGAAACTAGCAACATTTCCCAAACCTTTTTTTACTTGTGACTCTAAAACCCAGCCTTCAACAACACCTTTCTCTTCTGTTTTGAGTTCCAGTAGCTCCGCAATGGTCACAATGGTTTCTTCAAGTTCTTTCATCCCCATACCAGTTTTCGCTGATATTCTGACCACAGGAGTATCCCCACCATAATCTTCAACATCTATACCGTTCGATGATAAATCCGCAACAACCTTGTCAGGATTTGCTTCTTCCTTATCACATTTATTTATTGCTACAACAACGGGAACACCGGATGCCTTCGCATGTTTGATGGCTTCTAAAGTCTGAGGCTTAACACTATCCTCTGCCGCAACAACTAATATGATAATATCGGTGATATTGGCACCTCTCTCACGCATTTTCAAAAAGGCTGCATGGCCCGGTGTATCAAGAAATGTGATCTTTTTCTTACTTACGGGCGTCTGTACAACAAAAGCTCCAATATGCTGGGTTATACCTCCAAACTCACCTTTGACGATTGATGATTTTCTCAAAAAATCCAAAATTGTAGTTTTACCATGATCGACATGACCCATGATAGTAACAACAGGAGATCTAGATTTTAATTTCTTATCATCCGTTGGTAATGGAGCTGGAAATAAATCGGCGCCCAAATTATCATCACGGTTCACCTCGAACCCATATTCTTCTGCAACTAATTCTGCAGTTTCAGCATCCAAAATATGCTCATTTGTAATGTTTTCAAAACCAAGTTCTTGTAACTTTTCAAGTAACTCGGGAACACGGACACGCAATACTGTGGCAAAATTTGCGACAGATAAAAAGGTTGGTATGTCCAATTGAAATTTGGAGCCATCTGCTTTTCTTATTGCCTTCTTCTTTTTTTTAATTTTGACAACTGCAAATTCTGGATCCTTTTTCTCCTCCTTATTTGTCCTTTTGAAAGTCTTTGGTTTGTCTTGCTTGAGTTTTTCTGAATTTATCTTTTCATTCTTGTTGGCAATTTTTTTTGATTTTTTTTCAGGTTCATTATTTGTCTGAGTAGATGATTCAGCATGCATTTTCCCCTTCTTTATCGGCTGGTCATATTCAGTAGGCTTTTTTGCTTCAATCTTCTCTTCCTTTAACTTCTGATTGATTTTCTGGTTAACAAGTGTATCTATAGAATCTGTATCGCTAGCGTTTGTGTGGTCTTGAAGATCTTTTCTAAATTTGGATTTTCTCAAAATTGAGACACAATTTGCAGGAGAGTATGAAAAATCCCTGCTAGCACCAATCACAAAATATTTGCATAATGGAAACCCTTTCGTTCGCAATATCGTATGGCACAACATTGTTATACAATATCGTTAACGTATGACTTATCCTTAGAAATAAACCTAGAAGTGGAAAATTCCTAATAAAATCATGTACGGTTGGAAGAAGCATGCTGAAAATCTCTCGCTCGGTACCAATCTAATCATCAACTCGTTTTGGGGCATTTTCGTGCCTGGCGGCGATTCGCCAATCGAGAATAGTCGATCAACAGAATAGTCCATAAAGAGCCGATTATATATAAAGATCTCAGTTAAATATAACTTACAAGTAGGTACTATTTAGCCGCCAGTGACACCATTGTGGCATTTCGGGACGTCTCTACCTTCACGACGGAATTTGATTCAGGCTCAACAACCAGTAGTGGCCCAACGAAATTTTCTTTTCCCCATGCGTAATATCCAACCCATATAGAAATCGAAAAGATAAGAAATACAACAATAGAGTAGTTCATGGATTGGATATCGATGTCAAGAGATGGCGGGAAACATAGGACAATACAGGTCAGAAAAATCATAAAACAACTGAAAATGTTGACAACGTACCCGACCTTACGTAGTTTGAAAGTAGCCCCCCTGATTTTTTTCCTTTTATTTATTAGAGAGCAAAGAATTGGTATTCCGTTGGCCACATTCATTGCCATAACTGAACAACCAAGAAAAGCATTGAAAGCGCTTGTAGATATTAGTGAGAATGATCCTAGTATCATCGATGCAAACACAGCTAAAAGAAGTGCATTCCGTGGAACAGTTTCCATGTCTGTAGTAGTGTTTAATTGCTGCCATATGCTGCCATAAGGTAATCCATGATCTCTGGCTAGAGAGTATATTGTTCTTGAGACAGTAGTGAGTGCACCAACGCATGCAAAAACAATTGCACCAACAATCATCAACGATATGAACAAGGATACTAAAAATGATCTAGTTGACAATTTGAGAATCACATCTATTGGGAAAATGTCAGGATTGTCATCTAATAGTCGGCTTAGTTCTGGCAAAACACTTAGTAATGGGATGATAAAAATAATGCCAGTTACTATACTTGCAAAAATCGAGTAAGTCAACCCTTTTGGAATTGTTTTCTCAGGATCTTTTACTTCTTCACTCATTGAGACAATTGCGCCATATCCATTGAACGTCATTGAAGAGAATTGGATACCACCTATTATGAAAGCGACTACATCTGGCCATCCAGACCTTGAGGCATCGAAGTGGGTGAAAACATACTTTAAATTGTGAAACTCAGAGGCAAACAACAATATAAGTATATCAGCAATAAGTATTGTGTAAAACGTCCAGTAAATGCAAACTTCGTTAAATTTCTCCAAGGAGCCTTGAAATTTCAAGTTTATGATGGTTGAAACAAAAATGATAATGACAAAAGCCAACATAATCAGCAAACTGTTTTCTTTATAATCACTTTGAGATAGTCCGAATATTGAAAGTACAAATTGGGCGCCACCAAAGGAGTACGAAACAAACATCAATAGATTTCCGATGAGCAAATACCATCCGTCAAACCAAGAGGTTATTAACGAGTATTTTTCGTTAGATAAGATACATGAAAAATGGTAAACTCCTCCTGAGGTTGGAAATTTCGATGCAATCTCACTTAACGAAAGAGATATCATTATGGAAAAGAAACCAAATAAAAGCCAACCCCAGAAAATTGTTGCATTTGCACCGCAAACTAAGCCGATCGATAGTGTAGATGCGACACCGAAAGGAACATTCATCAAAGAAAATCCCAAGCCAACAATGGACCCAACTGAAAATTTATGTTCTAATTCAGGCTTATACTGAAAGTGTTGAACTTCTTCGTTATTATCATCGTCGTAGTATATCTCCTGCGCAATCTGATGGCCCAATACTCTAAGGTTCTCCGGAATGTGAAACTGATGGTGATGAGCTTCTCTGTCTTGGAGGGTAGCGTTTCGCTCACCCAGCTCGACGTCGGCATTCATTGCTGACTGCCGTTGTCGTTCCATCCTTGCCTTTTTTTAGCTGTTCCCTCCCTCCTTGAAACCAAAAAAACTTGGTCAACCGTTAAAGCAAGTAACCTTGGTTTAGATATCTCCAGGCGTTATCCTTTTTCCAGGCTTAAACTTTTTACGCCACGCGTATTTTTTAAAGCCATGATTTCTTGCAGGACACCAGAAGCTCACCTGTGATGTCATTATCCACTCGTATGGCTGACTGAGAGTATTCCGGTAATGTCGGGCGAAGGCCAAAGAGAGATACCTGGGTTTTATTATGATGAACAAAGACGGAGGTATTTTGCAGTGCCCACATCGTCGCATGTGGCCGAGTTCAACTCGCAGGAGATACATCAGCTTGATAGCAGGATCAAACGCAAAAGGAGGAAACAGGAAAAGCATGCCATACCCAATAATGAAAAACTGTCACCCGGGAGAGTGAAACAGGATGAGTACTTTGCTAAACTTGAATGCATGCAGGCAAAAGCTCAAAAGATAGGCATCACTCATAAGTTTTTCCAGAATATACTAAGTAGACGATCCAACTCAATAACGTGTGATAGGGGCTTTCAAACCGCACAACTTACACATCGCATCTACGTATCAGTACCAGCACACAATACTATCAGCGGGATGCGGTTAGCCTTCTTTGCAACAAAAAATGATTTCAATTTTTACGGAATGCTGTTTTACTTGAAGAATAATGACTCCCAGCACCTATTGTTTGACTCCAAGGTGAAAAGAGTGCTACAAGAGGATTCTAAGCCTAATTATGAAGATTTGAAATCAACCGTAATTAGTCACCTCTATCCAGTCAGGCCGTCGGACCTGCCCAGGTATGCTGAGGGTTGCAATGGATTTTTAGTCTTTGATGGACACCGAGCTCCTGACCCAAGCAATAATCTGTTGTTTGTGATCTCCGAGACGTCTTACTGTTTAAGCACGGGAAATCGATCCATAATACGTATAAAAGGTCAAAAGGATATCTGCGTCAACTCGGATGTTACGTGTATACATAATTTGCATGGCACCATCGGATATGGATGCCGTAACGGAGAAGTTGTAGTTGTGATACCTAATGGGAAACAAGTTAAGATAAGGCTTCTTTTGCCAGTATGTGGCCTAGTGTTGATGAATATTAATAAACAGCTCTACTGCGTGGTATCAAATGTGGATAGCAAACTTACAAGTTATATCGTCAATACAACTGATTACAGAGCTGATGAGTATCTCTCTTACTATGACTATAATTGGAGTTGGAGACTATCGAACAATATCAAAAATGACCCTCTTGTGGAAGGCATTTTTTGCGTCGAATCGGAAACTTCCGATTCGCAAAATTTAGAGTTACTCTTCTACAGTGTGTTTTGCCCGAAACCGCTGAAGATGAGGGCTGCATCTTTCATCATCGGAAATACAAATAAATCCGAAACGGAATGGGCACTTTTCAACAAGAAATTGGCAGTTTTTTCTGAAAAGTATCAATGCGTACGTATATACCAAGCCCCGCAAATTTAGGTTGTATGTAAATATATTACAAGTAAATTAAATCTCAAAAAACTGTGGGATATGATGCGTCGAACCAAGATATTATTAGTGGGAAGAGAGAGTGAAAGAAGCTCAGAACTACCTAATATTCACTGACAATCTCTTACTTCATAAAAAAAATCATCGTATGATTCTGAAAGTAAGTGTATGGCTTTCTCAGAGTTCCAACATACGATTTGTAGCGGAAGCCGCCCAACCACAGCTTCCTCCGTTAGGACTCCTTGAAGCTTTGATTGATGTTACAGTTCAAATTGTGCTGTATTACGTCAGCAGTACCATGTTTTTTTTTTCAAGATAAAATAATCGGACAGCAATAAATTAGGCCACTGAAAGGCTATAAACAAAATGTTCAATTTTTCTAGATGAGTTGATAAGACCAAGCAACGTTATAAATTATGAGTGACGATGTTCAGTTTGATGAATTTGGAAATTTAATAAATGGAGACTTGTCCGATTCTTCAGATGAGGAATCTCAAAATTTATCAAATGAAATAAATAACGACCAACTAAGGGAAAATAATGATAATGATAACGCCATAGTTCTAGCCGAAGATAGGACTTATTATCCAACACTATCTTCAACATTTGATGGTGTTGAGACGATAATTGCGACGGAAGATGAGAAAACTTTGAACGATCCAATTGTCGAACCCTATGTTGAAAAAAAGTTTATGCTAGAGGAAACCGATCTACCTGATACAACTTACTCTAAACGTTATCTGTGGGAGATGTCAAAAGTTCCTGAGCGTATAAGAAACGTTGCTTTTTGCGGAAATATACATGCAGGTAAAACATCCTTAGTTGATATGCTTGTTGAGCAAACTCACATGTTCTCAAGCAAAGCTCAGGAAGCTCAAGGAGTCAAACAAACTAAACTAAGGTATACAGATAACCACATATTAGAAGTGAAGCGTGGGATATCTATAAAGAGCTCGGTAATGTCGTTATTACTCCCCGATCAAAACGAAACCTACATTTTATTGAATATCGTGGATTCTCCTGGACATAGCAATTTCTGCGATGAAATGGCTATATCTATAAGACTTTCTGATGTTACAGTTTTATGCGTTGATGTCGTAGAAAGCGTGACCAAAAGCTTAGAATTGGTTATAGAGTATGCATTGAAAACTGGAACGAAAATGATGTTGGTAGTGACAAAAATTGACAGGCTAATTTTAGAACTTAGATTATCACCGCTAGACGCTTACTACAAGATAAGGAGGACTATCGAACAAGTAAATGAAACAATTGAAAAATATTGCGATGAACTTGAAATTGATTTTGCAGAAGCTAAGTTGAAGCTCTCTCCAGAACTTGGAAATGTATGCTTTTCTTCTACTACGTTTAACATTTTATTCTCCTTGTCAAGCTTTGCTCAAAAGTACATTGATTCTAATAATTTTAACAAAAACCTTGGAATGTCTACTGAATTACTTGCAAGGAAACTATGGGGTGACATTTACTACGAAAGCAAAAAGTTTTTTGTAAAGCCCAATAATCCGATAGCAGCAGCAAGCTCTAGAACATTTATCAAATTTATTCTTGCTCCAATCTACAAAATGGCCACTGCGTCTTTGACACTTGACCCAGTACAGCTAAAAAGATTTGCTGAACTTAACCTAGGATTGGATTTAAAGAAACGGGTCTACAAATTTGATACCAGACCCTTTATGAAGGAGCTTTTTGGTTCATTTTTTGGTCCTCCATCTTCAGCTTTAGTAAGCTCTCTCATGAAATTACCTTCACCTCGAGCAAACTCGAATACAAAGATTAATCATTTATATGACGGTCCGCCAAACTCTAAGCTTTCAGAGCATGCAAACAATTGCGATCGTGAAGGACCTTTGATTGCATTCGTCTCAAAACTAGTAGATACGACGGATAGCGAAAATTTTTATGCTCTTGTCCGGGTATTGTCTGGCTCTATAAAGGAAAACCAACTAGTTTCATTATTGGGGGAGTCATACTCTTTGAGTAATCAGGACGATTATAAACTACAGAAGATCAGCAAGTGCTATTTGTGGAGTGGTAGGTACAAAATTGAAGTTCCTGAGTTAAATGCTGGTTCTATTGGTCTTATCTCTGGCCCTGGAATAGACAGCTTTATAACGAAAACAGCTACAATTTATGATCAGGGAATTGAAGACTCTTGGATTGTTTTCCGAGGAGTGGATCAGCTATTAAGTCCTGTATTCAAGGTAGGTGTACAGGCTTATAATCCTAAAGATTTAAACAAATTTTTGGAATGCTTGAAGAAGCTTCATAGGTCTTACGTCGGATGTGAGATCAAAGTAGAAGACAGTGGGGAACATTCAATTTTCGGTTTTGGTGAATTATATATGGACTGCTTGCTACATGATTTGAGAATCCTATATGGTAATCTTGAGATTAAGGTTAGCGACCCTATGGTAAAGTTCAACGAGAGCACGGACTCCTTATCCAAAGTCAAGCTAGTGACCAAGTCTAATAATGTAAAAAATCAAATATCCATTATTGCCGAACCACTAGATCCTAAGATTTGCAAAGACATACGTAATGGAACTTTAAGTTTCAAGCGTGATACGCCTAGAAACTTTGCAAAAAAGTTAAGAGATAAATACAACTGGGATTCTTTGGCTGCCAGATCAGTTTGGTCTTTTGGTCCCACCGTAACTGGAACGTCTATTTTATGTGATGATACACTACCTGATGAGGTTGACAAAAAGCAACTGCTTGAGCTTAAAGAGTATATTTTGAAAGGATTTCAGTGGGCGGTAAGAGAGGGACCTTTATGTGAAGAGCCTGTAAGTGATGTTAAATTTAGGATCATAAACGCTCAATTTGCTGAAGATGATGCTGATAGGAATGGAGCTCAGATCATTCAGATGGTTCGTAAAGCATGCCATTCTGCCCTGTTGATAAGTGATGTCAGTTTACTTGAACCGATATATCATATTGAAACTATCAGCCACGTTGATACTCTGAACATGCTCGAAAAGTTTTTGGATAAAAGAAGAGGTTATATATTTGATAAAGAAAGGATTGATGGAACTCCATTGTGGAAGGTTACTGGTTTCATTCCTGTCATAGAGTCTGTTGGTGTCGAAACGGAACTACGACTTGCCACCCAGGGTAAAGCATACCCACAAATGGTTTTCAACAAGTGGGAACAAGTTCCAGGAAATCCGCTTGATGATACTGCTTTCATTCCATTATTGAAGCGGGTACCACTATTGTCAACGAGTAGAGACTTCATGATTAAAACAAGGAGAAGAAAAGGTCTTTCTGAAAATGTTTCCCTCCAGAAATATGTTGACGAAGATACATGGAAAGTTTTACAAGGTTTGGGAATTATTTGAGTAAATAACCTTTACAAGTACGTTTGGTATATTTCGACATGCGACTTAACATAGTTATATTTGAATACAAAGCTAATTTATACAACGGTAATGTAGCATAGTAGTTAAGATTAATTTTTCCTCTTATTTCTTCTTCTATTCTTTCCTGGTCTGCTTGTTTTGGAGTGTGACTTTGAAGAAACATTCTGGCGGATTCTTTGCTTCTTATCACTTTGCCTTTCAGATCCAACTTTGGATGCTTCTTCGACAGCGATATCGAAGTCATCATTACCAGAAATTTCGTTGTTCTTTCTCTTCTTTTTCATCGACTTAATCTTGTCCAAGGTTTCTCTTTTTTCCTTTTGTCTTTGTTGTAAGGTCTCGTGTTGAACTTGCTTACCAAACTTCTTCAATTGTCTTTGTCTTCTTGCCTCTTCTCTGGCCTTCTTTTCGGTGGCCTCACTCACTAATTTAGTCTTCAACTTGTCCATATGATCGTCTGACTTAACCATCTCTGCAAAATAGTCCACTGGTCTAGCAAAAGGAACTTTGAGTGCCAAAAGCTTCTTGCGTCCCTCTATAGCAGCATCTAAACCTTGCTTGAAAAATGCCAATTCTCTTTCGGTATCATCGTATATGTCTTTGATCTCAGACTCTACTTTGGTATGGTAGGTAATCGTTTGGCTCTCATCAAATGCACATTTTTTCCAGTCTATCTGTATTCTGGCTAAACTTTCCTTTAATGCGGTCTTGTTATTAACTGTGAGCTTTGTGTGCGGAACGACGTCTGCGTCAGAATCAAATTCTGCTTCAGAAAGAGGAATATCCTCTTCTTCTTCTTCTTCTTCCTCTTCTTCTTCCTCTTCTTCTTCCTCTTCCTCTTCGCCTACGTTCTCATTCTGCGCCGCTTCCTTTTCTTCATCGTCTTCATTATCGTCGTCGTCGTCGTCCTCATCATCATCATCATCCTCATCCTCATCCTCATCCTCCTCGTCATCATCATCACCTTCACTTTCATTGAGTGCATACAAGTTTAATTCCTCTTCAGCTTCTTCTTCTTCTTCATCGTCATCTTCTTCGTCGTCGTCTTCATGGTCGGATTCTTTAGATTCCTCGATCTTTTCCGCTTTAGTCTGTTTCTTGCTATTTTTTGCTTCCAATCTTTCTTCTTTCTTTGTGGTAACAGGGGCTTTCACCTTCTTTGAGGTGTCCTTCTTCGTGCTCTTGCTCTTCAATTTTGCAGCCATTGCTTCTATGTGTAGGTTTTGATGCAGAATAACCTTGTTAGCTTTAACCTTTAGTTCAAAACCTTTTTGCTTCTCTTCAAAATAGATTCTACTTTTTCACTTCTAAAAATTTTTAGGAATCAACCTGAAAAGGAAATTTACAGAAGTAAGATGAAAAAAATAAAAAAAGCTGGAAAGGTCGATCGGCTTTTTTTCGCCGTTTGAATCACGTCGCGGTACGAAAGAGGAGACAGTATTGGTAAATAGAGTAGAAGCGGAAAGTACGATGTTGGTGATACATAAATGGGAAAATGCTCATCCGTATAAGGCGGTTCCCATCTGCTATTTTATTTCTGTTCTTTTTTTTGGCTCTCTTTGACTACAGTATTCCCTGCTCGTTAACATGGATAAGCAAATTGGCAAAAAGAAGTTTTTGGATCTTTTCCCAGAACTCGTTGATGAACTTGTTGAAGTTTTGAAAGAAAATGGCATGCCAGCTGATGCAATCAGCTGGTTCAAGAGAAACTTGGACTACAACACGCCGGGCGGTAAGTTGAATAGAGGCTTGTCTGTTGTCGATACTTACGCTCTATTGAAGAATTACAAGTCGTACGATGACTTTTCAGCTGTTGAATATAAGAAGGCTGCGATTTTAGGTTGGTGTATTGAATTGTTGCAAGCGTATTTCTTGGTTGCGGACGACATGATGGACCAATCGATTACCAGAAGAGGCCAGCCATGCTGGTACAAGGTTGATGGTGTCAAGGAAATTGCTATCAACGATGCGTTCATGCTGGAAGGCGCCATATACATCTTGCTAAAGAAATACTTCAGATCCGACAGCTACTACGTGGACTTGCTAGATTTGTTTCACGAAGTTACATTCCAGACCGAAATGGGCCAGCTACTTGACTTGATCACCGCACCTGAAGACCACGTTGATTTATCTAAGTTCACACTTGAAAAACACTCGTTCATTGTCATTTACAAGACTGCATTCTACTCGTTCTACCTCCCTGTCGCCTTGGCCATGTACATGGCCGGCATAAACGACGAAAAAGACCTGAAGCAAGCCCGAGACGTTCTAATTCCGCTCGGCGAGTATTTCCAGATCCAGGACGACTACTTGGACTGTTTCGGCAAGCCCGAAGACATTGGCAAGATTGGTACCGATATTCAAGACAACAAGTGTTCGTGGGTGATCAACACCGCCTTGAAGGTCTGCACCCCCGAACAAAGAGCTTTGCTAGACGAAAACTACGGCAGAAAGGACGCCGAAAAGGAAAAAACCTGCAAGGAGCTTTTCAGCGAGTTGAAGATCGACTCGCTGTACCACGAATACGAAGAAGGCATCGCCAAGAAGTTGGAGCAGCAAATTACAGAGATCGATGAGTCCAGAGGATTCAAGGGCGAAGTCTTAACTGCCTTCTTCAAGAAAATCTACAAGCGTTCCAAATAAACTCGGGCCAGCTTGCACTGATCTGTATTCAACATGTTTTCTTTGTATAAAAAATGCTAAAAACCTGATACAAGAATGTTGGTAGAAATGGACCATGGCATCAACTTCAGTTTTGTGGGATACCTGTTCCAACCTTTGGCGGATAGTCCTTTGAGGTCGCAGAGTCGGCAGGATGTGCACACGTGCATCTCTCGTCCTTTGAAATAGGCTCCATGGCCGCAGGAATGTGTAGTCCACACCCGACCCACGCCGTTTTCTTGCAGTTGTCACACGTAGCTGGTCTGCACATTGCTATACTCTTCTTTACCTTTTGTACTTGCGGTTGAATACTGTAGCTCCGGACGATGCCCACTGCCCCCTGTTCCTCTTGTCTTCTCTCCATTCTTCTCCGTCGCAATCACGACCAGGCCACCAATCACGTGTCGCTCTGCTCGCCAAATTAGCCCGGTCACGGGGTTGACAGTCTCGTGACCTTGTGCGACGGAAGCACGTGCTTTTCGTTGTTCTTTTTCAACCAGGGTGTTTCTTCCATGTTTACACTCCTCCGAGACCGTGGAAACGTTGTAAAAACGTTTCGGAGAAAGATACAGCAGTTTCTAGCAGCTCAGCGTCCAAGTTTGCCTCACTGGAATTTTGGTGTATACAGTTTTAGCCCCCTCTTGCTTTTGGTGAAAATAGCCATATAATTTCTTTTTTTCTGGTATTTTAACTATTAGTCCGTTATTCACAGAAAGCGCAATCAGGATACATCTTCCCCGCCGATCATGTCTACTAAAAGAACATCGGAAGGAGTGCAGACATCACTTTCCGCTGCAGAAAGCGTCAAAAAGCAAAAAGTTGACGAGGCGGAGCATTTTGAGGAGTCTGCAGAGAAAAATAGTGAGAAAGAAGTGACATCCGAAGCGACAGAGGAGCCTGAGGGACACGAGTCGGTTAAGATAAACGATGCCGCGGACAGTGTTGTTGAGGAACTGAAGAACTCATCGTCCGAGGCTGGTAAGACGGAAGAGACAGAAATATCTGCTAAAGAGATTGCGGCAAAGGCTGAGTCCAACGATCAGGCCATTGATCCCGTGTTTGGTGAATCCAGCTCCAAGGATGAGATTATCGCCGATAGCACGTTGAAACTGGCGGAGACCCCAATCAAGGTTGCGTCGACGGACCCTTCAATGATCAGCAAAATCAAAAAGCTGAACCACAAAGAGGTGGAGAGACGCAGAAGGGAGACTATCAATAACGCGATAAGGGAACTGCAGGAGCTGGTTCCAACCACACACACCAACAAGGCCCAGATAATCCGGAAGGCCTCGGAGTTTATCAAGAAGTTAAAAGAGAAGGAAGAGAACCTGGTCAACAAATGGACTTTGGAAAAAATCATCACAGATCAGGCTATCAGCGAACTCGCAAACTCTAACGAGAAGTTGAAGTCTGAGTTAGAAAAGGCGTACAGGGAAATCGAACATCGTAAACACGTTTTCGAGAGTTTCATAGCACTCGTTTCCAAACAGGAAAACTCAGAAGAAATCACAAGTTTTCTATCGAAAGTGGGTGATTTGTTTGAGGAGGATTCTCATATCGACGAGCACGAAGAAGACTTCACCAAGAACAACGGTAAAGAAACCGAGCAAGGGGAGAGAGAAGAAGCAGAAGATTCCAAGGAGAAGGTTTTCGAGAGAGATGAGCAAGGAGCCAAGGAGCATGACTCTGCTACTACCGAAGGTTGAGACAGTAGCCCCAGAGTTTCAAATTGTACTATTATATCTTCCCAATTGCTATCTCATAAAAACCTATCTAGTGTGTCCTTCCCGTTGTATTCTAAACTGATGTAACTTTATTTTTCTTCTCTTTTTCTTCTCTTTTTTCGTTCATTCTTCATAATTTCATATTTGCCTTTGAATTTTTGTGTTATATATTCTTTGAATTAAACTACTTTTCATCATTTACGAATTTCATATCTCTAGCTCTCTGACAAGCACACCTTCGGTACCCTGTCCAAGACTTCCCTCAATGGAAAAGTCAATCGACACTCCCTCTTCCGACTTCCTCATAGCACCCCCGTAGAACGTAAACATGCTACTCGTTCCGCCATACATCAACTTATCTTCCATACCACTCCTATTACAAACTATAACACATTGCTTAAGGCCAGGATGTTCGCTAGAAAACAAAGGATCTAGCCTAATGACCCAGTATCGCCCAGTGCTTCCATCAGGCTTATCTAACTTGAAATCTTCTGCAAGTTTAGTTTCTTTTTTCATGTACAATATGGCATTATCTTTCATTCTATCATGCTCCGTATTGATTTCAACTATTGGACTTTGCGTCTCAAATATCTTTTTGAAAGAAGCAAGCTGATGTGATGTCCAGTTTTCATCCCAGTTTGAATTCATCCATGCAGTAGGTACCAAGATTAGTTGGCATTTTTCCTGGGATGCATGGGATGCAAACTCGTAGTTCTCAAATGGCGCTTTAAATTCATAAGGGTTCAAATCCATGCATATACCAATCGTTGTGCGTATATGCTTCCCCCGTATCAGCAAATCAAAGGCTTTAAATCCATCAGGGGACTCACTGCATCCCCATGTTTTATCTGTATCATATAGATGTGTTTTTCTGTAGTTCTGAAGCACCTTGCCACTCTGATCAATCAGTACTGCCGAGTTATATATCTTGTAGTCGCCTTTTCCGTATTTTTCTGGATATCCAAGCAATGTCATACAATTCCAACGCTGGGAAACAGTCTTGCCGAATTCGTACGACTTTCCAGAACCGACATGTTCTAAAAACGGTTTGATGTGTTCTGGCGACTTAAAGTTATATCCGGTAAGTGCAAGTTCAGGTAGAACGATAAGATCCGGTTTCGTAGCTGCGGAGTTAAACGCTTGCTCGAGCATCCTTGTTGCCTTGGCTATATTTTCCTCAACATTTCCTAAGATAGAATTCAATTGAACGGCAGCAACACGTAACTTCATCTCTTTTAACCACTGATGTACTGTATTTGATTTCTCAAAGCCTTTCCTACCCTTTTGCATGAAATCTAATAATCTTACCTCCAATAAGGTCAACATGAATTTCTGCAGTTTCTGCGCTAAATGCTGTCGAGGATTCAGAAAAGAGAAAAAGTGTATTATTAACAGATCTATTCGACTGGGGTCAAAATGACGTATAAATGCATTATTGGAATGTATGGCGTATATCCTCAATACATCTACAAAAATGGAAAGCACTGATATAATCCTTGATCCAAAGATCAAAACCCATGTGTTGTTGCCTATTACGTTGGTAATGCTTCTAGTGCATATATTAAGACAACTTCTCACTTCTCTTTTGAAACGTAATTCGCCATTGCAAAAAATGGCCAAGGTAAGGGAGCAGCAACACTTACAAAGGTGTAGTATGACTGGACAGAATGGCTGGACCTCACTGAGTAATTCCGAATGGGAAGCAAGAAAAGTGAATGTTTTTGACCAATATGGAAAGAACATTAACCTCAACACAGTTTTGGAGAAGCCAATAGAGGACGAAAATAAGAGCAAATCAAACAACCCAGCTATGACTAATCCTTTTGCACAAGCAGGTCTTAATGAAAGCTTATGGGAAGGCATGAAGGGAAACTTATTGAACTATCTGCCACAACCAATTCTTATGTTTTACATGTCGTATTTATTCCGAGGATACATTGCTTTAAAACTACCATTCACTCTTACAGCTAACTTCAAACCCATGTTTCAATCGTCGATCATGACCAGCGACTTGGATGTCTCCTACGTTACAGGTATAAGTTGGTATTTTGTCAACCTTTTAGGTGTTGAAAGCTTGAGTAAAGTGTTTGGTTCATACTTTGGAATGCCAACATTTTTTATGAGGCCTGAAGAAATCGTTTTGGAAAATGTCACTTTGATTTTGAGCTCAGGTGGTGCACAATCACAGCCACAGCAATCTCAACAACCATCATTTGGACAACCAAAAGCTGAAGAAATTTTCAAGAAGCAGTCGAAGGAAATACGAATTATAAACTTCAAATCATGTTTGACGAACGTAGAGGAGAGATTTCTGAAAAAGTTCGACAACTAGATTGACATATCTTGCTATTAGTTATATACAGCGTTATTTACAAATGTATCTATAGAAAATCAACCGCAAATGCCTTATCATTTATATTTTACTCGAAATATCATATGATCCCGATACATTATTCGTAACTCCTTGAAGGGCTCCACAGAAATCAGATTTCTCAATTTCAGAAAGGGGCTCCTTCAAGTTTTTATTCCAAAAAAGCACAGCTAGAGGTGAATGTGACTCAGCATAGAGTTTGATAATTTTCTTTTTGGTGACATCTGCTAGACTACTCATATCTAAGTCCAGCAATTTGAGGATACTTGACAAAAAAATGGCTTTTTGTTGGTCAGATTGGATACTATACGTATGTGAGCCCATAATTCTTTCTATTATGACATCTGGTATGTAACTCATGCTTTTGAAATTTGAACTTAATTTCAAGTAGTCAATGAATTGAGGAAGCACTGCTAGACGAATAAATGATGATATGGTTCTCAAAATTCGCTTATTCAACATACCTTCTTGCAATATTACGCTGCTGACTGGCTGTGTGAAAATATTGAATAACATTTCCTTTTTATCTTTCGGCGCATTGGCTTGGTTACATACATCGGATACAAGCTCAAAATAGTTTGTCAGAATGTCTGCGCTGGGGATATAATTTGCGTCTACTATCGTTTTTAGTACCTGTCTTGCGGTTTGAACATCCCTTACCTCTAGAAGCCCTTTCAAATAAAGTTCACAGAACGATTTCGAGACAACTTTAAGAAGCTCAGGCTCTGAATGGCTGAATTCGTTGTACGCACGAAAAATTGTGGTTACTGATTGGACTTTTTTCTGGATAACCAATTCAAAGCAAATCGATTCCAAGACCTGGTCGTGAAAATGTAGTATGTTCTGCGGAAAAAAATCATTCATACTGTTGATAAAGGCCTTTTGCTTTGAAGCCGGAAGCTCTGGTATTATTTTAATGAACAACAGAGCCAAACTCTCAAAAGAGTATTTAGGAAATGAGTCGGAAAGACTGTCTAAAGCAACTTTGAGATCAAAATTCGCCTCGTCAGCAATTGCGTCCAACATTGCACGTCTCAGATCATCAGAAAACTTCAATTTAATACTACTATCCGAAGGAGAAATTGACTTGTAATCTTTTTTAAATCTCTTTTGCCAGTTTAGTATTATATCTATCTTGTCATCGAAGTTCCCTACATTATCCCATTTCATTCTCAAAAAATAGTCGTATTTACCAAGATCTTTAGATTGCGAACTTTGATTGAGAATCATATTTAAAGCAGCAGTTTCGTCGAGATAAACAAACGGAGAAGGAATGATATCAGGATTAAGTTTGTCCACGGTATGAATGGCATAATGATTTGGCGTTGAATAGTCATCCACACCGTCAAAGGGCTTACCAGTCAAATGCAGTTTGATATGTGATTTCCTTTTGGCTACCTCTGGATCATCGATGAAGTCATCCATTGCTTTTGTTGCGATAGTGGAGTTGAATCTTTCATTTCGCATGAGGCGATTAGAGAAAGCTCCATTTTTCAGTTTGCCAAACAATGAGATCCTCTTCGTCGTCATTCTTAAATTTTTCTTTAAATAGCAACGTATAAAAAGAAATGTCCCCAGCCACTTTTCATCTCCGAAGCTAGATAAGATGAGTAGCATTCCAGTTTGAAAAGTGTCGCTGAGAAATTTGACAACCGTTTCATCCACCAAATTTTATTAAAAGTCTAGCTCGCTGCTCGCTAAATAGGAAAGGACCTCACTAGATCTATTATTACGCTGCAATGTTGAATCTTTTGACAAGTGAGATCTCGAGATACTTTCACGGACAGACTTGTTTGTGGGATGTTTTTTTGGCAAAGAGACATCGGAAGAATATTGCCAATGGGACTGCTAAAAGTATCATATATTGTGACGCTCACCACGGTCCTATGGGTGGTATTGACCACGCTTTTTCCTAATATTTTTCCTGGATATTACGACCATGGAGACATGCAAAACAAAGATGGTTATTTATATAGTGCATACTACAACTCATTAAATACCCCTTCAATACTAAAAAATAACTTGACAGATTCACACATCCTTCTTTTCACAGCACATCCGGATGATGAATCAATGTTTTTCACACCAACTATCACCGAGTTGACAAAGGAGAACTACAACAATACCTTCCACCTAATTTGTCTCTCTAACGGTGGCTACGACGGTCTGGGAAGTATTAGAGAACGTGAGTTAAGAAAGGCAGCAAGGGTTTTGAGCATTGACTCGGTGAAAGTATTAGACTATGTCGATGATATCAATGTGTATTGGAATATCTCTGATATAGTGAAATCGATAACCGATGAAATAAATAATGTCAAGCGTGAATATGAATTTGAGGAAAACAAATCTCTAATTCTTTTAACCTTTGATCAAGATGGTGTGTCCAGCCATCCCAATCACAAGTCTGTTTACCAAGCCGTAAAGACTTACAACAAATTGACCAATACCAGAGCCTACTCTTTGAAATCATGGAATATATTAGTCAAGTATTCTGGAATGCTTTTCACTAATATTGAAGTTGCTATGAAGTGGCTTGCCAAATGTGATGACATCAAAAGCTTTTTAAGCCGTATCAATATCAGCTTACTAGACCACATCATTGCTGACATTTCAAAAGAATCGATTGCCATTTACTCGGATTTGAATAGTTTATTCTTAAATTTCTCAACCATGACTTGGGTCCATTTTTCTCAAATTGTCTGGTTTAGATGGATCTGGATTTTCTCAAGCAAGTATATGAACTCGAATGAGTTAGTTCCAATCTCATAGCATACTATATATTACAATAGTCAATCTCTCTTTTCTGCTTTACCCCGCATGAAGATAATATTAAAGCCAAAAAACCAGATTTCTTGTTGAATAAGTTGTATTTATATTTTATCTATCCACTCTAAAAATTCACAAAGCTATTTACTATTTATATATGAATGTATATTGATTATTTTTGACGGAGCTTTCCATTATTTACACGTTGAATCTGCTACCACAATTCGAAGTCATCATCGTCATCTATAATTTGACGTTTCCTTTCGTCATGCTTCACTCTCTTCCTTGCATATGCTTCTTGCATTTCAACCAACATTTCTTTCAATTCATTCACAATTTGCTCTGAGCTTACAAATTTTTCAATCAATTGACTTGCATCTAGGAAGCGTCCTCTACGGGCTAACTCCAGACAGCATTCACGCACATAGCTATTAAGTGCAGCTTCGTTAACTTTCAAATTCAAACTCATTTTGTTATAGGTTATTTCTGTCATATTACAATGAACCTTCGGCAATCCCCTTAATAACTCATGAGAACTTGCATACTTGATTTTCAGTTTTATCATATCTCTATTGAAGTGATTAACATATTTCTCTGACATTTGCCACACGCTATCAAAAAGTCGATATTTGATTTCCAACAAAGAAGTGCCAGAAGCATCGGACAACTCATTTTGTGGTACATCCTTTAGTAATTGTTTTTCGAGAGCATCTCCATACAACCCACTACACCTCAAGGCCAATATCCAGTAATTGATTGTGTTTGAAGCATCCAAGAAGTTCGTACAATTGTATTTATCAAGAATCAGGTTGTTAATTTCCAAAGCTGTGGCCAAGTCTCCATTTTTGCCATAAGCTAATAATATGCTAATCAATATATTTTCATTAGGCCATAGCAAACCGTTCATTCTTTTTTTTATATTGAAATGTTCGAGGAAGTAAACACCCTTATCACCATTTCGGTCATTTTTTATGCCCCAATTTGATTCGATGAAACTGTCTAATGCTGTCAAATCACCATGTTTTCCCATACCCTTAATCATGACCTCAAGAACTGATGTGCTGTCGGGTAAAAAGTTTTTCTCCTTCTCCGCCTCATACCTTTTTACAAGAGTCTGGAAGTTATGACCGTGATGAGGATATGTATACTTGAAGTTGATCTTGTTGCTGGAGTTTAACTTGTAAATAGTTTCTCCGTAAATTTTCCAAAAATTTGTATTTGTTTGAGATAGAATATCCATTTTGATGGCCCACAAAGTATTAGTCAATTGATATTGTTCAGGATGCTCTGATGCTTTTTTCTCTACCTCGGAGATTAGTTCAATGGCTTTGTTCAAATAATTTCTCTGATAATGGAAAAGGATGATGTTTTCATAATCATATAAAGATAGTTCTATTTTGGATAATGCATTGAATATTGATTTGGTCGATTGGTATACAGCACGGGAAAAACTATTGAGTTTTTTCACGTAATGATCAACCTCTTCATCCAAATAGTGCTTGTTTTTGGTAACAAATTTTAAACGCTGTCCTATTGAATCGTTATAGTAAAGTAAGCGTTTGATAATTAGTGAAATTTCGTAAGAAGAAAGGTTACCTTCGAAGGATGTGATTTTGTTTACATTGCACTTCAGAAGATTGTATAAATTTCGTATATCTGTGTCATAAAGGAGAAAGTGTATCTTTGGTAAAAAGTTTTCATTTTTAGTGTTATCCGGAAGAGTAGAAACTGCCGTTTTTTCGTTCGTATCATGTAAAAATTTGAAGTTTATGGAGTTTAACGCATCAGCTAGCACATCGACGTTCGGTTTGAATTTGAACTCGGACGCCTGCTCCATGCTGTTTAATTTCGCAGCATGCTGAGAAGTTTCAAACTTCGCAGAATATTGCTGTATTTCTTCGTAGTTTTTGACGAACGTTTCGAGCGATGCGTTATTTTGTAGTTGTCGTTTGTTGAACTCATTGAGTCTCGTGGAAGGAACAAAGAAAGAAATCCTCCTAGTGGAGGTATATACATTGGAGGAGCTCTTGAGCATTTTCTTGATATCTCTTTGGTGCCTTCTTTAAAGACGAGCTTGTCAGAAAATTGTCCAAGGCCTTCATATGCTTCTTTTCGGTTCGTCCATCCGTTCATCATTTGACCAAAATTATTCAGCTTTCTCGACACCTTGAAAATTCAAGTGAGAAGCGAAATTTATCGGTGTTACTTACTACTAGCCCACCCTGAGACTTGCTACTATTTACTTGCATATTAATCTAGCCTAAAGAGTTGGACCAGAACGGTCCTGCCAGTAAGTACCAGCATTAGAAATTGTCGATCTCAATTCCAACCCCCTGCTTCTTGGCCTCATCCAAGCACCGGCTGCCGACCCAGACATCCATAATGCACAACCCGACCAACTTGCTGACGGCGACTTTCCCTTCTGAAAGGAAATTGCTACTGGAAGGATCCGAGTACAACGTGGAGACGTCGACCAAGTCTTCTCTCTGAATGTTGTTGATGATCAACTCCCCAGCCTCGTGAAGACAGTGGTCGACTGAGTCGACCACAATTTTTCCACCTTGGGCAATGACGCTTTCCTTGAGAACCCCGCCGTCGATTTCGGTCATGTGAGGCTTGTAGGAGCCGATGGCACCAATAAAACAACGGCCCTCACACTGGTCGACGTATTCTTTCTTCACTGTTGGCACGGAAGTCGGGATGCATGTGAACACCACGCTAGTGTCCTTGAACTCTTGTACTAGCTTGCCCTTCTCTTCCTCAGTAGTCATGCCACGGGCATCAAACTTGATTGTGGGGTAGTCCTTGGCAAAGACCTCATCACATAACCGCTCGGCCTTGGTCACGGTCCTGTTGACAAAAAGCACTCTGGAGAATCTCTTTGGGTACAGAATCAAAGCCAATCTTGCATGCCAGATCGCTTGGTCACCGACCCCGAAGATAATCAACTTGTCGTTCGAGTATTCCTTGTCGAGCGGGAAGAACTTCACCAAGGACAACGAATTGCACAACGCTGTTCTGAACGCAGTGAGTGTCGCACAGTTGATGATTCCAAGGGGATAGCCGTTATGTTTATCTAATATTGTAGTGATACCCTTGAAACCCTCCCTGGATCCTGTTATGGCCTTCATCCCGACATGACTGCCTGTTGACGCCATGAATAGATGGGTACAGTGAGGAGTTGTTGTGACGATCCTTGGAGGTATGATCTCTGGATACTTCTCATACTCCGCCAAAGCGGCAAGCAACGTCTGCTGGTACGACACAGCGTCTTCCTGTGTCAAGTTCTGTAACAACGACGTGATAATCTTTTCCGTCAAAACCAACATCTTGTATATTTTTGGCCCTCAGTCGCTAGCCTTTCTGTCCCAACCAGATTGCCTCGGTGAATCCCTTCTACGTATCCACATTAAACATGTGTATATATAGTAGAAGAGAATCCTCCCCCAGCCGCTTCATCGTCACCGTTACTCTCTGCGGTATCTCTCCAGCAACCCACGGTATGCCCGTTTCGGAACGATTCCCAGCGTCGTCGCCGATAAGACACAGAAGATTCGCAACGGGTAACTTTAAGCGACGGGGGGAAGCATTTCTTCGTCTGCTGGAAAACACGGAAGCAGAAAGGTCTCCGGAAGCAGGGTATACAAGGGAAGACACAAGTCTGTGCTGACAGAGAATGTCTGATGATATAGAGCAAAAGGAGTCGAAGATTCTTGCCCAGTTTGCGAAAGGTGTGTTCAGTGCAGGTCTGTTAAAGCAGTCGTGCCCAGATGTCCCCGAGGTTACCGTTGACGTGATCAGAGTAGAAAAATTATCTGAAACGGAGCTGGAAGAATGCCTCAGCCTATTGGATCGTAACCTCGGTTCAATATATGCGTTGGTCAACGGGAAGGGCTGGAAGAAACCGAAGAGAAAAGAGATGATAGAACCCGGACTGGTTTACGTGCTGCTTCGAGCTGCAGGAACCAACAAACTGATTGGATTGATTTCCATGAAGATTGTAAACGAGTATGATTTGAAAGTATTGTATCTTTACGAGATCCAGGTGGACGAGTCGTGCCGCAACAAGAAGCTGGGCACGTTTGCCATGCTGCAGTTAGACCGGCTTGTTTTAATGATCAACAGTTCAGATAAGCTAAAACAACTCTGGCTCAGGGAATACGAAGGCGAGTACCTGGGCCTCCACGACCCGGAAATTCTACTTACAGGAGTGGCATTGACTGTGTTCAGCGTGAACAAAGGAGCAAGGAAGCTTTACCAGCGGCTAGGCTACAAACTACACCCGGATAGTGCAAAAGACAGGGTACTGCGCAGCGGAAAAGTAATCGAACCAATCTACTATATGTTGGAGAAAAGTGTAAAAGATTCCGTTTAATGACAAAACATAATTGATATACGTAGTTGCTCATCATTTTTCCATACACAGACCGATCAGGAATGTCTGGATCTTGGCATCGATTAGATAGCCCTTGTTAGACCATTCTTCCATGGACTTCTCCAACTCGTCTAATCTGACGGTTATCACCTCTATCACCTCGTTGTCCATCCAGTGTGGTAATGGCGTCTTATTCTCATCCTGCTCCATATCGACGTCTACCCAGACAATCTCGCAGTTGGCGTCGCTCAGCCCAGGGTCACTCCACACAACCCCAGATCTCTTACGGATGACTCCAACGTAGCCCGTCTCCTCCCTGAGCTCTCGCAAAGCACAAGCCTCAAGAGTATCTTCCGGATCGACCAAACCGGCAGGGAACTCTACACAGACCCCTCCAGTAGGAGGTCTAAATTGTCTGACGAAAACCAACTTATTATCGCCATTGGCGTATTTTAAGGTCGGGATGATGATAACCGCATCCACGTCTGACCCTTTCGGTCTTGTTGTACGTCTGGCAATCTCCCAAACGCCTTTATTCCCTGCCGGCGAGATATAATCCAGCTTTTCGAGATTGATAAACCGTGCATTCTCGTTTGACAATGGTTCTTGATTGATGACCTTGGCAACAGTGGTTTTTGGATCAAGTAATTTGCTGGCTTGCTTGTACAGGGCAGATGGTGAAGACGACATGGCTCTGTTTATTATACACAATTGTTTTCTTCTCCACATTTGCAACACTTCAGCAAACTGTCTCAACCCATTACCCCTACATCGTTTCAAGTTCCTTCTTTTGGGCTCGTCCCACATTAACCATCCGGCCCCCGGGCTGAATCTTCGGTATGCGTCACGCTTACGTAACATTATCATTGCAACAATCCAGTCTCTTCCTTTTTTCTTTCTATTTCGAGATTCCATCAAAGCAGGATCTTTTATCTTAATATCATATGACGGTTTGACTGCTAAGAGGAAAACAGGAGTTTTGGTGAAACTAGAAATAACACTAACATCGACGTGATGTCAGACGTTTATAACCGCATACAAACAGAACTTGTATCTTCAGGAAAATATAAGGAGATCTACACCCTGCTAGAAACCGAGTTGCGAAATTCAGGATGGTATGACAACTTCCTGCAACTGACTGAACAGACGATTGAGAAGACCAGCGATAAGGACTTGCAGTTTGGTAAACTAGTATCTGCTCTCCAGGATAAGGGAATACAAAGCGTGCCTGACGAGGTGAAAATGAAAGTAGTACAGAAGATTGCAGAGTTTCTGAACGACGTGGTGGAATAAAAACTGAATGGTGAAAGTACTGGGTACTGACAACTTTTATGAATTGGGGTACATCAAATAATATATAAACACAAACATATACATACACACTTAGATGATGTACTATATAATACATTTAGTATTTTTTACAACTTTTTTAGCTCCAGGTAAAGAGCGGAATATGTGGAAAGAGTAAATTACTCTTCTAATCATCGTAATCTTCATCTTCATCAATCTTTCTCACCTTGTTTTCGTTTTGAGCGATTCCTGCCGCGTCAACATTATCATCCTTTTTCTCGAGTTCTTCTTCTTTATCCTTAGCAATACTTTTCAACTCGGCAACGTCGTCAACTTCCATTGGTTTTAAGTCAATGGTCTTTTCTTCGTCTTTTTGCCCGCTCTTGTCATCTCCATTATCCCTGTCAACCCCTTGCTCGTGCTCCAGCGGAACGTCTCTACTTGCAACAGCTGGGACACTTTCTGACTGAGTGTTTGTTTTCAATACGCCATTGGAACTCTCAGGAGCGGTATTTTCCTTGGACTCTTTTCCATCGGTAATCTTTTGCTTCTTCTCACCGTTCATGGTGTTGCCATTTCCGTTAATATCGCTGTCTTCCAGCGGCCTCTTTTCACCTTTGAACTCAGGATTTGATGTTTCGGCTGATGACGGAACCTCGTTTGAAGTAGCCTTCGAATTCGAATCTTGCTGTTCTTCACTCTTTATTCCTGCAGATTGAGAACCTCCTTGAGATGGAGGCTTCACTGCTTCTGCTCCATTGGTTTCAGGTTTTGGCTCAATTACCTTTTCTGCTTCTAGCAATTGTCTTGCATTGGCCTCTGCCTCAGCTTCGGCTTGGACCTTAGCTTGGTTTTCAGCTTCAGCTTCAACTTCAGCCTGGGCCTGAGCTTGAGCTTGAGCTTGAGCTTCGGATTCAGCGTGAATTCTGGCCTGCTCTCTGGCTTCTTCATCGGCCTTAATTTTAGCGTCAGCAGCAGCATTAGCTGCAGTCTCAGCATCTGCCTCAGCTTTGGCCTTAGCCTCAGCTTCAGCGGTTTCAGCAAACTTTCTCTGCTTCTCCATCTCCAGCTCCCTTTCTTGCTGAGCCTGCTTTCGATTTTCGGAATTGATTTCAAGCTGTCTTTGCCTTTGTCTCTGGGCCTCTTTCTCTTTTTCTTCAGCGTCCTTCTTTTCCTTTTTGGCCTTTTCCTTCTTGACCTTCTCTGCCTGCTTTTTCTCTTCTTCGGCCTTCATCTCGGCTTGTTTCTGTAATCCTGCAGCTCTTTTGGTGGCCTCTGCTTCTGCCTCTGCTTTTCTCTTTTCTTCGGCATCAAATTCTGCCTTTCTTTGGGCCTCTGCCAACTGCTGCTGCTGCTGTTGCTCAGCCAGTCTCTGGGCTTCGGCTTGTCTTTGAACCTCAGCCTGTCTTTGAGCTTCAGCTTGAGCCCGCTGTTCATTTGACTGCTGATGGATTAAGTTCGGAGCATTTCCAAGTTGGAACTGCTGACCTAATGGCAAGCCGTTAGCAGGGTTCAACTGATGTTGCTGTTGCTGCTGCTGCTGCTGCTGCTGCTGGATCATCTGGTGAGAAGGCATGGTAAGTTGATGTTGAGTTTGAACAGGAGGAGGAAGGGCACCACCTTCTTTTTCGTATTTGGATAGTTGCATCAATCTCTCTGCAATGTGAGGGTTATCTGGGTCCAAGGACGCGGCACGTCTGTAGGCGTCCAGAGCGTCACCTATTTGGTTATTACAAGTTTCATAGAGAGTACCTAGGTCGTACCAGACTTCGGATAGGTAAGGATTCAATCTGATTGCTCTAGTGTATGCGTCCAAAGCGTCCTTGTACTGGGATATCTTGTAGTACAAAACACCGATGGAACACCAGAAGGTTGGGTTTCTTGAATCCAAGTTGACTGCATGTTGGAAGGACTCGTAAGCGTTTGGATAATCCTGTTTGGACATGTAAACTCTACCAAGATAGTACCAGGAATGTGCGTCTGAGTTGTTCAATTCGATGGACTGGTTCAAAAGCTGGAGGGCAATGTCTAGGTCATAGAAAGGTGCCTCTGGTTGGGAGTAGAGTCCTCCCAACTGCTGGAGAACCTTGGAATGGTTAGGACTTGACTGGAGCACTCTTTCGTAAGCTTCCTTAGAACCGGTGAAGTCTCTGTTTTGCTCGAGAACGGTACCAATTTGGAACCAGACGTCGGTCTGGGTCAAGGGTGCTGGGGGTCTGTTCAGGATGTACTGGAAGCACTCCAAGGCTTTCTGGAGCTTCCCCTGTAGCTTGTATATGATGCCGAGTCTGAAGTAGACCTCGTTGGCCTTATCGAAGTTGGGGTCCATTTCCAAGACCCGCACAAAGGCCTCCTCGGCGTATTCCAAGGAGCCGTATCTGTCATACAAGATTCCGATGCCGTGCCAGAGCTTAGGCACGGACAAGTTCTGGAGGTTGAGGAGGGCCTGCTGGTAGGCTGTGTATGCAGATTGGAGGTCGTCTAGCATGAGGTAGCAGTGGCCGAGGAGGCCCCATGTTTCGCCGTTGTGCTGGTCGAGGGCGAGTGCTCTGCGGTAGAGGTCTGCGGCCTCGGCGTAGGCGTCTCTTGTTCTGTACACGTGAGCCAAGTGGGTGAGGGCCTTGGCGTTGTTGGGGGTGTAGCGTAGGACGGTCGAGAAGGCCTCGACAGCCTTCTCGACCTGGCCGATCGTGTCTGCGCACGTGCCGATGGCAATCCAGGTTTCTGCACACTGCTGGATGAACTTCTTGTCGTAGGAGGACATGCTGGGCGTGCTTGTGGCTGGGGGATGGGGTGGGGGAGGGTGGACGGAAAAGTAACGGGCTGCGGTGTCGGGTGGAGGGTGTAACGAGCTAACGCTGCATGCAGACGACAGTGTCGAGGAAGAACGGGTGCTACTAAGGGCGCAGACGGGGCAGCCGGGGCCAGGGAGAAGAAGAGCCAAGGGCAGAGAAGCAGAAAGGAGGAGCAGCGGGGGCACAACGGGGGCCACAAGCAACGCACCGCACCCCAGTGCAACGCAACGTCCTCCGAGCAGAATGGCCGTGGCCAAGCACGCCAGGGGAGAGACCGGGCGGCCAGGAGATGCTGCAACTCTCGGTGACTGGCACAGGACCTGGAGACGGGGCAGCAGGCTGGAAAAACAGGAAAAACACACAAGAGAAAAAGAAAAGCCAACGCAGCCGGCCGCTGCCTGCCTCTGCGGCAGCGGCAGACAGCGAAGGGAACAATAGGCGACTAGCGTGGAGCAGCTACAGCCCGGCGGGAACAAGACACAACTGCAGAGCGATCGAGCGGGCGTGCAATCGCCATTGTCCGTTGCCCGAGGCGACACGGGAGCACGGGAACGGGAACGGAAGAGGAGGGGCAGGAGCAGGAGGAGCCGTCGAGGAAGTGACGGCGCTGGCCGGGCTACAGCCGTGGAAAGCCGGGGCCGGGGCCAGGACCAGGACCGGCGACAAGCGCCCTGTGGTATCCGGACGCAGCGGCAGAGCGGAGCCGCGCCGGTGCCGGGCAGGCCAGCAGACCCGCAGGCAGAAACGGGAAGACCCCTCTTCCGCGGACGGCCGCCGTCATCGCATGCAGCCGTGGTACCGCCGCACACAGTCACCCGACGGGGTCAGCCGCGCGTCGCTGCTAGCACCAGCTCTAGCACCCGCTCTAAGTCACGTTCTAATCTGACGGACGGCTGGCGCAAGGAGGCAGAGCCACTATGCGCCTGTCTTATCGAGACGCGGGAGGAGCAGGGTGCGGCGGGAACGAACCCGATCTTTTCCTTTTTCCAGCAAGCAGTGCAAGAGCGAGCAGGACGGACGCAAAGCGCAGCCCCGTTGGCAGGCAACAGGCGTGGTGACACGCTGGCGGCAGCAGGAGAAGTGCCTCGAAGAAGGGGAGGGCGACGGCGGGTGCGTGGAGACAAGATCGCTCAGCCCAGCCGCAGACGGGACAGGACACACGGACTACGGCACCAGACGTGTCCAGACCCACGCCGCCACCACCGGCCGCCACCATCGCACCACGTTGCGCTTGAAACAACACGTCACAGCCAATCAGTCACCCGGGAATGGCCTCGTAGTCTCGCACGGAAGACGGCGCACGGTGACAGCGTCCGGCTTGATAATAGCTACCGTGGCAATCGACTGCTCGCCCGGCCTCCAGTTCCTGCCGCACGCCTCATAAATAGAGCCTGCATTGTCGTGTACAAATTAAAGTCCTCCTTTGAATCTCTTCAAAGCCGTTGATTGTTTTGGCTGCTGCGGCTGCTTCTGTTTCTGCCGCCGTCTGCCTTTTTACTCTTTTTTCTTTTCGCTCGCCTTTTTTTCCCGGCCTCTAAGCCCTCATGCACGTCAGCCAGACCCCCGCCAGGCTCCCGCCCTATCTCCCTCAAAAGTCTCCCTATCCCGTCTTCCGCTAGGCAATTGTCGTCTATTGTCTACTTACCCGCTTCGCGTGCGCATTTTTACATTTTCAGTACTTTCTGCATTTCCACATTTCCACTTTTTCACTTTTCCACATTTCCACTTTTCGCCATTTCCACATTTTCTCATTGACATTTTCAGTTATTCTTTACCCCCTTCAATTAGACCCAGCTTGCTGTTTGCCGCTTTCCGTTTGAAGCCTTTCAGTGCCTTTAGATGTACCCTTTAAAATAGTTCCCCTTGCCTGCAGCAACACGTGACCAAGCGTAGGATGTAGAGCCTTCCCCTTCTTTTTAGGTCTTTTCTGCCTTTTTCTAGCAGGCAAAATACACGCACTACCCCATTGCAGCACCTTCCATAATTCTATCATTCTTTTTTTTCTCCCGGGCGACAACAACGGTTTGCCCCTCCCTCCCCTTGCACCACAAAAAAATTCAAACAAATTAGAAAATAAAAAAATACGAGAAAAACAAGAAAATAAGAAAAACAATATAAAAACTGATGAAAAAAACAAAAATAAAAAAAATCAAAAAATCAAAAATCAAAAAAATGGGAAAATAAAGCTAAAAATAAAAGAGTAAAAACTAAAATTAAAAATTAAATAAATGCGAAATTTGATACAAGCACGTGACAATTACTCTTTGTAGAAGCCCTAAAAATTTCCAAATCCTGACGATCTCTTAGTATTCCGTTTTATCTTTATATTACCGAATAAATATACACATTTATTTACATGGTGGTATTACACTATTTCAACGTACGTATAAAAGAATCCAAATTATATTCTTCTTCGTACTGCTTTTCGTCCCAAAGTTCTCCGAGCTCCTTCACTGCGGTGCCAGCCTTGCCACCCAACCCACCTTCGTCGGTAACATCGTCAATCCCGTTCATCTTCTTTTGTTTCTTGCTAGCCTCACTGTCTTTCTCATTGTTGTCTCCTTCGGTAGACTCACCTCCAACCTTGTCAGAATCAAACAAATCAAGTAATTGATGTGTATCCATAGATGCAAGACCTGCATTTTGTTGGTTGACAATACTGGAGGCAATATTCATTTTGAATTTTTGTAATCCCATAATCTTTTCCTCTAGCGTATCCCTAGTGATCAATCTATACACATTGACGACCCTCTTCTGCCCTAATCTATGCGCTCTATCCATAGCCTGCAAATCATTCATCGGGTTCCAGTCATGCTCCACAAAAATAACTGTGTCAGCACCAGTCAAGTTCAAACCCAACCCGCCAACTTTTGTTGTCAAAAGTAATAGATCTATTGACGGATCCTCGTTGAATTGTTTCACAATACTCTGTCTGTACCTTGGATCAGTAGAACCATCCATTCTCAAATAGGTCACATTAGGCATATTTTTCTTGAGTAAATCATTTTCAACTATATCAAGCATATCCTTCATTTGGCAAAACACTAAAGCACGATGCTGAGAAATAACTGTAGATTCATTCCCAATCAACCCAATACCACATTCTTTCAATAAGTTCTTTAAGGATAATAGTTTAGGAGCATGCTCAATATCGTCAAGCTTCATATTATATTTCTTCAAATAAGCAGACACCTCGTTGTATTGAGGGTGACTCTTGGTCAAAACTAATGAAGGATGATTACATAACTTCCTCATGTATTGCAACACCTGGAAAACATGTTGTTTGGCACCTTTAACGTCTTCTTCATCTTCACCTGTGCCAGTGGTCTCTTCAATATCTTTGACTATACTCTTCTTTTGTTTGTTGATGAAATCCTTGTATAATTGTTTTTGAAGATTCGATAATTCGCAATAATAATCTTGAATAATCTTAGGGGGCAAATCGGCCAAAACGTCTTCCTTCAACCGACGCAACATGAAAGGTAGCACTTGTTTATGTAAACTTTCTAAAACGAGGGCACCTTTCTCTTGCTCCTTTTGACCTTTGTTTCTCCTCGATGACGCAATAGGCTTCGCAAACTTAGCATCGAACTGTTTATAAGTACCCAAAAATCCAGGCATCAAAAAATCAAACAAACTCCATAACTCAACAACATTATTTTGAATAGGTGTACCAGATAGTAATAATCGGTGTTCTGCCTTCACTTGCTTCACACATTTAGAAAGAACCGATTTGGCATTCTTGATAATATGGCCCTCATCTAAAACACAATAGTTGTAATCAAACTTAGTAACAAAGTCAACATCATTCCTTACAATATCATAGGAAGTAATAACAATGTCAATATCATCTTTGACTCCATTTTCTATTTGTTTCTTCAGCTGTGCTCTGGCTGAGGGAGGACCGGCATAAACAATAACCTTCATAAATGGAGCATATTGCTGAAACTCTTGTTCCCAATGACCAGTCAACGAAGGGGGACAAACGATCAAAGATGGTAATTTCCTACTCTCAATTGATCTATCCTTAGCAAACTTTTCAGATCTCATGTGATGATCACTTGCAACCATACAAATTGTCTGTAGAGTCTTACCGAGTCCCATATCATCACATAATATTCCATGTAAGTGATATTTGTTCAAAAAAAACAACCAGTTAACACCTTCCTGTTGGTATTTTCTCAAAGTAGCTTTGATACTGACTGGCATCTCAAAAGGCTCAATCTTAGATGGATCCATCATTTGGCTTAAAAATTCTCTTTCCTTTTGTCTACCCTCCAATAAACTTGCAGGCATATCAACTGGATCAGGAATACCTGATTCTAATGGAACAAGTTTTATAATTTGTGCAAAAGTTGCAGTGGCAATCAATCTAATATCTCTATTAGAGTCACTCATGCGCCCTAAAATTGGAACAATTAGGAACACAATATATGGCAGAATAGAGGAATCCATAAACTGCACAACATGGTAAATACATTCAACAGCACCTTGTCTTTCACTAACATCATGTGGATTATTCAACATTGGTAAAATATTCTTAACTAAAAGTTCGAAACCAACATTAGGACAAGAATCTACAATGCTGGCAAAGCACTTTGATGAAGCATAACGAAAGACAGATTCTTTAGAGTTCAACCCTTTGAGAATCACATCAACATTGGATAGGATCTCATCTTTAAGCTTACTATCTATCCATGGGAATACAGTCTTGTTCAACTCGAATGAATCAATGATTTCTTGACCTTCTTTGGCACTTAGTTCAGAAATGTTTTTATTCAAATTATTCATTGGCTCAATCATCATAGCTTTGAATTTTGGAAGTTTGACAAATAGTTCATCACCAAACAACTTAATAAGAGCTTCAAGTGTTACCATTCCTCCCTTTCTTTTGATCACAGCTCCTTTGATTTCAAAATCAATTGATCCAGCACCACTTCCAATCTTGTTGTCTTCGACAACAGCTGTTTCCTCTAAGATGTTGGCATCTCTTCCCTCTCTTACTAAACTCAAGATTCCATCGTAGTCTTTATTAGGGGAATATTCAGGAACTTCAGCGGGATCAACACACAAAAATCCACATAAGTTTTTAACAATTTTTTCTGCAATATTATTTCTATTCTCTTGAATCAATCTGCTGATCAAATATGCAACATCTTTTGAAACGTATTTTTGAATCAGGTTGCTATTCGTAAGTTTAACACCATCCATCAAAGAACGAATGATTGGGTTCAACTTTTTAGGTAAAGCTCCGTCACCGTCAAAAACTGTACAGCGAATGTAAGCACCAGCAATTGAAGAATTGACGGAATAAAGTCTACTCTCATACTCATCTTCAACTTCAACAATGCTAGTTTTTACTCTATCTCGTGCAGATTCTAAAGCCTTCCCTGTGGAGATTCTAACAGCTGCACTTAATGATTTGTATGCATTACCGTACCAAACGTTGACTAGATCATTAGCATCGGAGATTGAGAATGCACCTGGTCCAGCATCAACTTCGCCAGTCACTAAAACTGCCAAGCTTTTCAACTTGAACGATGATAGATGGGCCTGTTCTCTAAACAAGCTAAGTAAGTAAGCTGAATGAGACCTTGTACTACGCAACAAAGGAACAATTTCTCTAAAGAATGGTAGAGAAGAAGTGGGTGTGGTCAAAAGCTCCATCAACACAGGACTTATGGATTGAGATATTAGGGAGTAGTTTACATTGCTCATTTTCCCTTCTTTTACAACTGATGAGAAAAACTCACTGATTATCCAACACGATAGAAGACGGGGTGTTATAAAATTACTCTGTAATTTTTTTTGTAGGACTGTGAAAAAAGATATAACGACTTCTTCATTTGAAAATCTAGATATTGTTCTCCCCATTGCACGTGCAGAAATCAACCTAGTGAGATAAATGGTTTCGAGGGGTACAAGAGTAACATCACAATTGATAATTGGAGCATCTATATTGATATGGAGATCGTATTCAGACTGAGGTATACCAAACGTTCCGTTACTGCTATTACTGGTGTTGCTGTCACTATGACCATTACCATTATCAGAAACAATGTTATCGCCGTTTTGTTTTCTCTTTCTTTTCTTCTCATCCTTTTGATCGTTATTACTATTATTTGATATGTTGGAAAAAATTCCCTTTTTGTAATTGATACCGGTTAGCTGGATATCCGATAATGACATGGATTGGCCCGACGGACGTAAAATGTTGCGTGGATTCATTGAGTAATTGAATCTAGGTAAACCAATAGGTGTTACCATTAGATCAAGCAATGGAGCGATATGTTGCTCGAAAGCGTCTTCAAGTGATACACCCGTTTTTACCAAAAAGTTAATGAGTTCATCATAGACTGTTGTAGATAAATTCAAAACATCTTCGTTTCTTTCCATCAACAGATTTTGAAATATCAAGCGAATAATTTGACCGTTGATCCAACTATGCATTGAGGGGTCCGGGATATGAATGAAAGATAATAAAGTTGTCAAAACTGATTTTCTCACACTGGCTAAACTATGACGTAGGAATGGGTATAATCTTGGAACAAGCTTTGCAAAATTCCAATCGTCAGCTTCGTTACTTGACATTTCATGTAATATTTCAAAAACTGCTGTTTCATTACAAAGTCGTCCCAACAAATCCATTACAGAGCCTGTAGCTGCTGCCAAGTCATCTTTGAGATCAACCAAACATCCCCAAAGAACATAGAGTAATTCCTTAACCAGACCTTTTTGTAGCACAACAAACTTGGAAGTAATTGGTAGCAAAATTGCTGAAGCAACAGTTTGCACATCATCATCACGGTCTATATCGTTTTCACTTTTCCGCAAACAGTTGATTACTAGATTTGTTGTTTCAAGTAACATATTCGAGTTATCTATCACGAGTTCTGGTTTAATTGACACGAAATAACGTAAGCCAAGTAACCCACCATGTTTGGCCTCCCAGCATGGTTTTAAAACGTTTTCTTGTTTTATGAGGTCACACAAACACTTGAAGATATTACTTTCAAGGGAATCATTAACCTGCCTCAGCACAGCAGCTAAAACTTGAGCAGCATTTTCTCGCACAGGAGCAACCACCGTATCGGAAATATAATCGCCAAATCGGTCCATGGCAAATATTGCTAATAGACGCACGACCAAATCCTCCAGCGTGCTCGAATTTCTCATGTCGTTCACTGATTTGGACTTCCCTGCGACACGGCCAGCAGAATCGGCAAGAAATTTGAATTTCATCATCTCACGTAGACCTAAAGTCGATCCATGACGGACTTCCCAATTGGGAGAAAATAAAGATTTGATGAGCAACTCGTAGACACCTTGAAGTATCCAGACATGGTCAGCGAATTTAGCAAATGAGGAGACTGTTTCTTGCAAGGGTTTATTTTCAATGACCAACTTGGTTCCATTTTGCTGTGAAGTTATATCTACATCCGGAACAGGTGCAGATGATTGTGGGTTAGAAGACACCTCGGAGTTATTTCGCGATAGCTGCTGTGATATCGTGCTTTGTGTTATATCGACTGGAATGGACTTGGAGTTACCTAACTTAGCCTTTCTTTTTGCTAAGGCACGCATTCGTGCGGAGACTTTTGGCGACTTAATCGACTGCTGCTGTCCTTCCGACTTAACTTCAGCCTCGCTCTTGATCTCCGACTTAACTCCTGCCAATGTTTCGCCAAAGCCTATCTTCTTGGTAAATTCTACCATTTTCATTCTGGTGTCTGGATCTAAAGAGTTGTCGTTTCCAAGAGATTTGAACGTGTCATAGTTCTGGTCAGAAGTGGATAAAAGCGTGCAGCCGGACGAGAGTATCTCAGACAAGTTCCAGTCTTTGAACGATACAAGTATGGCTTCGTACTCGTCCGTGTCAAGTATCTTCTTCAACTTCGCCTCGTACTCCTCATCCTCTTCCTTCTTGATCTTTGCCAACTCTGAGCAAGATTCGTCGTGCAATACACTGTTCCCTTCTTCATCCTGCGGGCTCTCTTCTCGCAGATCACCATTCTGACTTTCCTGAACACTTTCGCCATTGCTCGCGTTCGGATCCCACTCGGGAACATGTGCAATGATGCCTCCGAAGGCTCGTGCAGCCGATATTCTCGTCTCCCATTTCTTGTGGAATAGAAACGGGTACACTCTCGACACGAGGTTGAGTATGTCGTGCGGGTGCTGTTTCGCAAGGTCCGCCAACTGGTCTGCCGCCGTGTTTCTCACAAACGGAGTCGATCCCGTCTCCAATATCGTCACCAATCTGTCCAATCGAGACATGGTGCTAGCTGGTCCAGGTGCTGTGTGGGCTCTGATGCTGGAAGTGTTGCAGAACGCCTGTCGCGACCGCTTTCCCTCTCGCGATGCGCCTCCGCCGAGCAGCGCAAAATGTAAAACGGGGGAAACATTTCTCTTTATATTCCTGCTCTCGGCGGGCGAGCAACCGCGTTTGCGGTGCCTTTCACGTTTTTGTCCTAACTGCGCGTGCCAAAGAGCTGGGGCAGAGGGCCGAGAAAAGAGGGCGTCCGTACACCAGAGAAAGGCTAGCCGTGTAAGTTACATGAATTTCACCACAGGTGCACAAGAGTCCGGAGAGATACGCTGGAAGCATGAGGTAGGCAAAGGTGAAAAAAGTAGTGACAGACAGCACTGCACAGCACTACATTGCACTGCAAGCATAGCATAGCAATTAGCAATGGGCTTTGTGGATGCCATTTTTATTCTTGATCAGACCCAGTTTCCCATCCTGCATCACACACTCAAGCCGGAGGTGCCATCTTTTGACTATGTGCGTAGCCAGTTACTGATTGCAAAACGGGAGCTTCTTTCGAAATGCGGCGTCGACATTTCCACAGAGTTCAGTACAAACGAGATCTTTGACTCAAGTCCCTCGATGCTAAACCTCTCTACCGCAGGTAGCACTCTTCACGGGACCACCAGTGACTATGTGACGCTAGATCCGGTTTTCAAACTGGACAGTGACTGGCTTGTCTCGTGGTGCAAGATTGACGGGCTTTACTTTCTCACACTAGGAACAGCGCCGCAGGAATTTCTAGAAGTTGTGTCTGACGACGAGGCCGACGAGGCCGAAGACCATGAAGAGGCAGAAGAGGACGACGGAGAGGATTATGCGTTGACAAAAAATGCCGGATCCACTGCAGATGGTTCCAATATGCACTCTCGCGGAGAGTATAGCCCATTAAGTGATGAAGAAGAAGAAGAAGAAGAAGAAGAAAATGAGGTTAGTGAGAACGATAATGAGATCAACTCTTCTGAAAATGGCCACCTTGAAGAAGATGAGCAGACGTCTTTGAGGTCGCACGAAAGTGCAGCACCACGGGCACCCACTGGACTACCAGCACCTTCACTAATTGCAAACTCGCCTAATCCTTTGCAATACATCAGTTTCTTGGATGTTTTCTCCCAGGCAATCAAGCTGATGCTACAAACAGTCACGCTTTCAAGCCACAAAGTGCAGCTCAATGCCCACCGCATAATAATGCTTTTGCAGGAACTGCTAGATGCATCGGTGCCATTCATCATCGATATGAATCAGCTTAGAGAACTGTTGCCCAACGGGAGTGTGATCGACAAGATTGTGTCAGCAACGAAACAGATTCAGAACACGGCTGCGTCCTCAATTTCGAATATCAAGAGCGGATCAATCTCAAACCTGAGAAACGATCTGAACATCCAGGCACCAGCGAACGGTTCGGGATTTGTCTATTCGACAATACTTGAGAGATCAGGAAATAAAACGCCCTGGAGAAAGGCGAATGTCAAGACAGCCCAAAATGAGATTTTTGTGGACATATACGAAACGATAGATTTGATAATTTCGCCGAAAAAGAATAAGAACTACAGAAAATATTCAACTTATTCAACGAACAACTACAACCCTTCATACGATAGCAGCGAAGTGTCTCTCACTAGAGCGTCGATTCACGGCCACATGGACTTGACGACTTCGCTTGTCGGGGACCCTACCATTGAAGTCCAGCTCGGGGTTCCGTTTACATCCTATTCAAACAACATTTCGCTCGATGACTGCTATCCTTCTTTGCATCGGGGTATCAATAGGCAAGTTTGGAAAAATTCCAACAGCAAGGTGATACAACTTGTACCACCGCAGGAAAAGTCCAAGTTGCTGACGTACAACATCGACTTGATGGAGCTCCATGCTATAAGCAAAGGCGGTCTGGACCTCAACAAATTCTGCGGTTTGATCAACGTCGAGCTACATTCCGGGTTAGGTGTCAATGCAAACGAGTTTGAGGTGGTTGTGCACACCGGGTGTGGATTGAACACTGGGTTTGGCATAAGCTCCTCGAACGGGAAGACCAGCAGCCAATCTAATATTAAGGATGTGCAGGACCTGGTGATTGAGCTGTTCTTACCGACAAGCACAAGTCTAGATATGGGCGGAGACGGGGAGAGAAAGGAAGGTATGGCCAGAAACATTTCCGCTTCCAATAACGGCAGCACCAGCAACGCCTTGATGAACCGACAGATTGCGGGTTCGACTGGGTACGGCGCCAATCAATCGCATGATCAGGACGGCAATGGCAGGCCCTATGACCTCAAAGTCTTACGCAGCAGTACAGGCACAGTCACTCGCACGATACAGGGCAGCTACGAGTGGAAGCTGGATTCGGATGTTGTGGTCGGCGGTGTATTCACGTTGAGAGGCTGCATTGACGCTGACGCCAAGAGTGGCGAAGAGAACTCCGAAAGTGACGGAACATCCGCCGCTTCTACTGCCACGAGAAAGAAGGTCAGTGGTACCAGGGGACACGTGTCGCCACGGTTCCTGCGGGTTCACTACAAGCATCACGGAAGTGTTCCGAGCGGCATCAAGGTCCAGGGCATCAAGGTGATCTCCGGCGGCGCCAAGGCGAAGCCGTTCAAGGGTGTCAAGTATACGACCGCGGCGGGAGACTTTATTGTCCGCTAGGGTGCAGTGCAAAGTAGATCAGCATATACACGTATAAAGAGTAATGTAACGATTCAATTGTCCGCAGGGTCGGCCGGGCCCGCCGGGCCCACGTCGCCTACAGGCCCTCCCTTGTTAGGGGTCACCGTGAGTCCTGCCTGCAGAAGCATTGAGAGGTGGTCCAGGTCAGACACAACCGCGTCCAGTTTCGAGGAGGCGTTCTTCTCGAGGTAGGCGGTCTCGACGTGGGAGTTGTCTTCGTGGCGTAGGAGCACGACTGCACAACCGGCAGCCAAGCCGGCGTCCATGTCGTCCCGGGAGTCGCCCACCATGAGCACCTGTTGCGGCGCCACCCCCCACGCGGAGATGATGTGCAGCAATGGCTCGGGCGCTGGCTTTGGCGGCTTAAACTCCCGTGTCACCACCGGTCCTGTGACAATTCTACTTCTCCCGTCTCCGTCGAAGGGGTCACACTGCAAGAACTTCCCGCAGAAATCGCCCACGGGCTTCGCCACGTTTCTCGTGCAAATCGACGTGTACACCCCCCGCTCGGAGAGCATGGCGAATGCCCGCTGCAGGCCCTTGGTGGGCTCTTGCTCCCGCATTGCCTTCTCCTCGATCGCCTGCAACTTCGCCTCTGCCTCCGTCTGGGCCTCCACGGTCGCCAGCGAAGCCACATGGTCGAGAATGTCCACGCCGGCGGGCACCTGCAACTGTCTACGCATCTCGCCAAACATCCACGTTTGCGGACGTGTCAGCGTTCCGTCCATGTCGAAGATAACTCCTCTGAGTGGCAGCACAAGACCGCCGTCCTTGTTGTTGCTGCTGCTGCTGCTGCTGCTGCTGCTGACGCTGTCCTTGCTGCTGCTGTGGCAGCTGGCACCCACTGTTGCAGGCGTCCTCAGCACCAGTCTATACGTGTTTCCCGTCGCCTTCACCGTCATGCCTCTGTTCCTCCTGCTTCATGTGTTTTCCTTCTTCCTCGTCATTTGCCCCTCTGCCCCGTCTGCCCCGTTTGCTTGCCCCGTTTCTTCTCTGGCCAATCACAGCCGCGAGCCACTTCCGAACGATTCATGCCACGGCAGCCCTCGCTGCCGGCACGCCCCACGCCCCACGCCTTCGCTCCCCGCCGCTGCTGCATACCCCGCTACGTACTCCGTCCGGGGAACGGTCTGGCGCCGGAGCCGTGCTTGCTGCCTGCCTGCCTGCCTCATACATGCCGCCCTGCATGCTGGTCTGCCCCAAATTCTTTTTGTGCTGTTTGGGACATAGGGTGACGGCTGTCACCATCCGCACGGAGGGGGCTGACAGGAGACATCAGCAGGCCGGCAGGACGGTATAAATACCGGACGATGTGCTTCAGGCGGGCGGGGGCATTGCTGTCACCGTAGCGTAGGCGATGTCCGCCCATGCGGTGGCGGCCCTACGTTGAGTTAAGACGTTGTCCGGAAGACTCCCGTGACCTTTGTAGCTCTTGTATCGCTCCTATCTGCCTTTCTCTCTTTTCATCTTCTTTCTTTTCATCTCCTCCCTTCCTTCTATTCTTCCTCTTTATCCAGACTGATTTCTTTTGCAGTTACACTAAAGGATAAAACACTAAAGGATAAATATATACCAAGACGCACGATGGGTTTCTTAGACAAGATAAAGGCCAAGTTCCACAATGACAGCTCCAACAAGAACCGGATGTTGTACACGGAGAACAACCAGGAACAGTTTGGCGTCGACGCGGACGACACCCCACGGAACCGCATGATGGACACCATCTCCAACGAGCAGGGCGCCGAGGTCCTGGGCAAGAAAAACAACCCGGGCCTGGAATACTCCGAAGAGACTCCGAACAGAAACTTGATGACCCACACCATCTCCAACGAACAGGCGGAGGAGCTGGCCCAGGGCACCGACATCACTAAGGACGACTCTGAGCCAAGAAACAAGTTGTTGGACATCGAGGGAAATGAAGGCTTTGTGAACCCGGAAAAGGGCACCAACTTCACTGGCAAAGCCAACAGCACCCGTCTGTTATAAGCAGGGTGCCGGAGCTTACTGGACTTATCATTAGCCATATTATGACTGATTTATTTCCATGCATGTTTTTTAATTTCAACAGTATTCCCTCTTTCTTTCTCCGTTCAGTATGTGTCGTGAACTCCTCCCAATTTTACATTTGTATAGCATCTGTATAGCATATAGTGTATAGTGAACTTTAATTTACCAATTCCATAAATCTAACCGGTGCCAGTGTCGTGCGACGATATCTATAACATCCCGAAAAATCATTTGCTTCATGATGAATATATTATACAATACATGACATGACCAAAAAAAAAGACATTTCTCCCTAAACATTACTCCATCCGTTGATACCCTCTTTGGTAATCTCTCCCGAAAAGAAAATGTTTACCAACCGAACCCAGTTCTGGATTACAACAGAGTAATCCACCCCTCCTTTGCTGCTGTGCAGGGTGGTCCGAGGAACAACGATCTCGGGCTTCTTTGAGTTGATAAGCATGTTTACTATATCGCGTGCATGCTGATGCGTCTGCTTAATGTTTTGGGACCGGTTGAGATTGCTTGCAACGTTTTCATTGAGCTTAGCAAATCTCCGGTTGCAATCGCCGATCACGCTGGAAAAGTCAGTAATCGAATTGTTTCCGCCACTGCCACTGAGGCTCCCAAATGAATTGATTGAACTGTCACTACCACTTCTGTTTTCATGTCTCCTCGCCTGAGCATTGGAGGAAAAGTTGAAGTTCGATTTGCTGTGACTGAAATCTAGCACTTCGTTCAAATGAATTATCGATCTGACAAATATTTGAGTGTTGATTGAAATATGGGTACATCTGACAAGCACCACCACAACCATAGGATTAGGTTTTGTCATTTCAATATCATCCAGCTGCTCATCAATCAAATTCGTTAGTTTCTTGCATAACTTAGATAAATTCAACTCCACATTGTATATGAATCTTTTGAAATCATCCGTCAAAGAAACGTCTGAGTCACTTTGCTCGTTATGGGCGGATATAATGCGTTGCAATTCCGCATTCAAATGACTACAGTATACGTATAGTTCGTAATAAAGTTTAATGATTGACATAAACTTGTATTCTGTTCCAGTAATAACAATTGTCTCTAATTTGTTCAGAGAATCTAGCTCTTGGAGGTTGTTACTCAAGACAACGAGATGTAATCCGACAGAGAGCCACTCCAAATCAACTCCAGGAGTGAAGCTAATTTCTTGTAAAAGAATTTTAATAAAATCTGTATTAATAGCAAAGCAAACGGTGGAGCTCCTTGGCAACCCATAGTATAGAGTATGCAAAGCATCCAAAACCACTAGTTGGATTAAATTGGCAAAACATGGACTATCATATCCTTCTTTGAAAATCAGCCAATCATTGAAGTATGAAAAAGCAATCCCAAATCCCAGTGAATAATCGTAACCAGACAGGACAACTGCATAATTAAGCAACAATAATGTGGAGGTAAACAGGATCTTCCCCGGCACAGACTGATATATTAGCGACTTGGATAAGTACATAGATGCAATAACCTCGAACGCTCTTGTGATCTCTCTAAATCTGACCGCCATTGAAGAAGGCGGTTCGCTTGGACTAGATGAATATGTCTGTACTGGGGTTGAATTTGTGGAGCTTGTGATAACATTGATGAAGTGAAGCGATGCAGAAAATAACTCAATAATGGTGAAAAAATCAGAGTTGTCAATTATGGACCCTATTGACATCTTCATGATCTCTGGGTTAGGGAGCAATGGGTATTGCGGATACAGGTTGGCATAGTAGTTATCTAATAGTGAATAAAGTGAATCTTTGTATTCCGTTGATCTGAAATTTGGATTATTTTGGCTGCTGGACCTAGGTTGAATAGATTCGAATCTTGGGCTCGCCACACGAGCAGTAGGAGAAGAGATCGAGTTGGGTGCCATGATGGATGAAGCGCTAGAGCGTTGTTCTTTATCGCTTGTGAAGGACACTCTTGGAGATCTGCTCTGTAAGGTGAATGGGACCTGAAATGTTGATCTTGATAAACGGCCTGAAGTAGTGGCTAAAAACTCGTCCTCAGAATCCGAATTCTCAACACCAGCGTTGACTAGAGACTTGGCTTCTCTGTTGAGGCCTGTGCTGAACAACAAGGAATTTCTCGTAACAGATGATATTGAAGATGCTGAGCTCAACGAAGAATGGGTGGAGTCCACTGATCCTTTTCTGGCATGCGAGCCCAAATTCGGAGGTAGACTTGGCATCTCGGTGGGGACTTTCCAGAAAATAGCTTGTTGATTATTAGGATCGGACAGTTTGTCGGAAAATGGTATGGAGTTCAAGGGTGGTAAAATGACCTGCTGGTTGTTATACGGTGGCTGGACAGAGCTGGCGGGGTGCGGTGGAGGGGGAGGCACAAATTGCGACAGAGTGCTGTTTCTGTTGCTGTTGCTCCTGATAGAGGCGTTAGAATCAATTCTAAGCATCTCTGTGTCTGGATGACCGGACGGATTAAAAAAGGTCGGGCTCGGTGGCATTTCTGGCGAATCCAGCGACAGCCTCTTGGAGTTTTTTGGCTTGGTATGAGACGAATTTATTGACGACGAAGATGAAGACTTCTTCGTGTAGCCCTTGTTCGGACCCCGTTTAAGCGGCACTCTTGTGAACATGCACGAGTCGTTGTTTTTCTCGCAATTGGTGCATATTTTGACTATAGAGTTGGAATTCATGTCGAACACCGCATTGCACCGCACCTTCTTCCTTCTGCACTCGTCGCACGCTCTCGAGACTTTCGACCGTTTCCGGGGAGGTAGCCTTGCATGATGCTTCTTGCCCGTCTGCATAAGATCGTTCTCTTCCTGGCCATTTCGACGGCCGTTATCGTCCTCATCTTCATCCTCTTCGTCGTTATCGTTGTCGTGGTCGTTGTCGTGGTCGTTGTCATTGTCATTGTCATTGTCGTCCTCCGCAGCGTCGCCGTCGTCGTTGTCGTTGTCAGCAGCATCCTCTGCCTCGTTGCTGCTCTCATGAAGAGGCTGGAGGTCTGCCGGTTTTGTGCCTGGACTGAGACTGTCCCCCAGCGTGGTCAGATGCGCCGTGGAGCGTGACGGGTTCAATATCGAGGTGATGTCGGTCGGGTTCTTCTCCAGTATGCCGGCATTGGCGTCTGGACCACTAGCCAACCCTGCGGCTTTTGGCACTGCTTGACCGCTCAAGCTCTGGTTGTCACTCATGCCTATACGGGTGTTCCTGGACCTTAAAGCTGGTGATAGTGGGGTACCCCGGAGATGGTGTAGCAAAAATCGGGTTTGTCTGGGGCAGCGTGTCGCAGCGGAGGTTCCAACCGGGAGAGAAGAAAGGTAACACCAGAGGTGGTGGCGTTGTTGCTGCTTTTACGCCTTTCTCGCAGTCGCCGTCGTATGTTGCGGCACAAGAACCAGCTAAGACGACAATCGCAGGCCTTATGTGTCTCCCTGTCGGACCGTGGGGTGCTTCTCTATCTCTGCCGGCCCGTCGCTGGGCCGTTGCGTTCCCCCGGGGCGGAGAGAAAAAAGGCCAAAAAGCCGGGGTGTGGGCTGTGCGGTGCGGGCCCGCCGGTGCTGACAGGCAGAGACGAGGTGAAGGACGTACTGGTGTTGTTGAGACAAGGCGGGGCATGAGAACGGTGTGGGCAACAAAGCGAGTTGGCCAGCCATCAGATCATGCCACCAAAAGGGAACTACACGACCGCACACAAGCGTCTCCTCCGCGAGCTGCGGGAGCTTGTCGAGAACCCTGTGGAGGGCATCATTGCGTGTCCGATAAGCGACGACGACCTCTTCCACTGGCGTTGCGTCATCACGGGGCCCGAGGACACGCCGTACGAGTTCGGCGTGTTCGAGGCGAGACTGGACTTCCCGAGGGACTACCCGTTGTCGCCGCCAACGATGAAGTTTGTGACGCCGCTGCTGCACCCGAACGTGTACAAGGACGGAAAGGTGTGCATTTCGATCTTGCACGAGCCGGGGAACGACCCGCTCAACTACGAGTCTGCGGACGAGCGCTGGGGCCCGCTGCAGAGCATTGAGAAGATCCTCTTGTCGGTGTCGTCGATGATCGCCGACCCGAACCCGAACTCGCCGGCCAACGTCGACGCCGCCAAGCTGTGGAGGTACAACAGAGACAGTTACAACAAGACCGTCGAGCAGCACGTTTTTGAATCGCTCGGTCTCAAGCCACCGGCCCCGTGAGCCATGTATACAGCGCCAGCATATAGATAAGATATCCCCATCTCTAATCACAGTACGTGTATGTCCTGCTGGTGTCGCTTTCGTGACGGTCGGGATTTGATCGCCGCGCTTACGTAACGTCAGCCGTCGTCAGCCGGGTTTTGGGGGACCTATTGTGCTCTTCCTTTTGCTAGCGATAATGACATGATTGATAGTGCTCGATTCGGCCAGAGGTGGTTCTTCCGAATTTTTCACTCCATTCCATCTCTCCCAGCTCACTCCGCTTCCTCCGCATCTTGATCTCACACCTGCATACACAACACACATCCCATGGCTGCCGACAACGAACACTCCGAGGCTGCGGACGACGCAAAGAAGCTTGCGAGCTACAATGACACAGTTTTTGGTGGATCGTTTTCTAACCAGAACATGCACCACACCTCGAGAGAGCACATGAGTCGTCTACAGAGCGTGATCCTGAAGTCAACCGTCGTCGGGGGGCTCTACGGGGCCTTGATTTCCATCCCCTCCGAGTTGTTCATCCGCTGGCGCTTCCCGCTCTACAGAGCGTTCGGCTTCCGCATAAGAGTCTTCTACCACACTATCTGGATCGCCTCGGCAGCAGCGTTCCATACCGAGCGAGAAGTCATCCGTTTTGAAAACATCATCCGACAGGAAGAGGAGGAGAAAAGAAGACAGCTGCTAGAGCTCAGCATCCTGCAAGGCGTGTACACCCCCGAATCAGAGGGGTACAAGTCGAAAAAGGCATAGATTTTGATGGTTTGAACGAGGAGGACACTTGGGTTCACCCTTTTATAGGTTTCGTGGTTATTATAGAGGTATGCCTACGTATGTATATCTGACCAAGTAATTTGTTTTAGCGCTTTAGATAAAGTTATCAAAGTCGTGCTTGAAAGTGTCGAAATCCAACGACTCAAGCAACGCAGTGTGGTTGAACCATCCGGAAATACCATCTATATCGTCTGTCTCCAACGACTCCAAAAAATTCAATGTCTCCGAGTTTGGCCCCGTACTCTTGGCATCCGAATCTGTCTGCTCCGATAGATGCTCGTCGCCCAAACTCGGACTGAGCAAATCCTCCAACATTGATTTGGTATTACTCATGGTGTGGAATGCTGCATTGTTGTTTTCAGTATTGGCTCGTTTGACTTTATCTTCATGTTTTGGAAAAATGGCGACATATGCAGAGTGTATATTTTTCAATCCGTTCCTTTCCTCGATCCCATCTAACCTCGAATTCAGCTCCAGAATAGTCGTGGTGTCAATATGCAAAAAATACTCTAAGCTCTTACGTCCAGTCGCTTTACTTTCAGCATCTCCGATAATCGAATCAAGGTTGTAACCCTTTTCTGCGTCATCCTGGTGGGCATTAATTTCCGAGGAAGTTGGTGTAAATGTGAAGAGCCATTTCTCCTGAAATTCAAACCATTCAACAAACTTTTTAGCTATTGTGAACGCCCGCAATGCTGAATACCAATACCTGCTTAGTTTTCCTTCCAGCACTATGAGCGACTTAAACAAAACAACGATATGCTTGTACAGTTTGACATACTCGTCCATCTTTATCGTATTAGTCGTAGTAAGTTCCATTAGGATAATCCGATGTCGGATTTGATAGTGGATAACCAACAACCTTATTGCCACGTAAAACAAAACCGAAATCAATTTCACAAAAACAATATTGATAACAGGCACCAACAACATTAAATACGGTGCAAACTCGCCATCCAGGTCTGATCCATGCTCATCTCCCTCGGCTTTGAAGATTACATAACCAAACAACTTCTGCCATATGAAAAAAAGGTCCTCAATGGCGGTGATCCAGTTAGATAGGATTTGTGGGAATAGCTTAGAGAACCTCACATTCGCAAATCCAAGTGTTTTACTTCTGTTCCCACTTTCCTCCTTTAATCCCAGTTGTTCACAATGTAATAATAAACTGTATTCAATGCTCATCATACAGCCATAAATTTCTAGTTTAGATATAGCGTTATTAACATTCACGGATGCAATAGCCACAGAGGAAATGTATTTCTCATTGTTCAAAGTATCATAAGCTGTATGACATGCATTGAGAATTTCATTCATTTTAGCCTCAACTTCATCTACTGTTGGTCTACGTTTGAAGCTGTGTAACATTTCCAATAACTGGTATAGCTGGTGGTTCACGCATGAGAACTGTTTTAAGATGCTAACAGATAACCTTTCAATTTCGGTGTTTTGTACACTGGCAAATCCGGGATCATAAACTGCCTTACCTGTTCTGTTTTTTTCAGGATCGTGATCAAATTGGGGAGCCGATCCATAAATCATGGAGTGATTCAAATCGCTCTGTAGGGATGCCCACCACAGTTTCTTCCACAGTTGATTGAATACTCTAGGGCCTCGAGTCAACAAGTTCATTTGAAGCTCAGGAGGAAGAAACTTATTTTGGTCTAGTATACCATTTTCTTCCATCTTGGCTAGCTTATTTTTGGGGAGATGGTTGTACTTCTCTTCTGCAGGAGTGCCTTGTGTGAATATGTTTTCATCAAAATGCTGATCAAGCCCTACAGCCTTAGCGGTTGCAACTATCAAACCTGTCATTACGGTGCCATCAGATCCCATGAACCCATCACCATCTTCGCATGTTCGGACTTGGTAAAACCTATACAATAGGAGCAACTGCAAGGTTTCAGCGGACGTCTTTCTTAAAAAATTAGTATTTTGCAATGCATATTGAATTAGAGACACAATAGCAGGTCCAATGGGGTAAGCTAGAATACGTTGCTCAGGAAATGAAGGATTTCGATTCGTCAATTCAATTTCAAGAAAAACTGAAAGATATGAGAGACGCATCATCAAAAGGAGAATCGAAATCCTCAGACCATCTGACTTTGAATTTATGCAGACCTTGACACCAGTCGAATTTTCTGGCACATCACTCAGAGTGGGATACTGTAAAATTTTGGAGATATTCATTCGAAAAATGTGCTCATCGACGACCGGTATGAACGGGTATAGGTATTTCATGAAATGTTCGATGTGAAATTGTATTACATCGCAGGGTGGAAGTATCTGCTCAATCTGTTGAATGAACTTCGGCTTATCCAAAAATTTTGCTTCTTGCTTTTTGGTTGTCAATTGCGTATTTAAAAATTCAAAGAGTTTGAATGATGGACAGTTTTTGCTAGAGTCTGAACAGTATTTCTGAACAATGTTATTTCTTTTAATGGATGTGGCATGGTATTTAGAGTTTTTCTTCTTAGAAAAAAACTTTTTGAAAAAATTACACATCAATGGATCACGTTTCCAAACACTAGTATTAACAAAAGTGCCCAAGCACATGAATCGTGAATCACGCTTGCTTCTGAAAACAGTTAGGTTCTCATTATTATCACCTATCACCATCGAAAAGCAGTCGGAAGCTTTTGTGATGTCCTTCTCAAGCTCCAACAAGCGCTTTTTCAAGTATTCCCTCTCTGTAAGTTTACTGACTAATGCGCTTTCAGATACGGGACCCTCTTTTATCATATTTTCATTGAGAGATGTAGGAGTTGGAAGTGATAGAGGGGGTGGCATTTGCTGCGACCATTCAGTGGCTGCCAGTGTAAAGTTATTCGGATCCTCAGTAGTTTCAGCTTTGTCGAAGGTCAAAACATTCTGAGTCACATTTAACCGAGGGATTGATGTGCTTTCGGATTTCTTACTTGGATAGTCTAGGGAGGAAACAAAGGTAATGGCATTGTTCTTTCCCCGTTTCAAGTTTATCTCCGACGTATCTGACCAAAGCAATGGTGAATCATATTCGCATTTGGTGTTAGAGTTAATACATCGTAAGCAGATGGGCTTTGTGCGATCACATTTTATCTTCTTCTGACGGCACCTGATGCAGGACATCGGAGTTCTTCTCTTTTTTTTCGTCTGGGCTTTCATCTCTACCATACTTTGCACTCTTATTTGTGGCTGCATGTACAGCGGTAGATATGTAGAGTTGAAAAACAGTGGTTGTTGTTTGGAAGGAAGCAAGTCATGTTTTATCGTCTTCATGTTTTCCTCCATAAATAGCGGAGTTCATGAAAACTCGGAGAATTTTCCCTAAAGGGTTAATTCAGCGACCCTCTCGCCTAAATCCGACGAAATTTACGTAACAAAGAAAAAAATGACACGCCCGTTGGATTAGCAAACATGGCTTGACCGGCTACCTATAAGGAGAAATCGGAATTAAAGTTTGGTGTGAACAGGAAAAAGGGTCGGTGACGGCGATGCAGGCTTTTAAGCTACTCCGATCGGGTGAGAAGCAAGTTGGAACCAGCTCCCGCTTATCATCTTTGGGTACTCTGTGTTGCCGTCCCACATCTTCTCCGATGACGTAAACAGTGATTGAATCTGGTCACGTGATTTTGGGAGAGTTTAAAGTGAGCAAATTATGTCCCTTCTCGGTTCCAAATTAGGGAATTGAATACTTCATCTCTGCCCTGTACTCAAGGACTTTCCATTCAGCTGCTAAAGTTTCGGTAAGAGCTGATAGTGGTAGAACAATAAAGGCATGGCTTACTATAGCTCTGTTTTCATATCAGCGTTTTTGAGAAAGTACTCAAACGTCCCCTGCTTTGGTTCATAGCAGTACAGAGTATTGCATTACTCATACTTTGAAATCAAACAGAGGTGCTGATTGCTTCCATTCTCCATGATTCTAGTGGATGGTGAGAAGTATGCTTGCCAGCAGTGTATCAGAGGACATCGATCTTCAACCTGCAAACATATAAAACGACCGCTTGTGCTAGTACGGTCCAGAGGCAGGCCTTTGACTGATTCTTTCCAGCGTATTGCAATTTTCGCCGAAGAGATACAAGATGAAGATGAAAAAAAAAAGGTACTTGATAAGGAAAAAAATCCAGGAAATAACCTTTTGGCAGCCAAGAGAGTTGAAAAGCGTGAAGCATCATGCTGTCATAAACCAAACTCGAAGTCATCCTCGACTCAGAGTTGTTGCGCTTCAAAGGAACCAGTGAATTTAAAAGAGGTAAAGAAAGTTTCTGAGAATCCCTCTGTCAAAACCAACTGTTCCTGTTGTGCTACTGGTGCTGCTTCCTCAAGTTGCAAAAAGCATTCAAGTCCTGTTTATGTGCTCAAAGCTTCCAAACGTCAAGTTTACAACGTCGAAAAGGACTCTCTTCGATTATTGGATCCGGTTGTGGAGATACCCAATAGCAAAGTGGGTTTGGACATTATACAGAAAGTTTCCAAAAACAAAAAGATGTACTCTTGTAGGGATAAGCGGATCAAAGAGGAGCTTATTCGCAGTGTCGTTTATCCCACCAAACATACCCCTAATTCCTCCTGTTGCAGCAATAAAAACATCACTGAGCTCAAGCAGCTAAACTTGGGTAAAGACGGAAACTCTGCTGATACAAATAATACACCATTTGTTTACCAATTTCAACTGTCTATGAACAAGCCAAACAAATTATCCATTGACAAAAAGTCAGCAAACAGAATTACGCCCGAGGTTAATATTATTGATCCTAATTTTTCTTCTTTGAAGCAGAAGGTTGATGTTGATGATTTAGGCCAGTTTTCTCCTGGCTCGAGTGAGTTCGAATATCCTAGCAATATTATTAGGTCTTCTGCAAATGCGTTTGAATTTGTCTCTGCGCCGTCTTACTCTTCTACATCTAATAATGGGAGTACGGAGATGCCAAATTCAACTCTGCCTGATATTTCCAACAGTCTATTATATGACTTGTATATTGCTGAATCGTGTACTGTTCCCGGATCATGTTCTTGTGAAGCGGAGTCATGTGCTTGTCCAGATTGTACAGAGCATGGCAAATATAGAAATTCCAGCTTGACAGTTAAACAACAGTTTGAGGAATATCCATTTCCCATTAATGATGCCCCTAGTTCAGCTGATAACACTTCGCATAAAGAGATACATGGGATAAGGCCTTATGGGAAAGTCGAGATGCAGCCATCCTCTGTTCCTTTGTTTGAGCAAACATTTTTGAAGGTTTTGGGAAGTCAGGTAATAGAAGAATCACGACAAAACCCCTTGGGAATCCCTGAGGAAAATAACTCACCAAATACCGAGATGGATGAATGCTATTGCGAGCCAGACCAATGTTGTTGTTACAATTGTATTGAGCATGGCATAATCAATGGTATCCGAATTTCTGATGGGGTATGCATAGCCGAAGGAGAAAGATCTAGCCCGCAAGAGATACAGCTCTTAGCATCACAGTTCCCGCTCTATGCTAATTCTCCAACATCTTCCTCACGTTCAACTCCGGCTGTAATGTCTGCGTCTGAGTCTGAGGAATATCTCAAAAACCCGTTTCCTTCAAACCTGATGGAAGCTCGAATAAATGCGAGTAACAATAGCGCTGATTCGAACCACTTGGTGAAGGAATCAGTACCTGACAGAGAACAATGGATGCGATATCATAACAACATGTATGCATGTCATATAGATAATGCACACGATTTCATACAAGAGGGGAACGGATATAAGACGCTTAACCCTTCCACAGATGGTCATCCAGCTTCTGTGAATTCACAGGATGAAACGATACGAACTTTGCTTAATCACTAGCACGTCATTGGCACAGAATGCCATTTCAAACGTGGAATAATTAAAACTATCTCAATGAGACATTCTTGTAAAATAAATACAATTTACTTAACTAAAAACAATTAGTGAGGAGAAGAAATTATAGAAGCCGTTGGCTACTCTCCTATTAAAATGGGGCCATGGATTTGTTTATAGCTTAATCAATAAAATGCTGCTTTATATTTTAATCAAATGAAACAGTTTACAACAGTTTACCTCTAGTGTTTCCACCATATAAGCGTTCCTGTGAATAGTAGTCACAAAAGAACAACGTTAAATTCTATCTAATATCCATAAACAGTTTTTACCACTCTTCAATTTCTCCTTCGATAATACCCTCCTTGATCAAGATATTACGGGCTTCACGTCTACCACTCATCCATGCACCATGAACCGCACCTGCTCCATCTAATATCGTGTGCTCACCAGCAAAACGAACATTGTTCATACCTCTAGATAGTTGGATGACGAGATCTGTAGGGTCGTTACCAGGTTTGCAGGCAGCATACGAGCCCCTTGAAAATGGATCTATAGTCCAATTTGAAACAAATGTCTTTGTAGGTTTGATATTTTCAGCGTCTAAACTAGATGGGCCTTCTAGGCTGTGATGTGCGAGCTTGGTTATTATTGGACGCATATAGTCCCACGCTTGCTCCGGATTTCGTTCCAAGTATTCCGTAAGATCACCTTGAGTAAAGCACAACAATGCAGGAACGTCGGCAATCTTCTGTAAATTGAGCATCAAGACTGGGAAATCCCATGAATCGGGAAGAGCCTTCGGCTGATTTATGTGTGTACTAAGGTTCAGAGTAGCTTTTGACTTCAAAGCTTCCCAAAAACTGACAAGATAAGGATCTGGATCTGCCAAAGCTACAAACCGGTCAACATTATGATGGCCCCACCACGGTTCATCGAACTCAAAAATGATCTTTCCTAGTTTTCCCCAACTCATGTTACCCAAGGATTCTTTGATTCTATTCGGAAGAGGAGGTACCCATTCTATGGCACCTTTTTCACCACTTTTTAGCTGAAGTATGCTCTGTGGAATAGTACAAATAATCCAGTCAGCAGTAATTTCTGAGCCTTCTGATAATTCTATTCTAATTGAAGGTTTGGAACGATCTATTTTTGTCACTATTGCCTCCTTGATAAGTCTATTCTCATCCAGAGAAGAGACAATGTCTGTAACTACCTTATCATACCCTTCTTTGAATAAGCAGTTTCTACCTACGTTGTCAACCAAACCAAACTTAGAACTCATTTCTTTCCAACCAATACCATGCCATAACTCAAGATGTCTCACCAATTGCGGAGCATATAGCACCTGCTCTTCGGTAAGCATTCTGCCTTGCTTTTTAAGATATTGTACAACAATTTCATACAACGAAACATCGGACTTGTCTATGTCTTCAAAGTATTCAAGCTCAATGTACTTCTCGAGCTCCTTAACCACTTGTTCGATTTTATGAATGTCAAGGTAGTATGGCCCTACTTTTGAGCCAAAATATAGTGGTCGCTGGTCATCGTAATATAAACCATAACGATCTTTCTCAGCTCCATCCAATTCATTCAATATCTTATCAAAAAGCGGATTGGTCAATGTGTCGTGTGCCCATGAAGCACCCAAGTCATACGGTGTCAGCCCTTCCCGGCATGTTTGTATTCTTCCTCCTACTCTATCTCTTGCCTCTAAAACAATAAAATCGACATTTTTCTCAGAAAGTAACTGAGCAGCTGCAAGACCCGATATTCCAGCACCAACAATTGCCACCTTGTGATGATTCATTGCTGCTATATATACAAAGACCAAAATAGATAGTCAGTTATGATTATGGGACAAACGATTTCAGTTTGGATGTAGCTGAAAAAAAAAACATTATGTTGAACTCCGCACAACGTTAAAAACCGGTGCGAAAGGCAGTAGCTCACCACTATTCAATTTATAAACCTATGATTAGGTCCAATGTACATTATTCGTCTGAGACTCAAACTTCAGACTTTCTATAGATTACACAACGTAGTATATTATTCCCTTTTTTTTTCGGCATCTGAATCCCTCACAAAATTAACAGAGGTTGATTGAGGTTCAGTATCATTAGTGCTACCCAATCCTTTGTGGCCTGACATGTTCCTTGAACGATATATATCGCCGAGCGCTGTCTCCTGTGAAAATAAAGGTTTATCGTAGAGGTCGTCGGTAGGTTTCCCTTTTGCTGAATGGGATGTTCTGAGATACAACTCTGAATCGTAAACACTTTCTTTTTGCTTCTTTCGCAGTGCTTCCGAAACACCAAGCACAACACGCTCACTAATTTCACGGCCCTGCTCCTTTGCCAGCTTTCTGATTTTTTGCTTTGTGCTGAGCTTCTCTGATTTGAGTTCTTCCTCTGCTCTTCTTCTACGTTCTGCACGCCGTTGTAGCTTATCTGAAAGAGAGCTGTCCTCTTCTTGCCCTTTTCTGCTCAGATTATCGTTTGCTGATACAATAGAAAAATCAGTTATAGTCTCTTGTGCTGTTTTACGAGAATTTCTTGCTTCTTCAGCAAGTCTCCCCAGACGTTCTTGAGTTCGTGCGATTTCTTCACTCTCCAGACGTTTCCTCCAGTTAGCCCTTGTCTTTAAGTCTTCTTTAGCCTTCTGCTCTGCATTTTTCAACGCATCACTCAATGCTGAGAATCTCTGTGTACTTTTATTGATATCTTGTTCAGTTAATTTATTTGGAGTATTGGAGTTCTGAAGTCTATTTTCAATTCCAATGATAAAACCCTGATTGTTTTTCCAGTTGGATACAGAAGGTGCAATTTGCCATTTTTTCTGATCTGCTTTCGTTAGTTTTTCAGTACTAGTCTCATCATGCAAAACTGGTGCAAATCCGTCGGCAGGTGGACCATCGGGGGCTTTTCTGATGCGAAACTTCTGAGGAAGCATTGGGTCGACCTTTTCATCTGTTATTTTGATTATCCTCCGCTTTGGGGCATTCAAGCCTTCGTCATTTGTTAGATTTGCAAGCTGTGCAGATGTATACTGCAAGTATGATGTATCACTGTTGGTTGATGTGCTGGCCAACGTGGTTACTTTGTCATTATGAAGTTTTCGTGAAAGAATTTTGTTTAGTGCATCTTTTGTCTTTGAAGCTGTTTCTGACAGTTTTTTCTCAGAGTCATAATCATATAGTTGTAGTTTCTTGTCGGACATGATTATCGTGTGAAAATATGTGTAGATACCCTTACTACTACTAGGGGAAAATTGAGCAGAAGGCTAGTATGTAACCAAATAAGGAATAAAATTTTAATCATCCCAAATTGATTCTAAGTTCACCGAATAATTACGTAATTCAGCTATATATCTGTTCCCGCCACTATCTTCCTTCACAAAATATCCTAAATACGATAGAAGAGGCAACATACACTAATCAATAGCTATTTGTCTGAAGTAAGTTAGTTATAACTACAAATAAACAAAAAAAATGAGCTTTTCATTTATATGAAAAATGTTCTTCATTAATTATTTTTTATTAATCCAAAAATACTCGAATAAATCATGATTGTTTTAACTTGGAAGACTTTTTTATCATCACTTACAGCTACTTGAGATACCACTGGACACTTACTGGCCATAATCAAGAATCAATTATTCAGCTTTCTAAAAGTCAAATGGTCAAATTCTGATAACATGGCACATATTTGAATGTTTTTAGTAGACTCCTACAACACCATCTTTGTTGTGCGCTTGCCTACACAAAAATTACAGGAGCAGAGCGCCTCCTTAAATTGCACTACCTCAAACAAATGCTGGTGTAACACTACATCGGCTTTGCATGCACAAGAAGAAACATAACCAGATGGTTGTACAACAAAGATGTAGCTACTCCCCCTTCACAGCAGTCACTCGAGATTAGTACGGCCAGGCAGAGTTTCAACCCAGAGAGAAACCGGAAACAAGTAGAATCGGGCTTTTTTTTTCTCCACACTTTCAGCGAAGCATGTTCCACTACCTATCGCTCAACGCGGATAAATGCGAAGTTTCAATTGTGTTCGCTGGACGGAGAGCGTTACAGAGATTTATTACAGAATCGGAGGCCTGTGGGAGAATTTGTGCCTAAAATTGTTGAGTTACTCGTTTGAGAAGAAACATTCAGCTCTTTGACATTGACAATGTATATTCCTCCAGACCTTTCCAGATACAACCCAAAACCGGTGATTTATTCACAGTTCTTGGCTTCTAGCATATATCCTGTTCAGATAACAGACCCGAATACCGTCTTTTGTGTTGATAAAGAGGAATTCAGATTCACGTGCTTGAATTCTGTCTATGAACCCGATGTCGCTTTACGAATAGCAAGGACTCCTTTGTCTCCGTCTGATCCGTTCACATACGCCGCTTTATCGAAATTCACAGAATATTATCTCCGGAAATTTCACTCGAGTACGGGTGCACAGTCATCTAACCAGATAGACAAGCCTCCATTGAATGTCCCGAAAGAACTGATAGCAGCTCAGTCCGATGGAAAGACTGAGATATTGCTAGTAGGTTCCCTTTTGAATCCTTTAGTATCGGATAGCTACAAACCTGTTCATCTAACCCCAGGATGTATTTCGAGCATAGTCAATTTCACGAAAGACAATGCATCTCATGAAGCGCCTAACACGTTGAGCAACAAGCTTTTTGGAAAAACTAGGAATACGAAAGGCAATGTTGATCTGAATAATAAGCAGCCGAAAACCAGTTTGAACAGAAACAGTTCAGCTTTCATCGAGCGTATCGCAACCTGTGACAATTACATGAAGAAGATGAGCAATGCAGAATCTCTCCTGATTTCTGTCCACGGCAGAGTGCTTAATATCATAGCATTAGATCAAAATCCACGGGAAATTGAAATTGACTCACCGTGCTTGAGACTGATTCTCTCTAACGGTATAATCACGTGCTTTACTTCTTTCGAGTACACAACAACATCAGGTGAAAAGAATCTGGATATACTTTTCGGGTTTGCTACTGGAGATATTTTGTGGCTAAATCCGCTTCGCATGAAATATTCAAGGTGGAACAAAAACGGAAAGATAAAAAGCGGCTTAATTACATCCCTCCAATGGTCAAAATGCGGTAAGTTTGCAATAGCCGGCTTTGCAGATGGTGAAGTCCTAACATTTAGCCGCAATTTGGAAGACCCTGAATCTGCTTACCAACCTACTGTCCAAATTAAAGAAAGACATATGAGAACTGTCAGGAGTTTGAAAACGCAACAAAATCAAAGCGCAAATCCGGTGGCTCACTACAAATTCTCCAAAAAACCCATCACACATGTAACGATTCATCCAATTTTTCACAACGTTGTAGCATTGACATCAGATGATGGTTTACTCCGGATTTTTGATCTACTAACCGAAACCATAACTGATATTGTACCTTCATACTACGCTGGTTTGTTAGTGACCGAGTTCACCCCAGATGGGAAATACATAGCAGTCGGTGGGGAGGATGATATTGTTTCCATTTTTGAGTTTCAATTCTTGAACTTTTTTTCATCTCCAAGCGAATCCGGGTTATTGAAACTTGTGACAAGATTGCAAGGTGCTAAATCGTGGATAAAAGGAATTGTGATTGGCTCCAACGGTTTGAACTCTTCGTTGAGCTATACCATTGGGACTGCAAGTGATGACGGCTATATAAGGTTCTACGAGTTTCAGCCTAGAGCTCTCCGGAAGGTGAAAAGACACGCTCATGTCGCAAGTGCAAGTTATATAGGCACCCCCAAGTTCCAAATGCAACGGGGTTTTTCAAACTCCTCTGTCGAACCAAGTCTAGATTCAAGAAAGAAGAAGTTGGCAAATAGATCGAGCAACACGCTAGTTTCGATGAACAATACGAACAACCACTTATCTCTTCTTGAAATAATTAATCAAGGCTCGTCATCGACTTCTTTGCAGCAATTACAACCGCAGACTTCCGTGCATTTGAAGTTGGGGGAAAATAATATGGTGAACTCTTCGGCCCAATCAGAAAACAGGAAGCTCGAGTTGATGAAAATTAACGCTTTGTTCAAAAATAAAACTACATCAGCTGTTTCAATACTTCTCCGTGATTCCAGGTTTGCTACTCCACATATTCACACAGTATCAGGTATGAACACTGTGCCTAATGTTCTACCTGTGAGTGAAAAGAATGTTAACTTGGGCAGGCTCAGCGGATTGCACATGAGTAAAGAATTTGTATGGGCTTTTGTAGCCACGGGGGACTTGATTAGGTGGAAAAAACACGAGTCCTATTCTAATGCCTTTTAGATTTGCATTCGATTTTGTATAAGAACAAAGTACGTAATGATCGCTTCAGAAAAAAATGTATCGGCGATACTGTACCGGTTATCTCGCTCATGTACATGGAGTCGCTAAATGGAGCGGAGGCAACTTTTATAGAATAGATATGGGGTTGAAAATGCTCCACATGAACCTAAGGAGCAGGTTGAACTTGTTTACTGGCACCTTAAGAAATCTTGGTTAGCATAATACACAAGCCATTAACATTCTCGCAATGAAAAAGAATGATAGGTCTTGCTCCTCAAATTCAAGTACGTCCAGCACATCATTTTGTTTACCTTCGAACCCGCCGAATGACCCGAAGTTATTACTGAAAAGAACTCAAATGTACGAAACGAAGTATCCGGTACGGTTGCTCATAAAGTCTGCTTCGGGGATATTGAGAAATGCACGGGCGTATGACCGAGAAGGTGCCAGCGAAGATGCGTTTGTATTGTATTCAAGATTTGTTGATCTAGTTGCCAATCGTATAGCGACTAATGTGGAGTTGAAGAACAGTAGACAAGCATATCGAGGGAACCCTCAAAGCAAAGACGGTGAATTATACAACAGTTTTTCGCAACTGTTACCGAGTCTTGCGATTGCAATGGAGAGATCCGAATTATTAATGAACGATATGAGAAAGGAATATGAAGAGTACAAGAAACTAGAGCGTGCAAGACAGGAAATCAGAGATCTACAGAAACGAAAGTTTTCGGAAAAAAAGGAAAGGGAGGAAAGAGAGTTATTAGAAAGGAGGAAAGATATTGAGAGGCGAAAATCATCAATGCATTCTGACGATCGGGAATTATTAAAGAAACTTCGTTCGTTGTCCGATAGTTCCTTTACGGACATACAAAACCCACTACAAATGAAACTACCCTCATATCCACACTTGAACGATGTCGCAATTACAGACGAAGACAGCCATACAGATATGATGGTGAGACTGAAAGAGACACCGTCATCTTTATTGAAAAAGCAGACCCAGTCTTTTTCGTCTACAAAAATGACACAAGATGTAAACCACAAAACTCTGAATTTCACAGAGGGAGGAGCTCCACTGAGAACTATTTTTTTACCTGCAGAGCTTTCTGACTCCTTCTTGCAAATAGCGAAAAACAATACCTTGAATAAGCTTGAGACATGTGGAATATTAGTTGGAAAGTTGAACAGAAATGCATTTTTTATCACACACTTGTTAATACCAGAACAGGATTCAACCTCTGAAACGTGTTCAACTAAAAACGAGGAAAGGATGTTTGAATACATAGATAATGAGGACCCTGACCTTTTCATATTGGGCTGGATTCATACACATCCTACGCAATCGTGCTTTCTATCATCGATTGATTTACACACGCAAAACTCTTACCAAATCATGCTCAATGAGGCCATAGCCATTGTATGCTCGCCAAGTGACCAATTTCCCAAGAAGCTTGGGGTTTTTAGGCTTACCGATCCTCCAGGGATCCCGACCATCACCAATTGCAGCAAAACAGGATTCCATCCACACCACGAACCCAACCTGTATACGGACTGTAATAGGATCAGCAACAAACAGGTGGACACAGGTCATGTTGTCATCAAGACGGGACTACCGTTGAAAGTTAAGGATCTTAGAGCGTGACGGATCATTCGCAGTTTAATCGATTAATGTACAAATTATTCACTATATATAGCCAACAATATATATAGGAAGAAAAAAGCTGACTATGCGCGTGGATCAGACATAAAGAAGGGGAGGAAAGGAAATCATTCCATGATGATTTCATCATCAGTTGCAATGTCCGCCTCCTCTTCAGCAGCCAACGCTTTACGTTCTTTTGCGGCGGCAGCTTCGGCCGCCTTTTGTGCTTCCTCGATAACTTTTTCTGGATACAGCTCTTCCCATTTCTTTCTATCACGTAAATCGTATTCTTCTGTTTGGTCCTTTAGCATCCCATGCTCCATCTCACGTCTGGGTCCTTCATTGGCCTTGTATTTGGCTACCTTCTCCATAAACTTTTCTAGATTGGTACCAGTAGCAGCCTCACTCTCTAAACTCGTGTAGGGGTTTACGCTTAATTCCTTGACCCGACGTTTATGAACTTTTCCACGGAGATGTCCCTTCAATGCAGTGTTATCCAAGAAGTACTTGGCACAATGAATGCAGTAGTACTGTCCCAAACCAGGGAGGTTTTCATCTTCTGGTTGTTGCTTCAACTTCTGAATGGAGTCCGGTGAGGAGAGATCATTGAGAATCAAATCTAAATCTCTTGTTCTCCTCTTGGTCTTATATCTTTTCACTGAATATCTACCCATATTTTGTCAAATACGAAACGTTATGCTATCAATAACAGCTTCAGAGCACTTGTCAATTGTGTGGAGGTAATTTTTGATAGTGCAGATAAAACTTTTGAGATGTGCAAACTTTTTTTTCTACTTCATGTATGAAGTTGAAAAAAATTCATCGATATGCACCGCCACACCCAAGCCCCTGTCACGTGCAAGGCACCGCCACATTCAAAACCTCTCACGTGACTAAATTGTAGTTTACACGTGATTTAAAAATACCCCTAACACCTCACACATGTGCTGCTCTTGCCTAAGCGTGACTGTCTTTTCGCGTCTTTTTCAACCATTTTTCCCGCTATTATGGAGCCAATTCGGGCAATGCCCTGCTAGAATGTCGCGCGCACACAGTTTCGCAGGCGATTTGTCAGCTGGGGTTTGGATTCTGCGGGAAGGGAGAGAGAGGGAGCGAGGTAGTAGCGGCGTTCGTACTGTTAGCCATTAGTGAAAGTCATTTTTGAGATATCATACTGTGGAAAAACGCAATCAAGTTCAAGCTTGTTTTAAAAGATTAGAGCATATCTCATAACCACAGAAGGTATGTACAACAGACTCACATATACAAAGAATTTAGAGAGAACATGATAGCGCATCGGAAATGAAATTGAAATGGAGTTTCAACTTTTGAAATATTGGACAACGTGAAAGGTAATCCAAGCAAGCACTTTAAGCTTTGATTTCAACTGTCAATACATAGGAAGAACGTCTAATCAAAAACATTTTGATCGTGACCAAAGGAGTGTTTCAGAAAAACGTTTTTGCCCTTGATTTTGCCACCACCTTTGCTGCTTACTAAAACATTTGAATGGAAAAAACTATAAAAGCGTTTTGGTGTCCACAGTTTTCCACTTCCACCGCCATGCCTACTTTCTCTCAAAGTTATTTACTTTTGCTTGCTTTGACTCCTTTGAATTAGTTAACTAACACCACTCTTTTTATTCTTTCTTTCGATACAGATAATCATTCAAAATGGCTAGAAGACCAGCTAGATGTTACAGATACTGTAAAAACAAGCCTTTCCCAAAGTCTAGATACAACAGAGGTGTTCCAGAATCCAAGATCAGAATTTTTGATTTGGGTAGAAAGAAGGCTTCCGTTGATGACTTCCCATTATGTGTTCACTTGGTTTCCAACGAAATTGAACAATTGTCATCCGAAGCTTTGGAAGCTGCACGTATCTGTGCCAACAAATATATTACCGTTCAAGCTGGTAGAGAATCTTTCCACATGAGAGTCAGAGTTCATCCTTTCCACGTTTTAAGAATCAACAAGATGTTGTCTTGTGCCGGTGCCGATAGATTGCAACAAGGTATGAGAGGTGCTTGGGGTAAGCCACATGGTACCGCTGCCAGAGTTACCATTGGTCAAGTTTTGATCTCCATCAGAACCAAGGACTCTAACAAGGCTGTTGTTGTTGAAGGTTTGAGAAGAGCTAGATACAAGTTCCCAGGTCAACAAAAGATCATTCTTTCTAAAAAGTGGGGTTTCACCAACTTAAACAGAGACGAATACGTTGCCAAGAGACAAAACAACGAAGTCAAGGAAGATGGTGCTTACGTCAAGTTCATCTCTTTAAAGGGTAACTTAGAAGAAAACTTCAAGGAATTCCCACACTACTTCGTTAACTAAATTTGATTGTTTAGTGTAATAAATGGTTTTGTAATTTGTTTTATTCTAAAGAAAACTCTCTAATAGTTAGCGGTAACCAACAGTTGCCATGAAACTGTGTCAAGGTCCTACTATAGTAGACTGTATTATATTACAATGATATACATTTTCCTTTCGTTTAAGTGATAAACTACACTTGAGGGTATGACTGTATAAAATAGATCATGAAAGGCCATGTAAATTAAATCTTACTTCCGAATCCTAAAAATCCGTGTCCTTTTCGAGATTCCTTTCTTTCTACTTTACCTTTATCTTTCTCCTTCTCCCTGTCACTTTCATACTCTCGTTCTCTTGCTTCAACGTCTTGTGCACTTCGTAGGGCCATCTCAATGTAATTGTCATAACTCACATAACCTCTACCAGCGTCACACACATGGAAATTCTTAATCCATTCACTTTGCCAGATCTGATAAGTTCTCATTCTGAAAGTAGGATCTGGATTTAAAATATTGTATAAAACATATTTCCTGGAGTCATTAACATATTCTTCATCGTTTGATCTTATATTCGAATCTAACTCACCACCCTTCTGAACCCAACTGTTCAAAATACCACCTTTGATGCCTTCAATTGGAGAATATCCACCTGGCTTGACACATAAAAATTGATGTGCCTTGGTTGAGCTTTTGTAGGAGTAATCAAAAACAGCCCTAGTATCAATAAATCTTGCGTATGTCTCGTCACTCATTTTGGCAGCTTCCCATGCATATTTACCGTAATACATTGTCAGATAAATTATGCCTAGTGACCACACATCGCCCAATCTTGGATCATATTCACGCTCTTTATTGTATTGTTCAGGAGCCACATAACGCTCAGAACCACAGGCACCACGTGAAAGCTGAACATCACTTTCCCATGCTGTCCGGAATACTGCAGATGTACCAAAGTCAATTATTTTGAGTTGGCCTTTCCGAGTGAGTAACAAGTTCTCAACTTTGAGATCGTTATGTGAAACACCAACTGAATGTAGATAAGTTATCGCATTGAGGATTTGCTTAAAAAAGCAATCGCACTCTACTATGTGCAATCCATTTGTCGTAGATATCAAGGAGAAAAGATCACCACAGGGTATGAACTCCATAATTTCAGAGTATGTCATAGAAACCGGATCAACCATCAAATCGTAAACATTGATGACTGCTTGATGTGTTAACGATGAAGAAATCATGAACTCACTGGTAACTCGATTCCCAAAATGGTGTAACGACTCCCCTTGTTTCCTTTTAAGTTGTTTGATGGCAAAATAAATCTTTGTCGTACCAACTGTCTTTGAAGAAATACACACCGTACCATAGGAACCTTTACCGACAACACCTTCAATATGTCCGTATTTCTGCGACAGCATCAACTTAATCTTGCCCTCCCGCTCTTTTTCTTCAAGCCTTGACTTAAACTTTTCGGGATGTTCAATTTTATTCAACATGCTATTGATCAAAAAGACCTGCTCTTTTCCTATTATTGGCTCGATCATCATATTATCAACTTCGTCGTCAAAGTCATCATCGTCATCATCTTCCTCATCGTCATCATCTTCTGCCTCTTCACTGTCATCTGCTTTGTTTTTATTTTCGCCCTTATCCTCATCTTTGATTGGAACACCAGAAGGCTTAGTGGCGCTAGGAGAAACTGTTGGGCTCAAAACATCCTCATCATTACGTGCTTCCATGTCCTTCACATAATCATCTTCATCTTCATATTCGTCATCACTATTGTAATGCCTGGTAAGCCGTTTCGACTGCCGACCCAAACTCCGAGCATAGTTGGAGCTTTTGGAACTAGTCATACTCTGCAAACTTGATTTCCTATTAGCACCGACTTTACCTTTAGTTTTGAAATTGGGTTCGGCGTTGTCACTGTCGTAATCCGAGTCCTCATCATCACCCTCAACATATTCGTCTTCTTCATCCTCATCGTCATCATAATTCCAAATATAGTTCTTAGGATTATTTTTCACACGCATCAAATCTCCCGAATACTTATCGGGTAGCAAACTTACTGATTTTTCAATGATTTCATAAGAATCCTCTCTTTCTGTTTTGGAAGATTCTTTCTTCTTCATCCAGTTGAAAATTCCCATCATCGGCTTATTTGGGTGCGTTTTATACTTTGAGTAGTCATGTTCGTGAGAGCGACCATATTCATAGACAGTTATTCGACCTCCTGCCAACTTTATTACCTGCTCTCGTTGATGTTTTAGATGTGTGGCACCATAATTGACTGTTTCTGTGTGTCTCAACGCACGAGGATCTTTATTAAGCGATGCATTGTTTGAGTATTGAGAACCGCTTGAAGTCAGTTTGGATGAAGAAGAATGTGGTTCAGCAACGTTTACGTTTTCCCTACTACTAATTGAACCTGCATGAGAAAAAAGTCTGGAATTACTTGTGTTTTGAGGTAAATTATTGTGATATAATGCTGCAGAGACAGTTGAAGAGCGCATTCTACTTGGTTGCTGAGGAGAAGGTTTTGGCGACGGAAGCTGAGAGTGAATTGGAGTTTTTGGAGTATAAGCATTATCTGAACTGTTAGCTTCCAAGTTCAGTTTTCTCAGCACCTGATCCACAGGAGTGTCTAGCTCGGAATCTATATCATTTGGGACTTCCGTTTGAAGCTTCAGTTTATTCATTGACGAGGATAGGTTATCCTGAGAGGCTGGGGGTTGTTGACCTTTTGGTCTCAAGTTGTAAGCTGTAGCATTTGCTGGATTACTCAGCTGGATCGAGTGGTTGGCCATTGCGCTATTTGAGGGTCTGCCCAATGATCTGTCAGGAATAGGTAAGACCTGTGGGTGAGGAATGGGTGTTTTCAATGTCTTTTGCGGAGCCTCGGATTGAGATTGGGACTCTTGCTTCGGGATTTGGTTTGCGGTCAAGGTTGAACTTGAGCTTTGGTTTGAGCTTAAGCTGGTAGTTGAGTTGGAGCTTGGGATTGTGTTCAAGGATTGAGTTTGCTTTGGCTGTTGTTGCTGTGAGAGTGCAAAATCGGGAGCCAGTTGTTTTTTCTTCAAAAGTGTGGAAGTCGAGTTGACTCTCTTTAGGGGGTCTTTAGGGTCTGAAGGATGGGAGTGGCTGTCGCCAGAGACCGAGAAGAGGTTCTTGAATTTCTGGGAGACGGAGCTGCTCCGGTGTACTCTTCGGTTGTGTTCGGAGTCGGACTCACCATTTGTGGACGCTACCGACGAATTGGAGGACGCCGAGGTGATTGGCTGCAACATTGGCGGTTGGGGGTGGTTATTGTTGAAGGAGGACACGGGGTTCATCGACGGAGAGTTGGATGGCGTTGGAGAGCTCGACTTCGAGGTCGGAACCGCCGTGGTGCTCTTCGACTCTTTTCTGAACAGGGGCATGGTGCAGGTGCAGGTGCAGGTGCAGCTTTTCCTGCTCTAGACAGCGGAAACGATGAGGAGAGGGGAGGGGAGGCTGCAAAAGTGCCGAGGCTTGTTCGGCTTCTCTGGAGGTCGGGGCAAGCAGACGACCGTGATGGTGTGCGTCTGGGGGATCTGTGCCGGAGCCTGTTTGCAGCAAGTGTGCAGGTGAACAAGGACGCCTGATGTCTGTATCTGTGTCCAGCTCAGTTGCACGACAAACACAGCCCTTACTGGAGCACTGAACGGCTAGACTATCCGTGGAAACAAACGAGAACCCGAGGCCCGGCGCCAGGCTGTGTGGATGGGGGATGCGGATGGGAAAGAACGGGAGCTAGCGAGACAGAACGGTGTCTGGCCACGGTGCAACACGCTGGGAGGCGGAAAAGGATGGGACGGAACGGAGGCACTTCAATACAACTGCTCTACCACCGGGGCATCTATTTACATATACGGGCAGATCCGTCTCGCAGACCTGGTTGGACAGATAATGTGTGTGTGCACAGAAATCGGAAACACTGCTACCCTCCTGCAGGGCCGCCGCCTGTTTTCTGCACACACAGATAGCGCACGCGGCCCGGGCGGGCAGCGGAGGAACGAACCCGGCTGCCACTGTGACCGCTGTTGGCCGTTGTTGCCAGGCTGAGGGAAAGGACGGGCCTGGGCAAGGGTCTGTAGCGGCTTCCGGACTCGTAGCCGTCGCCGTCGCCGTCGCCGGAAAGGTGGCTGTTGTTGCTGTGGCAAGGCGCTTTGCTTATTCGGGCCGCTACGTCATGGTGCAGACGGGCAAGCCGGTCGGGCTGTGGCGGGCAGGAGCCGGGCGCAAGCAGAAGTTGCCAGGAGAGAAAGAGGGGGAAAAAGGCCAAAAAAAGAACGAGGCCGATCGACGCAAAAAGAGGCCATTTGGGCCGATCGACGCGGATTCCCAAAAGGGAAGGTGAAAAATTTTCTGAAAGGAGAAGGATATTTTTATCATGAATCTGGGAGGATCAGAGGTGGAGGTGAAGAAGAAAGACGGCTTGGAGAGGGGAAGGCGGAACAGGCACGGGAAACAGAGACTGTGTCAGAGTTCGGAAAGATACAGAAAACATGAGAGAGCACGTTGTTTCTGTTTTGGGGCTGGTGTTCCTGCTTTTCCTTGGCGGAAAGCTGCTCCTGCTAGGCCTCATCTTATCTTTCACTGCGCTTTTCTGTTATTCTTCGGTGTCCCCGGCCACGACGACGACGACGGCAGCTGCGTCTGTGGCGAAGCCTGCTCGCGTGCGGAGGGGCAAAACGAAGGTCATAACTGCTCCGGACATGTCCAAGCTCAAGAAGAGCCCGGACACGGACGTGTACACGTCGAACAAGACGAAGTTCAGCGACTCGCCGATCTACATCTTCTACTCCTCGTTGACAGGCGCCTCCAAAAGGGTGGCCACACAGCTCTTTGAGACGTTGACGGCGAGCGGAAACCACAAGAACGCGGTCCAAATGCTCTCGATCGACGACGACGTGGAAGACTTGGACACGTACTTCCTGAACATACCCAAGTCTGAGGACCCGAACAACACAAACTTCCCCATCTACATCCTCATCTTACCGTCCTACGAGTCGGACTCGCCCATCGACTACTTCTTGGAGTTTCTCCATGACACAGCAACCGACTTCCGAGTCGACAAGTACCCGCTCAAGGCGTTGTCTGGATACACGGTTCTTGGCCTTGGCGACTCGGAGTCCTGGCCTGACCTCTTCTGCTACCAGTCGAAGATAGCAGACAAATCGATGTCCAAGCTTGGCGCAAGAAGAATCTTCCCTCTCGGCCGTCTCTGCGTGAAGAACGACCTCAAGGAAACCACTGCACATTGGGTCAACCGTCTGGTCAGCGTTCTATCTGACGACGAGCCTTTCCTATACGAAGAGAACGACCCGGAGGACTCCGACTCTGACACTGACGACGTAGAAGAATACTCGAGCGAAAACGAAAACGAGACCGGGAACGGTTCAGACGACGGAACCCTAGTTGACATGGAGGATCTTTCCACCGATAACAAAACGAGAGGTTCAGGCAAACTCACAAAATCGATCAACAAGAAGCAGATGGTGGCCAAGGATTCCCCTACTTTCAAGTCGTTGACAAAGCAGGGATATACAGTTGTTGGCTCTCATAGTGGAGTGAAGATATGTCGGTGGACGAAGTCGGCCTTACGTGGCCGTGGGTTCTGTTACAAATTCGCCTTTTACGGTATACACTCCCATAGATGTATGGAGACGACACCCTCTCTATCATGCTCGAACAAATGTGTCTTCTGTTGGAGACACGGGACCAATCCTGTCGGTACCACATGGAGATGGGAAGTTGACCAACCAGATAAGATTGTCGAAGGCGCACTAGCCGGCCACTACACGAAGATCAAGCAAATGCGTGGTGTGCCCGGTGTTTTGATGGATAGGTTTGAAGAAGCGTTCAAGGTGCGTCATTGTGCGTTGTCGTTGGTTGGTGAGCCAATTTTCTACCCATACATCAATGAGTTTGTGAAGATGTTGCACGAGAAGGACATTTCGACCTTCTTGGTTTGTAACGCGCAACACCCGGACCAGTTGCGCACGTTGAACAAGGTCACCCAGTTGTATGTGTCTATTGACGCCCCAACAAAGCAGGAGTTGAAGACTGTTGACAGACCGTTATTCAGAGACTACTGGGAGAGATTGGAACAGTGCTTGGACATTCTACGGACGGTCCAGTCCCACCAGCGTACGGTTTTCAGATTGACCTTGGTGAAGGGATTCAACATGTCTGAGTCCGATGTTGGCGGGTACGCCGACCTGGTTGAGAGAGGGATGCCATCGTTGATTGAGATCAAGGGTGCTACCTACTGCGGTTCAAGCGAAGGCAACGGGAACCCACTAACTATGCAGAACATTCCTTTCTACGAGGAGTGTGTTTCGTTCGTGAAACGGTTGGACAACGAGTTGAACAAGAGGGGGATGCAGTACGGCTTGGCTGCGGAGCACTCACACTCGTGCTGCTTCCTGATTGCCAACAAGAAGTTCTACGTGGACAACAAGTGGCACACGCACATTGACTACGACAAGTTTTTCAAGCTGTGGAACAGCAACCAGAGCTTTGACTCCCTCGACTACATATGCGAGACGCCCGAGTGGGCGTACTTCGGCTCGAAGGAGGGCGGTTTCAACCCTGCCGACACGAGGTACAACCGGAAGGACGAGAAGCTCAAAAAGAAGCTGCAACGGGAGAAGGAGAGCAAGGGGGGCATGTAATTAATTATCTGGAGGCGCCAACGAGCGCCTAAGTTCTCGAGTCCATGCGCATGCGCATGCGGATGTATGTATGCATATATATATATATTGATGTATGTACAGTAACAAAGAATTAAAAATCGAATCGTAGGAGACATAAAGCTGGTTTTGGGACAAAAGAGAGGAACGCTGGCCGAGGGCAGAGGGAGGCAGGCTAGTTGTCCCTGGAGGACTTTGAGCTTTCCATCATCTCTCTGGCAAGCTCTGCCCTACGCTGTCTGTCCTTCATCTCCTGGTCCCGTCTTTCCAACTCCTCGATCCACAACTTCTCTCTGATCTTGGCCTTCTCGATCGCCAGCTCCTCGTCGGTCTTCTTGGCCTCGGAGAACGCGTTGTCGTAGTAGATGGACCCAAACACGAGAGCCACCAAGGTGAATCCCTGCAAGCCGACACGCCAGCGGAACCAGAACTGCGCCTTGGGCGCATTGCCTGTCCGGACGCCCTTGGCGGCCATTATGACGGCGGCGGTGGTGGCCAAGCAGCCTAGCGGGACCAAGGGTTGCTGCTTGGACCGATATATGATTTTCTCCAAGACAGACATGCTGCAACAGAGGAAGGGGGTGGCTGCGGCTGCCCTTAGCGGGAACGACGGCGGCGGCGATGCGTTAGTATGGGATCATGCAGGCGTGGACGTTGCTAGTCCGAGTATACACGGAAGTCTATCCATCTATCTATACGTACTCTTGGAGCGGGTCCTCGAACGAGGAGGGGTAGTTCTGTGATGCCATGGCTGGTGCTGGGTGCAGTGGGGGCTGTGTGCTGCAGGGGCACCGTGTCCAGGGCCCGTCTGCGCCAGCAGAGGCACTGGCGATAGATAACAAGACGTGGGTGGAGCCAGGCTGGCCACCGGGCCCGCCAGCGCTGCGTGGCAGACGAGGGGTGGCCCGCTTTTTCCTCGCGGGGTCTGCGCCCGGGCTGTCGGGCCCGCTAGCCACGGGCGTTCCGCTTGTTGATGTACGAGTAGTCCTTGGGCGCCGCCACGAGCCCCTTGCCCTTGCTGGCGCCGCGGTACACCACCTCCAGGATGTCGATCAGCTCCTGCTTGTCCGTGAGGTTGAAGTTGAGCTTGTTGTTGTTGCCCGTGCCGAAGTCGCACATCATGTGCCGGTTGCGGAAGAAGAACATCACCGTCACCGGGTCGTAGAGCTCGTACATCTCGTTGAAGTCCGGCACCACCGTCGTGTCGCACGTATACACCGCTGCAAACTGCGACACCAGCGGCGCCGCCTTGTAGAGCAGCTCGTCCATCTGCAACACCTCCCGGGCCCCTGGGTCCCCGAAACGCACCACCACCAGCCGGTCTTCCTCCGAGAGAATCGCCTGGTCGACGTGCCAGCCTGTGCGCAGGTTTGGCAAAAACACAGAGCCCATGTTCTGTCTGGCTGTCTTTCTTTCTTTCTTTCCCGTCTGCCCGTCTGCCCGTCTGCTCTTGCCCCTTGCCCTGTCCTGTTGCCCTATTTTGCCCTCCGCCTTCTCTTAGTTTGCAAGCCGCTGAGCATTTGCCCTCCCCGCGCACCGCCACACCGCCGGCCGTTTGCGTCGCGCCCCGTCCCCGCGTGGCGCAGCGCCTTGACAACGCAAAATGCAAACCTCCTTTCTCCGAGCGCAGAGGGCCGATCGCGAGGCCGCCCAGAGGCGAAACAGAGGGAGGGCTGGCCCTCCCTCGGTGGCGTCGTGGCGGCGTCGTGTGTGTCGTGGGTCTGGGTCGGCGGCGGTGAGCGATGGGGCGTGCTGGCGGGGCCGCTGGGTTGGCCGCTGGGTTGGCGCTGCAGGACTGCTAGCGCATGGACAGCAGGACGGAGACGGTGAGGGTGGCTGACGGCACAGAGACAGACAGACAGACACACGGGCGGCGACAGGTGGACAGCGCCGCCATAGCCCGACGGCACAACAGAACTGTGTCGCTGCGTGCGCCTGAGACCCAGATCAGATTTCAGATCAGTTTTCTGTGCGAAACACGCATTGCCAGCTCCACGTCTTGCCGGAAAGTCGAACAGAAGGAACAACCTGCCCGATCCCACCAGCAATTGGATCCGCTTTAGCCTGCCACACCGCACACCGCACACCGCCTTCACACATATCGCCTCCAGCCTTTGAGGAGAACCGTTCCAGCTGATTCCGGAGCACGGTCCATAGCATTCGCACACAACACACACACACACACACAATGTCAGGCGCACAAGCTTATGACCCTTACAACCCCTTCAGCGACGACGCAGCTCGTGAGCTCAAAAACGAAGAACCAACGCCTTTCAACCACAAGAACGACGAGGGTCGTTCGAAGCTGCAGAACCTCCAGAGCACGTTGGATGACACCGCAGGCATGATGCGTGACAACCTGGAAGCCATCAACCAGCGTGGCGAGGTGTTGGAAGACATCGACAACAGAGCATACAGCTTGCAGAACAACGCAACCTTGTTCAACAAGTCCGCAAACCAGGTGAGAAAAGACATGTGGAAGAAAAACCTCAAGCTCAAACTCTGCGTCGCCTTGGTCATCATAATCATCATCATAGTCGTCGTCGTCCCAATAGCTGTTCACTTCAGCAACTACTGAACTCGTGGCCGCTGCCAAACCGTGCCTGTGACTATCTTTTGTATCGTTTCACATTTTCCATCCTCCATTTTTTTCTCTAATCTTTTCCTACACTGATTCTCCCCACTTTTCCTGTCAACTTACTCATCCATACTTTTTCTTGCCCTTTCTTTAATTCTTTCATATGTCTAATATGTTCTTCTAAAATCTTCTCTTATCGCTCTAACATCCTAGTTACATAGAAAATGAAGTATGATATTATAATAAACAAGCTTGCTGGAAAAATTAAATATAGAACTAAAACAAATCATTGCCTGGGCTCAAATCAGTATCTCAAAACTAATTGCCGTCGGATTCAGGTAATGCGTTCGATTGGTATGTAGCATTGAGAGTGGATAACTCGATGATACGTCTGATAATCGGAACATTCAAACGCGCTGGAACATATGCCTCGATCTTATTGAAGGGTCTCAACTCAATATTTCTAAATGGATCTTCAAACAATGTGTCCTTGTTGACAGGCTCCAGGTAATCAGTTTGCCCGCTGGAACGTACCTTCTCTGCTAAGCCTTGGGTGATCATTGGAGAAATCGGCACTTCATAATCAGCAACATGGTATAAGGCAAAGAGTTTCTGGATCTGAACAGGCTTCAAAGTATGGCAAATTTCATATATTATGTCAATATCTTCTGGAGTGTTTTTACGCAATTGCAACAATTTGGAGACTTGGAAAAGATGTGACAAGTAAACAGTGGCATCATTGATGCCATGACCCTTGCACCATTCATCTAATCTCATCACATTGTAGTTCAATTGAAGTCCACGCTTCCATGACAAGAAGTTACGACGCATAATCAAATCGTTGAAACAGCATGCATTGACAAACTTCAATAGATCGATTATCACCGTATCCATAACGTGAGATTCGAAATAATATGACTTCATGGCCCAGTACACATTGTTGAAAAATGTTAGAATATCATCCATCTTGTATTTCGGTTCCTTTGTGAACATCTTGCTGATCAATGGAGATTGATCCTGTGACATAAATCCTGGTAAAGACTGTCCTAAAACAACAGCAGAGATGACCTTCTTCTCTAATATTGACATGATATTCTTCATCCAGATATTGTAAATATTATATGACAAGGATTCAAAGTCTTCTTTGGCATCAGCAATCAACTTCAAAAATAGGTTGTAGTCGTCTTCACCCATAGCCTTAGATACTTCTTCATTTGCAACAACAGTAGATTGTGCATATGAAACGAAGGAGTATAATTCATGGGTGTTAGTCAACCAGTACGCACCATGAGCAATAATGTCTTCATTGTTCAATTCGGCAACCAGACTTTGTATGGTTTGTAACACCTCTCCAAAGAAACTCTCACTATTTGATGTCAAACCTAATCTCCACATATCACTTAATATGATAATGATAATTCTTGCAGGGAAAAGAACTTCCTTCTTACTTGGTTGAGAGGCAACAACTGCTGGTGGCAATACCAAACCCTTGAATAAACCTTGGACAACTTCACGTTGGAGAGCCTTTGAATCATCCAGCAAGTTGGTTAATTCTCTATTAATAGCCTCAAGCTCATCATTGTCTTCATCATTAGTATAGTCAACATTGTTGGAGATCTCTTTAGTTTCGTTGAATGCCAAACCCGAGGTGCCGTTGGGAATTGTTGCCAAAGTGGCATTGTTGAATTTACCATAACTCAAGTGGTCTTGGAGCTCTTTCAATTCTAACTTCAATTTCTCAACCGATCCATATAACGTGTCTCTTTCATCATTTGACTTGTTTAACTCTTCTTGAGCGGCCTTCAACTGTTCAAGATTATCTCTCAACTCTTCCTTAAGCTTATTTTGAACTTCTGTCAATTCATCAACTTTCTGCTTCGCAGTATCATAATCAGTCTTCAACTTATCAATTTCAGTATTTAGGTTCACGACATTATCTTCGTACTCTGCAATCTTTGTATTGTGCTCATCATCAATTTTCAGACTCTTAGCCTTCAAAGTAGAGTGATCATTCTGTGTCTTCTCAACTAATTTCTGTAACTGCTGAATCTCAGACATGAGTTTACCATTTTCTTCAACTTTACTACTTAGAGATTGAGTTAATTCAATGACCTTATTTTCTAAGCCATATTGAACTTCTTGCATTTTGTTCAACGATTTCGCTTCTTCCTTCAGTTTTGCATAATCTGCCTTTGCTAGTTTCCTACGTGCACAGCATTGAATGACAACTGCAGCTCTTCTTACTCTATTCAATTCTTTTCTTGCAAGAAGACTTCTACTAGCAGATTGAATAGAAATAGCCGCCTTACTACGAATATTCTTATGAATATTCTCTCTGAAATATGTACCACGAATAATAGATTGAAGTTGGACCAATGATGCAACAGCAGAATTGAGTCTTTCTCTAATCAGGTGTCCTCTTATTAATGATTGAATCAAAGTAGCACCTTCTCTTTCTTTCTGCTTTTGTATTCTATCTCTTACCAAGAAGCCTCTGATGAGAGCTTGTAAGCTTATTGCTGAAGCTAACGTCGCCTGATATTCCTTTCTATCGTGATAACCTCTGAGGTATTTCTGGATGATAATGGCAGATTTTTTATGCTTATCACTCTTCATCTTTTCAATGTTACCCAGAATGCCTGCCTTAAAGAAAACTTTAGTTTTACCAATCTGAAAACTATGATCATCTTTTATTGTATAGTCTAAGAATTTCTTACTTGCCAATTTGAGATCTTCTTCGGTGGTTTTCCCTTGCAATAATTTCGACCGCTCATCAGACTCAAACAAGACATTGAAAGCATCAGCAAACTCCGGATAAGACATTTTAGATGGGAATCCCGCACAAGAGATTTTGATTGTTTCCAAAACACCACAAGCTCTTAATTGTGAAAGAACCATATTCGGATCAAATTCCCATGCATGTTTCTCCTCGTTAGGCTTGATACATCTAATATAATGGACATTACTCGAGTTAATGGTTTTCATCAAATCGATCAAAGAACCTTTGAATTTGGAACCCAATGTGTCTTTACCAGGAGCTTTACGTCCTGGTTTTACTTCTGCTGGTTTGGCATCTTCTGCTGCTTTTTCAGATGTGGAAAGAATATCAATCAAGAAAGAATTTGATGAATTTTTCAAAGTATCCTTCTGACCATCAGAAACAGTGTCTCTGTTCTTTTCCACAAAACCTTCAGTATCATAAGGAACTTCTAAAGCATAATGAGAAATAATAAATTTGTTGTTGCCAAATCTTGGTTTCTTGAAAACATTACTCGAAGGAGGTTTGGCCAAGTTCTGATATAACTTTTCAGCCCATTGTTCATCCGAACCAGCAGGCAGCCTAGATTCTTCATTCAACAAGTCAAGGACACCAAGTTTCTTTTCAATGACATCAATACATGGTTGGTTATCCGCAAACTCTATAAACGACCATTCAATGTCTTCATCAATGTACAATTGTTGTTCCAATTTGAAAACATGTTGAGTAAACTCTTGCTGCAATTTTTCATTGGCGTAATTGATACAAAATTGCTCAAAAGAATTCTTTTCAAAATGTTCGAAACCATAGATATCTAGAACACCAATAAACGTTGAAACTTGATCTTCAATGTTGGCAGGACATAAATCAGAATTAACGTGATCAACTAACCAGTCAAACAAGTTGTGATAAATATATTTTGCAACAGCATCTCTTGCGTTTATTGCTTCGTGATGTTTCAAATCAGTGTTGATTGTTTCAAAACGTGTTTTGATTTGCTTCTTCACCGTCCATTTGGCAAAACTGACTGGATCTAAACCTAAAAGCTCGCATGCTTTCACTAAGCTTGGCTCATCGGACGAAAGTGAAGCATTGTTTCTAGTTTTTGGAATGTCAACATTACCTAAATGTAGTAAACCAGATAAAACTTTAAAGATTTCCAATTGTTTAGCTTCATCAATGCCCACTAAGGATAGCGCATTACATGTATCTTGAAATTCTTTACTGTCATCAACTCCCTCGATTAGTGGGAGACCACCCTGGTTTAAATAATTATAGCTTTCGATATCTTCCAAATGAATGGATTTTTTTGTGTTTTCATCTAAACCTTGGATCATTTGATAAAAGATATGGTAATTTCTTTCTGTTTTTGGCTGAAAAACGAGTCTGGAACGTTCCAAAAGATAAGTTCTAATCTTGGCACCACAAATTACAGTTTTATTGTCAAAAAGAATCTCAAGGTACTTACCAAATCTGGACGAATTGTCGTTCCTGGTAGTCTTAGCATTACCAAAGGATTCCATAATTGGATTTGTTGCTAATATCTGTTTTTCGGTTTGGGACATGTCGTGCTGATTTTCATCGGAGTCGACTGTGGCAAAATACCTCATGATGTATTTAGCAGAAACAGTTTTACCGGCACCGGATTCACCAGAAACAACAATAGATTGATTCTGGTTTCTATTTATCATACAACGGTACGCCTCTTCTGCAATTGCAAATAAATGGGGCTCTTCATCTCCTCTTCTTGTGTTTGCATATCTCTTAATTCTGTAAGGTGAGTACAACTCATCATTTCTCTGGAATGGATTGACGGCAATCAAGACAATACCCGAGTAGGTGTAAATATTGAATTGGGAGTATCTGAGTTTGATCACGTTCAAAACCGAAGGCTCGTTCAAGTGGGACAACGTTGTCAAGTCCTCAACATTTTCAGCTTGATTTCTCATCAGAGGTAACTCGGGGTTGGATTCATCCAAACTATTGGTTTCGATCGTGATCACTCTTTCTGGATCATTTTCCACTTCCAGTTGTATTAAGTATTTACCGTTGTCTTGGGTTATCTTTTGTACTTTCACCGCAAGCCAACCCTGCTTCTCATCAGGAATCCAACACAGGCTAGAATGAACGGGTAAAAATGGAGACTTTCATCGAAAGAAAAATGTTAGTAATTATTCTTGACAGGCAACTTTTCAAATAGCCAGTAAAACTGAACATACCTTCCGACATCTAATTGGACGGTTGACATAGTTCAACAATCTCACAGTTCTTGGTACAGCAAAAGGAATGAATTTGTTGGTATGGATCGTGGGCTTCTGCTTCGTACAGTGAGGGGGTATCAATTGTGGTTGTAGAGAAGTTAATAGGACAAGGGAGAAAGGATAAATGCCGCTAGATATGCCTGTGGTAATGGCCTCTTTCAATTTTCCCGTCTGTCGTACCTGACAATTGGGATAACCAGCAAGATATGTGCTCCTAAGCTCAGCACCTATGATGGATCAACAATCAAACCAAAACAACGCAAAATTTCCCCCGTTTGGTCGTTCTTCCAACTGTCGTAAACAGTGGCAACTTTGCCAGCGAAGAACGCGAAAAAAAGTGGACAAGCCGATCGTCTTCAATGACCGGATTTCCATTTTGCCGAGGTTTTTCCGCTAATCTCCTGTTCCACTATCATCTATCAGTTCTGGAAGGACCGGGTGCCTATTGTTCCGTGGAGAAGCCATTTTTTGAAGACTTGTGTCTGGATTCTCTGCAGACGTGACAGACATTGGAAGGAAAAGTCGCAGCATGGCAGGACCCACGGCTTCGGCGCAACACGCCGATCTGACATCACTCTCTCTGCCGTCAATTGGGCCTGTTCACTCAACTCCATCGAAGAAATCTTCGATGAGAAAGAAACTCTCTAGGATAGGATTGCCTTTCTCATCCTCGGAGGAACCAGAAAATGAATATGTGGATAGCAACATTTCCATAGAGCAACCCACCGGCAATTATACCCCAGCAGATGACTGCCAGATGCCAAATAGTACAGGCGCCTCGTTGGCGAATCCTGAATTATCTTCTCCAGTTCACAGTGCTGTTCTTCCAAACGGGATGTCCGACACGGCATCTTCGAACGCAGCTGCAAGAAACAATGCTAGTTTTTCAAAATTTAACAATTCAACTTCTAGTTTGACCAACTCCGTAGCGACACCTCCTCATAAACTGCCTTACAAAACACCTACTGCGAATCTGTCTTCATCCAACGTTCATCATCCCAAACAGCAGCAGCAGCAACAAAATTCAACTTCCTTATTCTCGAGAAAGCCCGAGTCATTATCAAATTCAGTAAACAATGCAAAGTCTATTAGCTTTCATCATACATCCTCTCCAAACAAACCAAGCAGCAGGTATCTAGCAACTAATAATGATCATACATTTGTGATATCTCGGGGAGGTAATAATAATCAGCAGCACCCTATTCTGCCAGCTCCACAGACATCGGCCCAAAGACCTTCTCATAGTCAGATGAACTCAGTAAACTATGTCAACGATGACACTGTCTTGTCAAGTTCTAACTCAAGCACCAATAACAACACCTCTGCCATTCCGAAGATCATTCCACTTTCTCACCTGCCTCAATTTACACCTGTAAATCAGGCACATCATCAGTCACAAAACTCAAGTGCTGTTTTGGCGCCTCCAACTGTTTTAACACCTGCTTACAAAACACACTCATCAAGCACGCAAGGTACTGGGCAACATATTTACGCCTCTGCAAATAATTCAAGCATCATGTATTCAAATCACAATAATGAATCTAACTCTCAAACAGTGCCATCGGTTTCTGATACAAACTCGACTGCATCCCGCCAAAAAAGAGGTACTGGCCTTTTGCAACATGCCTACAGGTCCTCCCATCAGTCGCATTCAAATTTAGCTAATTCAAAAAATAAAGAAGGTCAAGCATCAGCAAACAATACTATAAATCTGACAGTTAATAACAACGGAAAATTAGACGGAAGTCATCCAGATGGTATCAACTGTTTAGATTCAAAATTCCATTTTATATCGCCCAAAATATCAAACCAATTCAAGTCGCTTCAACATCTGATTCAATTAGGTATTAAGAAACGTTTAGAGTATCTAGATAATGAAAATTCAGCGCTTCTTTCAGAGATCACTAACTATTATGATGAAATAGAGAATGTCCAAAAACAATTGAGTTCCCAGGTTAGTGACCTTGATGGATTCATTGCAACTTTAACTTCAAGAAAAGAAGTGGATCTCAAGAATCTTCAGCAGCACGGTTTGTTTGAAAATTTAAATGATCTAAACGCTAGAATCGAAACAGTCAAAGGTAACATGGACTTGAAAAAAGAGTCTTTAAAAATGTTTGAGATCAAGTTGAACACTTTAGCAAAATTGAAAATAAACAATGAGAATAGAGATCGTAATAGGAAACATATTGCTTTTGTCTCCAGTTTAATTCTAGCGCTCCTTTTTTTAATGAAACTGTTACTTTTTTAACTTGCTCAGCATCAGAACTAATTCTTTCCTACTAGTAAACAGCATTTGACAGTCATATGTCTCATTACTTTTGTATTAAAAAGTGAGTAACTCATTAAATCTATAAAATTATTAATTCATACATAAAAATGCATTTTCGAAAGCATCGTCTTCCAATGGAATAACAAATTCGGAGTTATTTGATTGGTCTTTCTTTTTAAGCTTTTTTGTCTTTTCTCCAAGCTTTTTACCACTCTCTGTTGTACTATTTTTATCGCATTCTCCAATTATTTTCTCAATTTGCTTTCTACTTATCGAGTCGCAAGTCGTAGCAATCATATCTATATCAGCAAAGCCTTGTTTCTTTAGTTGCAAAATTTGGCACAAAGTTAAAAGATGCATCAATTTGTTAGGGGAATCAGGAACAGTATGTTCATTGCACCAATCTATCAGCAGCGATATGTTATATTTTATTAGCAAACCTTTGTCAACTGTTAGATAAGATTCCCTAGTTATAATATCGTTGAAGCACAGCACATCAGTATAAGTCAATAGATCGTGAATTACTGATGTCGAAATTACCTCATCAAAACAGTAACTCTTCATGGCAAGGTAAACGTTGTTGAAAATTCTCAAAACATCAAACATCTTGTATTTGGGACCTTTATGGAACATATGCCTGAAATAAACGTTAGGATTCTGTCTGATTGAGTATAAGGTTTCATCCAGAATGACAGCATCTATGGTTTTCTTATTAAGCTCATTCAAAATAGACTTAATCCAAACATTGTACATTTGGCCAAACACAGTTTCACAATACCTCTTCATTATCAATAACATCTTTAAATAGTCCTGTCTCTCCTCTGCTTTTAGGAAAATTTTACTATCAAAGTCTGACATTGCTGTATAACGTGACCAAGCAATGCAAGTTCTGATTTCATTAACATTATTCAACAAGTATGCCCCATTCGATATCAAAGCTTCTGGATCCTTTAGGGTCTCAATTTTCTCCTTAAAGATGTTCATCACTTTTTCTAATAATACAGCTGATTGGTTTATCATTCCAATTCTCCATAAATCCGTCAGAATAGCGACAACTAATCTGGAGGGAAACAGAACTTCGCCGATAGAAATAGGCTCCTCTGACTCCTCTGGGGGCGGTCTGATATCCTGTAGCAACAAATTTGCAACAAGCGTAGAAGCTATAGGAGATCCTTTCATGTAATCAAGAAGGTCAGCGTAGCCGGATCTAAAATTCCGATCAAGGTGAGAAGGATCAGCTTTTGCTTGACCAAACATAATCTTTTCGGTGGAAATGGAGTTAACACTTTTAACAGAAAGTCTTTTAACTGCCATATCGGGTTTAGCATACTTGACACGCCTCATCATCTTCTTTAGGATCATGATGTCATTCCTAGTATTTTTTTCGAGTCTCTCAGTCAAATAAACGTCAGAAATATGAGGATGTTGCTTCTCGTATGAATCTATACTTTCGGAGATGTTTTTAATTCTCAAAACAATGAATCTGGTTATGATTGCTAACGATTTAGATGGTCTCATACCCAGCAAATCGTTGTACGAATATTTCAGAGGATGAAGAGAGTTTTCCAGTATGCCCCAAATTTCATCGGCTCCTTCATCGTGATTAGTTATTGGAAGCAAGTCAGCAAATGAGGCGTTAGTCAGTTTAGACATGTTAGAAGATTTATGGAGACTATCTGACTCTATGTATTTGATCGGATCTACAGTTCTTCCATTTGCATGTTTTTGATCCACTTCATCTAACTTTTTTTTCTGGCTTAATTTTTGAGCCAGTTTAAATTCTTCCTGGGCTTTCTGCTTTGGCCTTTCATCTTCCATATGCCTTTCATTATCATTTTTCTTTTGCTTGTTTTCTACCTTTACTTGTTCTTGAAGTATCCTTGTTTCCCTTTCTTGCATTTCTATTAGTTTTTTTTGATGTTCTTGATTCGAAATTTTAGCTTCTTTTTCGTTTTTTTCCGATTCTCTTCTAGCTGCATCTCTTAACCTAACAAGTTCTCTATACTCATTTCTCACAATCATACCACGAACATGAGATTGTATAATAAAGGTAGAATTTATTATTTTGCTTATTTGTTTTCTTGCTAAAGAACCTCTTAGTAAAGATTGTATTGCAATACAAGAAGACTCTTGGTTTCTCGTGCGAGTGCGTATCAAACTACCACGCACAACTGACTGTAGATCAACCATAGAAGCTTGTGCGTCAAGCCATCTTTTCCTTTCTAAGTAACGGCGGATATGTTTCTGAAGTATAGTAACAGAACTTTTGATTTTATTTGTCTTTGCAATTTCTAGTTGACCTAGTACGCCTGCTCTAAAAAATAGCTTTGTTTTACCGGTTTGGAATGAACTTTGATCGCTTATCAATTTTCTCAACATTTTGGTACTTAGTTTTTTCATTTCAACCTCAGATTGAATTTCCCCTCTTTTGAAATCAGTTTCAACTTCTGCTGGAAGTAAAACAACAAATCTATGTAAAAACTCTTCGTAAGTATACTTTGATGGAAATCCTACTAAAGAGATCTGAATGGTTTCCAAAACACCACAAGCTCTCAATTGAGATAGAACCATCAAGTTGTCAAATTCCCAAGGCCTTTTCGTCTCATTGGGTTTGATGCATCTAATGTAATGGGCATTTGTGGAATTGATAGTTGCCATCAAACCGTTCAAAGAATTTCTAAATAAATATCCAAGAGTTGGTTTTTTGTTTCTACCACCTAAGCTTAATCTTTTCTTTGTTACTGGAGATTTTTCTGGTGACTCTCTATTTTTTTCGATTGATAAAATAACATTCTTCAAAAAGTGATTTCCAGATAATCGTAAAACTTCGTTTTGTGCATCGGAAACAGTATCTCTGTTTTTCTCTAAGAACCCATCAACCTGATAGGTTACATCTAGAGCGTAGTGTGAGACAATAAACTTTTCTGTACCGAACCTAGCTTTTTTGAAAACTTTATTTTGTGGAGGTTTTGTCAGTGAGTGAAACATCTTTTCTGCCCATGCTTTATCAGAACCAGCTGGTAATTTGCATTGTTCGTCGAGAAGTGAAAGAATTCCGTTTCTGTCTTCAATGAGATCTATACAAGATTGGTTGTCTGTATATTTGATGAACGACCATTCTATGCCTTCGCTAATGTAGTCCTCTTGTTGTAGCTTGAAGACGTGATGAGTAAATTCCTGTTGCAATTTTTCGTTAGCGTAATTAATACAGAATTGTTCAAATGAGTTATTATCGAAGTGCTCAAATCCATAGATATCTAAAACACCTATAAAGGACTTTTCTCTTGCTTCGTTCTCCGAAGAACACAGATGACTGTTTATGTAAGACACTAGCCAATCAAACAATAAAGAATATATGTATTTTGAAATGGAATCTCTGGCAACAATTGCTTCGTGGTATTTCAAATTAGATGCTATATTGTCTGATCTCGTCGAAATTTTCTTTTTTACAATCCACTTGCTAAATTCTTTTGGATCAAGACCTAAAAGATTGCATGCCATAAGCAAATTAGGTTCATCGCTAGCCAACACTGCTTCTCCACGAGAGTTTTGAATGATAATATTACCTATATGTAGTAAACCGGCCAGTATTTTGAAAAGCTCAAATTGTTTATTTTCATCAATACCAACAATTTTTAGAGCATCGCAAGTGTCTCTGAATTCTTTTGAATCATCTATACCCGAAATTGCAGATGTGTTCCCTCTATTTAAATAGTGATAGTTTCCGCAATGCTGAAGAGATAATTCTTTTTTTAAGTTTTCCGGAAGTCCCTGAATCATTTGATAAAAAATATGATAATTCCGTTCGTTTCTAGCTTGATGTACGAGCCTGGACCTTTCTAGCAAATATGTTTGGATTGTTGCTCCACAGATTACTGATTTTTCGTCAAAAGAAATTCTTAGATACTTGCCAAATCTTGAGGAGTTGTCATTTCTTGTAGTTTTGGCATTACCGAAAGATTCCATTATAGGATTGGTTGCTAAAATTTGTTTTTCAATCTCTATCGTGTTAATTTGAGTACCCTCCGTATGCACACTTGCAAAAAATCTCATTATATATTTTGCTGATACTGTTTTACCTGCTCCGGATTCACCAGAAACAATTATAGATTGGCTGATCGAATCCTTTCTCATGCACTTGTATGCCTCATCCGAAATGCCAAAAAGATGGGGAGGATTATCATTTTTTTTAGCATTTTGGTATTTTTGTATTATCTCTTGGGTGTAAAGGTTTTCCAATTTATCAAAGGGATTTATTGCAATTAAAACAATGCCAGAAAATGTATATATAATTTTCTTAGAATATCTCAATTTAACAGAGTTCAAAACAGAGGGCTCATTCAAATGTGACAAGGTTGTTAAATCGTCAACTGTGTCATCTAGGTTTCTTAATTTTGGTAGCTTTTCATTGTTTTCTGCAAGATTGTTTGTTTCAACCACAAAACATTCATTGCTATCCTCATCATTTGCTAACTCAATTTTGTACACCTTTGAGTTTTCATTGTATTCAATTTTCGTAACATTAACACCTAACCAGCCTATACGATTGTCGGGTATCCAACAACGAGTTCCTTGTTCTAGTCTCATTATCCAATTTTATGATTCTTTTGGATAACTTGACCTGAGCACTGTTTTCTTCTACCAGTCAGCTTAATTTAGTTGTTGAATCAAAACTTTACCGAACGGATGACTGGACTATTTTGTATAATTAGATGTTTGACACTTTTTTGAATGCAAAGTTATAAGTGATATAGTGCTCAAACTACCAAGTTTGAAGGAATCATCACAATTGTCAACTTACTGCCCATTCTCAATCTACGCAGTATTATTATTGCACCACTTTGGGTGGTAAGAGCGACACAAATATTTTCATTCATTTTTGAGGTTTCCTCAACAGAGCATCAGAACTCTAATGTGTCAAAACTTGAGTCAAATAAATAGTTCTGGGAAATCCCGTAGTTATAACCTTAAACAGATTTTTTTTACGGATGTTTCTATAATCCAACTTATATATTGTACATTACTAGTTAAAAGCTCATATTATTTATGTCTCAATTTCTTTAAGGCACAACTCCATATCTTCTTCACTTAAAGAGCTTATATACAGACATTTGGAAATAATATCATTGTCGGCTTCAAAGCTGTAAAAGCGAGCCCACTCAATATATCTTAGTGTTTTCTTCACAGTTTGTCCAGTTATCGTAAACTTCTCAAAACTCACCAACTCATAACTATCACTACCGTCTTCAAATTCATCCAGCGAATCTATTTCAGTAGAATTATCAAGTTTAGAACTGACTATTGTCGGCATTTCAGAATACATTGTAAGGTCACTCAATTCGAGTGGCAAAAAGGGTATAAATCCTTTAGAAGGAACGATTTTTTCAATTTCATCTCTGTAATTCTTGAAATTACTGTTAGGAGAGGTCAAATCTTTCAATTCCTTAAATCTCAGAATTGTACCGGGGTCAACTCTGATCCACGTTGATTTTAGTTGCTTCATAACCTCCGAATTCAAAGCTAACATAATTTGGAATAAAGTGCCGTAATTCTGAATTTTTCGGCATGTCTGTGCGAGTTGAACGAATCTAGTAATTGCCAAAACTCTCAAAGCAAAATCTTTGCATAATAAAATCTCAGAAATAATCCAGTTATTGACCAAGTTAAACCGCAAGGTAATCATTTGTAGTCCAGTTTTGTCAGAAAGATCTAATAAAAGTCTAAGCCACGAATTATATGGGCTTATTGGCTGATCCCATTTCAAATTAATTAATTCTTTCCACTCAACTTCCATGATAATATCTCTTTCGATCAATGTCATTTGTTTTGCCAATTGCTCTGAGTCATATTTAAAAATAAACGGAATATGCAATTCCCCTTGCATAATTTGTGTTACGCTCAAAATTTGTTTCGAGCAATTCAAAGCTTTAGGTGTAGCAAGTAATGATTGCATTTCAAAGCATGAGCGTTCTCCATCATCTTTTAAGAGTTTTCCGGTACTTACTCTAGTTAGAGTGTTCCCATTATCTCTCGTCATTCCCAAGGATTGGGTTGAAATCATATTCATCTCTAGTTTTTGATTTTTGGAAGGAGTGGACGGAGCGTTACTTTTATTCATCTCCGCTGAATTATTTGAGATGTACAAATCCTTTACTTGTCTCTCCAATCGTGCTTCTTCAGTTGAATCGTAGTCACTATTACAACAGTCATCTTTCAACGTTTTGTTAACGTTGGCTTCACTAAAATCGCTGTCTATGGGTGATTGACAAACAATTGCGACAGCATGTTTTCTATGGGTTTCTTCATCACCAATATCAACATCTTGGTTTGTATCATTCAATCCTAAAATCACCTTGGGTTTCTTGCGTTCCCCTCTCAATTTGCTCAAGGTGTAATGCAAAGGATCTCCATCTAGTTTTTCATCTGGGATAGCTGCTAGTTCGTTGATATCTGTCTGAGAAAGACCATTATAGCAAGTTTGAGATGGAGTTGGTGAAGGTAAAATTGAAATTCCCGAATTGGTGCTTTTTTCTGAAGAGATGAAACTGTAAAATGGTAGTTCTTGCATAATTTCCAAGCTCTCCATATCTAAGGCCTTTGCAGTGGCAATCGAGGTCGTCGATTGGTTCTCTGCATTTTTTAAATTTCCAACATCAGAGATCTTTTTGGCATCTTCGTTCCCTAAACTTTCATCATCCGTATCTGAGATAGACTGATTATCTACCCTGAGATTTGAAATAGCATGTTTCTTTCTTAATTTATTCTCGTCCATGTCGGCATTAATACTATTGAAAGCAACACCTCTAGAAGAAGCAGAAATATCTGAGTCATAAGTCATATATGATTTGTTGGATATCATGCTGCTTCTGCCTATCATATTGATAGAAAATCTATTAGTCGTAGTATCGACAGAGCGGTTTTCCTCTCTGTCACTAAAACCATTTGATATTCGATTGTTATTCAATCCAATGGGCAAGTTAGGATCACTGCTGCATTTTCCTTTTTGGGGAGCATGTAACTGTTTCAACGAACTTCTGTATACCTGTAGACTAGACCTCCCACGAACTGGCAGCTCGCCATAACTTCGAAAACGATGATCGTTAGAGTGTACGGTAGAGTCAATTTCTGATACATCTTGCAACTCCTCGTTAGTGACACCCATGTCAATAAATACATCATTATGACTATCATCAATTTCTAAAGACTCTGACCAATTCATCGTATCAGGGGGGGTCTGAAATGATTTCTCTTGTGCTTCGTCAACGTTGTTTAATCCATGCGTATTATTTTTTGAGTTAATCAAATTCTCTAAGTGGTTCATGTTATAGGATTCCTTTCCGCTTTTGGTAGGTGAATCGTGGGGATCAAATTTAGATTCACGATTACCCAAGTCAATTGCTGTCGACAATACGCTTTTCCTGTTTGAATTCTTTAGCTGTCTTGAATATCGTTGTTTGAAAGTAGGTAGCTGCATCATTAGCTGATAATCCCTTATCACAAGTTCCTCTAGGTAGTCAATATTGTTCTCATTAATGTTGATCGTCTTCTCCAGGTCTTCAATTACGTTATGAGTGGATGATGACTCCTCTGTTCTATAGCTAAGTTTCACTTCAGATTGGCACTGCTTTTGAGATTGCTGTTGCTCTTGTCGTTGACAATCGGTTTCACTATTTGTCAACAGTACTTTTGGCTCGACTATCGCCCTTCCAGCTTTTGTCCTATCGTTCACTGACCCCGCAGGTACATTTTCTTTGTCGTGATGGTTAAATAAGGATTTGAGGAAACTTCTTTTTTTCGTCTTACTTTTTTGTTTTTGCTGCAAGATGGTTTTGTTATTTTGTTTTGTTGCTTGATCAGGCTTCGGGGATGATATGAAAGGCTTAGCTGTTTTTGTCAAAGTTTTGATTTCAACTTTTTGGTTAATACTTCTTTTTTCCGGGGCTTTACTTTCGGGAAATATTGGATTTATTTCTTTTGCTAGAGACTCGATCTTGCTGACTTTGCTATCTTCAAAAATTTCTATGTTGCCTCGAGTTGTAAACCCATCAGTCGCATTTTTTTCCAAATTGAACTTGTCTAAAGACACAAACCCTGAGACAGCTTGATTGCTGAACACTGTGCAAATATTGGAATACAATTGGTCTATACTCGAAGAATCGTTTGTCCTCAGCTTATTCCGGTCTAGTTCCAAAGCATTGAGAGAAGCCTTTGGATATAAGAAGCTGTTTTGTTCGTTTTTGAATAAAGATTTAGACCTTTGATTTGAGTTTTTGGAAAGAAATGTTTCTAGCGGTGTCTTAGTGGGCAGCTGTGGAGATCTTGCCAAGCTGCCACTGCTTTGAGCCTTTTTTCCAAAAGATTCGCTCAGAATGTTGGAGCTACTTTGGTTGTCGAACATGTATAGCAATGTCGATCTTCTTGTAGATGGATCATTCAAATGACTGAGGCCAACGGTTGAAAGCCGTGAATTATTAAAATTATGATACGAGGATATTGTATAATGGAGCATATCTGAAGGGTATTCAATGATCTCGAGATTCCAGTAAATAGAGCACATTGTTAAATAATTTTTCTTCAAATCTTTGATAATCTTGGTCTGCAGATTGTTGAAGTCGGTGCCTATATATTGTTCGTATTTGGCGAGTTCATTAATGGTATTAGTGAACAACTGTCTTAAGAGATTGTTGTTAACAAAATCATCTTGAAAATGGTTCAATAGCCAATGTCGAATGGTAACAAATGTTCGAACCAATACCAAACGACCAATAGAGGAACGATTGAGATCATTTGATAAGGAGTTCTTCAAACACCATGATAGTCTACACAGAAGAAGTTCAAGAAGTGGGAGAGCATCAATATATGTTCGAAATGTCAAAAAGAAGTCGACCAGAAATTGATAATCAAGAACCTCCGGCGATGTGACATAAGTTATCAAAGCCTCGACTGTTCCTTCCACTAGCTTTTCGTTTTTGAAGTGCACTATAACTGATTCTTTCGGAGTTGGGTATAGAAGTTCATTGTCAAAGATTGGCTCATTTTCTTGAAAGTTTAGAAGCAATTGTTGCATATCCAGTGATGAATCATTGTGAACGACTGAATTTGTATCGGATCCCATGAAGTCGTCCTCATCATTAGTTCGTCCGCTGTCTGTCTCATCATCATTGTGGTTAAACTGTTGCGAGTTGAAAGTCTGGTTGTCGAATGAAAAATCACTTATTTGAGGCATTTCAAGAGGTATCTTTTGGTTTGGTTAACACTAGATAGCTCTTTGTTCGGAAACAACCTTGGAATTTGTCGAAAGATGGTCCTATCAGCCGGCTCTATAGTTGGGCAGGTATGATTGAAGTATTGTCTATGACGATTATACGAAAACAATTATAATAATAACGGAGACGAATTTGTGAGTGGAGATAGTGTATGTAAATGGCAAGAGTCACAAAAAGAAATGATAAGTAAGAAATCAATGTACAGACAATATCAAAATTTGCAGTATAATGCACTATGATTCGGGGTGTATAGTAAACGGAGCGTAAGGCATAAGAGTTTTTACAACAGCAAATACTGGCGTGGAGAATACACGGCCTGACATTATTTGTTTACTTTTCTGGGCCATATCAGTGGTACGAAAACAAAACAAAACAAACCCGAGGACCATAGCGTCACTAGGATACCACAAATGGAAAATAAATCGGCGCGTCGATGCTTAGAGCAAATTCACAATCACATGGTAGCAAGTAGTTGTGCGGATTTTGACTCTAAACAGTAACGATTATTTGCGTTGCTGAGCGAGCGCCTTTAACATTTCGTTGTAAACAAGTTTGTTGAATACTATCTTTGCTTCGTTCATTAACAACCCATCAGATTTCATTCTAGATAAAGTGATGAATGATTAACCATCAACGCCTATCATAAATGAGGTGTTACCTTTGTTTGTTATTGTTTAGTATGTGGTAAACAGCTAGATCATTATTTGATATGTAACTACTTAATATATAAGCCCGAGTTACATGAGCCATCCTTTACTGTGGTCTTATACAAATTAACATCGTAAATGGATGAAGTTCTATTGAAACAATATTTTTACCCTTCCTATATTATTCATCTGTTATTATGTTTCATAATTGACTATATTTTATATTGAGGATAATTACATAATCACCATCATTTACAACGCATTCTGTGAGTAGTAAGAGGTCAAGGATGAATGCGAGGCCTGTCAACAGCCTATGTGCAAGCCAATATGAAACGGAAAAGTAATCTATTATTCATCATTTCAGTTAGTCGTTAAGATAAAAATACATAAGTTTAAAGTCGTATATATGAAAAATAAATGGAATATACTTCAAGCTTATTGAGGACCATTGTTAATACCAATTCTAACAGCCTTCCATTGGGTGTAGTTCTCGAATGCCTGTTCACCCATTTCTCTACCAATACCAGATTGCTTGAAACCACCAAATGGCATGGCAGGATGGAAGTCATTGTAGGTGTTAATCCACACGGTACCTGCTTCCAACTTGTTGGCAACATATGTGGCGGTGTCGAGAGACTTAGTGTGGATACCAGCAGCTAAACCGTACTCGGAGTCGTTGGCAAGTTCGATAACTTCATCAGCAGTCTTGAACTTGGTGACAACGGCAAATGGACCGAAAATTTCTTCAGAGTAAATCTTCATCTCTGGCTTAACGTCAGAGAAAATGGTTGGCTTGACGAAGTAACCCTTGGTACCCAATCTTTCACCACCGGTGACCAAAGTAGCACCTTCTTGCTTACCAGCGTCAACGTAGCCCAGAATCTTAGTTAATTGTTGTTGAGAAGTTTGAGCACCTTGGAAGACACCTTCTTCGAATGGGTTACCAACCTTTAAGTGTTCAGCGGCAGTCTTGAATTCTTCAAGAACTTCATCGTAGATACCTTCTTGGATGAAAACTCTGGAACCTGCACAACAAACTTCACCGGAGTTGTAGAAAATACCGACAATCAAGTTTTGGACGGCCTTCTTCACGTCAGCATCGTTGAAGACAATATTTGGAGACTTACCACCCAATTCCAATGTGACCTTCTTCAAGTTTGAGTCGGCAGCGGCCTTCATGATGTGTTTACCAGTGGCGGTGGAACCGGTGAAAGCAACCTTCTTGATCTTTGGGTGGGTAGAAATAGCTTCACCAGTAATCTTACCGAAACCGGAGACAATGTTGATGACACCCTTTGGAATACCAACCTCTTGGGCCAACTTAGCAGCGTACAAAGCAGACAATGGGGTGGATTCGGCAGTCTTCAAAACAACGGTGTTACCGGCGGCCAAGGCTGGGCCAATCTTCCAGGACCACATCAACAATGGGAAGTTCCAAGGAATGATCTGACCACAGACACCAATTGGTTCTCTCTTGATGTAGTTGAAATAGTTGGAGCCAGTGTCAATTAACTTACCGGATAACTTGTCGGCCCAACCGGCACAGTATCTCAAGTAGTTGATGACCAAGCCAACATCACCTTGAGCCATTGGTAGCGCCTTACCGTTGTCCATGGATTCGATAGCAGACAAAGTGTCTTTGTTAGCTTCCATCAAGTCAGCAAGGTCCAGCAAGTACTTACCACGGACAGCTGGGTCGCATTGGCTCCACTCGCTGTGGAATGCCTTGTGTGCAGCGTCGACAGCCAGGTCGACATCGTCTTTTCTTGCTTCGTAGACGTGACAGATTTCCTCTTCCGTGGAAGGGTTGATGACTTCAAAAGTCTTGTGTTGCAAGGACTTCACAAACTCACCGTTGATGAACAAACCAGTTGGTTGTTCGTACGATTGCCCGGAAGGCAAGGTAATGGTTTGTGAGAGAGGCAGAGAGGAGTAGAGTCTCAAGGAGCCACCAAAGGCTGCCATGGTTCTTGGGTTCTTGAATGCGTTGGTCTTGGTTGCGAGTCTTAACATTGTTACGTGTGTGATGTTCAATAACTTTGCTTGCTTATGGATGCAAAGAAACAAGCAGAAAGAAAAGCTAAGCAGAAAGCAGAAACAGATCAGTGCAAAGTACCAGCACAGTTCCGAACATCAATGACGGAGGGAGGATGGGAATACGCCCTTATTTATAGTCGACCTGCACTCAGCAGGCCAGGAGTTAACAGCTGCAGCACCAAATGCCCTAGCTGCATTAATAATATTATTGCTAGCAGACGCAAGTCCTCCCGCCCAGCAGATATATGAGAGGGGAAGTGCAGGGTGGAGAAGTGCGTTGGAAAGGGAAGGTGGGGGTGGCCAAGGAGGGGTGTGCGATACGCCATCGGCCGCCGGCACAGAGGCAGACGGCCCGGCATGCCTGGCGGGCAACAATAGAAATTACGTAGTGGAGACAGCACCGAGAGGCCAGCAGCGACACCAGCGCCGGGCGAAGAGCAGCCCGCCTCGACAATAGGGTTTCGGCCCTACAGCCGTTTTCGAGGAGGAGAAGAGGAGAAGCGGAGGGCGGGAGGGGCAGGGAGCCGCAGAGGCCGGGTGCTGCCCACGGCGGACACCTTGCTGTGTAGGCAGGGTGTTCTCTGGCGGCGGATGGCCGGGTATGATCTGTTAGCGTGGTAGTAGGGAACGGGGGGAAATACGTGGAGCATCTAGACGTCCGTGGTGGTCAACGTAGAAATCATCGGAGGCCCGGATGCTTACAATTCGGTGGCGACGGGGCAGACGACCGTGTTAAGACCGCACCGCACGGGGGTCCGTGGCGTTTGCGCTTGTCGTTGTCCGAGGGAGGGGCGCCTCCGCCCTCCACGGACTTAAAAGAGCCCTGGTTTTGGCCCCCGCCCGCGTGCAGTGCCTGGGCACGCATGTTGCAGCGCCAGGTTGGGATCTGCGCTTGATACGCCTGGAGGGCTGAAGGGCTGTAGTGAGGGTTCTTCGGCCAGTCTGGCTGCCACTTCCGGGAGGGAACACCGATGATTCCGACAGAACCGATGCCAGCAACTTGGAGAGATAGCACAGCATTGAACAGATCTTTGTTGCATACATGCAACCGCAGTCCAATAGGGTGCTTATTCTGCGGTGTGTTCGGGGTCCTCGGGGGACGGCGTTTCGCAGATAGGGCGCCGTCCGCAAATACAGGAGGTTTATTCGAATTCTGAGAGTCGGACATCTGGGAAAATAAGCATACCCGCCCTCTGCTTGTTTTATTTGTGTTTTTTTTGGTACTGAAATGCCTGTTTCGGAATGCTGGACTTTTTCTCTGGTTGATCCGCTAATTAATATTTGGCGGAATCCTGAAACTTCCGGAATTGATGATGAAACACCATCGGCGGTGCATTCGAGGCGTACTGGCGTGCGGACACCCCCTCTTCCTCCGTGGGGAGAACCGGAGGCGGTGTATGCTGCGATTGGCGGCTGGCGGAGGCCGCACCCCATGTCTATTGCCGTGGTCGGCTGGCTACTTGCGACTCGGCTTAGATAGAGGGTGTTGTAACTTTAGTCTACGCGTCGCCTACACAATGCCCAAGCCTCAAGGTGTTAGGATCAACGGAAAAGAGGAGAGGGGTGAAGCGGGGGCGGGGGCCCAACCGTTTTCCCCTTTTGACGTTGGTGGTCCGCAAGAGAGGCAAAGTGAGGAGAAGTGCTTTTCAACAAAGGGAAGCTCGCCTGAAAAACCCCCCTCCCCTAAAAAGCCGTTTCGCCGCCACGGAAGGACGGATTTCAAAGTGCACGCCCCCGCCTCGCGCCTAGGTAGCCCCGCAACTGCACGCACGGGTGGCAGCAACCTTCTTCCGTTGTTAGCACCGAATCTGAAGATCTAGCCCCGCACCCCATTCTGTCACCCCCGCACAGCCGTACGACGCGTCGATTGCGGAAATCTGCGGTTACTGGTGTAGCCGTCGGTGCACGAGAAGACATCTTAGACACCATTCTGAACGCTTTCGCAGTCTCCTGCTTTACAAGCCGTCAGCTTTATTCCACAAGTCCTACCTTTTCCATACGGTTTGTAGAATGGAATTTGTGATATTGAGCCGAACAGTATTGGCGCAAAGAGCTTTGTTTTCGGCAAGTCGCCACCTGAAACACAGCATCAGATACGGCAGCTCTGGGGCAAATCACTAGAGAGAGTCAATAATTGCCAGCTTTGGAATGCAGGAAGTCTTTCTAGCACACCCTTATGCCGGGCGGTGGCGGTCTACAAATTGCGAGGATCTCCAATGCATGATTATTATTAACTGTATCAAGCCTAGAAAAAAGATGCCAAAAACGTATTGTAAAACGCAAGCCAAAATTAGAGCCTAAGGCTGATGCCTCTCATCACTTAGAGTAAACCGACTTTTTTGAACTCAGCCTCGGTCTGATCTAAACTTTCAAGCTTCTTCAAGGAAGCCTCATTGCCCCAAAACTTCTCGTTGAAGAACAACGAAGGAACCCACTTTCTACCAGATATGGCAGTGAATTCCTTTTCAAGTTTCAAAGATTCCACTGTGTTCATCTTGTCCAACTCAACAAGGTGCACTTTATCTAAAACATTGTATTTCTTGAAAATGTTGATGGCGTAGTGGCAATCAGGACACCACGATTTAGACAACATAAGAAAGCGGTGTTGTTTCACCAAATCTGCAGCACACGGCATTACTTTGATTGACTTTGGGTTTGTATTTGAGTTTGAGTTTGAGTTTGAGTTAATTCCGGTGAACAAGAACGGATCCAAAAATCAAAATGAAGCTAAAAGAAAGGTGTGGTAACACCTCACAAGTTTAGCTCTCCGTAAACCCGTTGGCCACCTTACCTGCAAGGTATGTGAGCCTCACCCAAAGTGGCAAAGCTGCAGAAAAATCTCTCAAATATTACATAAGCAGATACTTTAAACTTTTATCAAATGGCTTTTCTGGTGCTAGACCTGAGATGGTTGCAAAAACTTTAGATAAGAATGGTGCGTGATGATCTGTATCTGAAAGCAGCAGAGATCTAATTTCGGGTATAAACTTTCTATTCCTGGAAATCATAATCAATTATACATGCAGCACATGCATATCGCAGAGATGAGCTTAACAATATGCATCATTCTGTTGCTATGCTGTTTGAGTGTATTACCCATTGCTGTCTACCCGACCAAGAAAATTAACAAAGGGGGTGAATAGATGCACTTTTGCCACCTCTTTCAGTCCCCCTTTCACACCCCCTCCCCCCCCCCCCCCCCCACGAGATAAAGAAACGTGAATCTGAATGAAAGAATCTGAAAATCTTACGATTCCTTTAACTTTTCAGACTCCTAACAGCATCAAGAATTTCTTCCCTTGGTAAATCTACTGGCATCTTCTCATGTTATTTTTTGCATGCTTCCTATTCTCCTTTTCATCCGGTGCATGAGTGGTATAGCTTGAATTTCCCGCTCAAAAAATAAATCTGTTTTTTTTATTTCTTGATGGTAGTGTTATGTCACATAACATATACTAATTCTTGATGACTGACCTTTATTCAGCTCTTGAAGAAAGGTTGATGTATTTGAGCATACAATCATACTTTGTTTTACTTAATGTCGGATCATTATGTGACTGGATTGACACCAGAAGCAAATTCTGATATTCTACCAGCGTAAAATCACTACCAAAACTTCACTATAAAAGAAAGGAATGCAGAAATAGTGGCCTCAGTGCAGATACCCTCATACCCTATCTATCCAGGCTTGCTAAACAGACCCAGTTGAAACTGTTTTTGGTGTGGATATCAGCAACTTGGAGTTGCCTATTGTCAAGATTGTCTCAAAATTCACCAAGTATGCTCTCCCAAAAAGGCAACACCTCCGTATACATGTTAAAATGACACAATTATGACAAACCTATGAATGTTTATGCTTACCTCAGTTTTTTACGCATAACAAGATCGTTTGGACAGCATACACATAACCGCCTATGAAGTCAAGAGTTTTTGCAGATTTGGTGTAAACAATTTCAAACAAAGACGTTAAGGGCAACGGCTTGAATTTTCGTCGGGTGAGTAGCAACGAAATGCGCTAGCAGGTGCGGCCAATAGAAAAACAAAGATCTCGTTACCTCAAAAGGGCTACCTCAAATGTCAAGTGCATGGCCTGCTGCAAAACACCGCACTGTGCAGCAGCTCAGTTTGACGGCTATACTGTTCTGCTGCACAGTGAACACAATTGTTTTAATAGGATTGCGAGCAGTGTCGTGGTCATTAGCTATTTCGTCTCTGTCCGTATATCTCAAAAAAGATTTTGAGAACCCAAAACAGCCTGCTGTCAGTTTGTAGCTGATGGGAACCAACCCATCTAAACAGCTATCTTGTATATAAGAACAAGATGCTATGCGCCCTAGAAGTCCCTCTCAAAACGTCCCAGGTTCAGCCTCCCAAACTCAGCCTTTCAGTCACGTGCCGCCTCAGAAATTTTCTCATCTTCGGCTCGGCAATTAATCGGGCCGCAATTCGGGCGGCCCTTAATTTAGCCTTGGCTTATGCCAGGGGATTTGCCCATTGCGCCGTACTTTGTGAGAATTCAGCGGCTCTGGGTCTGCTCGGCATCCGCAACAAAACGAAACTGGCCGAATTCACCGCCCTTTCACCTCACTATGGTTCCCATCGCCACCAATAGTACTACGACCTGTAGAACTCGTAAAAAAAATATCACAGCTTCCCACAAAGCCAGGCCCGCCTTAAGTGCGTTAAACCGGACTTAAAAATCTTCTCCGGTTTTCTCAACGTTTATACCGATGACTAGACACGTATCTTTCTAACTGTTCTTATGCAAAACCTGTTGACGTTTTGTTTCCTCAGCAACCTTTCTTTCACCATATGATTAGGTAAGCGAATGCAGACGATTTTTTTTCCGATTACGTTTCTAAAAGTGGGAATCGTTAACTCCTAAAGAGAACTTCAAACGAGGCCCGTCTTTAAACACGTCCACGTCCAAAGCCCTAGTCTTTTGCTGATTAATTGAAAGATTTCGTCTATTTATGGCTTTTGTAGAACTGGCAGATCAATGCGACACCTCTGAGATCACTATTGTTTCCCCTCAGGTTCCAATCAGTGACGGCGTCGCACATCCTAACAGGATTTATTTTTGCCGAAATCAGGCCGAACGCCCATTCCTTTTTTTCTCGGCGCACTGCCAGCTCTGCCTCAACCCCAGATAGTTTTGCCGAAGTATCAATAGACAGAACCGGGATATCTTAAATTTTTTATCCACAGTGAGTAGTCAGGGTCCTTTTTTGCTGCTGCAACTCAAATAGACAAGCCCGGTTGTGTCGATATCATGGTTTTCTTTTGCCTTCGGTCCGCTTTCTCATGTATTCGTAGCCCTTTCTTAACACTGCTTGATTAAACCTTACAGATATATCATCCAATAGCAAACATGTCTGCTGGAGATTCACAGAGTTCTATATCTCGATACGAGTCGGCAACGGAATCGTTCCAGGACGCTGGCACTGGACTACCAGCCGAAAACCCTTTTACGACCAGGATTGCTGAAGGAAATCAGGATTATGCTGATGTGGAATCAGAGGCTGAGCCATACCATCCAAGACCAGCTTCTTCGTTGGCGTCCGACGGCGGATTGCAATTGACGAAAACGGTTACTCTCAGATCCAAAGTCCCTGCTCCAGCCAACGAAGAAGAATTTCAGAGAGAGGCCCAAAATAATGAAGAGGAATACGAAGATGAACTTGCAGATGAGCTGGAGCGGGAAGCAACAAGCATTTCGAATCTGACAAGAATATTAACTGGCCACAGAGCTCAGAAGGAAGAACCTGAAGAGAAGGGGCTAGAAGAAAAGGATCCAGAAATTGTTGGATATGACCCAAGAAAAGTAGATTGGGACTCACCTGATGATCCAGATTGCCCTTTCAACTGGCCAAGTTGGAAAAGATGGTACTGTACTATGACAACAGCTTTCCTTTGTTTAGTCATTACTTTAGGTTCCTCCGTTTATGTCGACGCTATCCCAGAAATGCAAAAGAAATGGGGTATAAGTCAAACTCTGGGGTTAGCTGGTCTTACTTTCTATCTAGTAGGGTTAGCCTTTGGCCCTGCAATTGCAGCCCCATTGTCTGAACTTTTCGGAAGAAAGATCGTATATTGTGGTAGTCTCCCAATTTCGATGTTGTTCATTATGGGTGTCGGGTTATCTACAAAAATCAGGGAAGTGTTGGTGTTAAGATTTTTTGCAGGATTGACCTCTTCTGGAGCACTTGCCATTGCAGGGGGTACAATTAATGATGTTTGGAGGCCACAAGAAATTGGTGTTGCCATGACATTGTTTTGTTTGGCTCCTCTTGCTGGTCCTGTCATCGGTCCTATCATTGGTGGTTTTGTTGCACAAAACAAAGCTTCTGAGGACCCTCACAGGATTGGTGGTTTGCGTTGGACAATGTGGGTCAATTTGTTTTTTGCTGCAACTGTGTTCATACCATTATATGTTATGCCAGAAACTTACAAACCGATCATTATGAAAAAAAGGCTTTTGAAAAGAGGTAAGAAAATTTACAAGGCAATGGGATTGATGCAGTTTCTTACTGCTATTGTTTTCATCACATTATTAAAGCCAGTAGAGATGCTTTTTGTCGAGCCTATCGTTTTGGTGTTCTCTATTTATACTGCATTTGTTTTTGCTGTGTTGTTTGGCTTCTTCGAAGCCTTCCCAGTTATTTTCAGGGGAATTTACCGGTGGGAGTTGGGGGTTTCCGGTTTGCCATTTTTGGGAGTTGGGGTTGGCTTGCTCATGGGTGCAGCAGTATATGTTTACATGGATAAATTTATCTTTTACAAGAAATGGCCAGATGGATATGTTGGTATGAAGGATAAGGAAGGTAACCAAATCCCACCGACACCTGAATCAAGACTTTTACCATGTAAAGTCGGATCTCTCACATTTGCACCATCTTTGTTTTGGCTAGCGTGGACTTCGAGAACAAGTGTGCATTGGATGGCCCCAATTGCATCTGGTGCTCTATTTGGATTCTCCTTGGTGTTGATTTTCTTTTCCATTTTGACTTATTTCGCCATGGCATACCCACCAATCTCTGTTGCATCTGCACTTGCTGCCAACAATATGACTCGTTATATAGTTTCTTCTGTTTTTCCCTTATTCACGGTTCAAATGATGGAAAATTTACATGTTTATTGGGGTGTTTCCGTGTTTGCATTTATTGCCATTGCTATGATACCCGTTCCATGGATGTTCTCCATGTATGGTGAGAGGTTGAGAAAGCGTTCCAAGTACGGATGGCATTCCGTCTTGAAGCAAATGCAGCAAGAAAAAGAAGGTAAAACACTAGAAGAAGATAGTGAAAGCAACGATAGCAAGGTTTGAACAGATTAGCACTGTCAAAAACATTGTTCAAGCTTGTGTTCCTCCACCAGAGCTGAACTTTTTTTCTAACATTTTTTCATGTTAATCTGATTTTGTTTGACTTTAAACTTATTCCCTGTTTCAATTTTGTGCTGTATAAAACTTTAGATACCTAATAAAATTTCAGTGTCCACACTATAATCCGAATTTATCGGGCAATTACTAATGTGAAATATATTCCAAAAGACTTCTGCGCGCTCCGGGGAAAATTTCAGCCAGCGTACCGTTTTTTTCCACTCGAGTAGCCAAAATAGATAAGTTGTTCATCTTGTACTGTTGTTTTCCCCTAAATTTTTGGCTGCACTCTTGACATCAATCTATCCAGTGAATATATATTGTTTGAGATGTCGGATAACAAGAAGCTTGAAGGACAGGATTTACTCAAAACCCCACTACACGGGATTTACATTCCCACTATTTTGTGTATTGTCGGTACAGCTATTGTCAATTATGATTATGTGCCATACATGATTGCACTTTTAGCCTTATTCTTTGGTTACCATATTTTGCGTGTTAAGACACAAAGGCCTGCATTGTCTTCCTCCAAATTCCAGGATTATGAGCTCATCGATAAAACTGTCATCTCAAAGAATACAGCCATTTATAGATTCAAACTTGATCATGATTACGATCAGTTAAGAATCCCAGTAGGCCATCACCTTGCCTGTAAGGTGAACGTTGGTGGAAAGGACGAGATCAGATACTACACTCCAATTTCCAACCAGTTTGATGAGGGATTTTTCGACATAATTGTTAAATCATACAAAGATGGTACTGTTTCTAAATATTTTGCCACGCTAAATCCGGGGGCCAAAGTGCTCTTCAAGGGGCCAGTTGGTAGAATGTCATACAAATCGAACATGGCTGATAGAATTGTAATGATTGCCGGTGGTTCGGGCATAACCCCGATGTTGGCAGTTTTAGGTTCTATAATAACCTCTCCTGAGGATAAAACGACCGTGAAATTGTTGTTTGCTAACGAGACAGAAAATGACATTTTACTAAGAGAAGAATTGGACGAGTATGTCAAGGAATACCCGGGTTTTGATTTGAGGTACTTTTTAAATCATCCGCCAGCTGCTTGGAATGATGGGTATAAGGGGATTATTACTGAAGAAGTATTGAAAAAAGAGCTACCTAGTCCAAATGCTAACACCAAGATCTTTATTTGCGGTCCTATGGACATGAAGAAACAAATGTTGGAAGCTCTGGAAAACCTCGGATGGCCAAAGGGCACTCTTCAGTCCAAACAAGATGACCAGGTTTTCTGTTTCTAAAAAAGTTAACTCTATGTAGTGCTTACCAAATATTATACTCTACTCTGTAGATTTATAGAATTATGATTACATTAGTGCGTATAATGAATGCGTTAGGCGGAGAGAAGGAGAGACACGGAAGAGGTAAAAAGTGACGCGAATTTTGTTTCAACGCCAAATTTCTCTCACTATCGTGTATCACCATCATTAATCATGATAAAATACTTCGTCTTTCAGGCATTCCGAAAACCTCATTGTGAAGCTATAAAGGCCAGCTAGTGAAAGGCACTGAAGATGACAGGTACTGCGGCTTCTGCTTCTGATGTCTTGAAGTCACTACTGAATGAATCACGTTCAAGCAACTTGCTCAGGCCGAGCTCAAAGGTGGTACGAGACAAACAGGTGACGCTTTCAAGCGGAAAGCGGATCATGTTACGTGCCAAAAACAAGGAGACGAAAGAAAAGGAGAAAAAGGCTGTTTTGGGCATGGCTGCAGACGAAAATACGCTTGAGTGCGTTAATATGCCGTTACTTTGGGAGAAACTACGAATTGTGGAGATAACAAAACGTGAACTTAACGCGTTTGAAAAGAGCAAAAAGCTGTTAGAAGAGAGCGGCAGAGAACTGCAAGAATTAACTTCTAATAAAGGGAAGAAGATGAAGGTAAACAGCTTATGGACAGAGAAATACCGTCCGCGGAAATTCATTGATTTGATTGGTAATGAAAGGGTCAATGCAAGTATACTCAAATGGCTTGGTGATTGGACGTATGCCGTGAAGGGAGGCAAGTTGATTGACAGTAACACTTATGATCGAAGCATGCATGTGGACCCGTTGAAACGTCCTCGAAAAAAGATACTTCTCATCCATGGACCTCCGGGGATCGGTAAGACCACGATAGCACAGTGTGTGTGTAAACAGCTTGGGTATCAGATACAGGAGATCAATTCGAGTGACGAAAGGTCCGGGATGGCTGTGAGGGAGAAAGTGAAGAATGCGCTGAAAATGAGGAGCTTGAGTGGCAAAGACGTGTGTTTGTTACTCGATGAGATCGACGGTGCTGCAGGCAACGAGAATGGGTTCATCAGGGTCTTAGTCGGCTTGTTGAACAAGGACATCCGGGCTACTGAGGAGTGGAACAGCTTCAACAGGCTGAAGTGGAACAAGAGAGAGGATTTCTTGAAAAGACCCATCATTGCGCTCTGCAACGACGTTGGTGCGCATTGCTTGGACCAGCTGAAGCCGTTCTGTGAGATTGTGCAGTTCAAAAAGAGCAGCAAGAAGAGCATCAAGAAGCGGTTGAAAATGATCCTGGAGGCGGAGCGATTGGGAGAGATGAACGAGTCGCTTTTGGATGATCTGATCATCTCGCTGGACGGGGACATCCGGAACTGCATCAACTTTCTGCAATTCAACTCGAGAGACCTGAACGGGCGGATCAAGGACTCGGAGGTTGTGTGGTTCCAGCTGTTGAAGGACATTTTCAACCTCGAGAACAAGAACGTGACCAACAACAAGAGCAAGAGCGAGATCTTCCGAGACCTCATGACGAAGCTGAGCAACTCGGCGAGCGACCTTAGCCGCATCAGCAACGGGTGTTTCAACTTGATGCTACAGGTGAACGAGGAGTACGGGGGCGGGAACCTGGCGAAGCTCGACGAGGTGTCCGACTGGCTCTACTTCGACGACGTGATGGCCCAGCACTACCGGCACTTCGAGAGGGAGGAACTCTCCATGTACGGCGCCATCACGCCGCTCAAGTTTTTCAGTCTCTTTGCCAACTTCAGCGACGGGGGCTTCTACGACCGGCGGGAGAGGTTCAACTTCAAGTCGCAGGAGGACCACGACACCAGGCGGCGCGTCCACGACCTGGTCGGGTGCCTTGTGCCGCAGTACGGGTTTGCCGTGACCCGTGAGAGGCTTGTGAGCGACGAACTGGCGCTGTTGAACGCCATCGTGGTGCCCACGGGGCGGCCTGTGAAGGAGCTGGAGCACGACGAGAGCCGGCTGCGCACCATAGCGGGCGTTCTGGACGCCCTCAAGATACGCATCGACGCGGCGCCCGGCGGCAGCCGGGGCCGCTTTGGCCACCACGGCGGCGGCGGCAGCAGCAGCTACATGGCGCCCCGCAGGTTCGGCCCGGACATTGTGGCGGGCCTCGTCGAGAGCGCTGGAGCGGCACGCGGGGCCGTCGGTGGCGACGATAAGCGGGCCAACTCCGACGCTGCCCGGGACACGGGCAGCCTGAACGAGGTGAGGGCAATGCCGTACATCCGAGCCATTGACGAGTATCTGGCGAGGAGCCGGCGGGGCGACGCTGCGGCCCGGCAGAAGCGGGAGCGGGAGGCAGACGCCGGCACGGGGGAGCCTGCCATCAGGAAGCGGCCTGCCGGCGACGGCGCCCCCGCCCCTGCCGACCGGGAGGCCGTCTCGACAGTGGACTTCTTCCGCAAGCAGTACAGCAGCTTCCACGCCCAGCTGAACCACCCGGAGGGCGGGGTGACGGGAGGCTCAGCTGGGACGGCCACGGCTCCTGCCCGTGGCGCCGCGGGCGTGATGCACAAGAACGAGAACCGTATTTGGGTGAAGTACCACGAGGGCTTCAGCAACGCTGTGCGCAAGGAGATCACGCTGCGCAGCCTGCTTACATGAGGCGCGCGCGGACCGTCATAGAACTGGATAGAATGTAACACTAACACTAGCACCAGCACTAGCACTAGTAGCCTGCTGATAACGACGCCGGACGTAATCTCGCCCGCCGCTATTCGCCACCCGGCGGGGGAAAAGAAAAGGCCTCGGCGCCAGGCCACGGCGACCGCATGCGCACCGCCAAAAGAAACGACGAAAAAATTTTTCTTGTTTTTTCTCCTTTTTTTTCTTTTTCGCTCGCCGGAAACGTCCCGTCGGCAGCGCCCGCCCGCCGGCCGCGGCCGCGGCCGCTGCTGCTCCGTTTCTTTTCGGCCGCCCCCCCGGGCCTCCTGCGTCCCCGGCTTGACTCACAGGTCCGGCGGGCGCCGGCGAGGGCGCCGCCTGACTCTGGCTGGGGCAGCACTCCCGCAGCAAGTGGTGCTGCTGCGTTGCATTTCCCTGGCTCTGTGTGGCCGTCTTCACCACCTGCTGCTGGCTGGCTGCGCTGCTGCTGTCTGAAGATCCTTTCAGGCCCCCCTAGGGCTTGCTCACTCCTTGCACACTCCTTAGTTTTCTATATTCCCTCACGTTCCTCCGTGCACTCTTTTCTTTTCCTTGCACGTCGTCTCCTTTGCCCCTCTTTGCCCCCCGGCTCCCTCCTACCGTCCCTTCGTCTTGCTTTTGTTCAGCAACGCCTGCGTCCGTCCATCCAGCACTCGCCTGCCCCAGCTCGTCCGCTACTCTCGTGTGCACTTGTTTCACTTGGTCCTCCAGCTGGTTTTTTTCTTCCTCCTTTCCCACCCAGCTACCCTACGCTCCCCTCTGCAGCATACGGGCCCCTCCTGCGTCACTCTTTTCCCACACAACGCACCCGAAAATGATGAACCACCTCAACAACTCGAACAACGACCAGGACATCGAGAGACCTCCCCACTTCAAGAATGTCTTTAGCCCTAACGACGTCTCGGCGAACGCAGACAACTGCCTCAACACGAACAACATCGTCACGTCCGAGAGCAGAAGACCCTCGCTCGTGGTCGTCCCGATGAACAACGGCGGCCACGACATGCGCCACTTGGCCCTCACAGCACGATCCGACGACCTCAACCTCGACATCGAGATGCAGGACGGCTCAACCGAAAGCGACGACGCCAGTGTCGGCGGTGGCGCCAGCACCGCCTCATCCGCCTGCTCCAGCTCCAGCAGCTCCGCCGGAGGCTCCCAGACTGCCTCGTCCTCCGCCTCCAGCGTCCCGACCGCGTCGTCCGCAACGGCAACCCAAATCATGGACATTCCCCCAAGAAGTTGCACCGACGGTGTCCTGGGCAAGCCAGATACACTCCCAGCTGCCAGCACCGGCAACACTCCGCTCAACCGCACCCTTCAGAACGAAAACTTAAACAACGAACATTCGGAAAAGGCTAACTCGAACCCGCAGCTAACCCACCAGTTAATTTCAAATTTTCAATTTCTAAATTTACCTTCAAACAAAAAGCCAACAAAAAAGTCTTCCTCCAAGATATCCAAAAACACTACCAAACCTATCAAGAAGTACCGCTCAAAATCTCTGCCTAATATTCATATACCTTCCAAGCGCTCCCACCAGATCTTGTTAGATATCTACAAGCAAAACTTCAAAAATAAAAATGGGCGTTCAAAGCCAGGCAACGCTGTGGGCCACAACCTCAACAACCCAGACATGAACATGAACATGAACATGAACGTGGGCATGATGAATATGAACATGAACATGAACATCAACATGGGCATGAACATGAGCATGAACATCAACAGCAACGGCACCAACAACTTCATGAACATTCACCACCAACAGCAGCTCTTCCTGCAACACCAACAGCAGCAACAGATGTTGTTGCTTCCTCCTGTAAATTTGCACTCCATGCACGAGATAGATCTGCAAGAGGTGCTGAAAAACCCTCAGTTGAGACATGACATTCTTTTCGACCCTCAACTTCAATTCAGACCAAATCTAGACGGCGAAAGAGGTAAGAGGAAGAAGGTTCAGTCAGAAAACTACTGGAACATGATCAAGTTTGAAACCGAGAGATTGTTGAAGTCTTCGCACCCTAAGGCAATCGACCACAACTCGCCTATCATCATCATGTTCCAATGTCTCAAGAGCATTCTGGTGAGCCTGATTCCTTCAAAGGACATCAGCTCCATTGAAGAAATCTTAGACATAAGTCTTCTGATCCAAGAACTGAACTCGAAATGCTTCAACTTTCTGGGTTTCTTTGACTGGATCTGCTCCATCTTCAAATTACACTGTGCTCCAATGAGAGACACTTGGGTCGATGAATTGGGCACCTTATTCCATAAAGCTTGTGAATCTGAAGATGAAGTCAACATTGACTATCTGATTGAAGGTTTGAAAACTCTGTTTCTGATCTTGGAGGCAATGAAATTGGATGTAGCAAACCACCAGATTAGAATCCTCAGACCTCTTCTCTGCTCATCAGCAGTTTCCTTCGAAAAAGAATATTTCAAAAACGCCATCAAGCGGAACAAGATCAATTTCACCTCTTCCATGTTGTGGTTCAAGAAAAATTCCATTGAACTGGATTCCAAAAACCCAAGGGACGTTTTAAACTATTCCGTTTTGAACCTTTTATCTTGCTCAACCATGTATCATCAGTTCCCTAACACCCTGAACTTTGACCATACCAGACTTCTACTCTTAAGAGCAGATCTCAGACACATTATTTGCACAAAATTATGTTCAATTCTGTACAAGACTCTTATCTATCAAAACAACCTTGACAAATCCCTTTTAAATGATGCAAATATGTTGAGCTTCAAGAAGGAAATTTTAAACATCATTGTTGATGAAAACGGAAATTCTAAGTGGACCAAAAATTTGAAAAACTTATCAGTGCAACTGATCAACAATCTATTCGGCAACCTAGATTCAGATAAAATAGATTTTGCCTACAACTGGCTTTTAAAGCAAACACAACCAAACTCAAAAGTTTACTCGCTCCTTGAATCAAAGCTTTTTGAAAAAATCCTTCCTTTTTTGAGTGCACCTTTTGCCATTAATAATAACACAAACACTAATAACAACATCGATTCCATTTCTACTTCTATGGCCACAAACTCTAACAGTTCTAATTCTAATTCAACTTCCAGTAAGATTGAAGATGATATTATCGTCAATGATGAATTGAGAAACGTCACAGATAGACTAAACCAGCTGATTGAATTCAACTATAATGTTTTCAGTGATATGTATACTAGTTACCTCAACTAAAAACTTTCATCTTTTACAATCATTACATCTTCTCGCTCGTTACAACACACTTCTAAGCATTTACATTTTTTGGGTATGGATAATGAGAGGTGGTCAGAGGCAAAATGATACCACTACTGTCCCTTTTTCTTTCAAAGGCTATCATCAGGAACAAAGTTTGATACCCAGGTTACTTCCGTTGTTGAATTTACATTCTTCTTCAATTTTAAAGACAGTACATCTACGCTCTTCCCATTCCTCTTCCAACTTTCTATAAATTACTTTACCCTACCTTCCTACATTGCATGTGCATTTCCTCTATCTACCGGTTTTCCTTTTCCTATTTCCTCTTTTCCTTACAGTTTTGTTTTCTTTCCTCCCTTATCCTTCCTTTACTCACTTTTTCTTTCACTCATTTGCTTTTGTTTTTCTTTCTCCTTCCTTTTTTTCTAAGTTGTGCCAAACATTTTTTTCTATTTGCTCTGGCCTTTCTTAAACTCTGGGTCATCTTTTACTCTCCTTACCATATATAAAAAAATTAACTAACGAACTATCGAAACAAATCGACACATTAGGCCGCCCGTATCGCTGCCTGTCGTGGCCTCACCGTCGCCGCACAGTAAAGCAGAGTTGAAAAATATTAGGTGAGAGTTATCTATCATGCCCTATAAGGGGCATTCAGACTAGGGGAAATGAAGGTGGGCAACAGCACTGAATTCCATTCTTCACTGTGAGCCCTCCCAAATTTCTCGTCACGCAAAAGAAATGGAGGTGGACATGGACTTGGACCAGAACCTAGACCACGATTTGGATTCGGATCAAAACCTGGATTTGAGGCCAACTAGAACTGGAAGTAGAAGCTTTGATTTTAAGATGAAGTTGGCAAGCAATGTCGAATTCTGTAAAGACGATAGCGATGAGATGCTATTTGTGAAAGGATTGCAGCAGTTGAACTCAAATGGGTTGGTCGATATTGGAAACTTGGCTGCATGGGAGGTATCGTCTGCAAAACAAGGATGCGATATCGAGCAAATACGTGATGACTCTGCATTGACGTTCTGGCAGAGTGATGGCCAGCAGCCACATTATCTTGTCATTAGATTTACCAAATGTGTGAATATTGAACGAATCAGCATGTTCCTCAACTACTCGGTGGATGAATCTTACACGCCGGACAAGCTGTCCGTTCTGGCAGGCACCGGAGAACACGATCTGATTGAAGTCACAACAAAGGAGTTTTTAGAACCTGTCGGATGGCAACATATTGAATTTGAAAATGTCAGCAACTCCGGCTTCCTTAAATGTTACATGATCAAAATCAAGTTCATTTCCAATCACCAAAATGGTAAAGACTGTCACGTCCGAGCCGTCAAAATCATGTCTCCAGCTATGATGAACTCAATCTCTTCTGCTGATGATACCAATGGCGACTGTGTTGGATTTACAAGTAAAAAGTTACTCAGTGAGTGTTTGATCAGGTGAACAATTATCTATATGAATAAGAAAACAAAGCTATATGTATCATTATAATTTTTGCTAAATAATTGAAAAAAAAATATCAGGGTATGCAGTAACTAGAAAAGGATAATTGAATCACTTCATTTATGTACAAGACTTTCCCATCGATCTTCCACAGCTTCCCAGTCCATGTTGTTTTCTTGCTTCGAGAGCTCAATGGCAAGCAACAGATCTTCGTCTGTCTCTATATCTGGATCCGTCTCCGTCTCCGTATTTGTTTGCTGATTTGAATCAGCCAGAGAATGGTTCTCGATAGGAGTTGTTTCAGTTGTTTCCGTTGTATTCAACGACATTTTCAAAGCTTCATTCAACTGTCTCATCTCTTCATCCTCATGGTACGAATCACTCGATTCGTTCAAGTTTCCATTCAGGTTATAATCTTCCCTCTTATTCCCAGTCTCGTTCAACGACATGCTCAATACAATGGCCATATTAAGTTGGTCCTTTTCATCATCAAGTCCTTCACCGTTGTATTTGGCAAGCAACTCCCGTTCTTTCTTCTTTTGCATTTTCTCTTCCTCGTATACACTCATAGAATGTTTCATGTCTTCGCTAAAATCACCTTTCTTATCGTTACCACGCTTCCCTGATTTCGTCTTCTTCTTGACACCTGTAGCATCATCGTCATTCTTAGGCCCTCCACAAAGAAAATATTGGATATGAGAACCTATTATTAAAACACCCCTCGTGCTAGAGTCATCAAGATAAACCTTGATCGAGCTATTTATTAGTCTGTTTGGTAACAGGCCTTCAAGCTCTTGGAGTTTCTTTTTCCCTACTCGATCTATAGCTGTCCTCAAATATTCACCGGTCATAACATCAAAGAGCTCAACTTTACCTAGATGGTTCGAAATAGCCAAAACCAAAGAGTTTAAACATACGGACGCAACCGGTGAAGTTCGTGTATCAGAATAATTCATTGAAACTCCAGATTCATGTTCACTTAAAAACTTTGGAACGATTGTGTTAATCGGTTCCAACGCTGTAGAAGAAGGAGGTTCACGGATATTTATCACATCAACGATACCATTATTAAGCAAAACGGCTGCCAACAAAGGATCTGACCCTACTATCTTCGGGTCTCTTTTGATGAAAAGTTTATCGTTGCTTTCAAAAGAAACTGAGCTTATCAATGTACGCTCGGGTGGTGTGTAGCTAATAATGTTATCATGGTTTTGAACTTGACGACTTGCTTCTGATATGTTTGAATAAGATAAAACTAGTACCTCAATTTCATTCCACACAACTACCGATTCACCTCCATAATCGATAAATAGGTTAAGGGTGATTAGTCCATTGCGGTCAAAGGGAACTTGCCCTATTTTCTCAAACTTGACCTTGACATCATCTCCTTTTAGTGATCCAAATACGTTTCTCAATAACCATAATTCTCCATTCTGGAACAACACAATGACAGCAGTTTTACCGTCACTCTGGAGCTTAATTATTTTGCTGTTAACTGCTGTTTTGTACTCGCAGAGACACTCGCCTGTTCTGATATCCCAGGCGTTAATAGTTCCTGTTTCATCAGCACTAAAAGCACCAGCCATTCCTGACTTTGTCAATATGTTATGGGATGATGAAGGAGGAGATGTAATTATGTTCTTTTTCAAAGTTGAAGACAAGGTTGTTGTGGAAGATGAAATCGAGGAAGGAGACGATAGAGTAAGAGAAGATATAGGAGGCAGATTGGCTTTCTTTTCAGCAGCAAAATTCGTGGAGATTGAAGAATTGACACATGCAGTGACACATGTCACCCTACCACCAGACATGGACCCCCAATTATGAACATCCGACAAGACTAGACCTTTCCAGTCGATTAAAGCGCCTGATACGGAACCATCCCAGCGGCCAAATACCAATACCCGGCTTCCATGAAGGGAGCCTGATGTATTTCCAGCATCATAGCTTGTCACACCTTCCGGAACAAAATCTGTGGCAAACTTCGGGCTTTTGCCATTTCGTATGTCACACGTGAGAATTGCCGAACGGGGAAGGTCGATGATGGTCAACCTGTTTCTGCTCCAGTCAATAGCAATCGAGCTACCGCTGACAAAATGGTTTGTTGTATATTGCTGTGTCAATAATCTACCTCGTCGATAGTTATAGCGCAACTGAGTTCTATGAAGTAACTCAGTCTTGAATTGTGTCGATCTCGTCACCGAAGAGAATATTTCTCGTTTGTAGGGATATTGGAGCTTGAAGATGGCGTTCCAGATGGTATCGTCTTGCAAAATGCTGTTCCAGGTTTTGCAGACAAGCGGAATGTTTCGAAGAGTTAACGGATCTACGTAAGATAGCACTATGATCAGCACTTCTAGTGGGAAACCGTTCAAGTTCAAAGGCGACGTTGATTGCGATGACGATATCATTGGTCCTGAAGATGAAAGAGGATGGGGTATTTTAGCCAAAAATGCGTTCTGGTCTTCATCTCCTGACTGGCTGGACGTAGACATCGGAGGGCTTGGAAGTTAAGCAATGCCTTTGCTCTACATTCCAAGTCTTAGGCTCCTGCAAAGAGGCCCTATACATAGCTAATAGATAAACTTTTGTATGGTGAGTGCTCTCGCCTAAGACCGACAGCGAGGGCCCGAAGTGCTAGAAAAAAGGACGATTATTTCTCATAATTACCTATACATTAGTTGTTCGAAGAGAGTTATATATATTATACGTGAAGGGAATGAAAATTTGATCATGCTTCTAAAGAGGACAAGTAGTGTTCTGCCTCCAGCGCAGCCATACAACCGGTTCCGGCGGAAGTAATAGCCTGTCTGTACTTGCTGTCCTGGACGTCACCTGCGGCGTAGACACCTTCGATGGAGGTGGAGGCGGTGCCTGGCTTGGTGAGAATGTAGCCGGTCTCGTCAGTCTTAAGTTGGTCCTTGAACACCTGGGTGGCCGGGGTGTGACCTATGGCGTAAAACAATCCGTTGACGGGAAGGTCCTTGACTTCGTTGGTCTCAGTGTTTTTTATCTGCAAATGGGACAACAACTTGCCGTCACCTTTAGCCTCCAAGGAAACGGTGTTGTAGAGTATCTCCAACTTCTCGTTCTTTTCGACTCTCTTCTGCATGATGGTGGATGCTCTCAAGTGGTCCTTTCTGACAATCATGTACACCTTGGAGCCAAACTTGGTCAAGAACAAGGCCTCTTCGCAGGCAGAGTCACCACCGCCAATAACGGCCAATGGGTTGTTTCTGAAGATAGGCACGGCACCGTCACACACAGCACAGGCAGAGATACCTTGTTGCCAGTAGGTGTCCTCACCTGGCAAGCCCAATCTCTTGGCAGAGGCACCGGTGGCGATAACCACAGCGTCGGTAGTGATTGGCTCACCGTCCTCGTAGAACTCACTCCAGAGCTTGAACGGTTTGGATGAGAAATCAACCTTGGAGATGGTCTCGGTGATGATCTTGGTACCAAATCTTTCGGACTGCTTTCTCATGCGATCCATCAAGTCGGAACCGGTCAACCCGTCTGGGAAACCTGGGAAGTTTTCGATCTCGGTCGTGGTGGTCAACTGGCCACCTGGCGCAATGCCGTTAGCCATCATACCCTCGTACAACACCGGGTTCATCTCGGCTCTTGCCAAGTAGATGGCAGCAGTATGTGCTGCAGGACCGGATCCAATGATCGTGACTTTGTTGTGGACCATTCTGTATGCGCTGGTTGGGGGGTGTTGTCTGGTGGCTGCTCGTTTCAGGAGTAGGGGAAGAGACGCTTGGTTGACGAGGTGACCAAGATGCATGCAGGAGAGAGGTGACGCTGTCTCCAGCACGTTTGTGGGGACGACGGCCTCAGAAAACGAGGAAAAGCAACAGCCGGAAACAGTATATTTATACACGCCCATGCCGATCCAGCACCCTCCCGGCGTCCCACCGGGCATTTCTCAGCAGGGAGACGGTTCTGGCCAGCTCCCTCCTCGGCGGGGGCGCCGCCCGCCATTATTAATCACTGCGCGTATTCTAGAAGAACGGGCCGGGCCTTCACGACATGATGTATGCACCACCACTGGGCCTGCCTGGACTGCCGTCGGCGGCGTTGGGGTTGAGGAGCACGAAGCGGCGGACTTCGCCTGAGTAGCCCAGCAGCGGGTCAAGCACGACGCTGTTGAGCCAGTACTCTAGGCCGCTCCGGCGCCGCTCGAGGAACTCGCCGGAGAAACGATCCTCGAAGAGACTGTTCTTCGGCGGTAGGGCGTTCACAACCACCTGTTTTCCGTATCGCCTGGCCAACACCTGGTGGAGGCTCTCGAAATCGCTGTATCGTTTCTTGACGGTGATGTGGCCGCCCTTGGCCAGCTTGAACCGCACATTCCACAGCGTGTACTTGCCCATGTTGTCTCCCTCGACAATCAGCGGGTCTGTCACGCTGCAGTTGACGCACCAGCTGCTGCTGTTGTGACGGTTACCAGCTGTGCCGCTGCTCCGTTGGATGCTTGTGCTCGTGTCCGTGACTCCGTCATCCGTCGTGTTGTTACATAGCTGTATCGGGAGCACTGGCGCCGGTGGCACAGCCGCCAGCTTGTCTGGCCTCGCTGTTTTCTGCATGGTGTCTGTATGTCTCCGTCTCTGTCTTGACGTGTTGTCTACATCCTACTGCGACCCCCTGGCTACAACGGCGCCGTTTGCCCCTCCTAGTGGTCTCCCGGACCTCTTCTCCGCTGAGCTTTTTCTCTCTCCCTGGCTGGCTGGCCTGCCAAACGGGGCAGGTGCGGGCTGACCGCTGGGCCGGAGAAGGCTGAGACAGGGGTTGTAATCTGGTGAGAACAGGTCTTCAAGAGAACACGAGCGTGGACAGCGTGACCACTGCAGCCAGCGGCCGTAGCAGAAGTCCGTAGCAGACGTAGACGATGTGTAGCCAGTGTAGTAAAATCTGGGGGACGGCGGAAGGAGTGAAAAGCGGCGGTGACACCTGCGGCAGGAAAGCACCGGCATGGGCTCCATATTTAGCTGCCAGAACCCACTCTCTATGGAAGTAGCTCATGTTGCTGGATCACACTGAGAAGTTGAAGCGTAGAAAACGCATCTTTCTACATCATCTTTTTTACCTGTTTTCAACTTTTCATGAGCCATTTTCTGCAATTGATAAATGTATGCTTGTCCACCAAATTTTTTTTACACATCAAGCTTTACGCAAAACATTGTTTTTCAGAATGAGACTTCCTATACCTGCAGGTATTACATAGAAATAACGTACATTTCCGTCAAACAACGCAGGCTTGCTTCATTTCCACTAAAGACCTTCCTATCACTTCGGTTATCATGCTACCACTACAACAAAACGTCCTGTCGCGGGCCTCATGTCTAGCTTTTTTTCCAGCTTCATTTTTTTACTGATATGTACTTTAATTTTCAGCTTTATTATCATCAGCAGCAACACTCTACTATCACGTTTGCCACGTCTCAGATAGCCTGGTCAGATAGCGAACATATACTGCATCATGTTGGCAAGATCGCTCAAATGCACCAGAGGCCAGACACTGGCTAGGGCTTTGACGTCTCGGGCTTTCCCGTCTCCGGCCAAAATGTCCTCTCCATCCTTCACCTCGCCATTCACCACGTCAGCACTCTCAAAAAACGACGCTCCGTGGTATCTCAATCCTGAAGAGTCCCCCAGCATTAACTCTCCTTTGAAGCAAATTGAATTACCCCTTCTTCCTGAAAATCATCCCCAGACTTTGGAAAACTTGGTCGTCTACCTTGCTCAAGAGCTAGGTATTGATGATTTGCTTGTCTTCGACATGCGCAACAAAAAACATGACGATAGTGTCGCCGAAGGAGCCTATGACATGGCAGATTTCATGGTGCTTGGCACAGGTAAAAGTGCAAAGCATTTGCAGAAGGCTTCAACTCAGTTGGATTTCTATATCAAGCACAACCTGCATCAGTTGCCTATAACCGAAGGCATTCTCAAAAGCGGCGTATTGGCCAGGTACCATCGCAGGCTCCAAAAGAAAGGTAAGAAGGCCCCAGGCTATTCTAAGAATACTTACGGAGCAGAGCCAAATACATGGGTGATGACCGATACCAAGAGTGATGGTATAATAATTCACATGTTAACGGAAGAGAGAAGAATGGATTTGAACTTGGAATACTTATGGTCGGATGAATCTGAAAGAGAAAAATATGAACGCTCCCACATGCGAAAGGACTCAGATGATATTTTCAGAGGCATAAGGTATTTCCACTCATCAGCCTTGCAAAGGAACGATTCCGCTTTTGACGTATATGATGTCACATTTGATAACTACTCTTTTCATTTCCAAAAACTATTAAAGTCTCACATCGTTGAGCCAAAGTCTACTCCACTTGCAAAGATAAAGGACCATTTGAATTTGATGTATTCTGCAGGTCTAGCAATCAACACAGACTTACTATATTCTTATTTCAACACTTTACTCCAATCTGAAGAATTCAATTCGAAATTCCAATCAGAAGCAGAGGCGTTCAAAAAAAGAGATACCCTGTTTTCCAACATAATCCAAAAGTATAACGTCAAATTAACGACCGAAGAAGTCTTGAAGTTCATCCCTTTGCTTATCGTCTCTGGTTCACAAATCGATAACACTCTGTTCCATTCTATTAAAGATATAATAGAAAATCCTGAAATTAACAGTGAAAAAATAGTGAGACATTCTAAAACGATCAATCACTTAATGAGACTATCTAACAAAGTGGCAGATTCACTTAACGATGATCATCGTGCCATGAAAAGAGAGATAGATCTTCTTTTAATATCTGTCTATGCCAACAGACAGAACTGGATTCATTTCAACCAAGTAATTCAAGCCGCTATAATAAGAAATGACATTTCAATTTTGAAGGCTGCACTTCCTCTCGTTACAGCTTGTGCTGATCTGAAAACTGCCGTTGACTTCAACGATCGTGTTTTGCCCCTATTGTTGGAAGCAGGATTAGACCCAGAACTTGAACAATTTGTACATCTTTTAGCAAAAAGGATCACTAATCCATGAGGACAAAACCTCACCTGTATATATATATCTATAGACACTTTTTAATAGTCACATAAAGCCGCCTCTAACCTACGAGCCAACCACCTTCTTCCATTTGAAAGACCATTGCATCTCATCGTCAACACTGGGGACATCCAAATCCTGAAATACTATGTTATCATCTTCTCCTACTTCTACCCACTCATTCCATAAACACACTATTCCAACCTTGAAACAAATCTCGCTTTCTCCACTCTTTGGTACAACCTCAAGAACCTTCAGTGATTTACTCAACATCTGGACACGCTTCACAACCCCCAGGAACAGCAGAGAGCTCGTATCCGTAGAATCCACCTTTTGGATGGCGTGCGAGGTATCTGCTCTAGCTTTTTCAACAATTCTTTGAAGTTTGAGGCTTAAGCCTTCATTCTTAGCTCCCGATCCCCAATTTGCAGGTCGAAGGGCTGATGCTGGATATCTATCAATTCCAAAATTCGAACATGTCTGCTTCGACTTTTCCCTTATTTGATTCAAGGTCTTCAGAACATCTGCGCCGTCATGACCCTTTTTCTGAATTCTATGGACGTGACTTTTCAGTAAAAGAGTCAGTCTATCCGTGTTTTCATCTTGAAATCGACTTTTCTTTTTCACTCTGTCCACTTTCATTGCAAGTTGTTGTATGTCAAAGCCAGGCGATTGGTTAGCCTTTATATTATTTACATGGCTAGACTCTCGTAGAGCCAATTCCTTTCTAAATAAGGTGCTTTTGCCTTTTCCGTCTCGATTCTGCACATAGTCACCTTTACTATTTTCCATTTGACCGATCAGCATATGCAGATCCCTGACTAAACGATTATCCAACCGCAAGGAGTTCCTGTTAAGTTCTGATGAAAGTCTTGTTGAGCTTTTTCATGCAAGTTGTTACGCGTACCAAAAAATAAAAGCTGATAATGAATTCGCTTGTTTTGGTGAGTGCCCTTTTTGGCAAAGCTGAAAAATCGGCTAAGCTGTCAAGCATACTTGGCTCAACTGGTTCAACTGGTTATATCTCAGTAGACTACTTTGGACAAAGCTTACACTCGACCATCTTACTCGAAATTGCAAAATGTAGACACCTTTAATTCGACACTATCTTACACGTAACTTACTTTTTCAGAGTTACCTTAATTTACTTTCAGATTACAAGGAAAAGCTTGATTTGGCGCTGAGCACTATTCTTGGAAAAGAAGTGATTGCAAATCATTATACTGGGTAGAAATGCATTCCACAGGAAAACAAAGAATGTGAAAAGTTACAAAAATGAATTGTCATTCCTAGTATCTATTGTTGTTGTAGTTCATATAGCCACCTCTTCCACCGTTATAGCCACCTCTTCCGCCATTGTAGCCACCTCTTCCACCATTATAACCGCGTCTTCCATCGTTATAACCGCCTCTTCCACCGTAACCACCTCTATTTCCTCTACCACCATAGCCGCCAAAGCCCCCTCTACCACCATAACCACCTCTGCCACCTCTACCCCCATAGCTGTTGTAATTCTCAGCAGGGTTCGCATAAGTGTCGTAGTTATTCTGGTACATATCATTGAAATTGTTTGCACCTTGGTTGAAAGATGCTGTTTGTTGCTGATGTGCGATCTCTTGACTGTACATGTCCAAAAAGAATTTGTAACCCCCAGCTCTCAAATTATACATACTTGGGAGACCTGGCCCAGTATGTTTGCTGTAATCAATACCCGAAGAATGATTTTCGTTTCTATTTTGATACCGGTTATTGTAGTTTCTGTAATACATAATTTTTTCCTTATCTTCCTGGGTCAACACTGGATTATGTGGTCTGTAGCCTGTTAAAATCATTGATTTTCCTAAAACCTTTGGCGGCATTTGAAATTCAACCATCATGAAATCTGCAGTGCTTAAATCTTTATATTCATCATTGATACTTTGGAAAGGAAACTTAAAAATCTCTCCAGGCTGATACATTTCATGGGGTTTGGCAATTCCAGCGAGATGAGTCTTTTCAAAATGGAAAGCTACCTCTTCTTTCTTCTTTTCTGGGTTATACAGTTTTGAGAATTTTTTGTAGTAGTGACTTTTCTTACCGACAAACAAAACTTCATGTTTATGACTATTTCTTTCGATCTCATCATTCGTTAATTGGTTATAATGCTTACGTACGACACGCAATAGTCTTTTTTCATCAATAAATGGTAAAAGTGCAATACCACGCCAAGATTGTTTTTCACCATTCATATCAATTTCAAAGTCTTCAGGATAGAAGTCAATGATTTCAGAATCTGGTTCTGACATCAGTGATCTGAAGACTTGTGGCAAATTGTGATTAGAAGCCGCAGGAAGGACACTCATTAATTGTTCAAACGGCTGAAATGGGGTACCTTGTTCAAACTCGATTTTAAAATCATTCAAATCAGTGAAATCAGCGGCAAACGGAGCATAGTGATAAGGGTAGTACCAGTTCCAGGATGGACAGCCCTGATAATAATACAAGAGAACCCATGATATACCCTCAACGTAGCTTTTTGCCATACTTCTTCTGATTTGGAAAATTTCCTTTTCGTTTGTTGTTCTAAATTTTTGTTGATAATATCTACTTTTGTAGCCTGGCTCCCATAAACGAATGTCTTCATCTTCAACATCTTCATCTTTATCTTCAGTGTCTGCAGTGCTGCTGGTTTCCATTTCAACGGAGTCGACTTTTCTCTTTTTGTCGTTGGAATCAGAAACATCAATCGGTTCTTCCTTTTCTGCAGGCTCGGAGGACTCTTTAACATTATTTACCATCTTCTGTCTCAAAACGTCGGCAACACTCTGGTTCGTAGTATTGGCCTTGGATATCGTACTAATATTTTTGACAATATCATTATTGGTCATTTTCAACCCACCCGAGATTGCTCCCGAATTCAAATTGGTCAACGTCATATTTTGTGATGGATTGAGAGGAGCATTATCTTTACCCTTACTGACTGTCTTCAGTAGCTGGTTATTTACAATACTCTGTTGTTCTCTTTCAACTTTTCTGCGCTTAAAGTTGGCTTCTCTACGCACATCTTGCTCGTGCTTTGCTTTGAATATTCCATCTTCTCTTTTAGCGAGTTCAGCAAGCAATTTTTCTACTCGATCTAGATTCAAAATACCATCACAAGTGATGTAGTGCTTTAAACCAGGCAATAATCCTTTCCATATTCCCACCAAGGTATCAAGACTGCTATCTCTCACATCAAGAGATGGTAAATGAGGTAGAAAATCGTTACCGGCAAAGAAACACATGAAAACCCAGTCATCAATTGCTCTTTCGAAATCATACTTGAAAGGTAATCTTGGGACGTTCAACTCTACTTGTAAATATTCACGCAACACATTAATATGCAACCAAATAAACGGCTGCTTACGATTTTTAAGTTTTTCTTTGGTTGCTTCATCCATATGTAGCCTATCTCTTGTTGATAGTTGTCTTTGTAATTGATCGTTTGCAAAAACATCCTCTCTAAGAACTCTGAAGTGAGGTTCGTGCGTGGCCAATGACAAAAAGATCAAATCTGCGTCTAAACCGTGAATACAATGAGAAACGTTAGGGTCATATTCAGGGTCTGATCTTTGAGAACGGATAAAATTCATAATCTTATGTTCACCTTCACCAGGGACCGATGCATCACTAATGATGACTTGCAAAGTAGCCCATCCAGGATCAGTTGAGAGCTTATAAGCAACCCAATACTTCAAACTCATTGCAAGAATATCCATGAATGGAGTACCAGGAGTAATGGAATTTGAATCCCAGCCTTTTTTTCCTTTGATGGCTTCGTCAATGATTTCACCTCTAGCTTCCATCTCTGCTAATTCTCTCTGCTTTTCTTCGTGCGCAATTTGTGCATCCTTCGCAGACCTAAAACGCCTAGATCTCTGCTGATTCATCTTGGCTCTTGGGGCAACACCATCCACTGCAATCATTAATAGTTTACGAGGCCTTGCAATATTTAAGACTCTGCTGGTATATGAGAAAATTTCCAACATCATTTCTTCCTCAGTTTCTGGCGGAGGCTTATTTTCAGGATGAGAGCAGGGATGCACAATTGCATTCATGTCCAAATAAAGATTATCCAATTCTCCATTTGGATTAGGATCGGAATAGTTGATAGGATGTTCGATACCGTCAACCTCAGGTCCTTCTTCATCTATGACAGAAGAGATAATCTTTGGGTACTTTTTGGATAACCAACGGAAAAGTGCTGGAACACCCATTTTTAATTATGTTCTCTTGACTGTGAGTTTTTCTCCTTCTACTTCTCAAACAAAACAGATGGAAATGTGATGCTGTTACAGATAGAAGAAAATCATGGAGATACATGAAAAATACAAAAAAGGAAAATAGCAAATTTTGATCAAGCAGGAAACACCGACGCGCCGATCACTAATCCGTACACCTCAAATTCTGATTTATCTCAATGAACATGAATACAACAATATTGAGAGTTTTCCAGATTTATATTGGATTGTATGTAGCCAAAAGTTAATTCTAAACCATTTTGAACACATCCAGAAAACAACTTCTACAGAAAGAACAGGTGATCATGCTTTTTCTAGCATCACGGACACCACTAAGAGAAAAAAAAGGATGCAGTAAGGCAATCATACTGACAAGGTCCATTACTCGTAAATCTCTGATAAAGAAAAACAAAAATGAAGGTGCAGTGGAGACCCCGAACACAAAAATATCTGCTAAGGGAAAGGCAATATCTAAGATGAAGAAAGATTTGAGCAAAACAAAAGATACTTTCATTCATGATTATTCTGTTTTCCCTGAAACATTACAATATAGACTTCCTACCGAAAATGAAAAAGGTCAACCTCCTCAACCTCACTCAAACATTCTCAAATTGATTTTTGAACAGGGTGGTGTGGAATCAATGGATTTAAATATGAACCAAGAGAAATTTTCTAGATACCCAATGACCACTCCTGCAAAGCTGAACAAAAGAGCCACAAGACCGACATCAGTCAAGATGCTAACTTCAGACTTTATTGATGATTCATTATATAACGTTAACTATGGTTATTTTGCCAAAGAGGCTGTCATTTTTCAACCAGATAGGCCTTTTGATTATAATCATTTAGCTGGTCAAGATGAGTTTATGCAGAAATGGTTGCAAGCATACGACAAGTATGACCAAGAAAATACCAAAACTTTACAAGTTATCCCAAGACCGAAAAAAAGTGGCAAATCCGAAGACAAAGGTGGAAATCAAAGTAAAGCTTCAGGTCCAGCAAAGACCGTCGAAACGGAGCAAGATAAAATAGTGAAACCTTCACTACAATTATGGCATACTCCAACAGAATTGTTTCAGCCGTTCTATGGTGAGGCATTGGCCCGTTATATCTTGGTGAACTACAAATTAAACAAATTTCCATATAACGATCTTGTGATATATGAAGCCGGTGCTGGTAACGGTACCTTGATGCTCAACATACTAGATTATTTAGAAAAAAATGAGCCAGAGGTATATGCAAGAACAAAGTATAGAATTATTGAGATCTCATCGAAGTTATTCAATAAGCAGAACTCAAGATTGGAGAAGCACAAGGATAAGGTTGAAGTCATTAACAAGTCTATTTTGGAATGGGACACACTGGTGAGCGAGCCCTGCTTCTTTATCGCTTTGGAGGTTTTTGACAATCTTTCACACGATGTGGTAAGATTTGATATTGACACGAAGCAGCCATTCCAAGGCTATGTAGTGATCGATGAACATAATGACTTTCAGGAGTACTACTCTCCCGAGCTCGAGCCGTGGACTAAGGGGTTTTTAAAGTTGAGAGAAGAGAGTCAGTACCCTATCAAATCACTAAGCGGACATCCAATCAATCAATTCTACCCTTGGATGAAGTTGCGGAATATGTTAAATCCTTTAAGAGACAATCTTACGGAACCAGAGTACATTCCAACCCGACTTTACAAGCTTTTCAAAATCCTCAAGCAATATTTCCCACAGCACCAAATACTAGCATCTGACTTTTCTCATTTTGACAAGACAATCAAGGGCTACAACTCGCCTACTGTACAGACAATGTACAAAGATAACATGGTGAACACAGACACATATATGGTGGAGCAAGGATACTTCGATATCATGTTCCCTACAGATTTCAGAGCCATTAACGAGCTTTATAGACAGGTAACTGGAAATGTGAGTAGCACGTGCTCTCATGCCGAGTTTCTTACTCAGTGGGCCGAAGTCGAGAAGACAAAGACTAAATCAGGTGAAAACCCAATGCTTGAGCTCTATTCTAATGCCGACTTCATCTACTCGTGAAAAGCATTTGCCGTCTAACCGGTCTTTTCACATTTGTAAGCACTCATAAACTGTATATATCCCCTAATAGACTCAGCTACTCGCAACCGGCTTTAGTGGACTGGTAGAAGTATTATTTCCGTACTATTTGTGTTCGTTGTCCACCTTCACAATGTTCCTGGAAGGTTCTCGAACGGCTTAGGCTTCCCAAAACGGAAATTGCGTGGGGAAAAGTGCCCGAATATTCTGGAAAAAAAAATGAGGGGGCTCGTCTAAAGATTTGACGGAGGTGGCACAAACGTCGAGAGATTGTCACCGGAAGCGTATTTAAGGACAAGCTTTCACTCCACCATTGGAAAAAAGGTTGCAAACTTTGGAGATAAAACTGAAATTCAATCTTTTCCATTTGAGTCAAACAACATTGAACTCAAAAGCGTAAAAAACAAACAAACAGACCACTATCAATAATGTTTTTCGTCGCACAACCAGAATACTACAGACAGGCGCCACACGGATTGGCGGACCTGAACGAGTTGTGCTTGCTGAACAACTTGCAGAGGCAATATGTCTACAGACAACAGCAACAGGAGAAGAGACAGGTCCAGAAGTTAAACCAACCGGAAGTCTTTTTGACGCAGGATTTGGAAAACTATTACGTTGTCTTAACCAAAAGGGTGAATCGCAGCAATTACGCCTACATGCATAGATTCAACGGGTATGCATTGAAACAGGTTGAGAGATCTCTAATTGTGAGATCCACCAGAGATAATTTTTACAGAAACATCAACTTGCCATCGAACATCGATCTCGACAGAGACATCACTTACAAGATCCTGGATAACGGGTACAAGATGGTTGTCACCATTCCCAAGAGAGCGTCGTACCAGATCAAGACCACTGCATTTGGCTTCCCTGATATCCTTGACGGTCTAAGCCTAAAGCTTTTGCCTTCTACTGATCGGTTGGTCAGGAATGGCGCTGCCGTTGTGGGTGCGGAAAAGGCTAGAAAAGATGACAGGGGTGAAAAAGTTGGTAGGGGCTCGGAGTCTTGCGGGATCAGGATACCAATCAGCGATGATTGTATAAATACTGACAATTGTCTTCTTCTACCAAGGCAACACGAGGAAGTTGACGAGGGCGATGAGGTAGATGATTTTGATGAGCACGCTGACCAGAACAAACAGCATCTATTAACTGATACCACTAGACAGAATGCTTCCCCTCACTTTACTTTGCGCCAAGTTGGTGGAGAAGGGGGTAAAGCAATTGAAGGAGAAGTTGGATACGAAAGAGAGGGAGCAGGAGATAGAACGCTTCAGAGAGCAGAGCCTGAAGAAAAAAGAGCTGTTGAGGAGCACAAAGCCTCTGCCACCGCAAGAGTACCAGGACCGGTATCTTCGGCATCAGATGTATCTGACTCCGGCGTCATCGGAGGAGAGTCTTGTGAGTCTCAGCTCGGAAGAGACGTTCGGACTTCGGAAAGGTCATCGCCAGACTTTTTGAAGAACTACACGACTTTGCAGCGGAAGACTGTGTTCCTACCGAACACGACTACCGAGATGGAGGTTGATTCCGAAGGGGAAGGCGAAGGGGAAGGCGAAGAGGAAGCGCCTGTTCCAGTCCCTGTTCGGAGAACAATGAGTCCCACCCTTGAAGAAGTTGTTGACGAGGAGTTTTTGTGATTTATTCCCACTAAGATAATTTCGCTTTTTCTAAACACATATGTATGACAAATTAATAATGCTAGCTTTTCGCAATTACCAAGTTACCGATTGGATTAGATTAGATTATATATATCCCGAGCAAAGAGGTCCTAAGGGCGATAAGGGCTGCAAAGAAGCTGTTATGGATCATGGAGCACGTTAAGATATATAGTCGGAAGTAAGATAATAAATAAGAGAAAAGGCCACCCCTTTCAATTACCGTGCATTTCGTTTCAGAGAGGCGGGGAATGCTGTGATTAGTTATTAGTTGGCGAGAAATATCATCTCTTGAGGGCGACTGGCGCCAGGGACCCGCTGTAGTTGCGGGTTGCCGGCAGAGGCGGTGCCAGAGACGCCGGGGATGATCTGGTCGTCCAAGACCAAGCGGAACTCGTTGGACGTACTGAAGGAGGAGATCGAGGAGGTGTCTGTGTCCTCCGCGTCCTGGCTGGCGAGTTGCGTGCCGGCGTAGTAGTGGCTGTTGTAGCCGCTGCTGCTGGCGCCACTGCCAAGCACCGGGTACTGGCTCTTGGCGGCCGGGGTGGGGACCTTCGAGGGCGTCAATGTCCCGCTCGAGCCTGTGCCGACCGAGAAGGACGTCCCGCTCACGAGGTCGGTGGCGCTGTCGGAAATGCTGACGCCGCTGTTCGTCAGCGAGCTGATGGTGTCGCCGGCCTTCCGGCGGAAGGCGTGCATGTCTCTGTCCAACGAGCGGGCAATCGAGCAGCGGGGCAGCGACTCTCTGCGCTGCTCTACGCGGCCGTCTCGCACAGACGGCTGCTGCATGGACACAGACCGTTTCAAGCCGCTGTCGCACAAGGTTGCCGACGACGACGACGCTGCCGGCGAGCCCGACCGCCGCCGCATGCTCTGGCGGATGACGGAGTCGTTGAAGCTGTATGCGGCCGTGATGGTGTCCTTGCTGTCCTCCACGGCGGCGGCCGCACGGGCCTCGCAGCCGTGCAGCTCTGTGGCCCGGTCCTGCGACCGCCACTTCTCCTGCACCAACTGCACGTCGTCCTCGAGCACGTGTGTCTTCCTTCTGATCTTCCCCACCAGCCCGAACGACAAGGTGTCGGCGAGTTCTGTGATAGGCATCATCTGGCTCTGGATGGACCTGTGCATCGATCCACGGTGTTTTCTTTTCCTACTGCGGCGCTAAACTTTCTGCCTGGCTGCCAACGTTCGGTGTGTTTCTGTCTGCTTCTGCTACCAAGACGCTGTGTGTGTGGCGTGTGCTGCCTTGTGTGCGCGGAGCCGCTGCTTTATCTGTCTGTCAAACGAACCAACCCAACACTTCCTCACCCACCCCCTTCCCTTTCCCCTCTCTCGTCTCCCCCTGTCCTGCCATCCCGGGCAGCTCTCTGTCGTTATATACGTCCCTTCCCTCTCCCGCAGACCTCGTATCCAGATGCGGCTTTGCCCCGAGGCGAAAAAAAACTGTCCCTCCGAACCGATCTGCTCCCGGTGCGCGGCGATAGTGCTTAACGCCCGGCCGCCGGGGTTATCTCCACGCCGAGTCTGGCTACTGCTGGCCCCGGCCCCACGTAACCCCGAGGCTGGCACACACGGGCTGGCGCTGACAACCACGGGGCAAACCACCGCAAAGGCGGTCCGGGCTGCGTGGTCGGTGCTGGTTCGGTGTTCGGCGTTCGGGCCTGGCGGGCGTCAGGCGTGCCGGCGTTCGGAAAGGGAAGAAAAAAGCTGACGCGGTCGTCGGCGGATGACAGTGGGCAGGGTGCGATTACAAATGGGTCGTTGTGTCTATAAAGATGAGTTATACGGGTTACACGCGGCACACGCTGGGGACGCTGCGGGTGAAGGAGAAGGCGTCGGAGCGGTCGGTGTCGGGGGCGGAACACACGCTGGTCGAGTAGACGCTGCCGCCAAGACGGGTCCTGGAGACGGCGCTGTTGCGGCGGGTCAGCACGCCCTGGAGGTTGAGGATGCGTGCAGACGGCTTGAGGGTGCGTGCAGACGGCTTGTGGCCCAGCGTGTAGCTGCTGGCGACGGTGCCTGTGGCGGTGGCGACGCCGGCGTCGCTGTGGCGGGCGGCGGGGTCGTCCGCGTCCGAGAGCATGCTGTAGTCGTCGTAGACGTCGCTCACGTCCTCGGAGGGTTGGGTCGGGTCGAGCGAGGACACAGACGAGCGGCCGGATCGCAGGCCGTCGAAGTCGCTTTCCTCCTCTATGGTGGAGACGCTGCTCGTGGAGGCGGCGTCGCTGTCGCTGTCGATGGTGGCCCACGTCCGCGTGGACACGCGGGTGTGCGAGGACGCCGCCTCGGACGACGACCGGTACAGCGGCGCAGTCACCATGCTGTCTGCCACGCTGCTGACGCTGGCCGTGATGGTGGAGGCCCGGCTGCTTTCCGCAGAGACGATGTATCTGTCCAGGATCTTCTCCACCTGCACGTTCCCGCTCCGCTCGATCGACTCCCGGCGGGACGGGTGGCTCTGGATGGACTTCACCCGCTCGATGTAGTCGAGCTTGGACACGTCCAGCTTCATGTCGATCCGGTTCCGGATCGTCGCACTCAGGTATTGTCTCCACAGCTCCTCCAGGCGGTCCGGCTCCCCGCGGGCAGCCCCGTCCTCGACAGAGAAGTGCTTGCTCTTCTCGTCCTCGCCCATGGACGCAATTGTGCTTAGTCTTTCCGTGACCGGCACAGCTGCTGCTGCGCTCTTGCTGGAACCGCTGGTCACCGCCGCCGATGGCGCACTCGACGATGGCGATGCGGCAGCAGACGCTGCCGATGCTGGCCCCGCATCTCCCATATTGATGACTTGCGAGCCAAATGGCGTGTCTGCAATGTCCACCAACACGGGCTCACTGATCGTCATTTTCTTCTTGTGGCCTCTTTTCGGCGTGCCTGGAGCCTTCTTCCCCTTGAACGCCACATTCTTCCTTGTCGGACTCTTGATCACTCTCCAGCACTTCTTACCAGCCTCTTTGAACGCTCTCAGTATCTTGAGCAAGTACTCAATCAACACAGGCTTACGTTTCACCGCATTCGACCTTTTCAACTCACATCCACTATCCACCTTCACGCTCTCCTTCCCACCAGGAAGACCGGTCTCCTGATGGTGGGTTCTGCTAGGTTCAGAAGAGGCGTAGGAGTGCTCTGAAATCGTTTTCATCTCATTTTTCGCTGTAGTGATACTTCTTTTCAGACTCCGATTCCGAGAAATGCTCTTACTGACGTTGAACGGTTTTACGTTCACCTCACTAGACTCATCTTTGACTAAGTTTTCATGGGCATTTCGAATACTCGTTTTGCTATGTGTCGAGTTCTGGCGAGTATTGATCGCGGACCCTTCCTTGACATTCATCAACTCTACAAGAATCTGATCCAAACCTGATAGGTCAACACTTTTGAAGCTGTGACGGTACCTCTTGGGGTCATTGGCAAGCGTATTTACAGATTTCTTGGTGTTGCTTCTGCTCAGATTTCTGTTTCGATGGGCCATGGAGCTATTCCGAGTCAGCTGACTCCATTTTTTGATACTTTGCAATCTTGTTATACGTTTGGAACTTCTTCTCGGAATTTCAAGTTTATCCTTATCAATTTCAGACTCAACATCCTCTTCCTCTAACTCGGCAAGATCAGCAACTTCAGGGCTTGCTCTAACCCCCAATTCCATTGATTGCACCCTTTTGCTCAAATTTTCGTCGTTTGCAATCTCTTTTTGATGTTTTCTAAGTAAGCTGTCCCGCAGATAAGGATTGACAAAGGAGCTGATAGAATTGACCTGCCGTAGGGATGCCCTTTTCCTGATCAATGAGTTTTGGGGCAGAAAAGTACGTTGGTCTTCATAATGTGACTCTTCTGTGTTTGACCGTGTCTTCTCTGATGACTCTTTCTCAAATGTTTTATCAACTATCGCATCACTTTTGTTATCTTCAATGCCATTTTCCTCCATCTCTTCCGTCTTACTATTATTTGCAGGATCAGCTTGACCTTTTCCGGTAATAATTGCTGCAAAAATGTGTTTGCCAGTCGTTCGCTCTGATCCCTCCGAAACTGTTGGAAATGGAGATACTTTTTTCATGCCAGACTTGATGAATATCGATCCGGCACGTTCAATCTTCTCCTGCTCTTCATCATTTGGTAATAACGATTCTTCTGAAGAAGGAAATTCAAAGCCCAGAGGATCTCCCAAGTATGAAAGTTTAGATATATGTGTATTGGCCATATATGATTGTGCGTTTGACTGTGGATGATAGTTGGATTTTAGTTCTGTATTCGCAATAACTTTATTTCGATCGAAAGTAGGAAAAACAGTTTCACAGGAACAAAGGAATATGATGGATCATATTAATCAGAGAATTTAAGTCCACAGATGCTTATATACATTGGATGTAACCATGATGAAACAAAACCCAAATTATCCCCCTTATTTTACTCCCTCCGTCTTAGGTCTCGGTGTACTAAAGGGTGGCTGGCTGAAAGCTTCCCTTTTGGGCTAATTGCATGTGGCTGGCGTCAAGTTTTCAAAATAGTGGTGCGAAGACCGAAAAAAAAACGTTCCTTACAAAATTGGGCAACGGCGACGTCACGTTTACAATCTATTTCTATTATATTAGCGAAAGAAGTAGGTATATTTTTTACATGTCAAATCATTATTAGCTCCAAACGAGTGTGTCGCATATAGTTTCTAGTGGATAAAGTACCTTGGTTCGTCAAACACGTGATACCGGTGTTCTCCGATGCCTTCTCCCCTGAAGATGGAGGGAAACCTTTTATCTTTATTAATCCAAACCTCAGGTACTTTAACATCAGAGTATCCGTCAAGATAGTCTTTTTCATGGGGAACAACAAATTTACCAACTTGAAGTTCAGTGTCCGTTATACTGCCTCTACTAATTCTGGCATATCCTGTTCTCTTCAACTTTTTGTACAGGATGTATTCACACCAACGATCATCGTCACTACTGTCGATATCATGCATCCCAGATTTATCACTGACATAGGTATTGTAGTTACCTTCCAAAGGAGTAGTTACTAAATAACTTAATAGTATCATGGGTCTGTCACTGCTACCCATGATTCTCTGTAGCTCCAAACTTTGGAGTCTTCGATCTTCTTCATCCTCTTCTTGGCCCGAGTGGAAAACAACAACATCAACCAAGGTGCCATACATGTCTAGAGTTGCATGGATAGCAGGTGCTAGCTCACCAACTGGTGAAGGTAGTAAATGGTGTGTGGAATTCAAGATAGGGAATTTAGACAAAAGTGCTGCACCCCACGTATGTTTATTAGGACCAGGTCCAAAATCAGCATACATGTTCAACTCTTCAGCTATTCTCTGAGTCAGATCACGGTTACCCATAATGATTCTTTCGGTATCCGACTCCAAAAGTCCAACAACATCTAACTCTGCATCACGAATCAAGTCACGCATGCGGTATTCACTTGCCCACATATCATTATCTAAACCAAAATGAATGGTCCAGATACCTGCGGTTACCAATCTTGAGTTTGGATGGTAAGGTTTTGGTACTTCATATTGAAAACGGTTGAAGGCAATAATAGCAGATAGAAGCAGGAAGGAGATGACAAAATTTCCAAATTTGGCCACATATTTTGTAGCCTTTGCATCTTTTGGATCAATAGGAGGCGCCTTATACATCAGGAGACAGATGGATAAGACAGATGAGCCCAGAACAATGTCTGTTCTTTCACGCAATAATGGTCCACCAGGCACAAATGCATATGCAACAACCCAAACGTGCATCAAAACCAATATGGTCATGAAGCCTGTAGCTGCAAACATGACTTTGGCTATGTTTTTATAATGGATTGAGATCCTCTCAAAACATACAGGAGAAATGTATGATAACCAAAACGTGTAAAGAGTTGCTCCAAAATAGCCAAGCCATCCCGAAAAGAAGTAAAGCATAAGAGAACCAATAGCACCAAAAACGCTCACAGTCTTGAAAAGCGATGGATTGTAGAATCCACAGTATGTACCGATACACATAACTGCAAGAGTAACGGCACCATGAGGAACAGGGGAAGGTCCATTAGTAGGGTAGCCGCTCCAAACCCACAGAATCATGGTAGATGAGTCCGTCAACATTGCCAGGAGAGAAAACATGTATGCACCAAACCCGATACTCGTTAAGATGTATGATTTTGACCTTGTGGATCCCGCTTTTGACTTTTCCGAAGACTCTTTCAATTCTTTAGGCTTTGCAGCTATTGTGCTAGTGGGAATGACAGTGTAGTAGGCTGAAATCAGACCTATCAACAACCCTGTCTTAGGAAAGCCTCCAGTCTTATCATTCATAATTGGCCAGACAGGGTTGTTGGTCCAGTATGCAAACTTAGATATAGAGGATAATGTGAGGCCAAGCATAAACGTGGTGGCATAGCTTTTGATGGCTGAAACTGATCTGGTTGATCCGATGAGAGATATTTCGGTGGTCAACGAAATGAACGCAAAAGAATTCCCGACACTGATGGAAAGAAGACGTAAAGTTGGATCAGGAATGAGACATGCACCGACACCAAAAAGACAGGCATAGAGTCTCATCCTGTTCGGAGCAGAATAGGCTGTTGATTTGATCTTTTCGTTCAACAGCAGAATTGGACTAAAAGAACTCACAATGACCACCTCGTAGCCACTAATACCCATGAACCAAAGAGGAAAGTACCAAATGCATAGAAATAGCGAAGTGAAGATGGACCAAAATAGATAGGAGTTGATAATGTTGATAACGATCTGGATATACGAAGAATTGAATTCGGTGGATCTCCGAGGTATTAACTTTTCCGTTGAGATTTTGTGGCCGGAATTGCTCTTTCCATCCTCAGTCGGAGCCTGGACGCCGAAATTCAGGGAAAAGAACTCGTCGTCCGCATCCGACGGTCTGACTTCAAGATACAGGTCTTTGAAATCCTTGATGGACCAAGCATCAAAGGCAACGTCCAATACGATCAAGCTCCATTCGCAGTATGCGTAGTAGGAGTAGGAGCCTGGAATCCGTCTCACCTTGTGTTCAATGAAAAGGTATATCAAGGGGAAGAGCATTCCAAAAAACAAGAGAGCGGTGTACTTCCTGTACTTCTTCAACGCCGAGCCCGGAGGAGACAACTTTGTGACCGAAATGGTCCACGGCAACGTCAAGACAATGTAGGCAATCATGAAGATGTCGTGCCAGTCGTGATCGTCGCCCGAGGTGATGTACACCCATCCTCCGCACGTGACTGTCCTCACAATGCCCGAAATAATGGCCACCTTGGGTAGAGAAGAGTTTGGCTGGTACAGCCTGACGTACGTGAAAAAGAGGAGCAAGAATCGTGGGCCTGAAGTAAGGGCAATCAATATCTGGAATACGGACCGCTCGGGATACCTATCTCCGATCGTCGCCGAGACACTCGGAAACCACTCGTCGGGGTACCCGTAGTGTTCGTTTCTGACTATCTTTTCAAAGTGAAGCGTGTACCCAATCGCCAACGCAGCGAGAAACGCACTCGACGAGCACACTGTGTGTGCTATGGCAATGCATTGCGCATTTATCTGCAACACAGGCTTCGGAATCCCCATAGAAAAAGCGGTTCTGGCTGATGGTCGGGTGAAGTTCGGGTGAATGGTGGCGGGTCGCTTGAACCTTAGGGCTTCAGAGTAACTGCAAAAACGGTTTCCTCAACGCAGTAGCTTCCTGGTGCGCCTGCTCCCTGGTTCCCTGGCTCCTCGCTCCGTGTTTCCGACTCTCATGAGTTCCCTCTCCTGCTCCGTCTCTGTCAATGCTTCTCATTTTCCTCAGGTGTCCCACGAAGGCCTCAGACAATACAATTCCATTTTTTTTTAATTCTCGTGATGTGCATTGACCCGAAAATGTTGCCCCGAACCCGAGGCGCCAAGAGTGGTGCACGGGTGTCACAAACTACGTTCCGGGGTAAACGCTTAGAAAAAAGGGCGGGGGACGATCGGCGAATTTTTGTTGTGCTCAGCTTCTTTTTGCTGGCAGTGAGGGGAGGAAGGGGAGAGGAGGACTACGAAAGGGAAGAACGTCTTTGAAAGAGCTGAGCATTAAAGATGAGCATGGTTGCTCTGAATGGGGCTTTTGACCTGGACCAGACACACGACACAGATATATTGCACAGCATGGCAGGTATGTGGTACCGCTGACGGTGGGGAGAGGATTTCTACGTCCAGGGAGCTGAAGTACTAACACATAGACACAAACACAACACATGATGATTGCAATCATTTTCCACAGAATCCGAGTTCAAACACGCACCATCAGTGTCGTTCGACGAGATCGACTACAGAAACGAGGTGGACCTGAAGAAGGCGCAGGAGTCGATGTTGAAGGAGCAGTTTGTGAAGATCGAGGTGGTTAAGATCGTCAGAAAGGCCTTGGAGAACTGTTTCAAGGTCAACGGTCCAAACGGATACGAGGACTGTCGGGAGATTGCTGACAAGTACATGGCGCTTCTTCCAGAGTCCAGGGCCCAAGGTTACTTGGGGTACCAAAGAAACGACCCAACGAAATAAGCCTTTTCGCCTCGGCAGCCCCAGCCCACACAACACCCGTGGCTGTCAAACATTCGATCGATCATTCCCACACACAATGCAACTCTGTTGCGTCCTCGTGCTGGAACACATCCATGGTTCCGTTCAGACCTTCTGAAACACAGCGCAGAGGTGACAATCTCTTCCACTTATTCTTAAATAATCGACACCATCCACACCGTCATCATCATTATTTATTACGTTTTTTTATATTTATACACAGCTTATATTACTTGATACTAATATAACGTACACCTTTATTACTCAAGCTGTGGGGTTTGCTGTAAGCTGCGGAAACGTGGAGCAGGAGATATTAAAATGGGGGTGAGTTCGGAGTAATAAAAAGGACAAAGCACAGGAGAAGAGATGTTTACAGGCAACATCTTTTCGAGACGTTGTCTCCTCGTTTGGCAACGTTGATATTCTTGTACTGCCACAGCAGAAAACCCGTGCCTGCTCCTATCATGCACGAGATGAAAACATAACCGTTAAAGTACATGAACAGTAGCATGATCACATGGTGGACAGACCATTCCATTGTGTCTCCGACGCAGAAGACGATGTGCTCGAAAATACTAGGGTAGAGGTAAACCTGGTCCCCAACCTCGACCGCCAAGTTCTGGTTCAACGCCCAAAACCAGTGGTGCTTCCACGTTTCAGTGAACGGAATCATCCACTCCACAAACATGTTGTTATTTTGTGTAAAATCGGTGTTGCGATAAGGCTCCTGGATCTGTTTCAAGGCCACACCGGCCCTCAGTAGTTGCACGACCTCTTTCTCCCTCAACTCTGCACAGTAGATTTTGTACTGGAAGAGTATTCTTCTCCACCAGTTGATGGTTATCAACAACGCAAAGACACCCACACAAGTGCCCCCAAATAAGGCCTTGGTGGAGGTCTTCCATTGGCTGGAAATGAAACAGACATCCTTTGAATACCAATTCCATAACATTGACATGGTACAGGTCATCTTCATTTCCATGGGAGCCGCCGAAGAGGCACTCCCTGTCATACCACCCATAGCCATGCTCATTGTGGCAGTCCCTCCCATATTCATACCAGACATGCCCGACATAGTCATGCTTTTGGTGGGTGTTGCTCCCGACATCTCCATACCCGACATGCTCATGACGGCCGCGGTAGTAGCCATGTTCATCACAGTGCCTCCGCTAGAGGTAGTGGTTGTGCCGGCCATGTCCATCCCGGACATATGCATCATCGTAGAGGATGTGCCAGTACCCATGTCCATTCCGGACATATGCATCATCGTAGAGGATGTGCCAGTACCCATGTCCATTCCTGACATGTCCATTCCCGACATGTTCATTTTGCTTTGAATACGAATAGTTTTTATAGTCCCTTCTGTGTACAATGAGAGGGAGGAAAGCAGGCTGGATGATCAAGCTGGAAACATCCAGCCACAACAAAAACCAAGCTCTTCCATGTACATCTCTAGGACGTTAAACTAATCAGCAGCAAACAGGATGCCTTAAATTGTGTTCGAACTAAAGGGCTGGCTGGAAAATTAAGAAAAGTGGGAAAATAGATAAAAGGAGTTGGGGGGACAATGATACTGGAAAATAAATCAGCAATAATTACCGAATTTCCTTAACACTCCACTGAACCCATGTACAACTTTCCAACTCCCTGTCCGTAACACTCAGCTTTCCTAGCAAAGACAGACCATATCTTGCGCAGTAGAGCATGGCGAGCAAATAACATGGTCTGGATCGGGAAGGAGAGCAAATTTCACTGCAACTTTATTATCTAAAGGGTCTCAGGAGGGAGCAGACATCACACTGATTTCTGGCGACAGGCAGCAGAACTCCCAGACGTGTCATGCAGTCTTTGGAGGTCAACGGGGGGATTTTTGTATGGTGGATGCAGTCTGTGCCAGATGGGGCAGCTTTCTGTGCCATGCACGGCGGGGGATGGTTGAGGTCGTGCAAAAAAGGCCGAGTTGTATATAATCTTGGCGGTTGCCGTCGTTGAGCTTGTGCTGGAATAAAGCATGGCAAGGGCATGTAGTGTTCCCAGAAGCTAGTGTAGTGGAGAGGTTAACTTACCATTGCTATACAGTTTGCGACAAACTATGCTAGATTCAGTCCCCGAAATTTTTCTTCCAGTGGAGGTGCAGGCAAAGATGGCCATGGGTGGCTCCGACCCCGCCTCTGCCCACAAATGCAAAATCTCGATGTTGTGGAACTGGTACACGATTGACTCGTGCTTTCTTGCACGCTCGTGGCATGTTACGTCCCGCGGAATGTTTGCAGGCACCTGCATAGGTGTGTTCTTCTGGGTCATGGCCTACTGCTGGTTTCACCGGTTTATCGTCGAGTACGACAACGCTATTGTCGACTACAAGCTAAAGAAGGCCAACGTCAGCGCCTGCGAATCTTGTTGCGGCGCTGGCGGGTGTGACGAGATTCTCAGCTCGGAAGAAAAGGGCTCTTCCGACGAGGAGACCAGCAGGGCTGCGGCGGTCGCACAAGGCGTGAAACGCCCTGGCTCCGACTTTTGGACGCCGCTGAAAAACACCTTCTCCCACAAGTGGTACCTTGCATGGATGAAGAAGGACGGCAATGCCATATACCCCAGTCCCGTCGAGCACGTTGGCCGCTCCGGGCTCTATCTCATGGAATGGACCGTCTCCTACCTCATCATGTTGATGTGGATGTACTACAACGGGTACCTGATCATCACCATGATTCTCGGTTACTTCTTTGGCCAGCTTTTCTTCAACTACACCCCTCTCACCGTCGTCCCGAGAAAGGATTACACCACTCCGTCCTGTTCTTAACTCGCCGGTTGTCCCTTTTTTCCGCTTCTTCGTAGTAAAGTTTGTATTTCCTGTCCCTATTTTTTTCAATTCTTTCCACTCTCTTTTGATACATAGCTATCAAGCTGCTACCGCTGTAAATCACTTTCCAGCCACCTTCGTCCCATCTGCAACACATCTCTGCCCAAAACATGTTTACGACGATCGGCCCGTTTTCCTGTTAAAAGATGCCAGAGCAGTGTAAAACTCACGGCATTTGTAGCGAAAAGGGAAGAAGCGAGCGTTGAAAATTTGAGAGGATTGGAGATCTGAAAGATTAAGAGAGACGTGGTGGTTGTGGAGAGAGAGCAGAAAGGTAAGAAGAAAACAGAGCACAGTTGGTACCGTTCCCGCAGGCTACGCAGCACAAACCAGAGAATGTTAGATATCTTGCAATTTATTGAAGAGAAGGGTGGTAACCCACAGGCGATTAAGGAGTCCCAAAAGAAGAGAGGTGCTTCTGTCGAGCTCGTTGATGAGATTATCAGCGAGTACAAGGAATGGGTCAGGTTGAGATTCGTTGCTGACGAACTCAACAAGAAGCTCAACAAGGTCCAGAAGGAGATTGGGTTGAAATTCAAGGCGAAGGAGGACGCATCCGAGCTACTCAAGGAGAAGGACACCATCATTGCGGAGAAGAAGGAGGCCATTGACAAGGAGCAAGAGGCCGACAAGCAACTCAGACAGAAGGTGTACTTGGTCGGTAACATTGTCCACGAATCCGTTGTTGTTTCCCAGGATGAAGAAAACAACGAGCTGGTCAAAACCTGGACCCCAGAGGGCTTGGAGTTTGAGAAGTTGACCGACGTTGCAACTGCCACCGGCAAGCCAGCTAAGTTGTCGCACCACGAAGTCTTGCTCAGATTGGACGGTTACGACCCAGAAAGAGGTGTCAAGATTGTTGGTCACAGAGGTTACTTTTTGAGACAGTACGGTGTTTTCCTCAACCAAGCTTTGATCAACTACGGCTTGTCGTTCTTGGCATCGAAGGGTTACACTCCATTGCAATCTCCTGTCATGATGAACAAGGACGTCATGGCCAAGACCGCCCAATTGTCCGAGTTCGACGAAGAACTATACAAGGTCACCGACGGCGATGATGAAAAGTACTTGATCGCCACCTCCGAGCAACCCATCTCCGCCTACCACTCCAACGAATGGTTTGAGTCTCCTGCAGAACAGCTACCAGTCCAATACGCAGGTTACTCCTCTTGTTTCAGAAGGGAAGCTGGCTCTCATGGTAAAGATGCTTGGGGTATCTTCAGAGTCCACGCTTTCGAGAAAATCGAGCAATTCTGCATCACTGAGCCGGACAAGTCATGGGAAATGTTCGACACCATGATCGCCAACTCCGAAGCCTTCTACCAATCCTTGGGCATTCCATACAGAGTCGTTGGTATTGTCTCCGGTGAATTGAACAACGCTGCTGCAAAGAAGTATGATTTGGAGGCTTGGTTTCCATTCCAAAAGGAGTTCAAAGAATTGGTCTCCTGCTCAAACTGTACCGACTATCAGTCAAGAAACTTGGAGATAAGATGTGGTGTGAAAACCCAAAACCAAAAGGAAAAGAAATACGTCCACTGCTTGAACTCTACTTTATGTGCTACCGAGCGTGCTCTTTGCTGTATCTTGGAAAACTATCAAACCGAAGATGGTTTGGTCATTCCAGAAGTATTGAGAAAGTATATCCCTGGTGAACCAGAATTCATTCCATTCGTAAAGGCATTGCCAAAGAACTCCACCTCCAACAAGAAGAAGTAGATGCGCTAGATCTTTACTGTAGTATCGTTACATGTATCTCCCCCTCCCCCCATTATATAGATATTTCTTCATCAGATAATACTTTAATAACTGCCGATTATTTTCTGATATCTCACAGCATGAAGCGCTCGCTGCCCCAATATCCTCTTCCCTAAACTATAAAGAGAATCGATCACACACTTTCGCAGATACTAGTACGTTGAGAGGATAGAACAATTCACCTATACATACAAAAGAAGCAATGTCTAACATATTTAAAGTGACAGTTATTGACAAAAGTTCTCTCTCCGGAAATGAGGGTGAAACACCCCGGTCGCCGAAAATCACCGAAGCCGTTAGCTTCTCCAAAGTGCAAAGTGAAACGGGCCGATCCAACGTAATTATTACCTCGGATGGGAGAGCTTTAAATAGAGAAACTTCTTCAAAAACAGACTCATATTTTGAGAAGTCAGTCATATCTCCACAATGCACCGTCATCAAAAGCGATGTTGAAAGTTCAATTCTAGAAAATAGTCAACTCGCAAACGAGCACGGAATGTTGTTGATAGATATCAAGAATGTTGAGGATGCTAATAAGGATAACAAAAAGAGCCCTGACGTCAGTGTTGACTGTATATCTTCAACGTGGCAGCCCGAATCTGTCACAGTTGATAAGTTTATTTTTCATGATTTAGATAAAGATACCACTACTATAAACAATGTTCTTATCGAGGGCTCATTGGACCACCTCGTGGGGCTTGAGAGCATCATACAACCGACAGAGGATATTGATCAAATCGAGAGACTGATAAATATCTTCAAGGAAAACAATGATGTATTATGCAAAAAGTTATTAAAAGGTACAAGTACAGATTGAGCATTTACATTATACTACTAATATTGACAGGCATTTCTTCTATTTGCGACGAATAATAATGTTCCAATTCATGCAAAGCTGCGACATCTTCTTCCGTGACGAAATTGATAGCAACACCTTTTCTACCAAAACGGCCTGAACGGCCAATTCTATGAATATAATTTTCACGATCAGTAGGCAAATCATAATTTATCACAAGAGAAACTTGCTGAACATCAATACCTCTTGCCCAGACGTCTGTAGACACGAGGACTCTTGAGTTACCCAATCTGAACTCGTTCATGATTTTATCTCTTTCGTCCTGTTTCATGTCACCATGCATCGAAACGACTGTGAAGTTGGCTCTTTTGAGCTCAGAGGTAAGCCAATCGACTTTCTTTTTGGTATTGCAGAAGATAACCGCCTGTGTGATTGTAAGAGAATCGTATAAATCACACAATGTATCAAACTTCCATTCCTCCTTTTCGACCTGGACAAAGTACTGTTTGATACCCTCTAAAGTTATTTCATCACGCTTCACCAATATCTTCACTGGATCACTCATGAACTTTTTAGTCATATTTAAGACTTCTTTTGGTAGTGTGGCGCTAACCACCACAACCTGAACCCCAGGTGGTAAATACCTGTATATGTCGTATATTTGGTCTTGAAATCCTTTTCCCAATAACTCATCTGCCTCGTCCAAAATGATCATCTTAATGCTTCGAGTGTTGATATTCCTCCTCTTAATCATGTCTAGAACTCTTCCCGGAGTTCCACTCACTATATGCTGCCCTTTCGAAAGTGCTTTGATATCGTCACCAACACTTTTACCACCAACACAAGCGTGTACTCGTATATTCATGAAATCACCCAAAGCCCGGATGACATTTTGGATTTGAGTAGCAAGCTCCCTAGTTGGTGATAAGACAATTGCTTGAGAGGATTTATTTGATGTGTCGACAACTTCCAACATTCCGATGGAGAACGTCGCAGTTTTACCTGTTCCAGATTGAGCTTGAGCTATCGTATCACGCCCGGATATAATCTGTGTGATTGCCCGAGATTGGATTGCTGACGGTAAACTAAATCCATAGCCATATACTCCTCTCAAAAGCGATTCTTTTAAGCCCATTGCCTCAAATGTTGAAGTGACAGGCATCTTTTTCGAAGTCTTAAACTTAAGTTCACTGTCTGCCTCTCTATTAAACTCCATCTTTGTTGTGAGGGTAAATGTGCTTTCTGGGATGGTAACGTACTTAGCGTTTGTAGGTTTGAGTATATCCTCTTGTGCAGAGTTTACCCGAAGAAACAACAGTTTTAATGAAAAAATCAAATAATCAAGAAACAAAAAAAAAAAAAGGTCAGATCGATCACGAAAAATTGTGAGCATCGTAAGAATTGAAGATAAAGAAAGATTGGGCCTGCGCTCGTGGTCTCGTCCTTAGAAGCTACCGGTAAAAATCAACTGCAAGCAATCCAATCACCACCCTAAAAGCTTGAAGCCATGTCTACAAGTGAAGCAATTCTAGTCCTCATTGGAGGAGGACATGCCTCGGGGAAGAAATCGGGAGCTAGAATTTTGGAGGAACAGCTAAAACTGAAGTTCAAAGATGAAAGCTTGAAGATAGTGATGAAGGATATGGAACAATATATGAGCATAGACCCAAAGAAGACTGGCTCCAGATCTCCTTATCAATTTAACTTCAGTGATACTAAAAATGATTTGGAAGTGTTGATGAACAGTGACTGTGACGTGATCATACTTTACGGCTTGTACGCACTATACGATGTTGAGATAGTCAGCATGGCCACAGTCAGGGTTTACATCGACTGCGATGCAGACGTACGGCTAGGAAGATGGATAAAACGTGATGTGCTAGCTGCTCATTCTGGGAAGGACAGGGGGACTCTTGAGCTTTTGAAGAAAGCGGAGAAGGATAAACTGGAAAAGTTGCTCGATTCTTATTTGACCTATTCAAGGTCTGAAATGAACACTTATATCCAGGACACCAAAGAAAGAGCCGATGTTATTTTACCGAAAGGGGCAGATATAGCAGGCTTTACGCTGATTATCGATGGACTGCAGTCGCTACTCATTCAAAAGCTTGAGGATTCGATGCACGCGGCCACCGAATTGCAGGGTCAAAGCGCAAGATCGTACAGCACTAGCAGTCTCAACAGGGAAACCGTGATACAGAACATCAAGATGTTGACTCCTGAACCTAGCGTGATGTCTCTCACCAATGACAACTTCTCGAACAAAAACCAGATATTCTACGATGCTAGCTAGCCTTCGCATTGTCAACTTAACCCTGCATACTGGTAGTATCATATGTTTGTATCAACTCTCTTTAATATTATTATCCTTCAATTTACCCTACTACCACGGATACCCGTTTCTTACTAACTTTTGACATTTTCGTTACAGATGCAGAACTGTATTCTGTTCCGCAACACTATCTTATAAAGTTTGCGACAATTATGTCATTTTCTCCACCCTTGGAATCGACCCTTCTCTTGTCCTGAATGACAGTCCATTGTCCGAGACAGTATATCATGCACTTCTCAATGTTGACCCTTGCAGTCCTTTCTCTCCAGAGCTCAGGCCTCTGTTCTCAAGACTACGTTTCGGCCCTCTACTATTCGGAATGGTCGTTTCCCAATCACGTGCCCGCTCAAATTCCAATGTCGCACGTCACTAACATCTATTTTGCTTTCTTTGATATAGATAAGGGGAAGAAGAACATTAAGTTGTCAAACGAGCTGTTGGATCTTTCCAGTGAGATTGATTTCAATACAACATGCCTAAGAGAGGACTGCGACGATTTGACTTACTTCAATGTCAGCGACAATGTCAACTCGGAATACTATAAATCCCTCCCATGGCTTGATGGTTACTTGGATGCTGCTAAAAGTCTGGTAGGGTCCGAATCCGGGATCAAGTCACAAGGTATTGTCGGGCAAATGCACCAACTGCGAGCGCTTAACGCGAGATTGAAGATCTCAATGTCTATTGGCGGGGCTAATACTGCGAAATCTTTCAGTTCTGTCACCGTCACGAAGAAGTCCACTAAGCAATTTGTGGCGAACATCGTTGCAAATGTCAATGCCCTAGGTTTCGATGGAGTAGACATCGACTGGGAATTCCCTAGTTCAGACCATGATACCAAGATGCTCACGTACATGCTAGAGTTGCTTAAGTATAAGCTCTCCCATACAGGTGAAGGCAGAGAGAAAATCATTTCGCTGGCAATACCGTTGGATTTAGACACCCTCAAGCATTTTGACTTCCGTATGCTCGACCAATATGTTGACTACTATAATCTCATGGGTTACGACATATCCGGAACGTGGAGTCATGTGGCGGGTTTTCAGTCACAGTTATATCCTGACAAAAATATTGCTGGAAGTACGATCTCAGTGGATAACACAGTCAAATACCTCGAACCTCTTGTCAACAAATCTAAGATTTTGCTAGGGATGCCTGCCTATGGTGTATCCTTCAATGCCGATAATTTGTATAAAAATTTCAATGACTGTGCCCCAATCGAGGATAAAAACATAACCGACAACCAGGATAAAGATGACAAATGTATCATAGATTATATTCACTTACCCCCTAAAGGATATGTTGAGGTATCTGACACTGAAATCGGAGCCGCTTACGCACATAGTGCTCCCGGCCAGCCTGAGGGCATTGTGGTATATGATACTCCGGCAATCTCAAGATTGAAGGCACAGTATGTTGAAAAAAATGGCCTTGGAGGTGGTATGTGGTGGGATTCAAAGGGTGACACGCTCATCTCAAATGCAACAAGATCGTTGGTGTACAACTTTGTTGACGAGTTGGGTGGAATCTATAAGCTTTCAAATCAAATGGTTCCTTTTAACTACAACGGTACATTAGAAAATGGTATCGTCTCCACCGAAGTCCACGATGGTGATTTCGAGAGTAACCTTTCAAGCAGAACGGCAGCAAATTTGATGCTTACTTACTACGCCCTCTTTTTATACTGCTTCATCTTAGTGGTATAATCATATATGGTGTATATGTGTTTATTAGTTTATATTAAACACTGGGTTTATTATACATTAAAATACGTTCTTTATTTAATCAGCTTGGTCCCAATTTCCAGGCTTAGGTTGTTTTGGCATAGCAGGTCCACCTGCTTTCTTGGCAACAATGATTTGGTCGACACTAAGAATTGTACAAACAGCTTCAGTTGCCAAATTTATAGCATTCTTTTTGCAAATAAAAGAGTCATATATTTTTTCCTTCTTGACATCCAAAAGACAATCGTTGACGTCATCTGATTCAATATCGATACCATACTTTAATGTCTCGTTGTCATTCTCATCGTGAGAAGCATATAATCTTGGTAATATCTCACTAGGGTCTAAGCCTGATGTTTCACATAGTAATCTTGGTAAAAATTCAAATGCTTCTGCGAATTTTTTGATACCCAATTGCAATAAACCAGGCGTTTTCTCACCATAGTTGGTTATTCTTTTAACGAGTTCTGATTCGGTAGAACCAGCGCCAGGTAAAAGTCTTGGATCCTTAAGTACAGATTTGATCGATGCAACACTGTCATCGATAGCACGTTCAATATCTTCCATGTTGTTTTGTGTGGCACCACGAATGACAATTGTAGACGTCAACGATGTTTCTTCGCTTTGCTTGAAGATGGTGACTCTATCAGAGCCAATTTCGGTACTCTCGACGACATCGATAGTACCCATTTCCTCAGGCATTGGGGCACCTAATCTAACCAGTGGTGTGGCACCGCAGATACGACATATACGTCTCAAGTCGAACTTGGATGGTACTTTCAAGACAAGCATATCGTATTTGTTAACAAAATGCAAAGCCAACTCACCAATACCTTGTCCGGCAACAATAACCTTAACGCCTGAATCGTGTATTTCTTTAATGACCTTGTGCAACTCGTCTTCTTCACCTTTACTGAAATTCATCATCTCATCAGCATTGTGTAAAAGAACAGTTCCCTTAGTTTCAGAAGCTGAGATATCAACTGGACAATTGAATACTGCAACTTTGGCAGTTTGTGTGATTTTCTTCAACTTTGATTCAGCTTCTCTTGGGAAAACCATACCTTTGATGACAAACGAATTTGCGAGAGAACCACCCATGATTTTCACAACACGTATGGAGTCCACGTTGAACGCCATTGGGTTACTTTTTGGAATCACATGTTGAACTGCTGTGGACACTAGCTCTGAGATAATAGATTCTTGGCCATATTGCTTGGACATAATGACAGGTTTAATAACTTTTAATAGCTCATCTTTATCTTGGAAATCATTAACTTGATCTATAACTAACTTTTCCAACTCTGTGATTGCAAACTTATTTGCCATTTTGTAACCTTGAATAATTTCAGTAGGAGTTAGGCCCAAGACCACCAATTTTTCTGCTAAGTGTAAAAGTTCTCCTCCTAGAACCAAGACAAAGTTTGTATTGTCACCCATTTCTTCTTCCTGTTGCTCAGAATGCATAACAAGCACCTTGACGGCAGGATGAACAATATCCAATTCTCTAATCATAGTAGCTGCATCATTAGTTATAAAGATCTTGCTCAAGTTGTTAACGATAATTTTGTTCTTACCACAAGGACCGATTGATGTAGAAATCATGGTTGAGATTTCACGACATGCTTGGATGTTTCTGTTAATTGCACCATCAGTGTTGGAATGAACTTGGTATCCTTGCTTGAACAGAGAGGCATTAGGGTTTCCAGGTAGTTTGAGAGACATTGTTGTATATTATGTGTCTTACTGGTTAGTAACTGTTGTCTGGTGATAGAACGTTCTTTGGACCTAGCTACTATATCTAACAGTTTTCGAGCTATTGCCACCGCCTTTGAAAAAAAAAGGACAAGAAAAAACGTCCATCGAAATCATGGAAGGAAGGAACCTGTAAACAGCGCGACATTTGATGGCACATAGAGGGTGTTGAACGGATCAGTGTCGTAATGCCGGATGTCTGTGTAAGAAGGAAGGCTTGGACGCATTGTGGACACAGAAGCAGAGATAAAAGTAACACTATTGTTCAATTCCTTATTCAGATAAGATGGTGGTGCAATCAATCAAAAATGAGATTATCAACTCAGCTGCAGACAGGAATAAGCGATATTCCAAAAACGGAGACCAGGATGTTGAGTACAGCTCAGCTTATGGTTCAGCCTCGGATATTAACTCACCAGATTATGATCCGATGATAGACATTATGGAATTGTTTGATAGTCCAACCGCTCTAGTTGATGTCAACCAACTTTTGAAATATACAAGTTCGTATGAAAGCCAGCTCCAAGCTGAAATACAAAAGAAAAGAACTGAATACAAGCAGATATTGATTGAATCTGGACCAGACCAGGGCATTGATGTTCTCGATGGGGAAGTGATGAAGCTATTGGACAGCTTTCAAAACATGAAAAGTTTAGCCGAGGTGACTGGTAATACGATCAACTCAATGACTGCAAATATAAAAACTTTAGACCAATCGAAAAAGAATTTGACGTTCACCATGACTACATTAAAACGTTTACAAATGCTAATCACCGCTTATGATAGATTGGAAAAACAGCTGGAGAAACAAAAACAGGTGAAGGACTATTCTGAAATTAAGCAACTGTTGGGTGCTGTTCTTGAATTGAATGAATACTTCCAGGATTTCAAGAGTATTGACGAGGTTAATCGCTTGAACAAATTGATTTCAGCAATGAAAAATCAAATTATCAACGATATTTTCAAAGACTTTGAGTCTGAGTTCAATGAAGAACTAAATAATGACAAACTAATTGACGCTTGCCATATTCTTGAGATATTGGGTGATGCATATAAGGAGCAACTACAAACATGGTATATAAACACAGCTTTGAAAGATATCACACAGATTTTCAGAAGTTCAGAGGAGGCAGGTTCCTTAGACAACTTGAGTAGAAGGTTTATTTACTTCCAGAACACACTAACCAATTTTGAAAGTAAGCATCTGAGTATGTTCCCCAAGTCGTGGCACATGAGCCTAAAATTAACAGAAAAGTTCTGTTCATATACCAAGAACGATTTAAAGGAAGTCTTAAGCAAAGAATCCAGAGTGAAGAACAGCGTAGATGTGAATATACTACTCAATTCACTCTCACAGACATTGGACTTTGAGTCTTTTCTTAATAAGAAGTTCAAATATTATAAAGATTTTGATGAACAGCTCAAAAATGCAGAACCGCCTTCGTTCACAAAATCAATATCTGATGTATTTGAGCCATATTTGAATATTTGGATTGATCATCAATCGTCAACCATAGAAAAAAAACTGATTGAATTCACAAACCCTTCACACATGTTTCAAAAGACCGGTGAAGGTATTGCCGACGATGATGCAAAGAGATCCGATGAATCGTTGAACGTTTTAGAAAGTGCTGCAGAACTTTTTCGAATCTACAGACAGATTTTATCACAGCTCTCTAAACTCACAACTGGTAAAGCATTGATTCGTTTGTCTAAAATATTCAGCAAGTATTTAATACAGTATCAGCATAAAATTTTAGACACAATACTACCAGACAGCAAATCTTTGGTATCAGTTGATTTGAAAAGCCAGCAAGAAGGGATTGATATTATCAGCCTTGTTTTGAACACTGCAGATTACTGCTCTCAGACGGTATTGCAATTAGAAGAAAAAATCAAAACATTGATTGAACCAAAAGAACTCAGCGCACAAGTTGAGTTTGAAGGTCCCAACAACGGTTTTTTACAACTGATAATCTACTGTATCAACCTTTTGTTTTACAAAATAGAAAATGACATTCAAATATCATGGAGAGAACTTTCAAACTTCAATTGGAAAGTATTGAATGAAGTTACGGGTGAATCGAGGTACTTGGGCAGTTTAAAGTCGATAATACGAGAAGATTGTCAATTAATTTTCAAAAAGATTAGTAAAATCATATACATCAGAAATTTAATCGACAAACTCCTTGAGATGCTACTAAAAAATATAATTCTCAATATTATCAAGCTCGAGCCAATAAGTGTCATAATGGCAGAACAATTTAAATTGGATTTGCAGGAATTGAAAAGTTTTATAAACATACTTCCGACTTTGACTGAAGGAGGAGATAGAATTTTATCATCCACTAGTTTCAAGTCCAATATCAACACTAAATTCAAAAATATTGACAACCTAATGAAAGTCCTTATGGTCCCCAGTAAACCAATGGATGCGTTTATTAACAGCTACTTCTCAATTATTGGTGATTCTAGCTTTTCTAATTTTATGAAAGTTCTTCAGCTAAAGGGTGTGTTGAAAACGGAAGCTACTGAAAAGGACAAATTTAGATATATGGATATGTTCAAACTTCAATTAGGCTCCTTTGAAGAAACTAACAACGATGTTAATGGTCAGTTGAAAGAGAGTAACGATTATCTAGAGAAATTGAATGTAACTAGCACAACTACTACAATCAGAAAGACTCATGGCCATACTAAAAGTAACTCAAGATCTATTTATCTGCCTAGCACTGTTACAGGCACTTCAAGCAACTCCACCAGTTCTAATTTCGGCAGCACGGTTGAATCTGACGCCACTTCACCGGTACCCCCAGAGCCACCTGTTCCAGTTAACTCTGGTGGGTCTCCTAATATTGGAGCCGATGGAACTTCAAGCAAGGGTAACTTTGGATTTTTTAACGGTCCTAAAATTGATACAAATACCTTACTCAACACGAAGGATAATTTAGAGAAAAATTTTGCCAAATCATTCTCTGAAAGCAAGGGTACCTTCAATGAAAACTTTAGGAAGTTTTTTAAAAGAGGAGAATGATGTTATGTATGATAGTATAAAGTTAATGATTGTTCTTTAATCAATTTAAAATTGGAATTATGAATCGTAGAAATTATAAAAAGGAATTGGTGATCTTTAAGATGAACTGAAAACACAATAAAAGTACGTCAAATCAAAATGAGATGTAGAAAAAAAGAGAAATGGAATGTATGGAGCGGTTGGCACTAAAATTGAATAAACTAGAAAAGAAACAAGCTTAAATAGAAGAAAGGGAAGGAGTGACATGCAAAACAAAGACGAATACAAAGACAAAGGCCAGTAAATTGAAGAAACTCTATTCATACCTGTCTGTTAGGTAACCATTTAATTATTGTCACCAAGTTCAGAACGGTCTAAGGTCTTTTTCTTATTTTTCCTTCGAAATCTCCATATGATATGCTTGTACATGAGGCGGAAACAGGGATTCTCTTATTTTTTTTAATAAAACTTCCCTTAATGCTTACCACCAGTTCTCTTGTGTCTCAATTCATTTTCTTTCTTTTCGAACTCTGCATCGAAATATAAGAATTCATCTAAACCTTTTCCGGCTGGAACCATTGGAAAGACAGGAACCTTCTTCTCTACAACAACTTCCAACAAAACTGGTCCTTCGGTATTTAGCCATTCGTTAATACCGCTAACCATGTCTTCTTGCTTGGTGATACGCACACCTTTAATTTGCATGGCTTCTGCCAATTTCATGAAATCAGGGTTCGACTGATGTGTGTGGGAGTATCTGTGTTTGTAGAAAAGGGATTGCCATTGGGTAACCATACCTTGTTCTTCATTGTTCAGAACACAAACCTTGACTGGAGCGTTTGCTTGGACGGCAGATGACAATTCACTTAAAGTCATGCTGAACGAAGCATCACCATCGATGTCAATGACTAAGGCGTCAGGCTTTGCAACTTGAGCACCGATAGCTGATGGTAAACCAAAACCCATGGTACCTAAACCACCAGATGTGATGAAAGTACGAGGCTTTGTCCACGTGAAGTGCTGAGCAGCCCACATTTGATGCTGGCCAACACCGGTTGTGACAATAACTGGCTTTCCAGTGGCGGCTGCTTGTTTGGAAATTTCTTGAATCAAGGTCTGGGGCTTAATCAGGCCACCTGGGGTTTCCTTTTGGTAGGAATATGGGTATTTCTCCTTCCATTCATCAATGAGCTTGAACCAAGCAGGACGTTCCTTAACGCTGGTGACCAAGTCATTGAACAGCTCCAAGTTTTCGGTCAAGTCACCTTCGACAGCTTCAGTCGCCTCGACAACCTTGTTGATGTTCTTCGGAGAAATTTCAAAATGAATAATACCACCTCTACCTTCCTGGGCGGCCAGCTTGGCTTGAGGAGCAAACTTGCTGATGTTACCGGTGACTCTGTCGTCGAATCTGGCACCCAAGGCGATGATCAGATCGGCGTTCTGGATCGCCAGGTTGGCGACACCGGAACCGTGCATGCCCAACATGTCCAACGACTTGTAGTCGTTCTGGTCAAAGGCACCCAGACCCTGAAGGGTGGTGGTGACGGGTATGCAGGCCTTGTCTGCCAACTCCTTAAGTCTTTTTGGACCGTCGTCTGAGTTCAGGACACCTGCGCCGGCGTATATAATTGGTCTTTGGGCCTTGCTGAGCAGCTTTGCAGAGCGCTCTATGCACTCGATTGTGTACTGTGTCAGTTCCTTCTGGGAGAGCATGGAGACGGTTTTCTTTGGAATGGTAGAGGAGATTGGGATCGCCGTTTTGAGGACGGCAGCAGTGACGTCCTTAGGTAGGTCGACCAAGACAGGGCCGGGTCTGCCCGTAGTGGCAATTTCGAAGGCCTCGTTGATTCTTCTAGGCAGCTCCGCAACGTTCTTCACCATCACATTCCACTTTGTACAGGATCTGGAGATACCGACAACGTCGGCCTCCTGGAAGGAATCGGTACCGATGGCGCTCGTTGGGACCTGTCCGGTGAAGACGACCATGGGGATACCGTCTGCTAGGGCGTCGGCCATCGGCGTGATGACGTTGGTGGCACCTGGTCCTGAGGTGACCAAGACGACGCCGGGCTTGCCGCTCGCTCTGGCGTAGCCCTCGGCCATGTGGCCGGCACCTTGCTCGTGTCGAGGAAGAACAAAGTTGAATTTGCTGGAGTTGTAGATGGCGTCGTAGACGGGCAGGATGGCACCACCCGGGTACCCGAAGACGGTGTCGACGTTGTGGCGCTCCATCATCTCGTGGAAGATCTCGCCACCGGTCTTGCCGATCAAGGACGAGTCCATCTCGTAGCCGTCGCCGGCGGCCTTGCCGCCCGAGGCGGCTGCCGCCTCGACGTCCTGGTTGAACGCCGGCGCAGGAGCCTCTCTGACGATGTTCGACGTGGACGAACGGCAACGCAGGAACGTCGTCGTCGCCGTCGTCGCCGTCGTCTTTGCCGACGTCCTCGACTTCACAAACGCACTTCTGGCGCTGGCACTGCTTCTGGCCTGCATGCGGCAGGCCGATCTGGCGATGTTTCTGGAAAGCATGTTTGTGTTCTCACTCTGTGTATATATCGCTTCCGAGCTTGCTGTGTGGAAGAGTCTGCGGAGATTTTTCAGACGAAGCAGACAAAGATGTTCTGAGATCAAGGTCAACAACGAGATAAGCCTTTGCCGGTCGAGAGAGAAGCGGGAAAGAGCAGGCACCGAAAAAAAAAAGACAACCAGAACCTTGCCGAGCTCAAGAAGGGGAACAGCTCCACATTAATACGACACCGCCGGCCAATCTGCACAAACCTGGGGTCCCCGGTCCAGATAATAGTCACAGCATCGCAGATGCCATTCTCCCTGCCTCTCTCCCTGCCTCCTCGTAGAGTCATCCGCCCCCCGGCAGCTGAAAAATTTTGGTGAAAATTTGGCAACCTTCCGGTAACGGCGTTTGCAGCCGGTGTGGCGGTGCGCCCGGAAAACACGGTGGGCGCGGCGCGCATGTGTGGCGCAGCAAGGTCGATCGTCCCTTTTTTGAATTTTTTGGAACATGAATGGCACGGGGTGGCAACAGATGGAGGCTCGGAAGAAGCAGAAGAGCAGAGAAGAGCAGAGAAGAAGAAGAAAGAAGGGAAGAAGGAAGGAAAAAAGGTAAAGGGTGGAAGGAATTGGCCTCGGAAGGACAAGCATGACGGAGGAGGTGCTGTACAAGAACACAGGCACGCTCAAGATTGGAGACGTGCACCGGTTTGTGGTGACGTACACGCCGACGGACATCAACAAGGAGATTGGGACGCACCTGTACGTGAAGGTGAAGAACATCGAGAACGTGTTGATGAACTCGGTGCTATTGACAGGCCCGTACATTATGTACTGCGACATCCGGAGCGCGGCGTACGACCACAATGTGCCGTGCTTTGTGTCGGACGACCAGCCTGCGTACGACCCGAACATGATCCCCGGACAGTCGCTGGTGCAGCGGCTCACGTTGAACAGGCTCCAGGCGAAGTACGTGTGGGTGGTGGACGTTGTTTCGCAGATCATCTTCAGCACGACCGCGAGCACAGGCTTCGAGATCTTGCTGGCCCGGGACGAGCAGAGCTTGCACCGGAACTACTCGTGCCTCCGCAACTCCAACTACAGCCCCTCGACGCTCAACATCCAGCACCTCACGACGGCCGACATCTGGAACAGGCCGCCCCGCTCGATCTGCGACCCGATCCACTTGGTGATCCTGGTGCACGGCTTGCACTCAAACTCGACGGCAGACATGTTCTACATGAAGGACCGCCTCGAGGGCATGGCCGACAAGACGGGCGAGAACCTCGTCATCCGGGCCTACTCGGGCAACGTCTGCAAGACCGAGCGGGGGATCAAGTACCTCGGCCGCCGTCTGGCTGAGTACATTGTCAAGGACTCGCTGGAGGGCCTCAACGGCATGGTCGAGAAGATCTCCTTCATCAGCCACTCCTTGGGCGGCCCCGTGCAGACCTTCGCCATCTCCTACATCAACTTCAACTATCCGGACTTTTTCGAGAGGATCAAGCCGGAGAATTTCATCGCCATGGCCTCGCCGATGTTGGGCATCTCCAACGAGAACCCAACTTATGTCAAGGTCTTCTTGAAGTTCGGCATTGTCGGCAAGACCGGCCAGGACTTGAACTTGGATGGCGCACAGCCCATGCTCTTGTTGTTGCCCTCGGAGCCGACGAGGAAGATCTTGAAGGCCTTCAAGAGGAGAACCGTCTACGCCAACGTGTTGAACGACGGTATCGTGCCCCTACGTACGAGCGCATTACTATACTTAGACTGGAAAGGCTTGACCAAGGTTTACGAAACGCTCAAAAACAACGGTACCAACTTACCGAAAAACGAAAATGCCGAAGACCCAAACAGACAACATCACACAGCAGCGAAGAAAAGTAGCAGCGGCAGCAGTAGTAGTACTGGCTATGTTGCCGACAAAGCAGCAGAGATCCCTGTTGACATGAATAATGATACCATGGATTCTACGGATGGTGATCGAACTTTCGTGGATTCGATAAAGAGCAGGATCCAGTCCACCATCGGCTTTTGTTTGCCAAGCATCCAAGCCTCAAAAACAACTAATAAGTATAGCTATTTCCAAACAACAGACATGGAGGTCTCTGACAGCGAGGCCACCAACGATAACACCAGCACGGGGATGGATTCTGCAAATGAAGCCCTTCCTTCCATCCCCAAGTCATCTGCCCTTTCTTCAATTAAGAGAGTGCTTCTCCCTCCGACACCCTCAAGTAAGTACATCAATGACCCGAAAAGCAGGTACGATGTCATTTTGCATGATAAGATCTATACGCCAGATATGATACCCAAGCGCCATACCACTTTGTCTAAGAATGTAATTCTATCCCAACTGGAACAGAAGAAGAAACATAGATACTTGGAGGAAACCATTGCACGAAGGTGGCATCAAGGTATGTCGTGGAGGAAAGTTTTAGTATATTTACAGCCTGATGCCCACAACAACATGGTAGTCAGGCGCCGGTTTGCGAATGCCTACGGATGGCAGGTGATAGACCACATGGTGGAAGAGCATTTTTCCAAAAAATGTTGCATGGGGGAAGATTTGTCCTCATGGAAAATTAAGAAATCCGATTGCAATCTAATCGACTTGGATGAAGAAGAGTCAAGGGACCTGAACGTGAAACTTGGCCAGGTCATGAATAAAGAGTATAGAAAAGAGTCCAAGCGACATCACATCAATTCCCCAGACCTCTCTGTGCCTGAAAGGGTCAAGTTGAAAGACTTATCTCACCAAAATGGAGTTGCCGACTCCGTGTCAATTCCAGTGTCAAACGTTTCCAATATAGACAACAGCATTGATTCTGACTCCAACACTTCTGATCTCGATAATGATTCAGCCAACAATGGTGCCTGGCTCAATGAGGAAGCCAGTGGCTACTACGATGGGCCTACAGGTTTGCTCAACTCGGTAAATGAAGGAGTCGCTGCTTGGAAAGAAAGCGTTTTAAGTGGGGCCACTGGGAGTGGTCCCATGGAACAGTCCAATGCTGAGATGCAGGGAATGAATGAAGTGGGAGAAATGAACGCATATATATAATGTTTGTTACAGTAACCATAAAGCAGACTTTCCCCTAGAGCGTGTCTGTGCGTCCAAAATCGAATAGTAGCTAGCTAGTCGGAAATAAATTATTTCTCGCTCGCCGTCGATTGATGGTGATGAATTTTGTGTTACATAAACGAGCTGGCTCACATTCTTCAGCTGTTTTCTGTAATCACTTTGATACTGTCTACGCTGTTAGAGAGAACAAGAGCAACTGGAAGGACTTGGATAGCAAAAAAGAAAAATGTCAGAATCAGAAGCACATTCAGACACTGTAAGCCAACAACAGGCCCCAGAACAACACCAAAAACAACACAACCAACATCAGCGTCAATACCAAAACCGTAATCATAATCAGAATCAGAACCAAAACCAGAATCAAAACCGCCAGCAGAAAAAGAACACATATGCCCCAAAACGTGGACCTATTATTGACCTTGAGCCTGTTTTGAATAAGCAAGTCAGCGTCAGAATAAGTGGAGGCCGTGAGATTATAGGCACCCTTGCGGGATATGACCAGTTAATGAACCTGGTGGTCGAAAACGCAGTAGTCAAGACACCAGGCCATATTTCTTACTCCGAGAAAGACGAAGAAATTAAGTTAGACAAAGTGGTTGTCATTGGCAGATTGCTGCTCGCGTTAGAACCTATGGATGGATACGAAGTCATTACCAATCCTAATGTACAATTCGATTTTGTTATATAAAAAGTATGCATCGCTCTATTTTGTTCTTTATCGTATGTAAAGTAAGCAATTAATCATGTTAGTTGAGCTTCAGTCACTGCTGGCGCAGCCTCTACACCCGCACTTCACACATCTGAAATCCTCATTGGCCTTCCGGACGCTTTTTGGAACCCTGCAAACACAAACAGTCTCGCCTATGCACTGTAGGCAGCACAAGTTCTCGTATCCTCTTTTCCTCCATTTCGCAATAAGTTCACCGTTGACAAATTTATGTTTCACTAGCCATATGTATAGCGGCTGGCTTATTAGCTTTCTCTGAAAGTATAGAGAATATATGTATCGACTTTTTTGGTGATCTACTCTGTGAATGTCCCAGTATAGCTCGTGTTTCGGCCTCGACGGATTAACCTCTTTAGACTCAAGCGTCTGCATCTTATCTTGGAATTTTTTCAACGTGGGAAGAATCTTTTCAAACCCTTCGGGTGGCTGTGATCTTGGCGGTATCCTTATCGATTTTCCATTCGGCTTACCATCTCCCGCTGTTCCCATATTGTACTGTGATTTGTCCCTTCCTCAATTATCTTCAGCCGTATGCTGCACCAATGGTATTTGCTCTGACCGAACCTTTGCATGAGAAAGCTATCCTTATGTATTGAGAAAGGTTTCTAGAGGATTTGTTAGTGAGCTTACGTAATAGCAATCTCTGTTCTGTCATGTTTTTTCAGCACGGCATATTTGGCAAAAGCATAGAAATTCATATGTTGAATCACGCAGCTTCTTTCTTTAAAAACTATCTGTCGAGGCAATCAGAGAGCGTCAGACAAGCAGTGGCCAATATTGCACGATGGATTCTGTCACACAAATCCTTGAAAGAGTTCAAAATAGAGTCTTTGGCGACTTTGATGTTTATCAGCTAATACGTTTAGTAATCATCATTGGTGGGTATGTCTTCCTTAGAATGAGAGTTTCTGATTACCTCAAGCAGCAACAGTTGAAGACTAAGGTTGAGCAGGACAGAGATCTGAAGGCCCAAAAACTTATTGACGATCCCACGGGCGAAGTTGCGGAGGCTGAAGCGGAAGCGCTCTTCCCAAACAACGAAGGGATTTCGAGAAGTGAAAAGGGCTGGGGTTGGGGTAAGTCCACCAGGCGGAAGGTTAAAAAGCAGCAAGCTATATTTGAAAAGGAAATTGAGAAGGCTGCTGTCGATGCTCAAAGGAAGCTAGAGACTGGATACGATAGTGATGAAGAGATCAAGGAGCTTTTACAAGAGTAGTTTTTTCGTTCAGAAGATAAGACTTCTAGAAATCGCACCTGATAGCACCATCTATCCTCTCCTGAGCCTGCATTGCTGTGCAGTGCATTAATACGTATGCACCGTTACTCATGTGTAAAACCCCACCATAATTTAACCCATGTAAATCTACTAATGAACCCCTCCCCTTAAATACAGTCCAGCCAGGCCACGTCTCAGGCAGGCCAAATTACGTAATACTGAAAAAAAAAACATCACCACCCTTATTTCTTGAAAAAAGAGATCAGAGATACCATGAGAGTTGCAGATCTCGTAAAATGCCAACAAGGTAAGCCAGCCAGAGTGCTGAGAGATAGGACAACTGCCACTATATACATGAGTTTTAGGGATAGAGGACAGCGAACGATCCTGCCATTTGGCTTGGACTGGGCCGATATACAGCAAAACGCAACAGAGACGTTGGAGTTCCCGGTACCAGTCAATGGTAAACCTACAAGAATTGAAACAGAATGCTTTCAGCAATTCAGCAACCTGACAACTTTGATGAAAGATTCGTCTTTCTACACGGGTAACTTGAAGAGTCTTTTACTTGACGAAGTGCAGAACGGGGGACGAAAAAAAGCAAGCATTGTTTATTTAGAAGGTGGTGTAAACGACGGTTTGAAGAGATACTCGGACAAGTACAGAAAGAAAATAAAGATAGGGAAGTCGATTACCGATCATCCGTTTATTTTGCGCTTTTTTCCTCAGGAGCTTCACAGCGTGATGTCTTCAAAATCCGGAAAAAAGTCGCTAAATGTCAGTAAATACAAACAGGGATCCAAAATGGGGATGAACATCGACAAGATCATCAAGACTGCAGAGGAAAGACAACAAGAAATCTTGCAACGGTTGAACGAGGTCGCTACAAACAACAACGATGATGATATCGATGATGCGGATAACCAGGAGGAAGAGGAAAATTTTGACGATGAGTTTGAAGATGACGAAGACGACGATTACAATGCTGAAAAGTATTTTGATGACGGTGACGATTTTGGCGACGGCGACGAGGGTGACGAGGAAGCAGCGTTTTAGCCTTTCATCTTCATGGTTAAGATATATGTCTATACCACCAATTATATCCCAATGTCTAGTGTACAACTAATAAAACTAACGCAATCTATAAATAGTCCTTACGATCAAATGTAAATGGATGAGACTGCGCTCTTTAGCGATGTCTTCTACGCTCCATTTTACGTCTCTCGTACCAACTCAATGGTCTTCTGGAATCACTCTCGCCTTTCTCATTATTGCCCAAACTAGGGACATCCCCTGCTGTCTTAGGGAGTTCGGAAGCAGTGTTGTGTAGCACGAATTTCTCACTTGAAGAGGATGAATCTAAATTGCTATCAAAAAGTGAACTCATTGAGATAATGTGTTTTGGTGGTGGAGGTGGTGGTATATCATCGTCTTCTTCGTCGTCGTCATCATCATGGTTATTCTCAAACAAGTCAGTACGGTCTACCCCTTTAAGATCTGGCAATCGTCTCCCTTGATAGCTTTTTCTCATTTCATCATCATCAAGTCTAGCTAGCCTCTCTTTTTGAGGAGATTTACGGTTAGGCACCTTATTTCTGCCACTTTTGGATGAGCTTCTGAAATCAACCACTTGACCCAAAGTGTACTCTCCTTCGCTTTCCGAGCTGTCTGGCTCGTACTTATTTTTGGAATCGTTATTTTTGAATGACAAAGAGGAAACTGTTAGTCCCTTCTCTTTGTAAATTGCTTCTTGTCTGGACGCAATGCTTTTTTTCCATTGATCAGTGACATTGATATCACGCATATTAACTAATCCTGGGGATACACTCGAGGCCAAGTCATAGTCATCATCATTTTCGTCATCAGTATCAAACAACTTCTTTGGTCTCTCTTGGATTAGCTCAGGGCTTTCAACTTTGAGTTTCACCCTTCCATCTAATTCATCGTTAATATCTTTCTTTTCAACATCACCATGGCTGCTATTATTTGTATTAAACGTGATGTTGTTCAATATCGAAGGAAATTTGAGTGTATTATCAAGAAATGAGAACCAGTTACCAACTGTGTTGGTAGCAGCCGGAGTAGACGAAGACTCGTCATCCGTGTTTCCCTTGAACGTTATGCTGTTAGATTTCTGCAGATCATATTTACTTGGTGAATTTTTCGGCGTCTGCACTGGAGATTGACTAGGAGATCTTGAGCTATTATATCGTTTTTCAAAATTGGAAAACTTGTTGTTAATTTTCCCCATGCCACTACTGGACTCTTCTATGTTCAGCTCTCCTAATTCGGGCAAATTGTCGACTTCGCTTTTTCTCAATTTCTGAGACTTGCCTCTCAAGGAGTTCCCAAACAATTGAGAATCGGAACCCACTGATGATTTCTCCTTCTTACTCATTTGCATTCTTCCTGCACTCTGTGTGCCGATAGGAACTTCGCCTTTTTTCGGGTAGTAAGTCATTTCCAAATAAACCTTACCGGCTTCCCTGCCCTCCCAATAAAGAGTGAACCATCCATCGAACCCTTCGCTAGTACTTCGTTTAAGAGCCGTGCTGTAATCCACTTCACCACAACATATCAATTTGGCGTCATTCTTCTTCTGATGATATGCATTGATATATAGTGTGCGCTCTTCGATGCCGTCTAAGTTGAACCATAGCTCGTCATTGAACGTAGGAGTTTGTCCACCTCTAGAGACGACTTTGGTGGATTCTTCTTGGTCCTGTATACGGATTGTAATAAAAGGCGACTGTTTGTCCATCTTCAGCACATTTCGAAGACCATGTGCCTTGGTAACCACAACAACCAACGTATTATTTCTGATACCCGACGCATATGCACCTTTCTTCCTTTGAGGGTTCCCCTCTGGAGAGAGCTGCGATGTTGTGAACTCCGACATGACTCACAAGTTAGTATCCCTGCTTTGTTTTTCAATAGATTAAGAGCAGACAATGTTCAGTAAACGCCAAAACTGAAACCAAAACAAGTAAATGAACCATGGGAAACATAGAACGGTAAGTAGAAATCAAACACACCTTCGACACGAAAAAATAACTTATCGAGAAACCAGCCACGCGCTATGCCCCTCAAATTTGTAAACATTGGAACATTTTGTTCTATTCATGAAGAGCTGGACCTGTAACGACAGAAATAAATATGTAGAATAACAGGGTAGATATAAACATTCAATAAATAAAGTATAAAGATATTGTAACAAACGATGTAAACAGATAATGCTGGAGTTTGTGAAAAAACACAATAAATACGAAAAAGAACATATAAGTGGGTTTCTAGACAAGGGCTAGCCAACTCATTACCAAAGTGACCATGCTGACCCAATTTGAAGATGTGCCAACGTTGAAAGCTGCAGCAGCACCATTTGAATGAGAAGATGAAGCAATGGAAGAGACTGAGGAGGATGAAACACTGCTGGCGCTCAAAGTTGAAGCAGCTATCTTGCCGCTGTCGTCAGTAGAGGAGACAATTACATCTGCGGTTGCAGAAGCTGGGGCGTCGGAACCGCTCATCTTCAAAATTTCACTGCTGTTTGGCTCGTCAATGGTGTTGTTGAATCTACCGGTCTTGGTGAAATCGTTAGGTAAAGAGTCGTTATCGTAGGTGTAAGTAGAGCCGTCCCAACAGTAGTCGCTGAAACACTTCTTACATTCGGCACCCATTTCGACACCCATTCTTTCCTTTGATCTCTGCAAAATGGCGCATGCAACACACTTAGGGAAATCTTCGTCGATGGTCAAGTTGTTGTAGGTGGAGACGGCGAAACCGTTCTGGATCATACTCAACTTGTCATCGTCGTCATACTTCAGCTTGAACGTAGAAGTATTGGACTCAAAAGTCCAAGGACGGTTGGCAGTATAGACGACCAAAGGTGGGACGTAAGTCGTGTTGACTTCCTTCATCAAGCTCGTAAGGTTGGAAGCGTAACAACCAAAGAAGGTTGGACGTGCGGTCAAGTTGTTGTGCAAGAAGGTGTCGACGCCTGGGACGTATGGGAAAGAGAAGTTCGCCGAAGCGTTGGAGAACTGTCTTTCGTAAGTGTAGACGAGTGAGGAGCCACTTGGCCAGTTCTGGTTGGTGTCTGCGGAGTTGTCGTAGGCAAAGATGACATCAACTTCTCTGTCGTCGGACAAGAGAGGATACAATGGAATATTCTGCTGGTCTTCACCACCGTCAACGAGGTATAGGGTGTCGGCCGACTTGATGGACTTGGAGGACCCGTAAGGGGAGTTATAGAATGGGTTTGGGGTCCAGGGAGCGATGTCGTTGTTGTCGTTGTCCAAGTCGGTCAAGAAGGACTTAGCTGCGGAGTAGGCCAAGCCCGACAAGGAGGTGGTGTTCAACTGTAGCAGGAACTGGTTGAAAAGAGTGGAGGAGGTTCCAAAGACGAACCCGGTGTTGTCCAGGCCGGCCCAGCAGGAGCCGTTGCCGGAGGGCTTCCCGCCGTCCATAGGGGTGCCGACGTACTTTAAGTCAGCAAAGGAGTCGACATAGGGGTCCCAGGAGCCCAACTCGTACGGGTTGAACTCGAAGACGGTGGAGTTCGAGTTGATGATCTTGCGGCCCGGGGTTCTACCGTCGGAGACGATGATCGGGAAGGGCATGGAGTGGTTGGTGAAGACCTCCCAGTCTCTCAAGCTGGTGAAAGTCATGCTCTCGCCGAAGTCGTCGAGGCCGGGGAAGAACTGGTGGGACAAGCCTCTCCCCCAAGGGTCGGTCATGGACACGTTGAAGCCTGCGTCCCGCTTGGCGTCGACGGCGTCCTTGATGTGGTCCCAGTACTTGGCGTCCTTGACGATGTTGATGCCGTACGGGTCGAGCATCTTGTGCTCCAAGTCCCAGATCGCGTTGTCCTGGCCGTTCTGGTCGATGATGTCCTGCACGGACGTCCAGTTGTTGAACACTAGCGACGAGAGGAACCACGAGCCGCCCGAGAGGCCCGACACGTACGACGTGGCGCCCAAGAGCGGCAGCCCGTGCGACGAGGCGCCCACCGTCCTGTTGTCCAGTCCGGCGATCTCCCCAGCGGCACACAGCATTGCCCGGTACCCTCCGCCGGAGAAGCTCAGCCCGATCCGGGGGGCTCTTGCCGACGAGTTCTTGCGCACCTTGTCCAGGAAGTCGTCCGTGTCCAGGTCCGTGAGGTTCACGCTGCTCAAGAACAGCTTCAGGTTGTCGAACGTCACGTTGTCTCTCGCCTGCATCCACTCGTGCTCCTCGTCGCTGATACCGTCTGCCTGTCGGAGAAATCCGACCCTGTTGTCCGCGTCCTTGTCGTCCAGGTAGTCTGGGCACTCCACGATTCCGGGCGCATACGAGTCCGTGGGCGACCATGCGCTGGCCGCCGAGGCCAGCATCACTGCTGCGGGGATTAGCTGTTTCACCATCATCTCTGTCTGCACTAACGAGGGGGTGTGTACGATGTAGAACCACACAACCAAACAAAAACAGCCCTAACTCGAGCCCACCCGCAGAGAGGGCCTTCCGGCGGACGCCCCCGTATATATAATATAATAGATGCGTATATATATAGAATTCAGACGTGTCACACAGAGCCCCGTCACTCGATCCGCACGCCTCCTTCGTGGGCTTCTTCCTTCGGGGGGCTCCCTCTTTCGGGGGCTTCCTCCGCGCCTGCCCCTCAGCTGTCTCGGTGACGGCACCCGGGCCCCTGTTGTTGTTGTGCCCATACCCGTTCGGGCCAGAGAGACGACGTCAAGCCTCCGGACGCACAGCGAAAAAGACCGTTTCTTCCGCTCCGCCCGCTCCGAGCGGTTCGCGCAGACGGGACTCGGGACTCATCCGCGTAAATCCGAAGAAACCGGACCTGGGCCGATCGACTCGGGTCCAGAGTGGCGAGACGATCGACGGCAAAGGTCGATCGACGGCAAAGACGATCGACGGCAAAATTGTTGATCCTGGATCAGGGGCTTCGGTACGGTACAACAGAGGGTTATATACCATTATATACAGGGTGTCGGGCTATGTGCAGGACGGCAGGCGGCAACGGCGGCAACGGCGGCAACGGCGGCAACGGAGAGAAAACAGTAGTGGTGTATATTGGTTGCTTCTATACGTATACAATAAAGTGCAGGGCCGCGAGGCGTGGTGGTGTGCCGGGGTTGGGGTGGATGGGTGTTCGTTCGTGTCTTAGTTGCTGTGGCCGTTGTCGTTGTCGTCGGAGGGGTCGGCGGGGTTCCTGGCGACGTTCTTCTTGTAGTGGAGGCGGACACGGCCCCGCTTGCCGTGTGCAGCGGCGCGGCGCTCAAAGAGCGGGTCGTGGCGGCGGGGGGCGGCGTCCTTGGCGTCCTTTGCGTCGGCGTCCAGCTCCTTGAGCTTGGCCTCCATCTGCGGGTTCTTGTCGAAAATGTACTTGGAGATCTGCAGCTTGGGCCCCACGAGCGAGTCCACGGCGTCGTCGGCCTCGTAGCCGTCGTCCTCGAAGGCCAGGTCCTCGTAGATGTTCACAAGGATCTTCGGGCTCGTCTTCTTCGCCTTGGGCTTGATCGGCGACAGCAGCGGGTTGTACCCCTGGTAGAGCTTGTCCAAGAGCACGTCCCGGGGCTCAAGGTTCACCGTGCTGGGCACCTTGTCCACGTTGCTGAAGCCCCTCCGCAGCTTCGGCGCCGTCCGCTGCTGGCTGCTCACGGGCCTCGGCACGCCGTCCTTGCCCTTCCCGCTCTTCTGTCCGCAGCCGCCCGCCGTCGGGCCAGCCTGCACGCCCGCCTGCTGGTTCTGCTGCTGCTGTATCGTCTTGTGCAGCTGCAGCTTCTGCGTCTTCGCCTGCAGCAGCTTCGTGGCGCTCGACGACGAGCTCGACTGCATCCTCACGTTGATAACAACGGGCTGTGCCGGTCTCCGCAAACGTAGTATCGCTCTCGATCCAAACATGCTGTGTGGTGTCGGTGTGGCTTTGCTGTTGCTGTCTTCTGTGTTTCTGGCCAGTACAACACGCCGGCCGGGCCCCTCCCGTCCTCTTCTTCTTCCTCCCCCTCCTCCTGCTGCCCCTGATAAACGAACCCGCCAGTTCCACCAGAAGGCAAACAAAACGCACCGCACCGCACCGCTGCTGAGCAAGAAAATTTGGCTCTCTACCGGCAACAATGACGCTCGCTATCATCCCGTCGGAGAAACTGATGCTACATGTGGAGCAAAGGAACCTTTCTGAGACCCCTGGTTAGCCACGGGAGTTTGGTAGAGCCCTCCAGTGAAGCTGCTTTGACCAACAACCACCACCACCATGAGACTCACGTTGTCCTCGCTATATGCTGTGACGCTCTCGGTGCTAGTGGCTGGGGCAGAGCCCTCTGCAGGAGAGACGCTGCCACCACAGGGAAACGTCGAGATCTCCTTGGTATCCACATGGACGGAGACGCCGTTCAAGCTCAACGTGCTCGAGGCGGTTGCGTCGATCAACGAGTCCCTCTACGAGCCGCTTGTTCTCAGACTGATGAACATCGAACACGGTGAGAGGGCCGAGGACCTTGTCTACGACGAGGACGCCGATGAGATATCTGACACCGAGTTCTACCGGTACGCATTGTCGTTGCTACCTTCAACAATGGACCAGGCTCTGGCAGACTTGGACATCTCCAACAAGATCATGACTCCGAGAATTCAGGCACACTACCAGTACTACCAGTCGCAGATCAAGGCGGCACACACCTGCGAGGAAGACGTGGTTCTATTCGACTCCTTCGGCGAAGAGTTCTATTGCGATCAGGACGCAGCGTTCATGTTGCGTACTGCAGACTACACGATGATCTTTGAGGATTTCAGCTTCCCCTTCGACCGCTTGATCGGATCCCCATCTAACTCTGCAGTAGTTTACGTCATCTACGGTGACTACAACAGCAAGTATTTCAGAGCCATGTTCTACAACATGTACCACTCGGTGAATGCGAAGAAATTCAACTTGGTGTGGAGATATGTTCCTACCCAAGCTGCCTCCAAAAAGCCTGAAACTCTTTCTGCTTACGGAGTGGCGTTAAACTTGAAAAGAACTGACTACATCGCGATCGACGATAGAGGCTTTTCAGAGGAGCAACAGAAGAATTTGGAGTTTGGTAAGGATGGAAACGCTGATATCCAAGAGCAGGGTGATTTGGACCCATCTGGACTCTTTGACGCCCAATATTCCGACATTCAAGCTGTAAAAGAAGAGGACATCCAAACGCTCGGTCTTAAAGTGACAAAGTTTATCAACGATTCGAAAAACAAACTGTTCGATCTCAGAAAATTATTGGCAGAGTTTCCAAAGTACGCCTACTCTGTGTCACAGCTAGAGTATGCCGACGAAGACCTCATCGATGTAGAGCTCACAGCTGAGGAATCGTATAAGACTTTTATTCCTACAGGTATTTACATCAACAATGCTATTATTGCGGCAGATAAGACCGATCTTTTTGAAATACTGAGAACAATCAAAAGGGAGCTGTCCTTCACAAAGATGTTCGAGACCATCGGACTACCATATGAAACCTCAAAGGATGTAATGATCTATTTTTCAAGGTTAATGTTGGACCTCTTCCAGAGTCCTTCTAGGAGATACGACTTTTCCAAATTTTCGAAAACAATCGTCTACTTGAATGATATCGAGATAGATCAAAGGTACTCCAGTTTTGCTTCAGCGCGGGAAGCTTATCAAAGCAAACCTGCCGCAGGTCAACTTCCACGTGCAAAAGAAAACATCCATGAAATGATCTTTGCTATAGATTTAACCAACCCGGTTCAATTGCAATACCTTTTGACTTTTGCAGAACAAGTCATCTCTCAAAACATCCCCATCAAAATTGGTGTTATTCCATTCTTGGAAACTTCAGCATGGAACGATCGTGCCGTGAGTAAGTTGTTCGGCACCTACCATGAACTCGGTGCGCTTCAAACCTTCAACTACTTAAGAATGTTGAACAGGTTTGTCAATTCTAATGAGCCTTTGACATTACTTTCTTTCAGAGCTTTGGATTTCCCATACTTGGACGACTCTCTTCAATACAGATACACTGACAATTTAGCAAACATCTACTCCACGTTTGGCCTTTCAAAAGAGTATCCTCTGATTATCTCCAACGGAATAATATACAATTTCAACGAAATTGATTCAGCTTTAAACCAGGTCTTTGAAGATATGAGCATCCTTCACGGATCCTTACGTAGCAAGAAGATCCCTGAGAATATGAAACTCTCAACGTTCTTGAAAAAGAATGCTGTTAAGATTAGAAATAGCGCTTTGATTCCTGACACGATCTCCCAGTACAAAGATAAATTTATTCAACCTCCAAGCTTTGTCTCCTTCAAACATTGGCAAACTGTCGATTTCTTGAGAGTGGTGAAGGAGCCATATAGAAATGAAGCACTTGTTACTTTGAACTTGATGGGTTCACTCATGGACCCAGACTATGTCCAGCAAGTTATTGAGCTTTTAAAGTTCTCTTCCAAAGCAAAGGGTGTCAAAATTGTTGTATCAGATATTCATGCGACTACTGCTTTTAAGGAGCTGATCGAATTACCAACTGTCGATGAACAGCTACAGTTCTTGATGAAACTTTCATCTACCAGTATCAATGATGATTTCCAAGTCAGGGATACTCATACAGTCATTAGAGACATGTTCAAAATTAACTACAGACTTACCACAGATATCAAGCTGGTGATTGCTGGAAGAAAAATTCCAGTGGAAAAGATATTAACAAGTGATATCATTTCATCTATAGTACAATTTGAACGCTCATCGCGTCTGACAGGTTTGAAACAATTGTACAAAACTTATGCACCTGATATCACATACAAAGATGCCTTTGATAATTTTGAGCTGTTTTCTTGGATGGTCTCTTACTCATACTTTTTCCCAGCTTCCGAGTATTATCTGGCAGATTCGTTGCCCCGTATATCCACTGAGCTGCTTCCTATAAAGAATAGCATTCATAGTGACGTTGAAAATGAATTGCTCAACGTTAAAATAGTTTTGGATCCTGTTTCAGAAACTGCGCAAGAGCTTGTTTCTTTTATACCTATTTTTGAAAAACTTCCGTTCTTGTCGCTGCATGTTCATCTCAGACCAAATCCATCGATGAAAGAAATACCAGTCAAGAGATTCTACAAGAGTTTGATCAACACATTACCATTAAACGCCGAGAAAAATATTGTCTTTGAAGACGTTCCAGAGAAAACTTTATTTAATGTTGGCTTGAAGACGACACAAAGATGGATGGTGGCAATTAAAGAGGCTTCCACAGACTTGGATAACTTAAAACTTGACCTCACCAATACTTACTCTGCATACGGTGAGTTTATCTTAAGGAATATTCTCCTTGAAGGTTACGCTACATATTTTGAAGGATCTAAGTCGTATCCTCCAGCAGCATTGCCAATTGAACTTATCGGTGAGACAAATTCTGATACCAATATTATGGCCAATTTTGGTTACTTTCAATTGAAGGCCAATCCAGGTATGTGGAAATTGCAAATCAAAGAACGTACCAAAGGTGCCGAAATTTTCAATTTACCTGAGCCTTTAAGCATTGGTATCGTTGATTTGGATGGTACAGTTGTTAGACCGGTATTTGAAAAGAACTGGGGTATGGAAACTGTTAATTTGGTTGAGCCTATTTCTGGTCCTGCAGAGGAAGAAAATTTGTTTACCAGCATATATTTGAAAGGAAAAGAGCTTTTCAATAACTTTTTTACAGAACGGAAACAGCAGGCGGACATAAATATTTTCACGGTGGCTTCAGGACATTTGTATGAAAGATTCTTAGGCATTATGATTTCGTCTGTGATGAAACAAACGACCCACACTGTCAAGTTCTGGTTGATTGAAAACTACATGTCTCCAGACTTTAAAAAGCATTTACCAGTACTCGCAGAACATTATGGATTTGAATACGAGTTAGTCATGTACAACTGGCCAATTTGGTTAGCCGGACAACGTGAAAGACAACGTACAATTTGGGGATACAAAATCTTATTTTTGGATGTTTTATTTCCACAGGATTTAGACAAGATCATTTTCGTTGACTCCGACCAGATCATAAGAACAGATCTGAAGGAGCTAGTAGATGAAGACCTAGAGGGCGCACCTTATGGTTATACCCCAATGTGCGATTCTAGAAAAGAGATGGAAGGGTTTCGTTTTTGGAAAAAAGGCTACTGGGAGACTTTCCTTGGTGATGAGTATAAGTACCATATTAGCGCGCTATATGTTGTCGATTTGATCAGATTTAGACAGATTGCCGCTGGAGATATCCTGAGACATCATTACCAGCAGCTTTCATATGATCCAAACTCCTTGAGCAACTTGGATCAAGATCTTCCAAACAATCTCCAGAGAAATATCCCAATTCATTCGCTTTCTCAAGAATGGCTATGGTGTGAGACCTGGTGCAGTGATGAATCGCTCAAAGACGCCAAGACGATTGATTTGTGCAACAACCCACTTACAAAAGAACCAAAGCTTGATAGAGCCAGAAGGCAGATAAAAGAGTGGACGGAATTGGACAACGAAGTGTCAAATCTTATTGCAGGCAGGAAAAACCAGCCAAACTCAGATTTGGAGCATGATGAGCTTTGATTCCTCTCTTGCGCTTTGCAGCACCTTCACATTATTATGAAATTCTAACTGTTTATAGACGTTTATGCATTCAATGTGTTTTTCACACACTTTTTATTTATTATTTATTATCTATTATTTATTATTTATTATTCATTATTCTTTATTCTTTATTTATTACCTTGATTATACACTATTCGATCTCAAATCAGCGCTTCCTGTGCGAAGACTTTTTTGTCAAAGTGGAAAACACGACTTTCGGGCCCATGCTGATTTCCTTGGTCGCGATAGCTTGTCGGGTCTCGGTAGACCTTCCTCTTCTGTACCTCCGAGGTAACAGTCCTACTCTCGCTTGCATCATAGCATGTTCTTCGGATGTCCAGAAGAGGGTGGTTAAACACGTCGAGTAGCCGGCATCAGCAACTGCTTTTAGAGACCCAAGAAAGCGGTTGTACTGCGAGCAGTCATGATTAGCAGATTAGTCCTACCTACATGCTCGAAACGGTTTTTTGTGAGACAGTTTTGCTCGCATGACCACAACCCCAAAGCAACCAAAGCAGCAACGACGTCGACAGCTACGCTTGAGCTTGCTACAAAACAGCAGCTATACATGCTAGACCCAGCATCTCCAGGATCAGTGTTTTTCTTGCCACATGGAACACGTATATTCAATAAATTGTTAAAGTTCATGAAACTCCAACAAGAAAAACAAGGATTTACTGAAGTTATTTCACCTTTAATATACAAGAAACAACTCTGGGAAACGTCAGGACATTGGGCTAAATATTCGGAAGACATGTTTCGTGTAGAAGGAAATGACAAATCCAAGTCTAATGAGCTGGAAAAGGACGATATTTATGGTTTGAAGCCTATGAATTGTCCGGGCCACTGTGTCATATTTAAACGGTTCAACAGGTCCTACAAGGAATTGCCTATTAGGTTTAGTGATTGGTCAAGTTTGCATCGTAATGAAGCTAGTGGTGCTTTAACGGGATTGACACGTGTCAGAAGGTTCCACCAAGATGATGGACACATATTTTGTACCCATGAACAAGTTGGTGATGAGATTTCTAAAACTATCAAATTGATTAAGATATGTTACTCTGTCTTTGGGTTGGATAACTTCAGAATGATGCTTTCAACGAGGCCCGACAACTACATCGGAACTTTGGAAGACTGGACACGTGCCGAAAGCGAACTTTCTAATGTTTTAGACTCTGAACTAGGGGCTGGAGAATGGTCTTTGAGAGAGGGAGATGGTGCATTCTATGGTCCTAAAATCGATATATTGCTGACTGATCACTTTGGTAAAGAGCATCAAGCAGCAACCATCCAATTGGATTTTCAGCTTCCTCAAAGATTTAAACTTGAATATCAAAACGCTGAAGACAGCTATGATACTCCAATCATGATCCATAGAGCAATTTTTGGGTCAGTAGAACGTTTCATGGCGTTGTTGATTGATCACTACGCAGGTAAATGGCCATTCTGGTTATCTCCAAGACAAGCTGTTGTTATTCCAATTAACGATGCTCATAAAGATTATGCCAGAGAGGTTGTAAAGGTTTTGAGTAACGAGTCTCAAGATTTTGAACATGCAACTAAGTTGAGTCAAAGTAAATTTTACGTTGACTTGGATGATAGAAACGAAACAATCGGTTTCAGAACAAAAGAGGCCATTGGGAAAGGCTACAACTTTATCATACTTGTTGGTGATAAGGAAATTGAAAGCGGGAAGCTGGCTATCAGACCAAGCTACAGTCGTAAAATTGAAAACTTGTCTGTCGATGACACTAGAAACAAATTCAAAGATCTTGAAAATAACTATCATTGAGATGATAAAACTCTGTACATATATAACAACCTATCTGTTTATTTTTATTCCTATAAATACAAATATTAGAGCTAACAAAAGGTGATAAAAAACAAAAAGTAACTTTATCTGATATCTGTATGACTAGCTTTCAATTTATTTATAGACTCCTCAACAATGCTTTTCCTCAAACTTGGTAGGTTTTCAAGAGTGTAGCTCAATTCAAGCTGAGGAAACTTGGAATTTATAATGTCAAAGTCTGCCAAGTTCTGCGGGAGGAACGCTGCATGGTCGCTCATAAACTGGTTCCTTTTTATTGAATCATTTTCTTGTAATGTCTTCAACTCGCTTTCAAAATCGTTGATCAAGTTCTGCACCTTTTTATTCAAAGCACAACGGCGATCTACTTCTAGAACGAGATAGTAATATGAATCAATGAAATCCAAAGAATCTTCAGAGAACTGAATTATATCTTCTTTATAGTCATTTAGTGTGTCAAAGTGGGCCTTGATTTCTCTGGTGATCTTCAGTAGATTATTTTGTACTTGTTTTTCCAATACGTTTGCTGAGAAGTCCTTTATTTCCTTGAAACACTTGATTAGCTTATTTCGGAAATCCTCAAATATGCTAACAAACTTTTCAATGTCTTTACAATTCTGGGAAATGATATCACAATTACTCTGTAGAATGTCCATTGATGCTGCTTTTTGGGCGCTCTGCTTCTGCATCAAGTCATAGAACGCATCATTCTTACTATTTTGCAATTCGTAATTGATGCAATTGTCCAAGTGAGTGTTCAAATCTTTCAAGATATCGATGATTTCGGCCTCTAGCTCGGTATTGTTTTTTACTAGGCCATCAAGCTCCTTCTCATTTTCTTTTCTGATGAAATACTTTTGGTAAAACGAGTTTATGGATTCCCACTCATTGTATAGATAATTAGATTCATTTTGAAATCTGACAATAATGTTTTCCATTATTTTAGAGTCCACTAGGCTATCAATGAGCACAAAATGGTTATCCATCTTGCTTATTATATCACTGATATGGTCATTATTTATATAGTCGTATAACGTTCTATTTTCGTTGCAATTTTTAGTGACACAAAGAGACGGGTCCACCTTTATAGATTTCATCTGGTCGTAGATTTTTTCAAGTCTATTAATCTTTTGCTTAGATTCAACAAAATACAGAGACTTTTTCCGTGAAACGTCTGATATGCATAATGAAACTGATCTTTTTAGTGACTCAAATATTCTCAAATGATTTCGTAAAGATTTGACAATAAAAGAGAGTTCTAGTGTCAGCTTCTCCTTCCTAGCAAGCTGATCAAACGAGTCTGCCAGGTTTTGGTTTGCCACAAAGCAAATCCTTTTAGCCTCGTTTAATTTAATGATGGCATCATTTTTTATGGTGCCAATAGTTTGCATAGTATCAGCAATAATATTGGTAATCAGTGATTTACCAATTGGCTGTGGAATTGCTAATATGGTGTGGATACCTCAGCTTGATCATGAGGCAATGCAAGTCTAGGTTGGTTGACAATGCCAGGGCGCTCTTACTTTGTGAGATAAGATAGTGAGATTTGCACACCCTCAAGACGCACACTGTCGGAGATTTTTTGTTTTGTTTTGTTTTGATCTCAATTCAATTGAGAGTACTTTATCAGTAAGTTTGCGACGAGGGCAAAGGGTGGGCTTGTTAATGTGACAACACTTCATACATATTTACGAATACAAAAATATGGTTTCTATACAACCTGGACATTATAAGTTGAAGAGGAACACGACGTTATTGAAAAAATAATAAAACAGTTGGTAAAAAGGTAAACGAGGGAAGGTCTACACACAGCTTTGGAAAGAGGTGTGTAGATAAACAATTGGTATCAAAAAATTACCTGAAGAAATGTGATTTGAACGAAGCTTAAGATTGGAAGATTAAGCAGTGCCCCATTCTGGTGTACCCCAGGTTCTGAAAGAAAGATCATCACCAAGAGAGTTGAAGAAGTCTCCGATATAGTTGTCAGGACCATAAATTCCGCTATCATAGAGTTCGAAGTTGTCCAAGATGTCGCTAATGAAAGGCTTACTTGCGTAAACCAAGTTGACAACTGATGCGGTGATACCACCCTGGTAGACGTCGTCGAAGAATTCAACAGTCTTGTTTCCAGCGTAGTCGTTGGAGTAGGTGAAGTCAGAGGCGGTTCTCATAACGACGATTCTGCTAAAGTCAACTAAACCATACATTGCAGCTCTGATGAGAGCTTCCAAACTTGCGTTGTCTTCTTGTTGGGTTGTGCAGTAGGTACCAGTACCATTTGTGATCAAAGAAGTGTAATTGGCAAAAGTTTGGTCCAAAAGCTCACCGAACCAATATGTGTCACCTGTCAAGGTGTCGCAAGCAATTGCCTTTGGAGGTTTGTTGGCAGGGGAGTAGTTATAGGTGGATCTGAACTCTTCGTTAGTGGCACTACCGTTGAAAAGGAAGGCACCTTGTGCTAAGGATAGAGCACGGTCTCTTAAGTTTGCGTTCAACTCAAACACTTCTGTGCCATAGATATTTTCAGGATACTGGCCAGGTTCTTCGGAACCCAAGGCAAAGTAGCCTGTGGTCCAGTTGGAAGGAAGGTCTCTTGCGTCGACTTCGTACTCAAGAATTTGGACGGCAAATCTAGCGAAGGTAACATCACCGATGGTACCTTGCAATGGGGAGATTCCAGCAATACCGGCAATCAAGAAGAAGGTAGAGCTCAAGTCGAAGAGTGGAGACAAAGCGAAAGCGGTCAAACTGGAAGCAGCGTTAATTTCACCTTCACCGACGGTCAATTGGCAGAGCTCGTAGTTTGCGTCACAATGGATCTCACTATAGATTGGAGACAAGCCTGGAAGAGTGATGTGGTGGACAAACTCGTAACTGAGATGGAATGGCTCCTCTTCCAAGGAGAACATGTTCACGATGACGACCTTAGGAGTGTACAGCTTATTCTCTTCATAGACGGTCTGGTTGAGGCCAGCGGTCTTGACTGGAGCAGAAGGCTGGGAGACGCTGGCAGAGGCGACCGTTGCGGTAGATGCATACGATGGCTTGTAAAGCAAGCTAGAGGAAGGGAAGAGGGCACCATTTGCGGTGGCGGCGATACTCAAGGCAGCCAAGACGGTCTTGAAGTTCATGGTGGATGTCCTTGTGTGGAGGTCGAGCGAGTGCGATGTTTGTAGAAAGGAGGGAGAGAGAGGGAGGAAGAAGAGCTCAATAATCAAAAGCCCAGCTAGAAAGAAGAGAAAAAGGACGATGAGAAGAAGCTTAAGAATGAGACGGGAGGATACTAGGCCGCTGGACAGCAAAGTGTTTCCACGAGAGAGAGAAAGAGAGAAAGAGATTTCGGAATTGAGACGAAGAAACGCTAAGCAGCGGTTCGAAATTACGCAATTTATTGGAACAATAGAGCCTGTGTATCGTCTCTCCCTCTCTGTGCACGACACCTCGGCGGCAAAGCGCTCTGGGGGCCCGGTAGGCAGCAGCAGAGTCCAGAAGATAAGCAAGAAGGGTAAACGCAGCCGAAAATAGACAAGAGAGCAATAAGCTTCGCTGCTGCCGCCCGAAGACGACACCACTGCATCCTCGATGGCATTGTCTCGCTCCGGTCCCGCTAGGCATGCCCTCTTCCGTCTGGGCCGTCTGGAGTCTCTTTCTGCCGTCTGTCTCTGCTCCGCCCGTCTTGCGAGCTCAACAACGGCCCGGTCCGTATCAGCATTATCGCCCAATCAGGTAAAAGTCCCAATCAGGAAGTGCGCACCTTCCGAAAACAGTCCCGGCGTCGAAAGATCGGCCTAGGGCTCTCTGCCGTGTCCGTGTCCGTGTCCGTGTCCGTCTCTGTGCCGCCTCGAGCGGTAGGGAGCGGCAGGCCTTCTCAGGTAAGTTTGATCTTGTTGGGTGTAGTTGTCTGTTGGTTGTATGTTCCCGTTGGAACAAAGGGCAGCAGGGGCGCATGTCCGCCGCATCGGGCAGGCAAGCCGGCAACCGAGGGTTTTTCAGTTTTTTCTTGCCGACGCGTCGATGCGATGTAGTCGACGCGTCGGCGCGAGGTATGCCAAATCGAAGCGGCTTCCACATTCTGGCCACCACCATGAAAATCCGATCCAGATGTTGCAGAAAGGGCCCTGGGCATATGTCCTTCTGCTAAAGACCTCCGGTTCTCGTGTGCGGAAGGACAGCTCAGCGGTATCAGCATCAGCATCTCCGCGGCCATGGCAGAAGCAGAGTTTCAGTTCCGCAGTGCCTTGGAGGACTATGAGAGCAAGAACTATAAAAAGGCCCTCGTCGGGGTCGACAGGATTTTGAAGAAGAACCCAATGCACAGCCAGACGTATGCGTTGAAGGCGCTCATCCTTGCGTTCTATCATCCGTCCAACCAGGCGAACAAGGATGTGAATGCCCTTGTGTCGCTCTCCAGCGCTACGATGCAGGAGTGCGATTCGTTGATCAACACTGCGGTCAAGTACGGTCCGGCCAACTCGGTCTCGGCGCACTTGTCCGCGTTGTACTACCGCCAGATCAAGAACTACGAGAAGGCAGCCCACTTCTACACCATTACGATCTCCAACAACCCGGGAAACAAGGCCGTGCTCAGAGATCTTTCTTCGTGCTTGTCCCAGCTGCGCACGTACAAGTCGCTAGCGAAAACCCGCTTTGACTACCTCCAGGCTGAGCCGGGCTACCGGGCTAATTACACTTCCACAGCAGTCGCGTACGATCTCAACAAAGATTATGCGGGAGCCATCAAGATCTGCGACCAGGTCGAAGATCTCATCAAGGACAAGCTAATTGACGACGACTTGGTTGAAAACTCCGAGTGCATCATCTACAAGGTCACCTTGCTTGTCAAACTTGGTGAAACAGAAAAAGCACAGGAGCTTATCGACAGCGAGTTGCAGAGTACCAAAAAGTTCAGGTGTTTAGACGTCGAAGGCCTCTTGAACCTCAAGTACCACCTCTTAATAAACCTCAATAAGCTCAGCGAAGCTCAACTAGTCATCAGAACCCTTCTCAAAAGAAACCCAGACAACATTATATACTACAAAGACCTAGTCAAATGCCTGAAGATCGAAGATGACGATGAGCTTAAGGTAAAGCTTTTTGCCAAATTGGCAAAGTTTTACCCTAAATCCGACCTCCCACGTTTCTTACCGCTCACCTTCCTCAAAGGTGAGAAGTTTGCATCTCATTTGAAGCCTTACCTAGCCAGCTTGTTCAGACGCGGTGTGCCTTCTATCTTTTCTAACATCAAGCCCTTGTACAAAAAACACGCGAACCGGGCTGTGATCTTGGAAACAGTCCAATCTTTTGAAAAGGAAGAAAAGAACCCATTGATCCTTACCTGGATTAAGTACTTCATTTCCCAGCACTTTTACAAGTTGAAAGACTATAATACCGCTCTTGTCAAAATTAACGATGCCATCAAGGTCACTCCAACCCTCATCGAACTATATATGTTCAAAGCAAGAATCTTGAAACACCAAGGCAAATTGATAGAAGCCGCCACTGAAATTAATACTGCAAGATCCATGGACCTTCAGGATAGGTTTGTCAATAGTAAAACAGTCAAGTACTACTTGCGGGCTGATCTCATTGACGAGGCACTAGACACAGCTACGCTTTTCACCAAGAATGATGATGAACCAACTGGTTTAAAAGATTTGCATATGTTGCAATGCTGTTGGTTCATCGCCGAATACGCAGAGTCTTTGACCAGACTTTTCAAAAAAAAACTTTCCCAATTCAAAGAACTTAAAGAGAAGCCAAACGAGGATGACACAGAAGCAGAAAATATCCACTTAATTCAAAGACAGATTGAGGCATATTTGGGACTTTCCCTACAGCGTTATTTTTCTATTTTCTCCATTTACGCTGAGTACTACGAAGATCAATTTGACTTCCATTTCTTTGCCTTCCGTAAAGGTACTGCACGGACATATCTTGAAATGATCAAGTGGGCCGACGAATTATACCATCAAGCCTTTATTGGTCGTGTTTATTCCGATTTGATGTCATTGATCGCATTTAGCGTTGAGAATAGGACTGTTCTTGCTGAAGCTCTAGATCTTACAGGCTTCAACAACGGGAAAAGGTCTAAGAAGGAGAAAAAAGATGAGGTGAAGTGGAAGGATCATATGATCAATTATAACAAAGTCTATGACTCAGATGTATTCGGCCATGAACTTGTTGAATCTATTGTACAAAAGCATGACTTCTCCAAGCTCGACATTATTGAAAAGATCATTGCTAGAAAGGATGGTGAGCATGGTAAGCCTGAAACCCTTGATTTTTTGAGTGGTGAATTCGAGTATGAGTTTATTTCAGGAAAGTATGTCGTTGCATTGGCCTCCATAAGGAAGGTCAAAGCATTGACTGTTCTCAATAATGAGGAGGGCGAAAAGGCAAAGGCTCTTTTTGCTGATATGATTGCCCAGGTCAATCGCTTTTTGGAAACCCCTAGTACGGATCCAAAAATTGCCTCTTTGCAAAAGGTTGTTAAACTTGGACTGACCAGAATCTAGACATTTCGTTTGTGTATAAACATATAAATGTTGTTCACATACCTGTATAAACAAGAATTTTTTTTGCATACAACTGCAACTACAGTGCATCTTTTCGTTTGCTAGTTCGAATTAATTTACAAAGCTGCATTAAACTATAAGCTTCCGACTCTGTGGCATTCTTCCAAAAAGTGTCTAATTTGTTCGGGGTCCATGAATGGATGAGTTCCATGACCAAAGTTAACAATGTAGTTCTTCTTACCACCGCCAAAGCCTTTGATCATTTTCTCCACTTCTTGCGTGATGACTTCCTTGTTACCATACATCACACATGGGTCCAAATTGCCTTGTAAAGTTACACGACCATTATTGGTCTTGACTGCGTCGGATGGTCTGTATAGCCAATCAAGTGACACTACATCGTATCCGCTGTCGCACAATTTGTCTAGTGCGTACCATGATCCTTTGGCGAATACAGTCATTGGAACCTTATCAAGACTCAATTCCTTCAACCTTAATGGAACTTTCTCCACTATCTGCTTCAAGTATGGTAGCGAGAATGTTTCAAAATCATCAGCGCTTAATTCTCCTCCCCAGCTATCAAAGACTTGCAACATTTGGGCACCCGCCTGGACTTGCAACGCTAGGAACTCGACTGCAACATCCGTAATAGCTTGCAATAGTTTCTTGCTTTCGTTAGGGTACTTGAATATCCACTCTTTAACAAACCTGAAAATCTTGGTACCGCCACCCTCGATCATATAGCACATCAAGGTCCATGGCGCACCGCAAAACCCTAGCAAAGGCACTCTACCGTTCAATTTATGTCTGGTCAGAGTGATCGCCTTGAAAGCCCAATCAAGTTCCTTACGCACATCTGCATTGAAGTTTACTCTGTTCAAGTCTTCCGGAACCCTTAAAGGATCAGTAAATCTTGGGCCAACCTTGTCAACCATTTGGACATCCATCCCCATCGCCTGTGGGATGACCAAGATATCGGAAAAGATGATAGCCGCATCGATTAGACCTTCAAAGTGATCCACTGGTTGTATTGTGATGGCACTGGCAATTTCAGCATCTCTGCAAGTTTCGAAAAAATCCCTGCCACCTTTAACTTCGTGATATTCAGGGAGGTATCTTCCTGCCTGGCGCATCAACCAACAAGGAGGTCTTTCGACCTTCTCGCCACGTGCAACCCTAAGAATTAAATCATTTTTCAACTCAGGAAAAGACATCTTTGCTGGTCCAAAAATTTCGTAGCTCGATACTTGCCCAAATCGCCACAATCCCTCAAGCTGTTCTTCATGTCAATTCATTTCATGTTACCTCATCTTCCCTTCCCTCAAGATCTTCACTTCGAAGACGAAAAGTTCAAATTTCAAAGCGAGATAAGTTTTTACGCCGATCGGCCCAAAAGAAGGATAGGTGAGGATATCTATCTAACATAATCTTTTGGGCTGCTATCTCTCTTTAACCACAGGGCTTGATGCTCCGGATTAGACTTGAACTTAGTCTTGACGCTGAAAATACTCAAAAAAATCTGGTTGGGCCACCTAACACCTTGAAACTAGAACTATGAAGTCACTTGGGGCTTTTTTCTCGAACCTTTTCAGGTTCCGGAAAACCTCATTGTCATTTTTCGTTATAGTAACCTTTTTGGCTACGATAATCTTACAAGAGGTAGCCGTATCGCTATCTTTGACGCCACCAAAGGATGAACCGGCGATTCTAGCAGATGCATGGAAACATCTCCAGATACTATCGTCCACGATGCATCCATTTACGTCTGCAGAAAATGACGCCCTGCACGATTATTTAGGCTCAGTGATCGACACTGTCACAGAGGGTGTGCCATACATGAAGACATCATATGACAAAAATGAAAACCATACTATCCTCATCAACCAGCATGACGTTTTCAATAAAAGCAATAATGACTGTCGAGTAATATATTACGAGTCCTCCAATATTCTCGTCAAAATTGAAGGCTCGGAGCCCAAACTACCGGGCATATTAGTTTCGGCTCATTACGATTCGGTTCCAACATCGTTTGGTACTACAGATGATGGGATGGGTATTGCATCAATGCTTGGAATTTTGAAGCATTTTGCTGAATCAGAATCACAACCTCTAAGAACTTTAATTCTTAATTTTAACAACAACGAAGAATTCGGCCTTTTGGGCGCCGAAGCTTTTGCTCAGCACAAATGGTTTCCAGATGTCAGCTTTTTCATCAATTTGGAAGGCACAGGCGCTGGGGGACAGCCAATTCTTTTCCGTGGCACTGATAAAACTGTGATCGATTGGTATCATAGCGCTTCGACCCCCTATGCAAACTCCATTTTCCAAGAAGGATTCAATTCTGGTTTTATAAGTTCTCAAACAGACTATCATGTTTATGAAAGATCAGGTCTACGTGGTATTGATATTGCTTTTTATCACCCTAGATCATTCTATCATACTTTCAAAGATAGTGTGAAATACACGTCCAAGGGCTCCTTGTGGATGATGATGTCCAATGTACTGGACATTTTGCTCGATGTCACCTATTCGTCAGAGAGTTATGACTCAGACCTAGAATACTCAGTTTATTTCGATATTTTGAACATTTGGTTTTTTAACTTCAGCTTGAATCTCAACTTTGTTGTCAATGTTATATTATTGGTATTGGTGCCATCTATCAACATCATACTCCTCCTCATTGTGTTCAAGAGAAATACATGGTTTATAGGTTTAAAAGGTTGGTCACGTTTTCCAATCACTTTGATTGCATGTTATTACTCTACTTTGTTTGTTAGTAAACAGTTGTACAACCTGAACCCCTTGTTGATATCTGTCAATTTTTATTATCCATCAATGTCCCTGTTCAGTATTACCATTTTGATTGGATACTTGATACTAAAGGCTAGTGCGTACTTCCGGCCAGTACATGACCAAAAACTTGTGGTATTGCTAGAACTCAATTTACTTTCATGGCTCTCTTTGGTCTGGATAACTTATAAGATCAAGGGGTACAAAAATATGGGTGGTTATTTGTTGACGTTATTTTATGTGTTGACATCACTAGCATCATTTTGGGGTTTGGTTGGATTGAGTTTCCGCAAGTCACCATGCTATCAGCCTAACAAAACAGTGATTGTCTACAATTCAACGAATCAATCTCAGGATGGAAATGATAGAAATAGTAATGACCAACCTGTGCATCATGATAATGGATCTGAACCTGCTCCACATATCCACGATATTAACGGGGAAGGATCTGATACCGAACAAGGAGATGATAACGAGTCAACTCCATTGATGAATGGTACCTCTGTGGTAATTAATCATGAAACTCAGGACTCGTTCATGCATAAGGTGAAGCACAATGCAATTAACTCCTTGCAGTATGATTGGCTAATCCAGTTTATCACCTTGATTCCTTTGTCCATCTTTTTTATCTACTCCGATGGTAGGCTAGTCTTGGAGGCTTTACATGAAACAGTGCAGGAAAATAAGCTATATGATGATGCAATTTGGAAACTTGTTGCACTTTTGTCCACATCATTGGCTGCGATACTAATGCCATTCATTCACAAAATGAATATGATAACTGTCCAACTGATTCTATTGTTGCTTGCGTACGGACTATTTGAGTCGTATTTCTCTCCGTCATACAATGAGTCAACGCCTTTAAAGTTACGTTTTGTTGAGATGTTTGATGTCAATTCGAACAGCTGTCTTGCAAGTGTTTATGGTAGGCAAGGTTTCATTCCTCAAATACTAAGTGAGGTTCCTTACCTTGACCCGAAAAATGTTAGCTGCTCTAAGAATGAATGGGCGGGAACAGAGATCTGTTCGTATGAGGGAAACAGACCATGGTTGGTGTCGGGTAAGTTGGAAGACAACCAGTATGACCAATACTTAAATGTGACAGTCTTGTCGAATACAAACACATTCCGTGATGTCTCAGACGAAGCAGCTGATAAATTCACGCCGGTTGAGAGTGTGTTAGAGGTTGAAGTGCGTGGAACACGTCAGTGTTACTTCACGTTCAACACTACAAGTACCAGCTTCAAAGCGCCTGTAAAAATGATCACAGTGTACCAAGATGGTAACAGTCTGACTGAAGAGGATATTTGGTCAAACGCCAGTCTGGATGTGGATTCGGAAGATAAGAAAGAGGCTGCCATACCAAACGGCATGAGTAGAGATAGCAAAGGAAATTGGATATACAAGGAAATGAAGGGCATTGACTTGTTACAGTTACACAAGCTACAGTGGGCTAATGAAGGATCTAACAAAAACAGGTTCACAGTCAAATTTCAGTGGCTGCCGTTTCACTACGATAGTGATATCGAGCTGATAACCAATTTGGGCGTCAACGTCCAGTGTCACTGGTCGGGCTTTGACGACGTTGTTAACGTCAACGGTGAGAACCACGACAAAGTGCAAGAATACGTCGACTTAATGACATATACGGATGTTGGCGTCGCCTGGACCAACTTTCGTCCTGGTGTGGTACAAGGTAACGCGTACTTGGAGCTTTAAGCTGTAATCTTGGATTGTATCTGTATGCCAATTTTTGTGCATAATGGGTGAATTCACCGATATGTAACAGGTAGTAAACAAATAAAAAAAATAAGCGATATTACGTAACTTGATAACAAACTTTTTTTATTTTTTTTTACGAAAAACGCGGACCGGTCCGCCGGCGATGTCCGAAAGAATCTATGCAGCCGGTTCTTTCTGTGAATACGGGATGTTGGAGATCGGCAGAATGCTGAAAGGCTAGGAGAAAGAGGTCTTTCTAAATTTTTGGCAAGCCATTCCGAAAGCTGCTGTCACAGCTTCTGGTTCTGTAGAAGGATTATCTGATTCCCCCTCTTTGGTTTGTTGTGTGCCTGGAAGAGATTAGATTCGGTTTGTGTATTGCAAAATACTCAAAAAAGCCAAGGGGAACCATGTCTGTCGAACAAAATCTGCCTGACGAGGATACAACGGACCTTAATTCCAGTGATTCCGGGGGAAGAAAAAGACAATTGGATGATCTGGCTTCTACATCGATGTCTCAGACCGATTTTGCGGACAAATTCAGAAGACTAAGGGCATGTGCAAGATGTCATCGTCTTAAAATGAGATGCGTGTTTGAAGATCCTAGTTTTGAAAGCTGCACAAGATGCTTCAAAGCCGGTTTACAATGTTCTGCCACCGATGACCCAACCCAATCACAGGCAAAGCGAAAACCAAGGAAGAGATCCAAGTTGAAGGGAGACGGACCGTTGGCACAACTCCAACAAGCTATCAATGAGTCCAACAAGCTTTTTCAGGCCATTCAGCGTAATGAGTATCATGATTCTGAAAACATCAACTTAGAAAATTTGTTGACCCTACAATTTCAGCTCAGCGAGACTCAGCGTTTGATTCTTCATGCTGTCAAAACCCAAAAGGGCAGGAATAATGAGCCAAATGATAGTACTAAATCGGATTCTGCGAGAGCAGAAGCAAGTTCTGTCAATTCTATGAAGGAAGGAGTGGTTAAGGCTATCCCAAATCTACCATGGATATCTCATGAGCAGAATGTAATAAAGGAGTTGATTAGGCTAAACATAATCTCAACGGAAGAAGCAAAATCACGACTTGCTTATTTTTTCAATGACCTTTACGTTTACTGGCCTTGCGTCTCATTTCCAAAACATTACACTTATGACTGGCTACTCGAAAACGAACCTTTGGTATTGTTGTCACTTATAACTGTAACTTGTTTGAACGATCCAGATTTGCATGACACCTTGCTATATTATCTAGAGGAAAATTTATCAATAAGAACCTCCATAACGGGAAATATATCTGTCAGCTTTATCCAGATTTATCTTGTTCTTTCATTGTGGTGCTCGCCGCCTAGAAAGTGGGGATCATACAAGCATCAAATGAGTTTATTGATGGCTCTCAATTTAACTCTTTGTCTTGACCTGGGAAATGAGGTTTATAAAAATACGTCAAAAATTCTAAGCGATAATTCCTCAGAAAGACAAATGATTAGATCTTACATGGCAGTGTATTCATGTTGTGGTTCACTTGGTTTGTCTTTGCCAAGGTTTAAAGTTGTCAGCTGGACACCAGTTCATGAACGTTGCTGTCAGCTGCTTTTAATGGGTGAAAGCAATGATGCTGATAAATTTATCTATTTTTATTCCAAATTGGTAGCACTGGGAGAAGAAATTTTCCAATTTTTGTGTCCAAACGGCTTTCCGAATGTTTCTGTTCGTAAAGGAGGCTCGGTTGGATTTACTGCTGAAAGTGACACAACCATAAATAACGGCATGTTGAGAAATATTATGGTAAATTACGAGAAGAGGATGCAAAAGCTTGCTATGGAATCTAATCTTTTCAATTCATCCTCTAAAATGAGGAACCTCTTGTCTATTATCTATTACCAATTGTTGATGACCATGTATGATTATATTGTTTGTCGTGTGCTTCTTAGGCGTGATGTTTTAACTGAGGTATATTTGCAAACACTTAATCGCCTGATTAAGGCAAGTGAAAAGGTCATTGATTCATTCATCCTCCTGTGTGATCAAACCTCCAATTTTCCGACCTTTTTTTATTATAGACCAATGCATGCTTTGGTGGCATTGATTAGAGCACGTCTTTTGGTGAAAACTCAACAATTAGATTTTGAAGTTGACGTTGAGCAAGAATACGAAAAAGTTTCAGAAAGCATTAAGAAAATATCAAAAGATTCAAAAGTTGCAAACAAAATGAGCGCTATTTTGACAAGAATCTCGAAATGGATGAAGGTCTCTAGTAAGTTCAACAAAAATGGCGCAACCAATTCTATGGTAGATTTGCTAAATGAGTTAGGCAAAGAGAAAGCTATCGAGAAAATTAAAATTAACGTTACGACTCAAAATGATGGTGGTGATAACCAGAATATGTCTAGTGATTCTCGTATACAGTTCAACAATTTTATCAATTACGGTATTGATAATATGAAGAATCAAGAGACAGATTCGACTATAAATGCAATACCAATGAGAAAAGCCAAAGTGGAATCTCCCGAGGAAAGATCGAACTCCGTATTTGTGCCTTCACCAATAGGATATTCACATTCTGATATAATGGATGGGCTGCAGCAAGGCCAACCCCAATTGCAAATACCTCAATCTCAATCTCACTTGACCCCTATTTCACAAACGGTTAAAGATTCCCCTCAAGATCAAAATATGCAAAAGCTACCAAATCAATTGCACAAAGATTTGACAGCACTTTATGGCAATTCACACTCTAGTCCAGCTGCAAATGTGACTTCAGATGCTGAAAATATGACAGCTGCTGCTCAACAGTTAAGTCAAATGCTACGTAGCAAAACCCCTAGTCTGAGCGAAGCTAGCACAGGCACCTTTCTGCTTCCTCGTGCTTTATCCATACCTCCAAATGAAGCTGACGACATTCAAACTGTGAAGTACAATGTTGATGAATCAAGCTCTCAGGAAGGAACTGGCCCCCATGGAAAGCAGCTACAACAGCAAGAACAAGAGTTTTTGAACGATATTTTCTCCCAGATTGACACAGACATTATGAACTCCGAGGGTTCCAGCTCGGCAAATGGGCTGGGTGTAGCACCAATGTTTGATTTTTTGGGCACATGTGGGTTTCAAACAAATTTTCCAGGTGGTGATTTACCTATCCCAGAGGATTGGTACAAAAGCTTGTAAACCAGTATTAACACATTCCATTCATTTTCTTACGCTTTATGTTTTTTCGCTTTCACAATTCTTTTACACTTTTTTTACTTACTTTGGGTTTTAGGTATTCCGTGATGCTCACCGAAGCAATCTTTCACTTTTGTTTAAATTTTTAATTATATAGCTTTAAAATATAACTGAGGATTTAACCAAGTGAACTCGGCCGAATTTTTTCTCATCTAACGAAGAATATCTTTCATCCACCGTTCACTATTTTTTACTACTCTGAACGTGCTGTCTGCAAAGTCTTCAATCAACTGCAAGGTATCTTTCTCATCTTTGAATACAGCAAATCTATCTTGAGTTGAAGTGACATAAAAGCTCCTAGACCTCTTATATTCAGGAATGTCCCTGTAGGTATCGGGGTGGAGTGACACTATCTCACTGATCACATCCTTTATCAAGCTTCTGCTATTCTCCTCTTTTCTTAGAATAGGATCCACTAGTCTCCGAGGGTTGATTCTCCGATCTTTGATTCCTCTTTTTTCCGTAAAAAAAGGGGGTTCATACTTTTCTTTTACTATAAATTGCTTTACTTCGCCTGTATTCCACCATTGAGTTTCCATAGTGCTATCTTTTCGCTTAATCAATGTTTTATCTCATCACCTCTTCCCTCAAAAGCAGAATTCGAACAACACCAAGTGCCCCGATTGTCTAGAAAAAGGGGAAACGCACAGCCCATTTTTGCAATCTTCAACCGCTACATACCCATTGTATAAAAAATAAACGGTCGGTATGGCTGAGTACTGAATACTAAAACTCGCAGTATGGAAAGGGGTTTAGCCTTAATAAAGAGAATAAAAGCACGCAGTTGAGTCTACCATGAATATAGTTACTCTTCTCCATTTAGAGGATGGAAAGCTTCTGAAGACCAGTGAGGAGTAGATTCTTATGCTTTGAGCTCGGCTCTCGCTCCGGCCAACTGGTTAAAGTTATAGAGCCAGAATTAGCTTTTTTAGGTGATGAGGCTGGTCTCCTCTGTTTGTCAACATGTTTACCAGACAACCATACTATATGTGAGGCGTTTGCGTGATATTGCATGGCAACTACTCCTCCCCCTAAAAGTGTCGCTTGAAAAGATGCATATCTGTGCTTGAAACATAGACAACCAGGTTCTGGAAATTGTCCGGCATATTAAAAGCGCGGCTGAATTATCGAATTTCTCTTTTCAGAGAGGTGACACAATGCTGAAACATGCTTTCCTCTTGTTTGAAACCCGTTTCATCTAGCTAGTATGCCGATCGGGCAGAAGTGTGTTTACTTTGCGAATTCCAAAAGTTGACGTTCTTCCCTTACAGGAGACTGAGAACGTCCGGGTGACAGGGTTTTATGATTCCCTATGGGGGAGTGGTGTAGAAGCAGTTCTCCCCTCTACTTCCTCCACCTTGCAAAGGGAGGAAGGTAGTAAGAATGTAGTCTTTTCCTTCTTTCTGGTTTGCTTTCCTTTCTTTTCTGTCTTGGCATCTTTGAGAGACATCAAAAAAAAACCGAGGTTCCAGATTAGTACTCAGCAGCAGGAATTAATTTTATTACTTTATTTCTACATTGAATTAACTCGAACTCACTTTCTTCTAATTTATATAGCCTACAGACTGATCTTCTATTGATGGATAAGATGGAGACTGTCGGAATATCATTATACAACGATTATTGCACCTCTGACGTCCAAGGTTCGCCTGTGACTATGTCTTCAAACACTTCCGTCACAGAGCCCTTACAGATAAGCCCACCCAGCCGCAAAGCAGCCTTATTCGAAACCCCTAAAATGCAGCAACCGCAGCAGTTCAACTTCACGTATGATACAGACAATAACTATCAGAGAACGGAGGTAGAGAATGCGGCACAGTCTGCAGCGCTCAGGGAGAAACTAATACATGCATTCAGGCTTAATAGAAAGAAGCAATTGACGTTAGAACGGATAAATAAATACAACATGAAGCTCATGGAGGAGCTAAAGACCCCAAGGATAAAAGCGTCGAATTGTGCACTCATGGTTATCGACTTCACCGAGCAACACAACGACCCTTTACTACCTGAAATTTGGGGAGCTCCTGAGCACAATCCTTTTAGAGATTCGGTCAATGTGAAAAGCCCACAGAGTGCTACGCAATTGCAATTCAAGCATTCCAATACTCCTAGGAATGGGAAGCACTACCATAGTGATGGTAACAATGGCAAGACAGACTCAGAAGGTTGCTGTATAATTATGTAGTAAATTCGCAATCTTTGCGGGGCTTAGTTTATAACGGGGATGGAAAAAAAAGACAATATAAGAAAGATAAAGGAAAAGGGAAAGAGAACAACATTAATAATTGTTTAATATCCAGTGAATGTTCTCTCTTTCCTTGACTGGAATAGAAACATCGTCCAACATTACTTTAATTTGCGTAAGCGTGATAAACTTCATTTTTGGGTAGATAGGATCCACCTCTATTTTCAGATCGTCCAATTTTTGTAGACTAACATACAGTCCACACCAGGCTCGTACGTATCCGGAGCATAGTTCGATGGAGTGAGCGAATGAGGCGATTGCAGAATAAAGCCAGGACCTCACGCTGGCTGCGTCGCCGTTTTCGGCAGCAATGCATTTCCCCTGCAACATGCAGAGCTCTGCTCTGTAACTCCAGACGTTCCATGCGCCAGAACATCCAATGATCAAGCACTCGCCAACACACCAAAGTGCTTCCTTTATCTTACCGTTCGAGAGATAAACGTGGGAGAGTTCGATGTATGTTTCTGCATCGAGGGGTCTCATTTTCAAGAGCTCCGAAAGCGCCTCGATGGACTCATTGGCGACAATGGCAGGGTTTATCATGATCTTGTTCTCCTTGTCTACACTAATTCCCTTTGCGAGGTCGGCGATGTTCTTGTCTAGACCCGCTTTCCTCTTGTGCAAGGCAAACAAGTCGTCCGCAGCACGCATTGAATCTGCTCCGGAGCTGGTGACGCTCAGTGCGGCGGACCTGTTCACTGAACTGATCACCACTTCGGCGGACTTGTCGATGTACGAGGTGACTGCGTTCTTCACAATGGCAAGATGGTCGAAGGGGGACCTGGTTCTCTTTTTCTCCTTTTCCTTCTCTTTCTCACCCGAAGCCTTACTCTTACCCTTCTTCTTCTTCTTTTTGCGCTGCTTCAACTCATTCCCCTGTTCCTTTTCTTTGCCTGCCTTTCCGATATCGTTCTCCTCCTCTTCTTCCTCTTCCTCCTCCTCGTCCTCGGGGACGGTTTCCTGCAAAAATGCCTCCGCCTCGAGCAGCTCCGCTCTGAGGGTGATCACCAGAGTCAACGCACCAACCTCCTCTTGCACACCGAGCTGCGCGAAAAGGTCTTTGAGCCTCGAGATCGTGCCCGTGGCGAGTCGGAATTCCGACATGATGATCTCGAGACGGAGCTGCAGGATGTACAACCGGATTCTGATCTCGTCTGTGAGTCCCGCGGCACGCTTTCCGGGAAGAGCAAGAGGTATGTACGTGTCGCAAGGCACGGGGCCCTCCGGCACCGCCGCAGCCGGGTACTTCTTGGAAATCCGGGGAGACTCAGTGTAGGCGGCGACAGTGTTGTGGAGCACAGGGATGTCCGCGTCGGGGAGACCGAGGTACGCGTGTGTAAGCGAGATTGTGCTCAGGTATTCCAACACAGGGTCTGCCATGGTTTGGAGTAAGTGCAAATGGGTGTCACTTGGTCCTGCTTTGTGCCTTTGGACTGTTCCCAGAGTGCTTTTCGTGCCCCTGTCTCTGTCTCTGCTACTTTCAACCACGGAACTATTTCCATCTTAGGAAAGACGCATCTTCAACAGGTCTCCTTGTGGTGTACAGATGTTTTTAATTTTCTGCGCCGATCGGTCCCCTGCTGCGGTTGTCGTACCGAGAAGGTCGTAGCGCTCACATCGCCGCATTCTAGGCAACGACGGGCAGCGAAGTCACAAGAAAGAAAAGCGGCCAATTTATCGCTATCGACTTGAGCCCGAGTGGAGATCTGATAAGGCCAGTGGAGGAAGGATCAACTAAATCGAGGGCTGGTGGTACTAATCGGTCCTCGGGATCGGACTTGGACGACGCTAGAGGTTGTTTGCTGACTTGTTTTATTTACTTGAATTTAATCTATACATTGGGAAACATACGGATAGGGATTGTTAGTTATATAATATAATTAAGACTTAGCCTTTTTCTCTCGGATATGGCGTCTCTGTTTTAATTGTGTTTTTTGTATGTAAAGGTCTCGGCCCACAGAAGAGGACCCCGGAGATAGAATCAAGCAGACTCTCTTTGGAACTCCTTGTACATGTCGGCGTCAGGGACAGAGCCGCAGACGGTCTCGACCATGATACCGGTGACAAGGTAAGGGTCGATGTTGGAGGCTGGTCTTCTGTCCTCGAAGTAACCGTAGCCCTCGGCTTGAACGGATCTTGGGATTCTGATGGAGGCGCCTCTGTTAGCAACGCCGGAGGAGAAGGTCTCCATGGAGGCGGTCTCGTGTCTACCGGTCAATCTCTGTTCGTTGTCCTTACCGTACAACTCGATGTGTTCCTTGTGTCTCTTGGAGAGCTTTTCAATGGCCTCCTGGATTTGCTTCATACCACCTGGGTTTCTCATGGCAAGGGTGGAGACGTTGGTATGACAACCAGCACCATTCCAGTCACCCTTCAATGGCTTTGGATGGAAGGTGACCTTGACACCGAACTCTTCGGAGACTCTTTCCAGCAAGTATCTGGCCATCCACAACTCGTCTCCCATCTTGATGCCCTCGCAAGGACCGACCTGGAACTCCCATTGGGAAGGCATGACCTCGGCGTTGATACCGGAGATGGTGATGCCCGAGTAGAGGCAGGCCTTGTAGTGGGCCTCGATGACGTCTCTGGCGTAGACCTTGGCGGCACCGACACCACAGTAGTATGGGCCCTGTGGAGCTGGGAAGCCGCCCTTAGGCCAGCCGTAGATGTAGCCGTCGACTGGGTCCAAGAGGGTGTACTCTTGCTCCAAACCGAACCAGACTTCCTCCTTGGCGTGTGCAGTCATCAACTTCTCGCACTCGTGTCTGTGGTTGAACTTGTTTGGAGTGCCGTCGTTGTTCCAGCAGTCAGTCAAGACAATGATGTTGTCGCCTCTTCTGAACGGATCTGGGTAGAAAGCGACTGGCTTCAAGTAGACGTCAGAGTTGTTGCCTGGCGCCTGGCCGGTGGACGAGCCGTCGAAGTTCCACTCTGGAAGCTGCGAGACCGCAGTCACCTTCTTGGAAAGGGTTCTGCCCTTCGATCTGAGGTTGCCGCTGGCGTCGATCCAGACGTACTCGGCGATGATCTTGCCTTGTTGAGGCAAGTCGAGGTACTTTTGCAAAGTTTGGGTTTTTTCCAATAAATAGGACATCGTTGAGGCGGTTCTTGGGGGGTGGGGCGCGTTGCTGGAGGAAAGGTTCAGGCGGCGAAGCAACAAGTAAGCAAGCAAGCAAGCAGACGTGGCAGCACAAGCGGGGGCTGAAGAAGAAGAAAAGCACGCCCCGACCACAGGCACTCCAAGAAAAAGAGGGAAACTGAATGTTTTTCTAGCATGCAACTGTTGTTCTCTCGGTCGCCTGGCGATTGCAACGCTGCTGTGCATTAATTAGCGCGATAATGTCTCGACCAAACGGGAAACCGACGAGGGAAAAGACAGGCGTCCGCGCCGAAGTCAGCAGCGGGCGACACTGCGACAGCGTGTGAGCAACGCCGCCGGGGCCCAACAAGGGGGGGGGGTCTTCTTGCGCCCGCTCTTCTCCCCGCCGGACTCCCCGCTGGCCCCGCTCCTGTGTCGCCAGCGGACGGCCGGACGTCCTCTCTGGCCTAGCGGGGAGCCCCACGCAGCGACACCTAGCTCTGCGCCCCCCTCTTCCTTCCACCCGCCGGCCCCTATTCCTCCTGCGTCAGCACTCCCGATCGGGCAACGTCATGGCCAGCTTACTGCGCGCTATCGCGGCCCGCCCATTGGCCAGATAAACGACCACACCACCTTCTGGCCCCCTTTCCCTCTCCTACGCTGGCCACGTCGTCGGCCTCGTCTACGTCGTTGCATGTTTCTGCCTGTGTCTATAACTCCATCTGGCTCCGTCTGGCTCCGTCTGGCTGCGTCTGGTCCGCTTGCATCCCTTCAGCAAATACGCCACGCCCGCAGTGCGGGCGTGGCTGCCCAACAGCGATGCCAAAAAGAAAAGCGTTAGCGGGTAGCCGCAGGCTACCCGCTAGCGTGCTGACGTCAGCGGCGGCATTTTGCGTCGATCGCCGTTTTTTCCTCGCGGCAGCTTGCCACTGTAGAGAACGGGGACACGGTACGGCCTTCATGAATCTTCAGATCGTCACTTGTGCCCCCCTCTGTCATGTAGCATGAGCCTCCGCGTAGGCGTTTGCAGTCTGCCATTCACGTACCCAGCCACAAGCGAACCATGGAGCTACTACCGCAGGGCACGCAGAACACAAACCAGGTCACCTTCCAGGACCAGCAGCAGATCAATGAGTTCAGCACACTGATGACGCACTACGACCGTCTCAACGACCAGCTGTCCCGGCTCGAGGCAGACAAGGAGCAGATCGACGACGTCACGCTCGAGCTGGAGCTTGTCGACGAGGACGAGCTGGTGGACTTTCTGATTGGCGGCGACACGCCGGACGCGAGCGCCGAAAACTCGAGTTCCGTCATCGGCGACGGCTGCTTCGTGAAGCTCAAGCAGTCGGAGGTGATGCTCAGACTCGAGGCCCAGGCCGCGGAGATTGACGAGAGCATCGGCGCCACCAAGTCGAAGATTGAGGACCTCAGCAAAACGCTTTCCGCCTTGAAGTCGTCTCTCTACGCCAAGTTCGGCAACGCAATCAACCTCGAAAGGTGATCTGGTCACCGGCCCCCTCTGCTCGTGTTATCTTTCTGTAGGTACGTGTCTGTAATTAGTTTCTATCTTCGTGTATACATACACTGACCATTATACTGGATACTTTACAAAACCCCCTTCTGTCTCTTGATCAACTCGATCTCCGCAAGTAGCTTGTCGCTCTGCTTCTTCAGATCAACCAAGTGCGAGATCTTGTACAAGAGATCGTCAAACTTCTTGCTCACAGGTCCCGTCGGCATCGTCGGCTTGGTCGAGAGCCCCAGCTGTCCGAGAATCTCGTGCACCTTCGCCTGCACGCTAGGTTTGAAGGACGCGATCTTCTGCGACCTCACATGCACACCGGGCTGGATCCGCTCGTTGTGGATCTCAATACCGTACACTTCAAGCTCCTCCGCCGTTAGATTCTTCTGCAATAGCTGCTGAACCTCGCTGAGCTTGCTTGGGGGCTTGACGCCATTGCTACTGCTGCTGCTTACAGTTGCCTTGCCATTACCGGCTCCACCGTTGGAGCCCACTGAGTTCTGGCCAGCATTCGAGCGTCGTTTGTTTCCACTCACATTGCCGCCATTGGCATTGCTGTGGCTGTTGCCGCCGTTGTTGTTGTTCGCAGATGATGACATTTGAAGATGCTGCGTATGTGGAATGGCATTCGGACCAAGAAGAGGCGCAACTGGCACTTCCGCCTTGCGCTTCTTGCTCTTATCGGCAGCCATTAGCGAGTTGTACAACTGTGTCAGTCCCTGGGACGTCAAATACTGTTGCACCGATGCCGAAGATTGTGGAGAATCAAGTAGCTGTAACAGCTGGGCCCGTTCAAGCAACATCTTCTTTGCCGCAAGCTCAAACTTTCTTGCTTCTATGACCAACGATTCTTCCTCGGCAATTTCAGTTGGTGCACGATGAATCAATTTCGTTAAGTAATACTTACGCTCAAGCTCTTTGTCCTTGTTGAACGATCTGAGTGCCTTAATCAGAGCAGAATCGTTCAAGTTTCCCCTCTTTTCCAGCAAATGTGCAGATATCGTGTACATTTGCACTTTGAGGTCTTCAATAGTCCTACCAGTATACTTGTCCTGATACCTGTCGTAAATGACAGCCCAACGCATATCGAATGTAGAGCATAGATCAAATAAGAATTTTGTCTCATCATATGTCCACGTTCTTTCTCCTACTTCAAGATCTTGACTTGCAGCTCCTTCCACGTTCTCTGAATCTTCCTTCTGGATAGTCTCTTCGACCTTCTCCTCGTCTTCCTCTGCGGTCTTCTCTTCAGTCTTCTCTTCGACCTTCTCGTCAGCTTGCTCTTCAATTTTCTTATCTTCACTTGTGTCGTCTGCATTAGTTTCGATGTCTTCCCCTTTGTCATCTTCCTCAGCGTTAGACTCGGAAGCCGACTTCACTACGGCCTCTGTAACATTCATTGCATCACTTTCAGTGCTTCCTTCTTTCGTATCCTTGCTGTTTTCGTCCTTCTTCTCTTCTGAGCCTTGGTTATCTTGTTCTGCTCCGCCATTCTTGGACTCTTCTTCCTTGCTTTGAAGCTTCGCTTTTTCAGGTTGATAGGTTTCAACAGAGGCACTTTTGCTCTCTTGCTTCTTCTGTAATGCTTTCTCCTTTTCTTTTTCCAGCTTTACCTTTTCCTTGGCAAGCTTGGTCTCAATATCTTTTTGTTTCCTTTCGGCTTCCACTTTCATTGCTTCTTCATACTCTTCCTCAGTGAATGTAGGAATATCTAGACTGGTATTGTACTTTGCATATCGGTACTCATTAGGGTCTAGCTCGATTTCATTATCCTCTGTGTCAACTTCTTTCTCCTCATTCGGCTTGATCGGTAATCCTGAAGTTCCAGCAGGTTCTTGAACTGTTTCTTTCCCTTCTTCGATGCTAGTGACGTCGTCGTTCTCTGACGTCTTTAATCTAGACTTCAGTGAAGGCACGGATTTTGTCCAGTGGTATAATACAAGTCCATCGGGTCTTGCTGAATTTTTGAACCCGATGTGTTTCCATGGCGCATTCTTTTTAGTGTTGACCAGTTTCTCTTTGAACTTCTTCCCGCTTCCCGCATTAGCAACAGAGGCTGTATCTATTGCCAAAGAGGGGACGTTCGAGCCAATAAGGTTGTATAGCTCTCTGTTCATAGCAGACAATTTTCTACGCTTCGTCGAGGTCGCATAATCGTCCGGCGTATATATCTGCCTCGATTCAGAAGAAGTCTGTTGCGGTTGTTGGTTTCCTTCCTTCCCCTTTTTCTGTGGGAAAGATTTGATGTTCAGGACATCCAGTATATCAGACATGGTTGTGTATGAAGCTGTCTGACCACCGGTGGCTTGCTTGACTTTCCTATATACACCAAAATACTCCAACCGATAAGTTTTGGATTATAAAGAAAACCAACACATCACATAAACTTCACTATTTTATTTTTTGCCCGCATTTTCGGACGTAGCACTATCCATCCTCTACAGCGTGTTGAAACCATATGGTATGGTAGTATAAAGAGAAGGGCGTCAAGAACATTCGACTCTAAGATGTTACATGGCTCTTGCAGTAGCTTATAGATCCACCATAAAATAGCACGCCACCCAGAGCTGTTGTCCGCTGTAGTTTTGTAGAAGCCTATGCTCATTAAGTGAGTTTAACACTAGCGAAAGGTGATCCTCACCTGTCTGACATTTTCCTCTTCATGTTTACTGAGTGCCTAGGTCTTCTTGTATTAAAGCTCTGGGAGAACCAACATATTTGGGTACACTAGCATCAGAATAACGTGTGTCTAGCCGGATAGGTAAACAGACATGCTTTCTTCGACTTTGAAACAACAAAAATTGAAATCTAAAATCCGCCCACCCCGTAAATCGGGATCAAATACCCTAGATCCAAATGAATCGTGGAAGCTTTTGGAGGTTGCAATTAAAGACATCCAGAACAAGAATGCATCCAAATGGTCTTTTGAGCAGCTTTATCGTCTAGCCTACAACTTGGTTCTTTCCAAAAATGCGCAGTACTTGTACAATCATGTCCATGATGAAATAGTCAAATACTTGGAAGACAACGTCAGAAAACAACTAGAATCTCTCATCATAAAAAAGGAAGAACAACAGAATATGAACGCATCCGATATGAGAGGAGATGATGACCTTCCCGACCATGTAATCAGAAAGTCGGATGCCGCAGAAATTTTGAATCTTTTTAATAAAGTATGGGATGATCATTTGATATCCGTCTGGCTTATTAGCCAAGTGGTGATGTATATGGACAGAACATTTACTAAGGAAAATCGGTTGCCACTAGTTTATGACGTCGGTCTTATATCATTTCAGAAGTATATTGTTATGCATAACTTGGAAGCTTCAAATGTTACCATTGGAGCTAAGTTGATTGAGATTTTTCTGAACTATTTCAATTTGAACAGGAACGGTGAACTGATCGATAAGTTTCTAATAAAATCCACAATCACCATCTTTGAGTCGTTGGTGGGAGTTGATGGCGAAACATACTATAGCAGGTATTTTGAGCCTGAGCTACTTTTGTCTTCCCACAGATATTACGAGCAGAAAATTAACGAACTGCTGGGTCATCAAAGCGGCTCCTTGTACATTAATAAGGCGGTACAAATCATCAATGACGAAGAATCACGATTTCAAATATATCTGCCCAATCAAACCACGGAGAAATTGAGAGATTTGATGTACAAAGATTTGGTTGTGGCTAACATCAAAAATATTCTAAGTTTGCAGAATGATGGGTTGAAAAAATGGATAGAAAACAATGATTTTGAAATTTTGGAGAAAGTTTATAGACTAGTGGAAGGAATTGATTCAAACAAATTAATTCTTAAGAATTGTTTACGCTCAATAGTGATTTGCAACGGTGAAGAGCTGATTGCTCAAACAAAACTTCAACAGGCAAACGATTTCGATGCTTCTGACGATAAGAAAAAGAAAGCTACAAAGAAATCAGGCAAAGAAGCTAATACCCAATTCGCAGTGAGTTATATCAAAAATTTCACAGATTGCAAATACAAGTACGATCGAATAATAGAGAAAGCATTCAGCAACGATATTGAAATTTACAGAGAGGTAGAATCTGCTTGCATAACATTCCTCAATGAAAATAACCGGATACAAGAATACTTGTCACTATACATTGATGACTGCATCAAAAAATCTTTGAAGAATAAATCTTCGGATGAGGTGGAAAGAGTGTTTGATGACTCGATTCTGATATTTAAATTCATTAAGGATAAAGATATCTTTGAAAAATATTACAAGAATCATCTTGCCAAACGTCTTTTGAACCAGAAATCAATTTCAACCGAGCTAGAATTACAGATGATATCAAAGCTCAAAACAGAAGCAGGCTCAACTTTCACTGCTAAATTTGAAGGAATGTTCAAGGACATCAAAATTTCTCAAGACATTACACAACAATTCCGTAATGAAGCAAGCACAACTACCCTAGCATCAGACTTAGCACGTATGAATGATGGCCGTAAGTTTGATGTCGATTTTTCCATACTAACTGCTAACTTTTGGCCCATGCCAGTCAACAAAGCAATGGAAGAGGTAACGTATGTGCCTGCGCTAGATATAGTAAAGGCAACATTTGAGAAATATTACAATAATACATACAACGGCAGGAACCTAACGTGGGCTCCCAACATGTGTACTGTTGACCTTCGAATGAACTTTCCAGGAAAGTCGTATTTGGTTAACATGCCAACTTTGGCGGCATTTATCGTCTTAACTTGTTTTAACGATGATGAAACTGAAGATGGTTCAAGATCTCTGACATTCGAAGAAATCCACCAGTTAACAAAAATTCCAACCTCTGACCTAATTCGTCACTTGCAAAGTATAGCGGTTGCGCCAAAGACTAGAATATTGAAGAAAATGCCGATGTCAAGGGATATAAACCCAACTGACAAGTTTTCGCTGAATTTAGATTTCAAATATCCTCAAGCTAAATTCAAAATTTTGGCAGTCTCGCTATCATCAACATCAGCTAAAGTGCAAGCAGGAACAAACCAAGCCTCCGAATCAGACAAATTTGACGCAACTTTTTCTTCCTCACGTCTGGAAACTGATGAGGAACGTGCATTTACTCTTACTGCAGTCCAACGGTCAAGAGAATACGAGGTAGATGCTGCTATTGTTCGTGTCATGAAAGCCCGCCAGTCCGCTAAGTACCAGGTACTTGTTGCTGATGTTGTTAGATTAATAGGCGATGTTGGGAAGAGATTCCGACCACAGCCTTCTCTTGTAAAAAGAAGAGTAGAAGAATTAGTTGACAAGGAGTATCTCAGGCGAGATGAAAACGATAGAGAACTATTCTGGTATGTTGCATAGTTCGCCTGTGTAAAGTTGTAATCTTTCCTCAAAGTTTAGCGTAGATGGTTTAATAATCTATAAGAATTTACTCAATGGCATCTCCAAATTTATTCGTTAAATTAATTGTTCATAATAAGATTGTAGACATTATCATATATCAACAAGTCACAAAAAGTGTACAACGGTCCCCACCGATCCTAATCAATTCTTGCATCTGCCAACCCTTTCAGAGAAGTGACATTATTGGAAAATTTACTCTTTTTCGCAATTTTCTTCAACCTATTCCTTACAACCATTACTGGAACAGGTGACTTCCTAACAAGATGATTAGAGAGCGAGCCCATGAGAACACCTTTAATGGCAGACGAGCCCTTCGAGCCAACAACTACTAGGTTAGGAGACATGTGCTTTATAACACCCACTATAAAGTGTCTGGGTATAGGATGATGGCATGACTCAATAACCACATGAATCTGAAGTTTTGTTAGTTTCAATAGGTCAACTACTAGTTTGGTAATTTCATTCACGTTGTTGACACGAGTACGTTCTCTTGTTGTTCCCGAAGGGTGATCTGTTGCTAAGGATTTTCCAGAACTTGTTGGTTGAATACCGTTCAAATTCATCGACGAATAATCGTCATCTTCCAAAACATTCAAAATGTATAAGACTGAGGAATCGACCAAAACAGTACCAACACACCATTCCAAAGCATATTTGCTTTCATCTGAGAAATCCATACAAAGAACAAAACTCTTGGGATGTTTGACATCGCTGCTGATCAAAGTTTCAAAAAAATTACCCCTTGTGATTGTACGCACGGCACGCTGATTTGATACATCGGAATCGATATCGGAAATTTGTGTTTTAGAATTCAAGACAGTTGCAAGTTCTGTATCTATCTTGTCTTCTTGGTCTCGAGTATAAGGAGCAATAAACTCAGCATTGGATGTTGTTCCGGAAGATATCAGCTTTTTTTTGTAAACCGCATATTCTTCCAACTTGTTCTTCCTAGCGGCCCTTTCTTGGTAAAACTCTTCCGGATCAACATGGATTTCAGTCCCTGAGTCTTTTGCCTGTTCTTCCAGAGTATTAATAACTTCCGTCGGGATATTTCTTCCAATAGCCTTTGCGTTACTTATAGCTCTCTCCGACGCAAGCAATGAATCGGCTATCTTTGCAGATTCAGCCTTTTTCATCATTTTCCTTTCATTTAGCAAAGTCAATTCATCCACCTTCTTTTTGGAAGATGAGACTGGACCAGATGACGAGTAGTTTGGCAATATTCTTCCCTCGTCATTAACAGAAAATTCATAATCACTATCGCTTAACCTTTCCTCAGAACTGACGTCTATTTGATCGTCTGCTATGGGCTTCGTCGAAAGTCTTGAAGATGGATCTTTGAATGTGATAGATTCAGGATACACTTGTTCTTCGTAGACAGACGGGGTCACGCTTTCCGACCTTGTAGCAACGCTACACTCCTTCGGGTTCCGAGAGGCACTGCGACTCCTTGGGGCATTCTCTGACTTGTACTGGCGTTCTCTGAGAAGAGACATCAGTTTCTTCTCTTCGCCAATTGCACCTTCTAAAGACATTGTGGGCTGGATTCTAAGTTGGAATGATAGGTCTCTATGGATTGTGGATCGCACACGAGTACCCCCTAGTTTTTCCAGTTTTGTGTATGTAACTGAATGTGAGCCTAGTGCCTGACGTTACTAATTCTTCAGCTTCCGATGCTGACTCCTCAAGTCGCCATTGTTGCAACTCACCCTCAGAGACTGCTAGTACAGGTCGGCCGATATCGTTTTCCTCCACATTAACTCGGCTTACTCGCGCAAACGTAAGGCAGATCTTTCTTACGGGCTTCTCGATCTAGCTGGAAAAGGTACAGGAAACGAATGCCTATGGCTTATCTTTTCCGAGGAAATAAGCTTAAGAGTGTAGAGAATAACTTGAAGCAATTTGCCAACTTGTGATATGTGGAGAAGACTTGGGCATCGCCCGTATGGGACTGCGAAAGTAGCGTCCAATGTGGATATGAAGCAATATGCCGAAACCGCTGCTAGCCTAAGAACAACAAACTCCTTGAAAAAAGCACAGTTAGACTTGAAAAGAGCATACCAAGAGTACGACACTTTCAAAGATGTTTGTGCAAAGAGAAATATGACATTTCCCCTCTCTCCCACTTTTAGAGACGATTACCAAGAACTGCAAAAAATTTCAGAGACCGTTTTAAATTTCAAGCATGAGTCGAGGCAGTTGCAAGGTACATTAAAACAATTGAAAATTGCACAGAAGAAAGACAAAGTGGATAATATAGTTGAACAGGAAACGATTTTGGACAAACTCACGAGGTACAAGCCAATTTTGAATGAGAAAACCAAGCTGCAAACTACGCTAGAAGATAAACTCTTCGTCCAAGTTTCGAGCCTTCCTAATTACATCCACGACTCTGTAAAAGACAAGCAAGTTTTGTTGGAGTATTTGAACCCTACACAGGAGCTGAAAGACTCTACGAGCGATGATTTCAAGGTCAAAAGTGATTCTAGATTTGATCATAAAGAAATTATGGAGCATCTCGGTTTAGTGAATTTTAGTCAGGCAACAAAGGTCTCTGGACGTGGTTGGTACTATTTAATAGGTGATGGTGCTTTGCTGGAACAAGCCTTGATTCAGTATGCACTAAAAAAGGCACGACAAGCAGGCTTTCTGATGGTATTGCCACCTTCGATTGTTCGGACTGAAGTCACTAATGCTTGTGGTTTTATGCCTCGTGACACAAACAATGAACGCCAAGTATACGAGCTTCAAAACGAGGATTTGTGCTTGACGGGAACAGCTGAGATACCACTAGCCGCTTTATATGCAAATCATGAATTCAAAGGCGCAGACGTTCCGCTTGATTTGGTGGGACTCTCACGGAGTTATCGTGCCGAGGCAGGTGCAGCCGGGAGAGATACCAGAGGTCTATATAGAGTTCACGAGTTTACCAAAGTCGAGCTATTCTCCTGGACCTTCCCGGATGAGAAGCAAAGCATGGACAAGTTTGATAGGATTGTCAAGTTCCAGAAGGATTTCATCAAAAGTCTAGGTCTTACGGCCCGTGTACTTATCATGCCACATGATGACTTGGGTGCACCTGCCTATAAAAAGATAGACATTGAGGTTCTCATGCCTGGTAGAGGTACTTGGGGTGAGGTTTCATCTACCTCCAATTGTCTTGAGTTTCAATCCAGGAGATTGAACACAAAAGTTAGAGACCCTAAGGATAGCAAGCTCAAGTTTGCCCATACATTGAATGGTACTGCTTGTGCAGTTCCAAGGGTTGTTTTGGCCATTATCGAAAATTTTTATGACCCGGCTACTGACAGCATTCAGATACCAGAAGTATTAAGGCCATATATGGATGATAAAACAGAAATCGGTGGCAAGACTGCTACATCAATAAAAACATAGATTATCCTTCCTTTCTCTGTACATATATATACTTGGATATCTAGATATTAAGATACAATCAGGCTCAGTACTATTTTTATATACACTATAGACCAAAATAGATAACCTAAACTAAAAGTTCATTTAGCTTTTTCGTGTCATCGTCGGACATGTACAACAACATCTTAATTACAGGAAGTAGCATTTGCCTTTGTTCCTTATGCTCTAAGAACCCCATCAAAACGTTCTTTATATAAATTGACTTTTCCTTGAGATCTTCATTATCGTACTGCTTCTCATCGTCTGCTGCAGGATGTAGCAGACTGGCATCTACCACATCATTCGTGGTAACAAAACTGTTTTTTCTGCTTGAATGGGTACTAGACTCAGACATTCTTCTCTTATATTGTAAAGACAGTAATTTGTATTTTTTGTTGAGACGGATTAATTTATCAGAAGAGTCCTGGTTCACGCTACGAAGTTTTACGTTCATTTCCTCAACTTCACGCAACCTAGCTTCAGTTTTGTTCAGTGATTCACGAAGAGTTTCTATCATTTTTGAGTTGTACTCACTAACTTCTTGTAATGATTTCTTCTCGGATGCTCCATTCGAGGCAGATTTCTGGAATTCCTCAGAGTGCTTGTGATCTGATAGTTTTCTGACCTGAGTTGTCAAGGCGCTATTTGCAGCTTCCAGTTGCTCCATATGAGAAGAAAGATCTGTTTGTTTTCTTTTTAGTTCTTCAATCTCCCTTTGCTTGTTTCTTATTGCCAATAGCGCTTCATTGTCTGCTTTTTCTTTTTCTTCTAAAAGTCTGTCAAATTTTGATTTCAATTCCTTTCTATCTAAATTTTGAGTCTCTTCATTGTCCATCACTAACTTCCTCATGGTTGTCATCTCGCGTGTTCTTTCTTGGAGCATGTTTCTCGATTGAGTGAGCTCTTCTTGTAACACATCAATTCTATTCTCGTATTCTTTGTTTCTCATCGAAAGTTCCTCGACTCTTCTCTTAAAAGATTCCACCTGGTCATTTGAAGATGATTTGATGTGTTTCACCTCATTATATTGATCTTGCAACTCTTCGAGCTTCTTGGCTAATTTGGTGTTTTCAAGGGAAAGCTTATTAATCTTCAGGTTGTTTTCATTAACCTCTGCCTTTAACTTTTCATTGAGTCTGGTCAGACTACCCTTCACTTCCTGATAAGATGTTTCCTGATTTTTAAGTTCTTTATTTTGAACCTTTAGTTCAATCATGAGATCATTTACTTTCGACTTCTCCTCTTGCAAGAACTTGATTTTGTTCTCAGCCTCTACTAATACACGCTCTTTTCTTCCCAGCTGGGTTTTCATATTTAGCAAATCTGACTTGTTCACGCTATCATTAGCAGTTGATTTTTTCAGCATGTCCAATTCGGACTGCAGTCTACTCTTTTCTTCTGTTATTGAACCCAATTTATCTTGCAAAGCCTTTTCGTTGGCCTTGTTCTTATTCAGCAATGACTCTAAATTCTTAGAATTCAAAAGCAGATCATCAACTTTCTTTTGAAGGGACTCCAATTCCAAAGTTTTCTTCTCTAGCAAAGACTCAAGCTCGCCAACTTTCTTTACGTTCTCATTCACCTTTTTCGATAAAGATGCTTTAGTCTTCTCATAATCTGTTAACGCATTGGAGTTTTGAAGGCGGAGCATTTCCAGTTCATTCAACTTAGCTTCTAACTCTGTTTTGGTCAGCTCCAAAACTTTCTCAAGATCATGAGTGGCTTTATTTTCTTTTTGTGATTCGACGAGTGAGTCGCCGACATTACGCAACATGTCCTTCAAGTCTTCGATCTCTGTGGACTTTTCTCGAACAGACTTTTCCAACTCATTATTTTTGGAAGCTTCCTCTTCGTACCTAGTGTTCAACTTGTCCAATTCATGTTTTGCTTCTATTAGCTCGACTTCAGGTGAATTTGTCACCGAGTGAATTTCAGGTGTGAGTGTTTCCGTTGTTTTGGAGTTTTGCGGCTCTTCAACAACTTTGTTGCTGTTCTGATTTTGTTTTTTATTCTTTTTCTTCCTTGAATTTTTACTCTGGGAGAGAGCAGCAGGCGTTGGAGTCAACACAGAAGTAATATTTTTGGTTTCATTTGTTAAAGTTTCAAGCTTTTCCTTGAATAGATCGTTCAATTTTTTGGATGATTCAAGTTGTTTTTCTAAAACTGAAATTTTGGCGTTACCTTCTTCGTATTTTGTCTTCGAGTTTGATTCTTGGTTTTCGTAAAAAGCTTTCATATTTTCCAGATCCTTTTCGGCCACAAGTAACTTTTCTGAAAGCTCCACTTTTTCTTTCACAGAAGCGTCAAGTTGATCTTTGAATTGTTGTGTTTCAGAATTTGAGCTTTGGACCTCATCTAATTTGGATTTAAGAGTCTCATACTCCTTTAACTCTTCAAGTAACTGCTGTTTTTCAGAGGTAAGCGAAGTCACCTGTGAGACAAGATCGGTCTGCTTGGAGTTCTCACTCTTCAATAACTGTACTTGTTCTCTCAATTTCTGTAATTCATTTGCTTCATCGGTGTTTCTTGATGTTAAGGCTTTCTGCAAATCTCTTACCTTCTGATTCAGAGCTGAGATTTTATCATCAGCAACCTTTTTGTCCTTTGTGATTTTAGCTAATTCTGAATTGAGCATCTTTCCTTGGTTGTTGATGCCAACCAAATAGTCCCGGACTGCATTGAGTTCTCCTATACTGGAACAAGGAGTTTGCTCTTTCAACATATTCTCAAAGGCACGAATCAATGCTGTCTTCTTTTTCTCGATCTTATACGCCTCATACAATTGAGGATACTTCTTTTCGTATTTGAGGTACTTGTTTAACCTTGAACGGATCTCGGGAGGAAGAGAAGAGAGTTTGACTTCAGTGCCGGGTACGAAAAACCTAGAGTCTTGATTTTGTTGCAAGGGTCCATCCCTTGGACTCAAGTTCTTGGGCTCTGCGCTGTTTGCTCTGGTTTCGTTTTCACTTGTAGCCTCCGGATCCGAACCCAATTTGATCTGGGTGAAATCTTCGGCACCATTGTCAGTGGCAGAGCCTGCAGTCGTGCCCGGTTCCTTTGGCTCCTGTGCATCAGAATCGTCTGCTGTGATACTTTCTGGGTTGACTACCTCGGATATGTCAGGTGTCTGTGTTGCAATGATCTTCTTCGCAATCTCCGGATCTGCTAGCTGGTTTTGTTCTCCCGAGTTTGGACTGTTCACCTCATCGTTTATCCTATTTATCTCGTCGGCAAAGGTCTTGCTCAGCTGTGAAATTTTCGAGAACATGCTATGGTGACTAGGGAACCTTTATCGGAAGTCCACGGTGCAATATTCTGTGTTTACCAGTTTAAGCCTCCCTTTTTACTTCTCTCCGCCCCATTGCACCTTAACCGCCCGTTTGCAGCATCAGCACCACGTAGACGCCAAAAAACTGCTCGCCCCGTCTACAACTATGCGCCTTGATTTTCATTTCTACTGCACGTGCATTGCACCATTCTTATCGTCGTCGTACGGATAGAATTATCTTTACTACATCTTGCCAAGTATGAATGGCAGATAGGTATTGCGATTGTTTACAGAAATCTGTTTTACATACAAAGTATATATTGTTTTGATGGGTTGGGGGGGCGGAAACTACTGTTTTGGGAGAGCTCCTCAGTGAACGAATGTATAATCTTTTGGAATGGGTTGAGAACCATTGCTTTCTCCCTGGATAAAACTCTTGGCTGCTTCTCCCCATTGGATTCTCTTCTTGTATATGGCCAGGTCGCCGGTGAGACCGTCAATAGCACTGCAAAGAATCTCCTTCTGCTCGTGGGTGAGATGCTCTCTCAATTGCATCAGAGAGGTGGTGTATGTCCTGATGAACATCAAATCTGCACCCGTCTTCGGAAGTCTGGTGAAACACTGCTTCTCGACTCTGAAAAAGCATTTGTTAAAGTCGAGGTCGCTGGGATACAGAGGATGAATTTTGACTGATTCCTCTTTGGTGGCGTGTGAACCTGTTGGAGCACAGAGGTTGGTGTGAGTTTGTAGCGACCAGTTATTACGGACGTAGTACTCATGTGCCTGTAGCCTGGTGAAGAACTTGTTCATGGCTGTTTGTAGCTTCTGGACATAACCTGGTACTGGGCCATGGATGGTCGTTAACGGTTGGTTTAATTTGTCAAGAGGGTTGAATCCGGCAGGCATTAGAGAGACTGCTGCTCTAAGAACGTACTCGTCGTACTGCTCTGTGTCTGGGTTCTTGATCAAAATAAGCATGTCCTCCTCTATGTTGGTGGCAATGTACCTTAGCATTTCCTCCGGTTTCAAGTTGGCAGCGCTAGCTGGAACAGACTCGCCCTTGATCTTGTTCAATATCGACGACCCTTTCTCGTTCAGCTCAAAGTACTGTGGATATCTTTTCATCAAATGGGTAAATATGTAGTCGTATGTTTCTCTCAAAGCATCTACTGCCGACTCGTGACAGCCAAAAAGTTTTGTTTCATCGAAAAGCTTGGCTCTCAAGTTCACTCTGTCGAGATACGTGTTTTCAATGCAGATCACATCGTTGGGGTCAAGTTTGCGAATGGCTAGTGTCATTTTGTATAGGCCCTTTTTGAATGGTCTGTAAGGATAGGGTTCTTGCTTATCCCATTGAAAGTCGTCACCGACGGGCACGATTGTTGGCGGCGCATGTTTGGGCTTTTTGCCGATCGGATTTGCAGACGTCCATCTAACGTGAAACCATCTCAACGCTATGAGCAACAAAAGAGATGCCACTGCTAGTGTGCCGAATTGCATGTTTGTGTCTTAAATGGTGATGTTTCCGCCTGTTAATTGGCTCTGAGATCTACGGGAAAGCAAACTCTACGATCACCATGTGCTTATAAGCAGATTGAACAAGCTAAAAAGTTCCCAACGGACCACCGGCACCTCCGACATTACAGATAACGGGTGTCTGACGCCAACGGGCGTTATCTGGCTCTCCAAGGAATGTAAGCATGTGCTCCGAAAGGTAATCCGATTAGCGCTAGTTTGCTTTCCTTATCGGTTTTGTTCGGTCAACGAGACCCGCTTTCTCAAAACAGAAAGTCGTTGCGACAACAGTGCACGTCTATTTTTTGTTATTCCGAGACATAATAGGCATAGGTTGCAGTACAGAAGATGAGAATGAATTATACAGAAGTGGTGAAATCTAAAAACAAGACCTACAACATACGGTCGATGGTATTGCTTTTGACCTCCTCTAGGTTGTCAAGCTGGTCCCACCATTTGAACAAGTACGTTTCGCAGATGAGTTTGAACCAAGGGGTGAACACTAGCTTTGGATCGGCAAACATCTGCTTCAGTTCGGTCTTGGAGACGTACTTGTAGTCTCTGACCTCATTAGGGTTAGCATGAACTTCGGCATTGGCTCTGATGATCAATATGTAGTCGATTTCGTGTTCCCCCCAAGCACCGTTACTCGGAGCCATGTAGTGAATTCTAGTCAAGAACTTAAAATCCTCGTAAGGAACATCTGCTACCTGTATGCCTAACTCGTGGAACAATTTCCTCTGTGCAGCAACCTTGGCACCGTGAACTGCGCAGTCCAAGTTGGTTATAGGGCCCTTGTCCGCTCCCATTTCGGATTCAACACACAACGGGTGTGAGCAGCACGTGTTTGTCCACATGTCGGCAAACGTGATCTTTTCGGTGGCTCTCTGCTGCAACAACAAGTTGTTGTCCGAGTCAAAGAGAAAGACACTGAAGGCACGGTGAAGAAGCCCTCTGTTGATGTTTTCCATCAAATGGCAGAGCTTTTTTGTTCCCGAACCAATAGGGGTATCATTGTAGTCAAGCACTATACAGTTTTCGGCCATCAGTTTGATCTGTTCTTCATCGTGGCCTGCAAACACAGTACTGTCTTCATCTTCCTCTTCGCCGCCAGATGTGCCTCTGGAGGACGACAATCCCGAAGCTTGCTCGAGCGGAATCACTTCAGAGAATTTCTCAAAGATTTGTTCGTCCGTGAGCGACTTGACAAGCTCATGGTACTTGGATAACTGCATCTGTGTAGATTATCTTACCTCTTGTTGGCACTGGGTCCCACGCACTGAGCTTTACCCTTTTGGTTTTCTATCTGGTCGTCTCACGGCAGCAGCTTTTGAGGCTAGAAAAAAAAGTAAACTAATGTTTGTGGAAAACTCGAAAATCGTTGAAAAAAAATGCGTAATTCGTGTACGTCGTATAGAGCAGACCTTGTTCAACGAACCCGGAGTTGAGGAGTTTTTTTACTCGTGGGACATCCTAATTATCTGGGGTCTGCGACTAGCTCAAGATGTTTCTTGGTTTAGTACCGTGCCAGGCGTGCGGCGAAGATTAAAAGTCATATTACATTTTGTCGTTGTATCCCAAAAAGCTATGTGCTATGTTGTTAAACAACAAGAAAAAAATAAATGGTCCCTAGCAGGATCGAACTGCTGATCTTGGCGTTATTAGCACCACGCCTTAACCAACTGGGCCAAGGGACCAATTATGTTAAATAGTGTAAACGTCTTTTCTAGAGCATTAGACTAAATGATTTTGCACTCTCACTAGTTAAGCTGCAGTGTTACCTTATGACTTCCTCTGAAAAGTTAGTAATCAGACCTTTTAAAAAGTTAAAAGCTTTTTTAATGAATAACCAGCACTAACTTAAATTGTTTTTGTATCTGATTACGTAATTGTTGAGATAAGATGCCGAAGCCAATCATGATCGAGTGATAAGAGATAAGAGTCTTATCATGATAAGGCATCTTAAGTAATCTAAAACTGGAAAGTTAGCCGCCATGATAAATGAATAATGGCAAGTTTAACCGAAGGTGTAAGTGTATAAATACAAGAGGTTTGTCCCTTGTATTTATGTTTGAGAATATTAGTTTGTAGGCTAGTTATATTAGTTATAAATTAATAAGCAACAAACATAAGAAAAAGTGAACATATACAATGGATATTCATAATAGAATAGCTAGATTACAACAGGTTATGAGCCAATTCGCTCTCACTTGCCCTAGAGATGAGAGCTTGAAGCTTTCTTCGTCTATGAACTATCCTAAATGGAACAGTTACACTGGTATGCTTGTTGTCCACTCAGGGTGCTGGCCTTGACGTTTATTTTACAACTGGAGATATGATGTTTCCTCCAGCTGAACCGATAGACGACACTCTAGTTATGCAGCTCCAAGTTGCATTGAACAATGCAATTCAAGTTGTACTGTTGAATACTGTGTCGTCAAAAGTGTTGTTAAAGTATCAGTCTGATAATGCGTTCGGACTTGATTTACTTATGTTGATTAGACGTGATTACTCCCAGGTTACATCACGTCAATTGTATGCTATGGTTAATAAAGCTTGTGATGCTTCGGTCAGTAAGTCTGCCGGTGATGAAAGTGCTCTGTCCTTGTTCAGAGATATATGTGCTCACTTTAACCACTCCTCGGAAATTACCCAAGTGATGGGTTTGTTTTACTTAAGGATGTTTAAGTCCGACCAAGCGAATGCTCGAGTTTTAGATGTGTCAACTCCGAACATTACGTTGTCAGCGGTTGAGAACACTCTGCGGGATCTCGTTCCTACAACGCAGGGTTCAGTATTTGCAGCTACTTCCAAGAAACCTTATGTTAATAAGCAGAAGTGTTACCGATGCCAGAAACGAGGCCACGTTGCTAAGGATTGTCCAGCTGCTGCCCCGATTGCTGCTAGCAGTTCTAGTGGTAATACAGCAGCTCTTGTCAACTCCTCATCCAAATCTATCTCTGGTATCTCTTGGGCAGTCTTCAACTCAAGAGAAGACTCAGTTATGCCAAGTCGGAGCTACATTTTGGATTCTGGTGCTACACTCCACATTTCAAATGAGCGGTCTCATTTTGCTGAATTTACTCCGGCCTCTGGCTGCATTACTGGGATCTCATCCAATCCTTCTGGTCGTTAAAGGTACTGGGAACTATCCGCTTTGTGCCACCCAATTACCTCAAAAAATTCCTACTGTGGTCCGAAGTCCTCCTTTGTCCCCTGAAGCCCACCAAAAAAT